TTTAACTCTAAATGTTTCCCGATCTAAATCCACCCAGATCTCATAAATCTAACCCCATTTAATCAGAAATTCCGAAAACTTCCTTTCCTTTTGTCTCTTCCCTCAAACATCTCCCAAAAGAACATTTTTTTAAAAAAATTGGAAAAGAAGAGAAACATTTCACGAATGCATAACAAAAAGAGAGTCTCCGCAGACTTTTCCAATCTCAAAAATCCCTTTGAAAATCCTTTTGAACTTTGCGATAAACTTTTCACCTGAATACTTTTATCTAGATTTGTTTTTTTTCGTTTCCTTTATGGTTACTGATATTTACGCATATTTTTTCTGCAATTCGAGCCAGGTTATCGAGTATTGAACCAGGATTTTCTCAGCGTTAGCACTAAGCTAGGCCAACCAGCCAAGTCAGAAGTCAAGGCTACACCTACACATAGTCAGTTCCAGTTCTGAATTATCCAACCAGACTCAAGCCTAGCTTCAGGGCCAGCTTTAGGTCTGAACTGTCTGAAGCAAACAACTGAAACAACAGGACAAGACTTGATATTTCTGGATCACTTTTAGAGATGATTGACTGACTTGCTAGAATCTTTTAGACTAGGTTTGATCTGGAGAAACTCAAAATAATTCTATCAGCAATCGTCCTTCAATTCTGTAACCATTTTGAACTATTTAAAAGCCAAAAAAATATCAACGACAAGTTCTTTCAAAAGCTTGTAATTTCTCTTGAAAGTTCTCTTGTAAGTTCGGGGATTTCGTGGGTGTTTGAAGAGGAAAGGGTGCATGATGGAGTTAATGAAATGAAATGAAATGTGAATTTCACAAAGAAAAAAGCCGTTAGGTGAATTCCCCATCGTCGTCCAGGCGATATTCAAGTGGGTAAATGCGAGAATTTTTTGCGCTCTTGAAAAACCCATTTTCCATCTCCTTTTTTTCGAAATAATTTCATTGAGTCAGCCTTTTGAGAAATGAAAATTGAGGAAATGGGTCAGTGACATTGTTGTCGAATGCTTGAAAAAAGCACTGAACAAAGATCAAGTCATTTATCCGATCATCAGCCAAAAATCCAGCCTTACAGCCGACCGTGGCGCAGTCGAGAACGCCCTCGTCTACAGCAAACACGATCCGGGTTCGACCCCCCCCCTACTGCCACTCAAGTAGATTTTATCTACATAAACTAGAAGAATATTTCTATCAGCTTTTCCCCAACACTAGCTCTTTAGCCAACAAAGCCAACACTAGCTTCTTAGCTTTATTTTTTTTCATCATAAAGCTCTATTTGGAAATAATAACCAAAGAAATGATCTCACCGATGATCATTCCCATCTCTCACCGATGATCATTCCCATCTCTCACCGATGATCATTCCCGTCTCTCACCGATGATCATTCCCATCTCTCACCGATGATCATTCCCATCTCTCACCGATGATCATTCCCGTCTCTCGCCGATGATCATTCCGTCTCTACCGATGATCATTCCCATCTCTCACCGATGATCATTCCCATCTCTCACCGATGATCATCCCACCTCACCGATGATCATTCCCGTCTCTCACCGATGATCATTCCCATCTCTCACCGATGATCATTCCCGTCTCTGCCGATGATCATTCCCGTCTCTCACCGATTCTCCTCGCTTCTTTCTTTGCCTTTCCAATAGCCGATCGTTTCCCTTTAAATCTTTTATTTATCATTTTGTTCTTCTCAAATATTTTATTCAAATCTGACGAAGAAACTGTTTGAGTTGCACTCGAAATTGTTCTCTTTCTCCTTTCCGCCAAAACATTCCCCTTTCTCATTCATTTCATTATGCTAAAGATCAAAAATGACACTGAATTTCCCTTATTTCCGATCAAGTTGCTTTTAATTGTTTTTGAAAACAAGATTTTCGAATATTTCTCTTGAGAATTCGTACAATGAGATCCTCAAAAATGATGGATTTTTCGAAAATCTACAGCACACACGATCCGGGTTCGACCCCTCGTACTGCCACTCAAGTAGATTTTATCGACATAAACTAGAGGAATATTTCTATCAGCTTCACCTTTTTCTAGTGGATCGACTTTAAAAATTATTGAAATTGAAATTTTCAATTTTATAGCTGATTTCAACTTTCAATTCAATTTTCTTATCAATCTTTAAAGAAGAATTGAAAGTTGAAATAAGCTATAAACTTGAAAATTTCAATAATTTTTAAAGTCTATTTCCCAAAAATCGATCCATTAGAAAAAGGAAATGAATTTCGAAAAATGCATCATTTTTGAGGATCTCATTGTACGAATTCCCTCTAGCATCTTGTCTTGTTTGAAATGGATATTCATTAATACAATATCTCTTGCACTTTAAAAGATAAGATTTAAAAGATAAGATCTTCTAGACCTACTAGACCTTTTAAATGACTTTTCATTGCACTGTTAACTCCAACTGTTAACATCACTTGCACATCTCTTGTATACTTTAAAAGCTAAGATCTTTAGCGGAATTAAGATAGCTGAATCAAGATCTTTAGCTGAATTAAGATCTTTAGCTGAATCAAGATCTTTAGCTAAGAATTTCCTTATCTTCTAGATAATTCTCCAATTTGAACATCATTGCTCAAATTGGAATTGTTTTTTTTAAAGAAAATTTTGCTAAAAAATACTTCCGATTTTCTGTGTTCTGAAAAATATTTTCCTTTAAAAAATAAAATAAAATTCTTCTTTCTTATTTAAATATAAGAAAAGATAGATCGAATTTCCATTGAATTTGATGGAGATCGGATAGGATATCATTCTAGAGGAAACGGGCACAAAAGAAGATCAAAAGAGGCATCTGATGGACACTTGACATTCTCTTCTAAGCCTTCTAGGCCTTCTAGACCTTCTAGACCTTCTAGACCTTCTAGACCTTTTAAATGACTTTTCATTGCACTGTTAACTCCAATAATAGACAGAATCCAACAAAGAATGCCCCAGGATCTCTTGATCTTTCCCCAAATCCTTTGAACATCAATGCAAATGTTTTAGTTGCATGAATGAATGATTTCCTTTGCCCCATTCCTTTTCATTTTTCTATTTTTCTATTTCCCCCCTCATTTCCTTGTGCTAAAATTAGTCCTCATCTTCATTGGAATCACGTCATTTCTCAGTTTCAGCCATTCCCTTTCCCATTGCTTCCACCAAATAACAATTGTGTTTAGCTCGGCTGATTTGCCGATTAATTTCTTTGCCGGGTTCAGATTGAAATTTCTCGGCTTTTTGGTGAGTCAGTAGGCATTGTATTTCTAAACTTCATTCTGTTAATGGTAATTTAAGATTTAAGATTTAAGATCTAAGATTAAAGTTGATCTAAACAAGTATTTTCCAGGTCCTTAGGGCTGCTAAGCCACCGAGCGGCAAGTGTAGTCTAGTGGTTCGTCCGGTGGTACAAGGCCTGGACTTGAACCTAGATCTGGACCTGGACCTGCACCTGGGCCTGGATCTAAACCTAGATCTAGACCTAGACCTAGACCTATACCTAGATCTGGACCTAGATCTGGACTTAGACCTTTATCCAGACCAAAGTCTAGGCCAGGAATCCAGCTTGAACCCAAGTTCAGCCAGGTCAGGCTTTTGAAACAATCCTGGATTTTCCCGAACTCCCACGCAATGCTTTTGTTTACTGTTTCTTCAAAAAAGATAACTTCATCAAAAACCCACGTCATTCCAATGGGGGAATACAATTCTCAAAAAAAGGGAAAAAAAGGGAAAAAAGAGAGAAAAAAGTGGAAAAGATTACTTCAAAATTATTCACCATCATCGACAATTATCTGCCTTTTCATTTATTCTTTTCATTTCTCACTTTTCCCCCGTGCAAATCTCAATGTTTCTTCAGATTCTTTAAGGAAATTTCTCTTCCGCTTTCCAACAACTATTCTTTTAATCATTAAAAACATTTTTTTTCTTTTTTGAAAAAGTGACTCGAAGACAATGAATTGTTGGGTTTTTGCAGTTAAAAAAAGGGTAATTTTGTGGTGAATGGGGACATTTTTTGATGATTAAATGGAGAACGAGGGGGAAATGCAAAAACTGAGCAATTAAAAATGGTTGATTAACGCCTTTTTAAAGTTCACAAGTTTACGGGTTTTAAGTGCAAAACAAAGATTTTATTATGTACTTTGTGCTCTTATAAACGCAAGCTTTCTAGCACATTAGTTTCTACTTTTTAAGACCCTCCGTCATGTACTTTGTGTTCTTGTAAACGCAAGCTTTCTAGCACATTAGTTTCTACTTTTTAAGACCCTCCGTCATGTACTTTGTGTTCTTGTAAACGCAAGCTTTCTAGCACATTAGTTTCTACTTTTTAAGACCCTCCGTCATGTACTTTGTGTTCTTGTAAACGCAAGCTTTCTAGCACATTAGTTTCTACTTTTTAAGACCCTCCATCATGTACTTTGTGCTCTTGTAAACGCAAACTTTCTAGCACACTAGTTCCTATTTTTTTAAGACCCCTCCGTCGCGTACTTTGTGCTCTTGTAAACGCAAACTTTCTAGCACACTAGTTTCTATTTTTTTAAGACCCCTCCATCGCGTACTTTGTGCTTTTGTAAACTTGTACTTTCTGGCACACTGGACCTTCCAAGAAATCAAGCATTAAGTATGCCAGAAACCGAGCGTTTACAAGCACACAAAGCACAAGCTGAAACAGACTTTGTAGCTGAAAAAACTGGAAAACGTGTGTGCCAAAAGGGTTGCGTTTACAAGGGCACAAAGTACAAAGCAAAGATTTTGGCAGACTTTTCATTTTCAAATGTCACCAATTTTCTATTCTTTTCTTTTTCAGCTTTTCTATTCTTTTCTCATTTTCTTTCCAGCTGCCATCAAAAAAGGTGATATCTTTGCCTATTTCTTTACATTTTCTTTGTTCAAAGTTCTCTTCTTAAAGATTAATTTTTTTAAAGTTCAAATTGCAGGTACCCCGACACTCATCTACAGTGTCAACAATCGTCTTCTTCTTCTTCTGTTATTTCAAAATTTGCATATAAAGATGAAATTCTCAATTCAAATTTTGTTGTTCGCTTTGATCGCCCTCATCGCCGTCTCCACTGTGACCGCGTCGCCACTTTTCCAGAGCTCTGGTTTGTTTAAGTTTAAACATTTAAACTCGATCTTTCCTTAGTCAGCTTTATTTTGAAAATTAGACTTTCTGTAAATTTTCTTGTAAATCAAAATTGCAAATCTTTTTCTAATCAATATCAATTTCTAATTAATATCCATTTCTATTCAATATCCATTTCTAATCAATATCCATTTCTAGGTCAAGGCATCGTTGAGTCTGAATTCGGACCTGCTGACTTGGAAGCACTTGAAGGTTTGTGGAAACGAAAAAGACAAAAACTACTTTCATCAGCTCATCATTTGCTAAATCAATCCATCAAGAAATTAGAAAATCAAGTGGTCAACAAGTCACTTTCTGGAGTCTAACAGTCTCAGAACACAGCACATTTGATAGATGTGTCTCATATAGATAATATTAAGAAAATATAGATAATATTTAATGTGGACGAATATTTACTTTTGAATAAGATCAAATCCGAATTGGATATGTCTATAAAAAGTAAAAAAAAAAAGCAAAAACACGAGCCAGCAAGTATCATTAGACTGTCCAGAAAATCTTTTCGTTCTTTTTCATACTTTTATTGAAAAATAACAAATTCACCAATTAATCTATCTAAATAAAAAGTGTTTATTGTTCAATTTCCCATCTTTTTAAGTCAATTTCGGTTCACTTTCAAGCAAATTCGAGAGTGAAAACGTGTTTTGTCGTAAAAATCTATAAAAACCTCTAGAGAAGAGATAAGCTGAATGAATTTCTCTGAAAATTTAGCTATATACTTAACTTTTTATGTTCTATCTTTTATCTATTGATACGAGAATAGATTTCCTTAACTAAAGTCTCTAAATCGCGACATTGAGCCACCTTTTTGACTACTCGACTTCAGTAGAGCCTGAGCTCTCAAAAAACGTCCAGACATAAGACATTTTAAACCTGTTTTAATGTGATTTTGCAGAAGAATAAGTGGCTTTTCTAATGAAATAAACCGTAGTTCAATTGATGCATTTGTTCGTTTTAAACGGAAGTACGAAAAGAAAAGAAAAGACGAAAAGACTGACGAAAAGAAAAAGAAAAAGATGAAAAGAAACGAAAAGACATCAACTTAATAGCTAAAGTGCAGAGATTTTACCATAGCTTTTCTAGATGAGGGTTTATTTTTCAAAAAAAAAAACGATATCCTAGTTCAATAAACCGTTGTTCAATTGATGCATTTGTTCATTTTAAAAGGAAGTACAAAAAGAAAAGAAAAGAAACGAAAAGAAACGTAAAAGAAAAGAAAAGAAACGAAAAGAAACGAAAAGAAAAGAAACAAAAGGAAAAACGAAAAAGACGAAAAGGGATGAAAAAACTTATTCACCAAGCTATTAGATAAAATCTACTATATATAAAATTTCAATAAATAACAAATTTCGAAACAATGACTTATTTTAAAATCTTAGAATCAATGGCTCCGATGGAGAAGCGAGCGCAAACGTTCGTGCGTTTCGGTAAACGCGCCCAACCATTCGTTCGATTCGGCAAACGAGCGCAAACTTTTGTGCGTTTCGGCAGAAAGTAAAAGGAAACAAATTTTACAAAAAAAAAAAACATAAAAAACCCCAATAAAAGTTAACGATTTTCGAAGATTTTACACCCAAAAATCACCCAAATCTCATAAATGCCCAAGGCGCGTCAAATGTGATCATTTTTTTCTCCTTTTTTCGTCAGATTTCCTCCTAAACCCCCCCCCCCACGATCTCTGGAGCACTTTTTAGGAAACATATTTGCAATTGTTTGAACAATTTGAAATTGTTTAAAAATGAAAAAAAAACTAAAAAGTGAGCCAATTTCCTCAAAACGGCTAAAGCAAAGATTTCCCAATTTCCAGCAAAGATCTCTTTTTCTTTTTAAATCTCAAATAATGTTCATTTTGCCTCTTTTTTATCTTTAGGTGTAAAATTTTTTTGTTTATTTTCTTTTCCAAAATAGTTTTTCATGTATTTTGTCCATTTTTTTCTTTCGGAAAATGATTGGATGAGTAAAATTCTGTTTTTTTTTGTCTTTTACTCTCTTTTCTCTATCTTTATCTTGAGATTGCCAATAAATAAGTGTTGTTTTCTCAAAAGTTTCTAAAAATCTTTGTATTTTTGTCAAAAAAAGAGATAAAAACGAATCAACAAGAGAAATCACAAAGTTTTTTGATGAAAATTGAAACATTGAAACATTGAAAAGGTTGAAAATGAAGAATTGATTTAAACTTGAGAAAAGAGAGCTCATTTAACATTAAATACTCGGGGGTGGGACAAATGCGACTTTTTTTGCGCACCTGGACATTTGTGCACCTTTTTTTTTGCTGGAAAAGGCTTTAGGAAAGGTCGTAGGGCTTCAAAAATGTTTTCATAGAAGGGAATCTTATGCGTAGATTCCGAATTTCGACAAATCAGACCTCGCTGACACGTCAAATTTGGGCTAAAAGGCAAAAACCGCGGAAAAGCGTTAAGTTGCGTAGTTTTTGCTTTTTAGCCCAAATTTGACGTGTCAGCGAGGTCTGATTTGTCAAAATTCTGAATCTACGCATACGATTCCCTTCTATGAAAACATTTTTGAAGCCCTACGACCTTTCCTAAGGCCTTTTCCAGCAAAAAAAAGGTGCGCAAATGTCCGGTGCGCAAATGTCCAGGTGCGCAAAAAAGGTCGCATTTGTCCCACCCCCAAGAATTGATCTAAACTTGAGAAAAGAGAGCTCATTTAACATTAAATACTCATAAAATATGATAAAGAGAAAAAGAATTATTTGATTTCCCGTAAAATGCAAAATAAATTATAGAATACGAAAAAAAATGTTAAAGATTATTTGAAAAATCGCTGCTTTACGGTTAACGGAGGGATGAGTTTTTAGTCAATTTGCAACTCATTTTTAATCACCTTAAACTTATCAGATCAAGAAGTTTTAATAAGATTTAGATAGCTTAAAACGTCAACTTTCAGAAAATATTTGTTTTATCAAAAGTTATTAACAAAAATCTATCTAAAATCGGACTACAAAATGGTGAAAAAGTCAGAAAACAGAAAAGTCAAAAACTCGGCTCTCTTCCCGAATAATCGCTCGATATCCGTAAAGATCGTCCAAATTAGAGTGCGTAATGCGAGTAATGCGCGCGAAAAACTGGAAAAAAATGGGGGGAAAATGGGGGGAAAATTGGGAAAAAATTGGGAAAAAATTACCTTTAGCAAAAATTATCGTAAAAAAATGACGAAAAAATGACGAGCCCCGCATTATATACGACACTTTTTAAAGATACTCAGCTGTTTAACTGACTTGGTCGGAAATTCCCTTCCAATGTAAAAATTGATTTTTTTTTTTGAAAAACTTGCGCAAAAAATTGCTATTATATTTTTTTCGCGCAGGCGCACTTTTTAGAAAACGCATTACTCGACAATTACTCGAGCTATTACTCGAGTAAAAAATTACTCGAGCTATTACTCGAGCAATTACTCGAGTAAAAAATTACTCGAGCTATTACTCGAGCTATTACTCGAGTAAAAAATAATTCATACAAATTTACCCGAGTAATTATTTACTCGCGAGGAACACACTCTAATCCAAATCAATCAATTGCTCTCTTTGAGATCATCGGTTAGAATACTGTCAAAGCCGTGTTTCTTGTACATTCGAATGATTCGTTGCACTAAATCTGTCGTCGAAATTCCGTCAGTTCGCTGGGTTGTCAAGAAACGATCGACTTTCTGAGATATTTACTTTCTTTTTGTTAGCTTTCTGTTTGATTTTCGATTGCTTTCTAATTCTATTATTATAGCATTCATTTCCAATTCATTTCCAATTCATTCAAATCCTATTTCTCTAACTTTTTATGCCTTAAAATTCACTAGATTCATTGTCCAAGTGCTCAGGATTCTAGCTAGCTTCTAGCTGAATCTTTTCAAATGAAAGCCTTGTTAGGCTCAAAATAGGCAGCATTTAACTCTACATAATTCATAACTCTACATAATTCAAACACCATTATAGCACAATGTTTGCAAAAATGGTAAATAGTTTTTAAAGTTATCATAAACTAAACTAATGATAAACTAAACTAATCATAAACTAAACTTTCCGTAAAATACTCCAGCTGAATAGCCACAATACTAAGATAATCGATTATGGGATTTAAAAGATATTTAACTATAATAATACAGTACTTTGCTGAAGAGTATTTAAATAGTATTTACCGTAAATACTGTAATAGTACTCCACCCGCATAATGACGGTGCGGAGTGTTGCGTAGTCTAGCTTTGAACGAGTTTTTCTTGGCACTGGTTTATGCTACAATGCGCACTTAGGTATCAAAAAATAGCTGAAATTCAGGGCTATTTTTTGATACCAAAGACGCATTTTTTGAAAGTACGGGTGCTTTGAAAAAAATGAAATACTAAAAAACTTTTGCGACTACGCGACTGTACGAGGGGAGGGTGGGGTACTATTACAGTATTTACGGTAAGTATTTATAATATTCAAGCCTGTCTTTTGCTCACTTTAAACTGATCATAGAAATGAAACATCGGCGAGTTTTCCCCAAGCACATTCGGCACATAAGGGAGATCGTCATGAGCAACCAAATCGATCTGATATATTACTTTAAATTTATTTTTCTATAATCTATAGCGATAATCTATAATCTATAGCGATAATCTATAATCGAACAAACAAAAAAAAAAGAAATCAAATTAACCTGGTGTTTATTAAGCCAATCAACGGTGTAGAAATAGGGTAAATCCTCGATTACTTCGTCTACATATCTACAATTGAACGTAAATATTTTAAAGCTTTTACAATGCTTGAATGAAATTTTGATTTCTCATATTTAAATAGCGAAAATACCGGCAAGTTTTCAACGCCATCAGCCTCTCCTTGAATGTCATCACTGGCAAATGTCCTTTCACTTCAAGCACTTCCTCATCGGTGTTGACTGAAAGAGTTGTTTAGCTTAAAGATTCGTTATTATATATAAAAGAGCACTGTTTTTCCGTCCGTCTGTACTACGTCTGTACAGGCTCTTTTTCAGCCGTCTTTGAGCCAAAAATACGTTTTTAAATCTCAGATAGTTGTGCTAAGTGGCAGTACGGGGGGCCGAACCCGTGTGGACAAGACAAGCGTGTGGGCGAAAGACAAGTACGACTGCCCCAAGGCCGTTAAGCCAGGCTCTGGCTGGTTAGTTGAGAAAGTGCTTTCTCCCGCGTTCTGCTGCAATTTACGGCTGGCAAATAATAATTTTATTACTATTATTTAGATAAAGTAATAACTATTATCTAACTAAAATAATAACCAATCCAAAAGTTAATTGACCAGGTCAACTTTGGGATTTACAATAGTTTAAACATTCGTTTCACAATCAATAATCTCGAATTTGGGAATTTCAACTTTCAAAAGCCTCCTAAGATTGTGCTAAGCTTGTGCTAAACTTGTGCTAAGCTTGTAGAATATCTTGAATCAATAAACACCCCACCACCAGACACAAGAACAATATCTGGGAGTGCGCATTTTGCCTGCCTCAACACTTCAACGTGTCCAATATGAAAGAGATCAAAAACGCCCTCGCAAAGGATTCGAATCGGTCGTCCAACTGGTTCTGGAAAAGAAGAAAAGTTGACTTTTAAAATAGTTTCGTTTTTCTATAGAGTAGAAAAGAGGAATATCCTTTTGCCAGCCTTTTGCCAGCCTTGTGTCACTGATTTATTTATCTTAAACTTGTCCAATTTTGATTTCAAAGCATTAGATAGTTTATGCTTTATAGATTCTAATAGTTTTTGAGTTTTTTTCGAGTTTTTTTCGAGTCTTTTTGAGTTTTTTAAAAAAAATCTATCACAAAAGTGTTTAAATTGTGGGTTTATTGTTGGGAAAATGGATGCTAAAGAAGAAAAGAGATTGATTTGAATAAAACTAGAGCTAAGATTACGAGCTTTACAAAGAATTACAAAGAATTTATTCAATTTTTTAACCAAATCTAATCAAATCAAACACAATTCTAGTTTTCTTTAACATTTTAGTGCTTTAACAAAAGATTTATCGTAAAAAAAACTATCGAAATTACGCTCTTTTTATTTATTAATCAAAATTTCAAACAATAACTTATCAAAAATATTACAAAATATTTCATTTTTAAAAGGAACTTATGCAAAAAGAATTTTGTTATATACCGTAAATACTGTAATAGTACCCCACCCCCACAGTGACGGTGCGAAGTGTTGCGTAGTCTAGCTTTGAACGAGTTTTTCTTGACACTGGTTTATGCTACAATGCGCGCTTAGGTATCAAAAAATAGCTGAAATTCAGGGCTATTTTTTGATACCAAAGACGCATTTTTTGAGAGTACGGGCGCTTTGAAAAAAATGAAATACTAAAAAACTTTTGCGACTACGCGACTGTACGAGGGGAGGGTGGGGTACTATTACAGTCTTTACGATAATTTGTCTAGTAATTTGTTTACTAATTTGTTTACTAACTTGTTTAGTAATTTGTTTACTATAAAACTACCATAATTTGTTTAGTAATTTAGTGATTTTAATGCAAAAAAACACATTATTCTGTTATAAATCTTTCAAAATCGGACCTAACATATGGGTATTTGATCAGGCGAAGCTTTCAAGATCTGCTGTATAAACAAAACAAATTGTAACACAAATTGTAACACAAATTGGACTAGTCCACTATGAAACATTTAAGTTTAATCAAGATATCTTTATCAGCTAGCCTATAAGTTTTTATCTAAAGTAAAGTTAATGAATCAGGTAAGATACCGCATTTCTTCGAATAGAAGACCGGGTAAAGAGTATGATCGCGTACTCCTGCGTAGCAGCCATTTTTAAAATTTCTTTTCTGCATAAAAGCTTTCAATGAAGTGCTATAGGGCTGGAAAATGACTCAAAAATACCACATGAGCTAACAGATTTTTTTGCACAAAAATTCTTTGTGGCGGGGTCCTTTTATTGCGTCGGGTTACGGTAGTTTCCGACGTTTGGCGCGGAAACGTCTGAAAGGCAAAGTGTACGGTGGACGGTCCGACATAGCACATGAGCTAACAGATTTTTGAGCCATTTTCCAGCTCTATAGCACTTGATTGAAAGCTTTTATGCAGAAAAGGAATTTTGAAAAGGGCTGCTACGGGCTAAAAAGGGCTGAGTACGCGATGATACTCTTTACCCGGTCTTCTATTCGAAGAAATACGGTAATGAAAAGATAATAAATGGAAGCTTTCATTTGCACTTACTGATTCCTCGCTTTATCTCGGTGAGGGTTAACGGAACAAATTCACCATTTTTCATCGTCTGAAAAGAGAAAAATTTTAAGCAAAACTCATTTTTTAACGTTTTTTTTCCTGTTTTCCAAGAGATATTTTAGAAATTCTTTAAGTGTTTTTCTATGGAAACAATTCATTATTAGGGAAAGAACAGAAAAAAGAAACACTTTTGGACAAAGAAACATTAGAGTTTCTAAAAAATTGAGCTCGAAACGAATTTCAATTGCCGTACCTATGTACTTTGTTTTTGAAATGAATCAAGTTCATCTTATAAATCTTTAGAATCGACTAAAGTGAGACAATGAATGAGTCAAGTTAAATCTAACCAGTCTAACAAGAGAATGATCTCAGCTCAAAGTTTGGAATCGACTGGAAACACAGTTCATAACATAGAATCGGCAATGGCGAACAAAATGCCACAAAAATTAGCTGCTAATAGCCATGGAAACGCGAGGAATCTGGCATGGAAGATCGGGATTGAAAACTGGTTACTTTATAAGGCTTCTCTCGCCATGGGTTTCGGGTTAATTCTTGGCCAAGTAGATAAAGGCCTAGTCTCCAACACGGCGGTTCGATTTTAGCCCTTGGGTTCAATTCCGCCACCATGCAAAATTTTTTGTTTTTTTTTGCGATTGCGAAAAATCAGAACAGATATTTTAATCCATCATTATTTACACTAATTTATTGTATAAAATTGAAATATCTCAACAAGTGCTCAAAACAATAACCACACAAAGCTCACTAAAAGAAACCCTTGTTTTGCATTTTGCATCAGAAATTTCGTGTGCTACATAAAATGACGTAGTCTTTTGGAAAGCAAGCTTCAACTGGCGTATCAAAAGTGTTTCCTGCAAAAGGCTGAATGTTTCCAAGAATCGCAAAAAAAAATTCCGTATGTGGGCGGAATTGAACCCAAGGACAAAAATATCACCGCCATTTCACCGATTAAGCCTTTATCCACTAGGCCACGAACTCATCTCGGGGAGATTGCGAGAGAAGCCTTATAAAGAAATCAGCTTCGAATCCCGATTTTCCATGCCGGATTCCTCGCGTTTTTGTGGCTGTTAGCGGCTAATTTTTGTGGCATTCTATTCGCCATTGCCGATTCTATATTATGCACTGTGTTTCCAGTTGATTCAAAACTTTGAGCTGAGACCATTCCCTTGTAAGATACAGTTCTCTAAGCACATTACAAGCACATTACAAGCAGTTCTCTAATCAATAAATGAATAGGATTCGACTTACGAAATTGAATTGAATTCATTTCAATTCAATTTAATTCAATTCAATTCAATGAACATCTTAATTTCTGTTTTTTTTTGATCCCATAGATTCACCATTTCCTTTGCCAACTTTAAGCATGAATCACTCGAATTTTGATGGATAGCCATGAAACTTGGGATCAATAAAGTAGATATAAATATGAAACTATAGATTCTATCGACTGATCGTTTCCAAAATTCCCGCATCATTTTCCAGTCAAAACAATCAAAAAGAGTCAAATCTTTCGGTGAGAAACGTGGAACATTTCACCCTCTTTTATACAGGAACTCACAAAAAAAAATGAACGGATATTTTTATCTTTGAAAACAAAAAACTATTTGTCCACTTTTTGAAGTAAAAACAAGGAAAGATGCAAGAAAAAGCTAGTCCAAAATTGAAAAATTCAAAATTGAAACCGAAAGAAATTTATGATTGACAAGGAAAGTTTACTGTAGCTTCTAAAAGTTGATAATTTCTAGAAAATGATTTAATTTGTTATACTAATTCTTTTGGATCGGGACTTGGGAGAGGAATTTTGTGCTTTTTTCGGGGAGAGGAAGAAAGGGAGAAGGGGAAGGAGAGGGGCAGAGTGAGGAAGAAGAGGAAGAAAGTAATCTCCTCAAAGAGTAAAATTTTTGTTCACATTGTAAAATGCAGCACTATATTGGTGTTTCCTTTCCTATTCTCTATTCGTTATCTATAAAAGTATGTAAAAGACGGTTTTAGTCCCGTGTAAGTCAAAAATCTGCCTTATCACCGCATGTCACTTCGACTTTCTGGGACTGTGGTAAGTGCCAGTGGTACATGCAGAAAGAAATTTGCATTTACCACTGGCAAAAACTACCGTAACCCTGTATACCGTAATCCTCAGCACGGCTATATGGATGACGATTAGTTTCAGCAACTGGCTTATTTACGGTGCAAACTCACAAACACTAAAACACTGAACAGAGAATAAAATCATTCCAGTATTTGATTCCAGTGTCCAAGCCAAAATATCAAGCCCGGAATGCCTAAAGCTCTAAAAAAAAACGAAACTCTACAAAAAGCCAAAAGGAAAAAAAATAAAGTGGGAAAGTTTGCTCAATACACATCGGCTTATCTCGAAGCAATCCAAACACATAAAAGAAAAGAGAAATGGGGGAAAAGAGAACTGTTCGATCAAAAAATGTGTGATTCGGCGTTAAAGTGACCAATTTTGAAAGTTTTTGAAAGATCTACTGAAATCAATTATCAAAAATTCCAATCACTCGCAGCGCTTTTTCATTTTTTTTGCGTTCCTTGCACAACATAAACATTTTATCTCGCAAAGAATCAAACGTATCAAACTGAAGGAGATCAAGAAATTTAACCGATTTGTTTAAAAGAATTGATATGCGTAAAAGATAGTTTAACGAATAAGCTAAACAAATTTTGCAACCTGAATAAGAACTTTTCGGTGACTAAAAGATAAAAGAAAGTATTAAATTTGCAATCAATAATTATAAAAAAATGGGTATACCAAAATCAAAAATTATTGCATCTCGACAACGTAATTTGGATGCACAATCAGCACAGGATTCTCACCGGGCTCCAGCTCGACGAGGATACGATCGGCGGTCAAACGACGAATCACCCTGAACAAATAAGAAATTGCAAATGGAATGAACATCGAAAAACCTCTCGCAAATTGTCTTTTGCTCGTGATATTGTTCTTCTGTCTCGATTTCGGACTCAAGCACAGACAAATACCTAAAACTGGCATATTGCTTCGAAAATCAAGGATTTTTCTGCTTAAAATCTGACGCTAGCTATTTTTTAAAGAGTCGAACAAATTCTGCAGCAAACACACCATTCAACAAGTTGACTCGATTTCACACCAGACCATTCCTCTTCCGAAGAAGCCGTTTCTTGATCAGATTGCATGTGAAGTACCAACATGTCAGCGATATGTTTAAACACATCGTAACGAATTTTGAGCTTTGATGGGTCAATCTAAAAGAAATAAATAAAAAATTCAAAGCCAAAAATATACCTGATGTTTATTGATCTCTGGTTCAACTGGTGGAACGTTTGTGTCCATATTTTCATCACCCTGTAATGAAAATTATGCCGTTCGATTAAGCTCCCAACTATTCTCAGTACCTGTCCTTGTTCATTGACAAAGAATTCATCAATTTGTTCCATTTCTTCATCCAAAAGCACGTCTGGCTGCTCGACACGAACAATTGATTTCATGAGAAGCTGGGCTGCTCGATTTACGTGTGCCGGAGTGACCTAGGCTTTAAAAATTATTAATACAACCAAGAAAGAGTTACCTCGGAAGAGCATTTAAGACGGGCAAGTGCTTCGGAGAGACGAACCAATGATTCGAGCTGTCGCACGGTGATTCTCCATGAAGAAGTCGCTGCATTGTTGCTGTCCTATAGAAAAAACAATTGATAGTAATTGTTAAATTAATTGCTTTATGACAATCTAATGTTATTACCTGTAGTCTAAGCTTCTTGTAGCTAGCAACAAGGGTCTCTGCCGCTGCAGGGTTGATCTAAATAGATTATACAAAGATTTTCTAAAATAGACCCGCCTTTGGTTTAAAGCAACGAGCAAATGCAATATATTTCTTGACATCGTCTTCCGGATAAGGAGTTTCACGTAGCTTTTGTCCACGAATGTTGCGATGATTGTCGAGAATGCGACGAGCAATGGCAAAATCGATGACCTGCGCATACAATAAATTTGGAAAAATTATCCAAGTCACCTCGTTGCACTCGTCGATCAATACAAAGAACAAATCAAAACGACTCATAATTGGAGCAGAAAGTTGAATATTGTGCTAAATGAGATGGATGTTGGATCAAACAATTATTAAGTACCTTCAAAGACCGAGATCTGTCATAACGGCCACCAATAGGATTGGCAGCAGCAAGAATTGACGCTCGAGCATTCAAAGTCGCTTTAACTCCAGCCTACAGTAAGTGCTAAAGCATCTTTAGTATTGATGGAAAACCTTTGTGATTGAGATCGTTTGTTGTTCCATCGCCTCATGAATAGCCACTTGATCTTTCGGATCCATCTTGTCAAATTCGTCAATGCAGCATACACCATTATCAGCCAACATCAAGGCACCAGCTTCGATGACAAAGTCCATAGATTCTTCATCCTAGAAATATTACGTTGTTTTTTCTTGATTAGTAATTGTTTTCATCATCGACTTACTATTCAGTTATGAGTAGATCAGACTAGTTTATTCTAGCACTTACTTTCACAACAGCGGCAGTCAAACCAGCTGCCGAAGAGGCTTTTCCAGAGGTGTAAACTGCACGCGGAGAGAACTCCTCAACACGTCTAAATTTAGATAAATTTAACTTTTAAAATCGAGTAGGTGAGTATTTCAAACTCGATTCACTCACTTCAGAACTTGTGATTTTGCGGTAGAAGGATCACCGACAAGACAAACATTGATATCACCACGAAGAGTTGTTCCCTCTTTGCCTGCCCGTTTGCCAACACCACCAAACAGCATCAATAACACACCGACTTTAATCTAAACAAAATATTGGTTTTATTGAATCGAACATTAAGGGTCGACCATTAATTGAAATTTCAGCTCTCACCTCATCACCTCCATAAATATTTGGGAAGATACTATCCGTCAAATTTTTCTCGATATCTCGATCTTCACTCATTGCCTTTAAAATCTTTTGCTCATCATGAGTCATGCTTTGCCAGAGAGCGAAGTGATCCACAGAGTCAGCCAGTTCTTGTCCACCAAACTAAAGTGTTTCCATTTAGATTGCAACTCATGAATTAAAACTACCGTCGTGGCGCTGTTCTGCAGGTTTGAGCACAAAAACGAGAGCCTATAGGTGAGCTCGCGAACTCCAAGAGACTAAAGTATCCTATGTAACAAAGCGATCACAAAATGCCCACCTTCAATCCACCAATTCCACCCTCATCAAGTTTTGCTTTAGCTCCTTTCCCTGGGTCAGCGCGCATTCCTAATTAAAAATATATTGAGTTAGAGTTCATAAAGTACCAGGAGTGGAAAACATTCCAACATCAGGAATAGCCATCAGCGTCCCAGTAAGCGTAATCCGGTCTAAATTAATAGAATTTTTGCACACTTTTAGCATCCTAACCTCCGGGTTGCACACGCTCAACCAGTTCTCCTCTGACTATAACATCGAGTGCTCGAGGAATTGACCCACGTGGAAGCTCATCCGCTTGCTCCTTAAAATAACGATTAGCTCGAAATAACTTCAATGAAACTTATTTTGCCTCAAAGATATTCCAAAATTACCTGAATTCTGATCTTTTGAAAATCAACAAAAGACGAGTCATCAACATCTAAACTGAATCGCACTCGGTTCAGACAATGAGCATTCGTGCACTTCGATGGCTAGAAAGAAAAATAATTTTATTAAGCCATACTCGAGCAACCTGAGTATAGCGGAATTGCTGTTTCACATCCCGAATGGTGACTCCACATTCATCACAGACGAATGTTGCTTGAGAAAGCTCTGGGTGAACAGGATGCGTCCGAATCACCTAAAACTAAATAAATAACAAATAAAATAAGTCTCTGACCTGCCCACGAATCTGCACCAAACATCCGACACTTTCAGCCGTCAACTCGCGAATCTAAACTCATAGAATAGAATAGAACTCATAGAATCAAAACTTTATCCAGGTTACTATCAAATGATGTCTTAAACTAAACCTACTGTAAAAACTCTAATAGACGCAATGGCATAGGAGCATTGAGTAGTCTAAGTGTATACTCAAAAAATCACTCGATTTGTCAGCTTTAATTTGGTAGCTAAGCGCGTGAAAATGAAAATAGTGGTTTCGAGATATGAGCTTTGTTTGAGTGTACACTTAAACTGCGCAACGTTCCTATGCCATGCCCGTCTATTGGAGTTTTTATAAATTACACACCTTTGAATTGGTTGAGTGGTTGTTAAAAGCCACATGCAGTTGTTTCTTGTGCAATCGTTGTCGATGATCGCTGTTTGAGCATCCATCAAGAACCATTAATTGGAGAGCCGAGCAAATGTAGGGATAGAGTCTAAAATTGGCCAAATTTACCAACAATAATACATTAAAATTACCGATAATAATGCAGCGAGATGGCCGTGTAGAGACTGGCGCTGAATTGATGCACGTGCGCAAGGTCAATGAAAATCGTGTTCCTTTCCGGTTCCAAAAGACCGATCGACGCTTTTTGATAAACGTGCACTCCGGTCTCGTCGGCATAACTAAAGCAAATACATTTGTACCCAAAAAAGGTCACACTTACTCTCTAAGAAATTTTCCGAATTCATTTTGAGTGCGGATCCCCTCAATGTCCTCGTACTTTGCCACGTTGCTACCAGCGAGCTCTTCCATTCTAAAAAAGAAATAAGTAAAAAGAAAAGGATAAAATCAACAAGAAGGAAAAAGAGGCGAGATTGTTCCATATACTAAAAAAATCTTAAGTACGTCCAAAAAGTCATACAAGTTTTGTTCAAATTTTAGAAGTTATGATTTTTTCAATAACGCAGGCATGTCAGCTAGCCCTAGCTTAAAAATTAAACTAGACTCAATGTCTAGGCCTAGCCTAGTTTAGTTTAGTTCTAATTCAACTAGGACTAGTTTAACAATTAAAAAATCGGTAACGATTTCAGATAAAATTCAAAGTTCAATTGAATACTGGGGCGCCACTTTTGAACGCATCACTTTCGCGCATTGAATACCGTAGCCAAGTGAGCACCTTTTAAGGTTGCGGCCGGCGGAAAACCGAGGTGCTAGCAAAAGCGCCGCGTTTTTTGCGCCAAAATCCTTTACGCTAATTTCATTTGCACCTTTGATAAACATTGACCACACATTATCATTGATATGTATTCGTTACAAAAAATTACGCTTTGCAACAAAAGGAGTTTTAAAAAGTTGAAAAAACTGCTAGGAGGACAAAGGGGGAGGACACCCGAAATGTATATTTCACCGCGTATCATTTGCGCCAAATTTACGCTTAACTTTTTACGATTTAATTTACGACTGTAACAAATGACTTTTTTCAGTTTTCCGCTTCACAATTTTAATTCACTGTTTTCAATTAGAAAACGTTTAAATACATATACAGCCCGAAAATCAATAATTTTGTGTTACCGATTGGGCTTTTTGCTCTTTATATCGATTTCATGCACTTTTCAGATCAGACGTAAAAGTAGCGCCCATAGTCGACGAAAAAAAAGCAGTAAAAAAAATAAAATAAACAATCAGGGTTGGTGGGAAAATGTGTTGAAAAGCGCAAATGATACGCGACGCAAAAAAATTGAGACGCTTTTGCTAGCATCTCGGAAACGTGGGGAAAAGCATTTTTGCGATCGTCTTTGAGAGAATGGCACAATTTGTTGGTAATTTTGGAAGAGACCAGATATAAAAAGTTTGAACACAGTTAAATATACAGTCGGCAAAAAAGTCTTGGCCAGTCAACTCAAAATGTTTTTTTAAGTAAATTCTTTTATTCGGTGAACAGGCTTAAACCTAAGTATTGTTGTTAGATAGTATAAGATCCAAACTTATTATAACCAACATTACTTGCAAGCACAAATGATTTATAAGAAACGAAAAAAAATGGAGAAGAAAATCAAAGATCTTCCTCTTCTTCCAAGGCAAGACCTCCCGGCTTATTCAATAGCTTGACCCGTTGCGTTACTCGCTTCGCGTACTCCTTCTCCAAATCCTCACCAAAGTACTCCCACTGAAAATATTTTCTAAACAACAAAAGCTCATAAACCTTACATTGTCAATTGAGTCAATGATCAACAGACGGCGTAATCTTCTAATACTATCAGCGCTTCCCATTGCCGTCACTCGAACCCGACCAGATTCTGAAAGTGACATTTATTGGAGGATAACTTTTTCTTACGCTTCGGCGCTCCCCGATACGCTCGTCTCAGCTGTAAATCAACAAGGCCAAGAGCGCTGATTAATTCATCACGAACTGTTGCCAAGTTTACATCAGTTGAATCTAGGAATGAGTTAGCAACAAAACAAGGCTAAGTAAACTAACCCTCAAACTCTGTGATAAATGGGGCATCCTCGTGAATATGCAGACTTGCATTAGCTGAAACCTCTTTGTTTTCGTTTTCAGCAACTCCGATAAGTGTGTCGAAGTGGCCCGAAAAGCTTATCGTGTAAAGTGTTCTCCGAGCTGCCTAAATTGAAAGATTCCGAAGTCTTTTATGTATGTCTGCATTCTTACCTTATGAACATTTTGCCACTCTACACCCGTCAAATAGGAGTCGAGACCATATTCCTCAAAAGAAGTCATCGGATCCAGCAAAAAAGCTCTACCAGCCAAATACTAAACAAATTAATTTAGTTAGCTTCGTCAAATCTCACCTCCAGAAAATCAAGAACTAGCTGCCCAGCATCCTCAACCAACATCTCGTCATTAGATTGCTTAAATTACACATGCTTTTTACTTGTATTTTAACAAACCCTGAACTTTTGCGTTTTTGAAGTTAACAGCTCACCATTCGCAAAACGAATAAACAAAATGACAACATGGAGATCCTAAAGCATAACATGGAGATCCTATGATGAGTTTGGCGTTATTAAAAAGTTTTACCCGAATCCCTTGAATCTCCGATTTGTTGATCCACTCCGCAATGAAGCAACACAATGTCCAAAAATCTAAAAAAGATTGAGAAAGCAATTAAAGAGCATCACCTGTTAGTTTGTCGTTAGCTTCGCGTATGCATTCTGGCAAAACATATTTCCTATTTTCTAAAGAAAAAGTTTTTTTTCGTGAGAAGGAATATTCAAGCTACCAAGCGAATCAAACAAAATCTTCCTTAAGTCGACAATCGAATCGAGTTTCTCTTTCACTTCTTGAATCACTTGCTCGTTGCGTTGACAGTAATCGGTGATGAATTCACAAAGTCGCTAAAGGTAAAATTGTACTGTCGTTTTAAAGAGGTTCACTCACAACGTGAAATTCTTTTGCATGGGTCTCCTCATAAACTGCCTCGATTTTTTTCGAGTCATGCACACGATCTTTCTTCAAGAGATTCAGCACGTCCCAAACGAGCCACGGAAATGCGGTGAATATTGAACGATCCCCTCTTTCCTTGGAAGCACGTTCTGAAAGATAATTAAAACTGAACAAGTGACGTTTGGATACCGTATGCAATGCGATAATAAGCAACCGCCTTTTGCTTCATCTTCTTGACTTTTGGATCGGTTGATGAGTTACTCACAACATAACTGAAGGACAGAATATCGTCACAATTTAGTTCATCGATCCAAAAGTTAAATTTACTTCACCGGTTTAGCGGGTAGTGTTCGTTGACCCACACTTCTTGATAAGCCTCCGTCACGCTGTTGTAGTCGTCTATATAGCAATGCTAAAATTAATTTTGAGCGACTCTGAGAAAGTTTTGACGTACCCCTTCTTTTGATGATTCGAAAAAGTTTTTGCGAAATGTTATCCACAGATTTGTCATCTAAAACAAAAATGGATATAGAGTTTGGATAAAAAGAAACCGTTGTCTCAATCGTTTGTCCAGTGGTAAAATAGGTGACTTGATCCCCCTCTTTTTCCATAGCCTTGTTGCGCATTTCAAGAATGCAACCGGTGAGTAATTCGGCAGCAGTTGCCACTCCATAGCGTTCCAGTATTCTCTGAAATGAAGAGAGTAGGTGACATTTTTACAATACTCGTTTGCCAGAAGTGTACCTTCACGGAATGAACCCATTCCTCGAAGTGTTCTTGTGCTTCTTTTATCATCGTCTCCCATCCGGGATATTCGAAAGTCGGATCTAACTCAATCGCAATCTAAATTCTTATTTTAAACTTTTAAACAAAAGTTAGTTTACCTCTGAATCGTCTTCAACAGAACCTTTCAATAATTCTTGAACTTCTTTAATTCCTCTAAAAAAACTGACGTTTCGTTAAGCTACCAAAAGCCAAACCGATAAACGATTCCAACGGTTCGCCGACATCTATACACTGGGTCGTAGTCTCGGTGCATAAAATCGGGGCAACGAGTGTATTTTGTTCCCGGGATTGAATACTCAACCAATTCGCCATCTTCCCCCGTGGTCTTTCTAAAAAAATGAGTATTCTTTTTTCAGAAAATAAAGTTTAACTTTTTCGTCCATTTTGGCTCCAATCTGTCAGGAGGAACTCCAGTCTTCGCAAAATCGACTGCAATTGAATGTTGTTCCGCCAACTTCTCCGAAATCTGCCAAAAAGCTTTGTATTTGATAGCATGCGTATTATTAAACCTCTTCAAAAATCCCATAGTGATCCGATTGCACTAAATGAGCAGTCGAAACCATTCCGATCATGTCGTTTTTCATGTACTCAATTATAAATTCGATCATCTCGTTTCGCTAAACATTTATTATAATAGTTCGAACTCTTCAGAACTTACAAACTCCTCGGGTAAAATGTCCTTAATTTCGCGTGCCTCGTGCTTCACAAAGTTCATTGCTTTTTGGTTATGCTCAAAGAATAGCTCGGGATCCCAAATCACAGAGTATTCGTCACCATCCAAGTCCGATCCTAAAAAAAAGTCAGTTGCAGTATTCAATGAATTGCATATTGCAGTATGCAATGAATTTGGAAAAAAAACTCAATCAACCCAACCAGCCATTTCATCGGGGTGTGGGCGAGGACCATATTGAGGAAAGACGACAACATCCACTAAATGGCGCAACTCAGGAATATTTACTGCCTAAATTAAAGCTTATTACTACGCCAAAAAGCGAACAAACAAACCGTAAACATGCGAACATCTCCACCGACAATCGCCGGATTCTTCGTAATCAGCACGGGTCCTAGATTTAAGGGTAAACTATTGAGATGCTAATTCCATACCTTCTCGAATTTCTGTCGCCGCTTTGTGAAGTGAAATTCGAGCATTAATCGTTTTTGTGTATTGGATAAAAACCTGCAGTGCCTTATCAACGTCTGTTTAATACAAAACACACCTGTCCATACTGTAGTAGCCCAGACTCATCGATGACACCAAACATAGACCGACCGAGATTGTGCGGGATTTCAATTTGTTCTTTGCCAAGCGTCCTTCTGAGCGAATAGTGAACGGCGGTCTTGAGAAGTGAGCGGAAGAAAGGCTCGGAAGTTAGATGCATACCCGAAATAACCGTCAGGTAGTCGACGTTCAAGCGATTTGGCAATTCCTAAATTGAAAAGATAATAGCTGAAGGAGCTTTATAAAATCACCTTCAGCTTATCGCGAGCAATCTTCTCATCACACAAAACTTTTGCGCATCGAAAAGCATGTTTTTCAAGCAAAAGTCGAATTCGCTCTTGTACTCGCTGATGCACGTGCTTTCCTTGTGCTTCCGCAACCTATACGAGGTTCAATATTAAAATTTGTAAAACTCACTTGGCAAAGAATGTTGATGAATGGTCGATTCAACGCAACTCCAGAAGGACCACTGAATTTCACCACTTCCAGAGTAGACTTTAGAGGAGCATCAAATCCAAAAAAATAACATATTTAGCAATAAAATTAATTTACTTGTGTTGTGAATCGCGGAACACAACGTTTTTTGATAAAAATTGACTTCTTGTTGGTTCTAAATTCCAGTATTTACGTACTTATCAGAGATAAAGTGTTACCAAATTCAATTTATCCAAGAACACTGCGTAGTGATCTAGAGTTGGATCCATTGTGAGGACACCTTTGAAGCCACGGAAACGAAACTAAAATTGTATATTTCCAAGTTTTAGATACTAAAAGTCACTTGAACAACCGAAGGCGTATAATCGCGATATCTATGATCACATAAGGTTGCAACCTAAAGCAAACGTCAAAACAAAATTCGATCAAATTACAACCTCTCGGAAGTATTTCTGACTTATACGGCCAACACCATCGCTAAACCTGAAAACATAAAATTTCTTCTTTGCCAAAATCAAAGAACAAACGTGTAAGGCTCTTCTTTGCGTGTACTTGGGCCTCCCGTCTTGTCTTTGCTAAAATCTTGGTATTATCATAAATTAAGGAGTTATCGGATTATACATTTCGGTTGTGCTCGATCCGCCCCTCACATCGCATTCCGTTCTGTAGTCTGTTCGCACCAAATTTACTCCTGATTCCTGAAAATTAAAACATTAGCTAAGGTAAGAAATTTTTGAGCTTTAACCATATTCATAACCCATTAAACTTACTCGACTTTGAGTAAAGCACTGTCCCATTCTTGCAACAATCTTTGGCACAGTTTTGAGCTTGTTGAATTTACCCAACGCAGCTCGGATTTCGCTAAAGCTATTGACATTAGGATATCATCCTGATGACTAACTTTGCATAGTTGATATCACCGCGTATAAAGTAAGATCCTTGATCTCGTAGCTGAGAATTTGACTGTCCAAGATGGGAAAAATGAACACCTAAAATAGTTTAGGGATTAAAAATCTTATAAGCTTTACCTCCGATGTCTAATCCCAAGGAAAGAAGAGCGCCAGCTCGGCGTATTATAAAATCATGTTTGACCAGATTGCGCAACAGACCACCCGCATCCTCACTAAAGCAATACCAATTTGTCTATAATAAATCCACTCACCGAAACACAACGCGCAGCAAATTGTTCGAATTTTGGCCACCATACTCTCGAATTACCCTGTTCCCCATTTGAACTTCAGCCGGCACATATATCAATCTGGAAGGTGTCACCACAACCTAAAATAGGCTGATTACCGTATTTCTTTTCTCATCACAACCTTTCGCACTTTCATATATCCGTCTTTTTTGAGCTGCTCCGGTCAGTTCCTGACGCTCTGCCGGATGATTTAGCTACAAGATCAAATTTTATATTAATAAATAGATTATTAAATCGTTACCAAATAATAAAAGGCGTCATGGATAGAGCGATTCACATGCAAATTCTCGATTGAATCCACCAGATCTTCCAAGGCGTGAATGACTTTCTAAAGGAAACATTTTGAATTTAGATAAGATTAAACCTTTGGTGCGGATGCGAATTCTTTTGCAACACTACTTAGAAACTTCTCGTAAAGACAATGATTTAGCAAAAGACGATCCTGAAAACTGATTTAAGCAGATTAAAATTTTAACGAACTTTTGCTGGAGCTCCACGCGAAAGAACGGCTTCGACCAAATATCGCAATGTAAAAAGATCATCTTGATCATCTTTAGCATCCTAAAAAAATGTCGTTAGCTTGAGTCGGATCTGATCCCAATCTTTTAAGGCTAAAAATCACCTGCTTTAATATTTGAATGTAGTTATCTCTATCATGTTTCACATAGTCGATCGCTTCCAAATCTCTAAATCGTTATCTTTTAGGATCTATTTAAAACTTAAAAGACGTCAAAAGATAAACACTACCCACCGTAAATTAGGCCCAGGCTTGAGTATCTTCAAGACAAGTTGAATCGGAGTCACGTAAATCGTAATGCCTCCAATATGATGAAGACGGCTCAACAAGGTGTACATTTGTTTGTCCGTCCAACTTCGGGCCTGAATGAATATTTAAAATAGTAAAAATCAATATTCACCGAAAAAGCAACGGAGAACACCGGCGAATCGGCAATGCAATCGTTATCTCCATTTCTGCGCAACGGATGATCATCATAATCTCTCCCCCGAAAAATCGATCGACAGCGATCCCCTTCGCCATACTGAGGTCCACCGCTCGGCTAAATTATTAAAATTTACTAAAGTTGATAAATAGTATGTATGTTATACACATTTCTCTTAAAAAACCTACTCTTTCCTTTTGCTTAGCTGTAAGCCTGAAGATTTCAACTGGATAGGCGGTGTGAAAGTGGAGCATGTAAACGGGATTCGGTGATTCGCCTCTACCAGGTTGTTTCGCATCAAAATCAACGTACATCCGTTTCACGTTTTTGTAAGGCAACTAAAAATTTGTCATTTTAAAATACTAAGTAAAGCCAACCCGGAGTGTATAAGTTACTAAAGACTTTTTGCCGAAATTGATCTTTTCCCCAACTGTCCGCAATGAAGTTGTCATCAAACTCTAAAAATATTTTATGACTAAAACTACTCGTTAAGGGTCACTTTCAAACTCGAAGTTGTTGAACTTGAAGTAGGCATTCATTTCGTCGTGAATGAATTCCGCGGTGATTGGATTTAGATGCTCGGATAGCTTGCTGATATCAGAGGGTTGATCCATTTTACGAGTAGAGATCTACAGCAGATTAAGATCCAAAATGAAAACATGTATTAAAAGCTTACTTCCCAGTGCACAAAAAGTTTTCCACGATTCGAAAAATTGCCAAAATAGATGGTTGATGCCGAAAAGTTGTGTGGTTTACTAAAAAAGTTGAAAGATTGTTTTTAAACTTAAAAGAAACCATAGTCGCCGTGTAAAAATTGCAGCCGACGGGAGCTCTATCGTAGGTGTAAGCTGAGCCTGCAACTTGAAATCGTTTTGAATCCTCGACTGAAGTTTCTTCAAAAATGGAATCAATTTTACGGACCAGAATAGCGAAGATATCTAAAAATACAATAGATTTTATCAATTAGCTCCATCATAGATATAATAGGATTTGATTGATTACCTCAACATGCACTTCCTCGTCCTGCTCACCGTTTGGCTCCTCTTTTGCGATGAAGTCAGAGATTTTCTTTAGAAGAAGTCCTTGCTGGATGCATGATTCCTAAATTTAGCAATTAGTTAACAGCGCAAAAACTAAAACGAACCTTCCAATCAGCGAAATCGAAGAAGCCCTTCATTTGATCATGTCCATCTTTATCGAAAAGAAAATGGAAACGCGCGGGCTAAAAAGTTTGTAAATGTATTTAAAAAAGATTTCACGTACTTTTGCGTCTCCGAGTTGCACGGATGGCGGCTTCCGAGTCGATCTCGGTGGTTCCTTCATCTAAATGCAATAACTATCAAAGGTCGAGAAAAGGAGGAAAAAAGTAAAGAAGCTTCTATTCTGAAACGTGAGCAGATATTTAAATGTATGACTAGCAGGAAAGAAAGTAAGGTAAGAGTAAAATTGGGGAAATGTTTTCCAGTTTCAACAATGCTTATGCTAGGTAAAAGGGATGGGGGAGGCTCTAGAATGCTTACACGATGAAAATCGGTCTGGGTTTTCTACGATAACGTCCAAATGACGAAAAGATAACGTGGTAAGTAAAAAAAGAAAAGTCTAATAGTAAGGATTTGTGTTGTGCAGAGCCTGGTTTCACCAAAAAACACCAATTCAGCAATTAGCAAAGTTTAATTTTTAGCTTTAGTGCGCGGCTTATAATTTTACTCTACCACTTTTGTTAGAAACCTTTTTTCTGAGTACTTTTGACCTAAATATGTTTAGGGTTTAATAAAAAGGCATGCAGATATATGCCTTTTGTAAAATAAATTGACTGAATTTTGCTCAATTTAGCTACAATGGTGAAAAAAAGTATTAAGCCCCGCAGACTGTTTTTACTTTTTGCTTCAAAAAAAATTTCTATCAAAAGCTTTTTGAATCCGTTCTAAATTTCTAGAAACTAGAAGAACTAAACTTCGTAATGTTATAAAAACTTTTGAATTGCAAAGTTTATCTAAAAGGAAAAAAATATATACACATTATTTGCAAAAACCGGCGGAAAAAAGTTTTGGGCCCCTACCGAAAACAGAATTCAATATTTTGTTAGGCCATCTCGGGCTTTACTAATCGCCTCCATTCGTTTCGGGGTAGGCTAATTTCCGCAACTCGCCATAGCTTGCTTCTAAATGGGCCAATCTTTATGATTTTGGTGTCATTTTTGTTGCACTTATTGAGATCTACAAAATGACACCAAAATCATAAAGATTGGCCCACTTAGAAGCAAGTAATGGCGAGTTGCGCAAATAAAATGGCGGAAATTAGCCTACCTCTTCGTTTTGGTATGTTTGCAACTAATTTCTCGAGCGTCGGCACTGAGCGACAATATTCAATCGGATTGCAATCAGGAGAATATGGCGATATCTGCAGAAAGATCATTGATGCAAAACGACACGAAAAGACGCCCAAAACAGTACTCAGAAAAGAAATAAAACCGACGTTGTGGGATCATTAAATAGGTTTTCTATTTTTTGATTGAATATATTTGATTGAGTAATCATTGTAAATGCCGATTTTTGAATCAAAATAAAATACAAATCACGTCAATTCTTCCAGTCAAATTGTGAATTTGTTTATTGAAGTGATATTTTTCTCTGGGTCAATTTTATTTGCGGATTCAATGTAAATGTGCAGGAGAAATGAGGATAAAGCTTAGATTTTGTAAAGAAAAATCCCGTAAAGCATCGATCACATAGGAAATGAGAGGCACAAAGTGGGTTTTGTTTAGGCAAAGACTTTATACAATCATTTGGATTTCATTTGTGCTGCTCGGTGGGATGGCTCCGCGCTTCTCGTTTCGCTCGACGTACTCCTGAAATTTGCATTTACAGTTTTATTGCGCTGGGTAAAGTAATCTCAAAACCAAGATCAAGTATGGTTTTTAAACGTGTTTTGTTAGCTAAGCTAAGCTGTCGTTAGCTAAACTACCTAAGTCTAAGCTACCTAAGTCTAAGCTACATAACCCTAAGCTACCTAAGCCTAAGCTACCTAAGCCTAAGCTACATAAGCCTAAGCTACATAACCCTAAGCTACATAAGTCTAAGCTACCTAAGCCTAAGCTACCTAAGCCTAAGCTACCGTAGTCCTTTATCCGTAGAGGAATCTACTGTGTCCGGTATTAGCTATTGTATAGAGAAAATTACCGCAATTCTTCACCTTTTTGCCAAGCTATCGTAATCCTTTATTTATAGAGTAATCTTGTATCTTTTTGTATCCTGTCTCTTTTTGTAAAGCTACCGTAATCCTTTATCTCCCTTATCTAGGCTACTGTAATACTTTATCTTTTTGACAAATTTTTCTGGCCCTGATGTGGCCCTGGTACAGCCCTTGATGTCATTTTAAAACTTTTTGAATTTCTTCTACGGGATTCGTTGAAAGAAATGCACTAAAAATATGAAATATCAAGGTTCTCATTCCAGATACAGTAATCTAGAAGAGAAATTAAAAAAGGGTATGATGTTGGAGATGAAAGACCTTATTTTGATAAGGTCTTTCAAAGTTTAAGCCTTATCATATAAGTTTCTTTCAACATTTCAATATCCCCAAAGGTTAAAATTGCTAATTTCTTTCTTTTTCACTGAACCTTGTGCGAATTGAGAATTCTCTGAATGAGATTTGTCGTCGAGATTCCCTCCGTTCTTTGTGTCGTTAAAAAGCGATCGAGACGCTGAAAGCTTATTTTTAACATCAATCTTGATAATTTCTCTCCAGAACTCCAATATTCAATTGTTCTTTTCACCACCTTAAACCTCAAATAGAAATCCCCATTTTCGGCTCCACTGAATGTACCGCCGGTGTTGTATGGAATGTCATCATGGGCAACCAAATCACACTAAAGCAAAACAGCAACGTTTAAGTCTTAAATCATGAACAATTGTGCATACTGTTGTTTCTGTTACTTTCTTGCTAATGTTGTTAATTCACTCACCTGAATTTTGTTCACATAATGAATATTGAAGTAAAATGGTTGATTTTCGACAACCTCATCCACATATCTGAAGGTTTGATTTTGGATTATTGTAAAATAATCGCTTACTATTACTACGCTTACTATTACTACGCTTCCTATAGCTTTGTCGATTGTTTAAAATCCATTTAAACACAAGGAAAACAAAAATAAGTTTATGAATAAAGAAAAATTCTTTTTCATCTTTGAATAAACCACCGTACTTTGGCTTTATTTTATTCAATTAAATGAATTTACTTGCACTCAAGCACAGCTCTCCTTCTCTCCTCAAAAGACATCACTGTTCGTCCTCCCTTGTACTTTATCACGTCTTCATCTGTGTTCACTAAAATACTATTATAATAGTACAAGTTCTATCATATTTTTGCTGTAAATCCTCACCTCCAACAACTAAAAAAACATCGGGGAATGCTTGTTTTGCCTGTCTCAACACTTCAACGTGACCAATATGAAAGAGATCAAAAGTACCCTCACAAAGGATACGAATCGGACGTCCGGCTGGTCCTGGAAAAGTTGTAAGTTAAATTTTTGTAATGTCGTAAGAATGATCTACTGAAACTGAACTGAATAAAACAACTAAATCGACTGGTTTTATGGAAAAACAGCCGATTATTTATAAAATTTCTTTTCTGATTTTTCTTTATATATTTTTCAATTTCATTCATTTCATCTTTTTGGTTCTGTTACAATTCTTTGCCTTTTTGTTTGGTGATTTGTTACACTTTCTATCGTTTTAGTTTCTTAATGCAATTTTGGTTTTATTATTTGAATTTTGGCTAACATTTTCTTGATAAAAGTTGCATCTTTAATGAAAAAAATTGGCTAAATGCTTTATGAAGAAATAACAGTTGATCTGAAATTGAAAAATTGATCAGATATTGAGAAAGGTTTCTGATTGAAAATTATGAAAACGGCTGTAAAATTGATCTAAAATGTCTGAAGTTTCATTAACATCAAATTAGCATTTAAGTTTAATTCATAAATGAACATTTAAGTTTAATTCGTAGACGAATCCTATCCGGCTTAGACTTAGGCTTAGACTTGGGCTTAGGCTTAGGCTTAGGCTTAGGCTTGGACTTGGACTTAGGCTTAGGCTTAGGCTTAGACTTGGACTTAGACTTGGACTTAGTGCGAAGGCTAGCGGCTAGCGCCTCGCACTAAGTCTATTTGGGTTTGGGCCATTTTCTGGATTTAGGCTTAGGCTTAGGCTTAGTCCGATCTGGATTCGGACGTCCGTTTACGAACTTAAGAGTTTGTAAATGGACGTTTGAATCCATTCTGAACGTTTGTTCGTAAACGGACACAACATATATAGTAGGTTCCTCAAATTCTAGATTGGATAAATGAATGGGATAAGGCAAAAAAATTTGAAATTACCATAAGCTATCTTCTTCATCATCCCAAACTCACTTTTTCCTTCTCGAATCTCCGTCAGAGTAATCGGCACAAATTCAGCCATTTTGAGGTCTAAACCTCTCTGAAAAAAAGTCAATAATTTAGCCTATAAAAAAAACTGTGGACAGGAAGAGATCGTAAAAATCTTTTTTTAAAGATGAGAAAGCGAAAAAGTGCAGGATGGAGGGGCGGAAGGGGTGAGACAAAGAAAGGAAGAGCACCCATTCAATCTTGGCTATGACTAGGCGAATTCTCTTTCTTTGCGTGCGTTTTGTTCATGAAAAAATTTTTTACGAGATTAAGGCAAAGGGCGTAAACACCAGAGACATTATAGGAATTCGTTATTCGAATTTTATCGAAAGGTGTGGCTTGGTTTTATGAAACGAATCTAGAAATAAGAAAATTTAGTTTACAGTCCCCATGACTCTTGCAGGAATTTCCACAAGGTACACAGCTGAACGATTTGAGATTTCAATGTAACAATGAAGATATTCAGTTAACGAGGGAAGCTTTAATTAAGGAGGACTTGGCTTCGATAGTCTTGGCCTTGGCTAACTTGGTTGGCTAACTTGGCCTTGGCTAACTTGGCCTTGGCTAACTTGGCCTTGGCTAACTTGGCCTTGGCTAACTTGGCCTTGGCTAACTTGGCCTTGGCTAACTTGGCCTTGGCTAACTTGGCCTTGGCTAACTTGGCCTTGGCTAACTTGGCCTTGGCTAACTTGGCCTTGGCTAACTTGGCCTTGGCTAACTTGGCCTTGGCTAACTATTATGTTAACTTTGCCTGCGACTAATGCTTTTCAAAACTTTTTCAAAAACTACCTTAACCCAGAAGCTCAAGAAGATCCAATCAAACCAAGGCAACTTTTAAACAACTCTGCTAACGGCCTGGTGTGACTAGGACACAGATCAAGACAATCAATTGGCTCTTGGTCACTCTGAATTAAGGGCAAGGCCAAGGCCGATGTCAATGATGATGAAATCTTGTTCAATGTCATATTAACAGAGTTTTGAAAAGTCTTGCCACGAGATTAACAGCCTTGTAGATCAAACGGAAGCTTTGAAATCTTCAGCGGGCCTAATTCGCATCCAAGTCTCCTTTATAAACCCAATAGGAATTTGTAAAAATTGAATGTGGCATCGTTGAAACTCTCAAAATTTATTTGCATTTCGTTGAGGTGTGAAATTCTTTTGCAAGAAAAAAAAAGAAATGAATACCATCCGGGGTATGTGGAAAACGGAATTTGACGTTAAACTATTGACACAAGCAGCACAAAAATGAAAAGCATTCAAAGACAAAACTTCAACTTCAAATTTTTGTTTAAAACTTTCAAAATGTATAAGAAAAAAAAAGAGGGAATTGGAGGAATCATAATTCTAAAAATCTTATCAGTTTTGTCTCTATCAGAGCAATGCTTTCTCTTCAAACAAAAAAAAAATTGATTAAATTTTTCAGCTTTTCAAAGGTTTTTAAAAAAAAATATATCCGTGAATAAATTTCTGTTGCTTGAGTAGTGTTTAAAACACTTTTTTTCCTCTAAACGTTTACAAAAAAAAACATAAAATTACAATGAATAGAGCAAGGATTATAACAATTACGGTAATTTTCGAAAGTTGACAAAAGCTAGGATTTGGCTGCTTGTTTAGCCCGACTGGAATGGCCCAATCGGATCGAGATAAGGTAATAGTTTTGCTTAGCTATCAGGCTGTCCAGAAAGTCTTTTTGTTCCTTTTCGTACTTCCGTTTAAAGCCAACAAATGCACCAATTGAATTACGGTTTATTTCATTAGAAAGGCCAGTTATTTTTTTGCAAAATAACATTAAGATGGATTTTAAATGTCTTATCTCTGAAGTTTTTTGAGAGCGTGAAGTCGGGTAGTCAAAAAGGTGGCTCAATGACCCGGTTTAGAGTCTTTAGCTAAGGAAACCTATTCTCGTATAAATAAATAAAAGATAGAGCATAAAAAGTTAAGTATATAGCTAAATTTTCAGAGAAATTCATTCAGCTTATCTCTTCTCTAGAGGTTTTTATAGATTTTTACGACAAAACTCGTTTTCGCTCTCGAATTTGCTTGAAAGTGAACCGAAATTGACTTTAAAAAATGGGAAATTGAACAATAAACATTTTGAAAAGGAATAAAAAGAGTTTCTGGACAGTCTAATAGAAACAGCCCAGGTTAGGCTAGATCAGAGCAGAGCTGGGCACTTTAACTTTGCTTCGAACCTTCGAAATAACAGAAATCGAGGAAGGAACTTTTATTATTTTTGGAAAAGTGTTCTCGTCTTCATCAGTTTCACGCGACAGCCACACCTTCGATTTGTTTACGAGTTTAGGGATCAATCGGAAAAATAGCGACATTTTATACCCACTGACCCAATAGGTTTTGGCCGGGCCAAGTCAAAGTTCACTATAAAATCATTTCCTCAGTCTTCATTTCCCAAATTTTAAAGAAAGGCTTCATTTGTGCCAAAGTGGAAAGAATAAAAATTACTAAAGTGGTTCTATTAATAGATCTATTTGAGGTAAAAAAAGCTATAGCAACAGAGACAAATCCATCATTTTTCTGGAGATTTATGGCTTTACCATGGAGATTGAAGAGATTTTTAGAAAACGACCAATACAAAATCATTTTTTGTTCGGTCGGAACAAATGAAATGTTAATGGGGTACAAAGTGTCGAAAGGTTCCAGTGATTTTTGAGCTTTCATTCGTTTTCTAAAACGTATAAACTTTCAAAAACTACAATATTCTTCGCTGTACTTTTTTCTAATCTATTCACTTTTGATTCTGTGAGAATTCACAAAGGATAACAAAAAAAATACAAAAGTTGATAAAACTAGAGGCAGTAGTTTGTCCAAATGACCCTGTTGTGCAAATAAAATGGCGGAAATTAGCCTACCTAGTTAGCCTCATTTCAAAAGTTGGCATATTTTAGGAAATAGATTGAGATAATAGCTTTTAACTCTTGAAGTTTCCTCAAAAATCCAAAAAAAAACACAAACAAACAGCAAGCTTTTAAAAATCATGTGAAGCTTTAAAAAGTTCATATTTTATAAAACAAAAACGCGTCAATACTTTTGTAGTTTTGGAATTCGTTTTACCAATCGATTATTCGACATCTTTATCATAAGTAAGTAACTCGTAAGTAAGTAAGTAAGTAAGTAAGTAACTCTTTATCATAAGTAGTTCGTAAGTAAGTAAGTAAGTAACTCTTTATCATAAGTAGCTCGTAAGTAAGTAAGTAAGCAACTCTTTATCATAAGTAAGTAACTCGTAAGTAAGTAACTCGTAAGTAAGCAACTCGTAAGTAAGTAAGTAAGCAACTCTTTATCATAAGTAAGTAACCCTGAAAACCTTCTTTATCATAAGTAGCTACTCGAGTAAAATTTGCATGAGTAATTTTTACTCGGTTAATCGACGTTTTTTCGCCGAGTAACTACGAGGAATCCTCTTTACACCTCGAGTAAATTGAATATCTTTACACTTGAAGGGAATTTGCTACCAAATCAGTCAAACAGCTGAATATCTTGAAAAGGAATCATACGATTCGTACGAAGTCGGCGCTCGTGATTTTTTTTTTGCAATAATTTTCGCCAAAAGTACGATAATTTTTCCCAACTGTGCGTTTTAAAAAACGCATTACTCGCGAGGAACACACTCTAATCATAAACACATACCGTAAATACTGTAATAGTACCCCACCTCCATAATGACGGTGTGGAGTGTTGCCTAGTCTAGCTTTGAACGAGTTTTTCTCGACACTGGTTTATGCTACAATGCGCGCTTAGGTATCAAAAAATAGCCCTGAATTTCAGCTATTTTTTTTGATACCAAAGATGCATTTTTTGAAAGTACGGGCGCTTTGAAAAAAATGAAATACTAAAAAACTTTTGCGACTACGCGACTGTACGAGGGGAGGGTGGGGTACTATTACAGTATTTACGGTAAATTTAATGTGAATCTTGTAAAAGGAAAAAAAAGTGACGTCATATAGAGAAAAGATATCCAATAAAGAAAAAAAAAGAAGAAGAGATGAATATGAATAAATGAATAATGACTCCAACTCAACAATGCGGTCAAAAAATTGGTAATTAAACCGGCTCAAGGAACAATTTTTCGGTCAACTTTTGAAAAACTAATGCTAGATTCAGGAAGAGAACAAAAAAAAGTACAATTTCCAGTAAACTTTCTGAATTCTTGATCCAAAAATTAGCGATTTTTGAACAGCGAACACCTTGTGTACCTTTGTGCTCGATGTGTTGACTGCAACTCTTTCCCATTGTCGATTCTTTTGTCGGACTTGGCTGTCTTATTTCTAAATGCACAGTTCGATGTAAAATGACGAGAAATCTTTTGTCTTTGTTTTTTGCTCATTTTGGAGATTTTTGAGATTTTTGAGAGACAGCCCATGGTTACGGGTCTGCTCAAACATGTTACTGTTATACCATACCAGCTATCGCTGGCAGCCGCATGGGCCAAGCTTGAAAAGCGTGACGGACAGAAAGCTGAACGCTGACTTTTTCGATATAGATTAAATGAAAGTACGAAAAGGTTTATTCAAATCAAAAAGGAAAACTGTACAAAAAAAAGAAACGGGCAAAAGCACGCATGATATTCGAGAAAAGCGGCAAGGCCTCGGAAAGGTTTTTACAGCATTTTACTATTATATATTATCGAAAAGAGTGTAGTAGTACTAACTGAATAATGTAGACTTTAATTTACCGCATTTTCTCTAATAGTAGTGCACCTCGGCGAGCCGACTTGGTGAATATTTTACGGCTTTCAAAGCTTTTGCAGAAGCTCAACACTCAAATCCCCCACAAGATCTCATCGTCAGCTACATTTCCCGACCCCACATCGATAGGTTCTGATAAGCGGTTCTCGAGATTTTGAGCAATTTAGGCAAGCTTATGAACTAGTATTAGGGACTAGCTTCTTTGAGATCAGCTTCTCCTTTAGTTACCAGCTTCTTTAAGCTTTGTTGGATTTGTTACGGTAGATTTGTAGCCGAGTTGATGCCTATTTTACGGTTACCAATTTTTCCCAGAAGCTCAACACTCAAATCCCCCACAAGATCTCATCGTCAGCTACATTTTCCGACCCCACATCGATAGGTTCTGATGAGCGGTTCTCGAGATTTCGAGAAATTTAGGCGACGCTCATGGTGCAGTACTATTAGAGAGAATACGGTATATAGATGCTTTATTCAGGATCTGAAATAAAGTACGCTAGATTTAAGATAATATAGCCTTTAATTTATATACAAATCGCATTCATTTTTTGTAGGCCAGTACCAATTCCTCGAAAAAAAAACATTAAGTGAAATGTTCATTTCGGTGAAAACAAAATGGCAGTTTGGGGAAAGCGCAAAGATTTCGCGAATAGTTTCACTATTATTAAAAATCGATTTCAAAATATTATCTATAATAATTCTTTTGCAATTTCTCTTATCTAACACTCATCTTTAAGCGATTGCAACTTTGCCCGTTCGTCGTTGATTTGGTCCATGATCGAGAGAGTCACCGCTTTACATCTGCAAAAAAAAAGAATTTGAATAACTATTGAAAAGTTCAAGTTTCTCAAATGATAATTATTTTCTGCCAACTTTCTTGACTACTTTGTCTCCAGTTTCATCCAATCTCTCTACATTTTGGCCTAAATCGTCACAAAGGCAATTAAAAAATTGAATAAAACTACAAGATTACCGTAGCTTTTGAACGCGGACACATTTTAGAAACCGCCTATACAGTGAACAGATTAATTTTTGAAGTAAACTTTTAAAATAGCATGTTAAACAAAACGAACTCCTGCGTCTGTGGGCAACATCTAGCCAATGCCGAGCACTGTTTGTGCCATTGTTTTGTCTCAATTCGGCAATCAGCTGCACGGGATTTTCGCGAGTTGTTAAACGCCTTCTTTTTCGAAGCCGATCTGAAAAAATCGTTTTAGATTTATTAGAAGCATTAGATTACTATTTATAAAAAAAGCAGTGTTTGTCTGTACGGGCTTTGGGTCAAAAAAACAAGATTTCTTTAGAAAGTGGCAGTACAGAGGTCGAACCCGGGTGGTGTGAGCTGTAGAGAAGAGAGCTCTCGACTGGGCTATAGCGACATAGCCTTTCCGGCCCGAAAAAGCCGCTGTTAAAGGTTTTTCAGCTGGCTCAGAGATATCCCGAATCTAATACTGTCTTTGATGCCTTCCCCCAACCTTTTCTTCCTCTCCTTTATCGAAGCGCTCGTCCGGCCGACTCCCGGTGCAAAGAAGAACTTTCTCGATAGAGATTCGCATTTCTCTAGCTAAATTTTCTTTATTCTTATCGATTTTGGATAGTTTTTTCTGACCGTATCCCTATCCAAAGTTTTCTCTCCCTCTTCAGCGATATCTATCGATTTTTGCACACAATCGCGAGCCAGCTGAAATTATGTATTTACTTTTGAGCTTTTCTATGCTTATTATTTATTTATTATAGTTTTCAAATCTCTAAAATACTTTAAAGTTTCAATTTTCGACCTCAGCTCTTCGCATATGCAGTCCATTTAGCTCTAATTTGATCTCCCATCGTCGACGAGAGCACGAGGTTGATTGACGGAGTCTGAAGCGATGATAAAACGAGCTATTATAAAAAGCAACGTGATTACGGTAGCTTTATTAAGCAAGTGTGTTAAAGTAAGTGTAAATAAAGCCTGATCATCGTCAAATCCTTGCCAATTGATAACTTTTCGAAGTTGAGAATACGGATAATCGCTCTAATCGGAAAGATAGTGACAAGGACTATACTAGGAATAAATTAACTGTGATAGATAAGACTGACTAGTAAACTGATGAGTTTATGCAGTTACGGAATGCGCTTTAGAGCGATTACTTGAGTTGATTCGTTTCTATCCCCATCCCCTCACCTCACAATCGATTACCTCAAATTCTCTTCCAATGTCAAACAGTGTCGTTGCTTTTCCTCGAGAATTTCCATACATTTGATATAGTCTACGCAAAAACCCTCAAAATTTTTATAGCTCTCTTTGATTTTTTTTTTGAAAACTTACATGTTCGGCTAGCAATCGGGCAATCATTGAGCTGAGTAACAAGAACAAGGCACGCATTTTTGTGGGATGATTTTAAAGAGAAAAGAGATCAATTCCTCAACATTGATCTATAGAGGGGAAAAGCTGGAAATTCTCCATTTGGAAAACAACAAAAAAATGGTATAAAGCGGAAAAAAAGGTTTGCTGAAAATTTAGATAAAAGTATTTTTTTGTGCAAAGAATGAGAAATTTCTTCAGAAATCTGCAACAATATCAGATTGTCGGCTTTCGATTTGCCAATCTTTCAATCTGATCAAATCTTTCGTTGCCAAAACATTTGATCGATAAAGGAAATGGGAAAGGTGCAAAATTTAGAAGAATTTAGATGGGCCTTAACTTTCAAATTCTTATCTAGTAGATAAATGAAAAATAGCTAGGACAAAAAAATACAACAATTCCACAAGATTGGGCTTCCTTTAGGAAAAAAGGGTACAATCCTGTTACCGTACTTTCTCTAATAGTAGTGCACCCGGCTGAGCCGAGTTGATCACTATTTTACGGTTTGAAGACACTTCAATAGAGGAATATCTCTAACCAGTAGAAAGTGACTCAAAGGCAAAGGTATTAGAATGGCAAAGGTATTAGAATGGCAAAGGTATTAGGTTGATGAATAAGTCTTTTCGTTCTTTTTCGTACTTCTGTTTAAAACCAACAAATGAACCAATAGAATTACCGTATTTTCTCTAATAGTAGTGCACCCGGCCGAGCCGAGTTGATGACTATTTTACGGTTTCCAAGCTTTTGCAGAAGCTCAACACTCAAATCCCCACAAGATCTCATCACCAGCTACATTTTCCGACCCCACATCGATAGGTTCTGATAAGCGATTCTCGAGATTTCGAGGAATTTAGGCGACGCTCTGGGTGCACTACTATTAGAGAATAAGGTATTGGATTAGAGGGAATACGGTATTGTCCATTACATTGACAGGAGATTATATATTTTCCCAAAGAATTCAACCAAAATTCCCATTTGGACTCGAGTTATGAAGTGAAAAAACACAAATAAACTTTGCGTCTTATAATATGATTCGCATATATTCAAAAGTTCAATCGAACATTGAAATCAATTGTTTTGAAGCTTTTAAAATGTAAATTTTGTGGAGATTGATGGATGCGCAAATTTTACGAAGGTATAAAAGGAAAGTACCGAAAAAAAAAGTATAAGCTAATATAAAAAAAAATGGAATTTCTACTCAAATCTTTAGATTTAATTTTCGTAATTAAGTATCCGAAAGAAAAATAAATTTGTTCGTTCATTCATTTTCGAAAAAAAAAAATAGATTCATTCGTTTTGTTTGACGGGGGATGACTTTTGGGGATGGCGGTGAATGAGAAAGGGGAAATGGGGGAATGGAGGGGAAGAAAAGGGGATCTGAGGGTAAACATTCGAGAATTTCGACCCCTTCTCTAACTGACTGGATAAATTCACCCTTGATTTCCCTCTTTTTTCCATTTTTTTTCTGTATAAATAGAGTAGTCAACCATCGTGTTGATTCGGATTTTTTCGATTTCGGAAGGGTTCTTTGAGATTTAAATTGGGCAAAGATACATTTGATGTACAGGGTGACCAAGAATTACCGCAACAACGTCGTATTATGTTATGAGCCCCATTTCACTTTTTGCTTACCTGTTTTTATGGTTTTTGTGTATCTTTGTTATTTTATGAAGATTCTTATTTTATGGTATGATTACTAACTTTCAATACATTAGTATGGTTGTTTTTTTGAGGAATGGTGAAAGCGTCTCCACATCGACAATCGATCCTTGAGCTCAAGCGGCAGCGTGTTCAGGCGGCTGCTCAGGCGAGCGAGATCTCAAAGCGCCTGAATGGCCCCAGAAGCCTCGTTTCTCGAACCATTCAACTTTATGAAACTCTGGGCACAGTTTCTGAATAAAGATATTTAAGTTAACTTTTCGAGATGGGTTGCATATTTGGTTAAAAGCCAGCCCTTTTGTGTGTTGCGGCAATTCTTGGTCACCCTGTACAGTAAAAGCTGGATAGATCTAATATTTTTCAAAAAAACAAAATCAAAAATGAGAAAAAGAAACGAGAACGAGCGATTTTTCCATTCAGAGAACCCAGAAATTACCTACAATTTTCGAAAAAGGAAACAAGAGGAGAGATTTTTGTCGCAAAAACGTTTCCGACCAGTTTAAATGCTTGCGATGTGTGGGGGAAAATTGCCTATAACATTTCTGAACAAAAAAAAAGCCGAGCAAAAGGAAACTGATCTTTTTGAGTCTTTCAAATTCGACAACTAGTAATTAGGAGAATTCTCGGAGAGCAGAATCACCCAGATTCCCAGCTCCCAGCTTAAGTTCTTCAAATTATTGTAACATTCATTAGCAAAAGTATTCAGCAAATCCAACCAGCATTTCAATTTCTGGACTTTATTTTCTGTAGACTCAAAATCCAGTAATCGTAGAAATGTCAACTTTTAGTAGAAATAAAATTGGTAATATAAAAATAAATGTGAATTAAACTTTAGAAGAGAAAATTTTTGCGATTAAGTGAGAGAGTTTTTTTTGCGCAAAAACGAACGCAAGACATTATTTTCGGGTTTTCAAAGAGAAAACAGTGAGAGAGTCGATCATTTTTGGCAAAAAAACTTCAATCAATACTTGTAAAAACGAAAAAAACCCTCGTTTTTTTTAATTTTCTAGTGTTCTAGACCCATTCTTACGAATTATTGACTCAATGAAGAAAAAAATATTCGTGAATATCAGATTTCAAATCTAAAATTAATAATTATACTTTATGGTGCATGAGCCAGAAGTAAATGTATGTAAATAAACAGAAGAATGTAGCTTATGATAAAGTAAATGTATCACAAGCTGCTTCTTCTATTTATTTAAATAAATAGAGGAAGAAGAACAAATTAAATCTATCAAAAACTGCTTCTTCTGTTTATTTAAATAAACAGAGGAAGAAGAAGAAGAAATTAAATATATCACAAGTGCTTCTTTTTATTTAAATGAATAGAGGAAGAACAAATTAAATATATCACAAGCTGCTTCTTCTATTTATTTAAATAAACTTCAACAACAGCTGTCGGGTTTTTGCTCGGAATGGCATGGCTGATAATCCGTTGAATGAATGAGAATTTTTTTTTTAAGTTTAGTTATGGGATAGACGAGGACTCTAGATAGGAATTTTAAATGGAAAGGAATAATACCATCGGGGCTGATTGAGCGACTAGCATTTCATTTAATAAATGCTCTTGCAATTTCATGATGGGAAATTAGGAAAGGTAATTTTACGTTATTTTTTTTTTTTAATTTTGCAAAAATATTGTTATTCATTCAAAACTGGTCCCGATTTCTGCTATTGGCTCATTAAATGCATTTATAAAGCGATGTGCAAAGAGCAAAAAAAAAAGAATTTTGAGAAGAAGAATTATAAACCTTCATAAAAGCTGTACTTTTTTTAAACAGTTACAGAAATAGTTATGAAGCTAGTTATTAGTTATTTGGTGGTGACCGGTGGCTGACGAAATTTGGCGCGAGATTTTTAACTTGGAGATAATGCCGGGTTTATCAAAACCTATTAAAGTTATATCGAAAAATGTAGCAAATTTTTTGTAGTTTCTGAAACTTATAACTATTTTACAAGAGTTCTTCTAGTTTTTGAGCTACCAAAATACCTATTTTTAAAATTCGACTAAGGAAAAAGGTGATGTAAAACCTCATAAACCGGTCAAGAGCCTCTCATCCAGTCAGTCCTAGGGGAAAAGGTCTCCTTTTTCGCCATTTCTTCAAAATCTCTCCCCTTCTTGAAATGAGATTCCCTGAAATACTCATTTCTTGATGCCAAAATAGCATACAATGAGTAATAGTAGCAAAAAAAATTACAGATCTAGTATATATATGTCGTAGCCGCTTACGAAATTCAGCTGCTAACGAATGATTGGTTAGCGGCTGAGTTTCGTAAGCGGCTACGACATATATATAAAAGAGCAGTGTCTGTCTGTTCGTCTGTACGACCTTTTTCTCAGCCGTTTTTTCTCAGTCGTCCCAAAACTAAAACAAAAGAACTGACTTTTCCACTTGTCATTACATTTGATATAGAAAAAAACGTTAAATCTGATAAATAGGACAAACGATAACAATTGCAGAAACTAGTGTAGCTGTAGATAAACAAAAAGTGTATAAACAAATTAACAAAGCTTTTATTTCAAAGAAAATTTGGCAGAAATTTGGCAGGAATTTGGCAGGAATCGTATTGCAAGAAGCTCGAATCTTGGTTCCTACAAATACTCGGATAAAGAGTCTGAAGAGGGGAAAATGAGAAGACAAAGCTTGAGACAAAATCCGAAAGGAGAAAAGAAGAAAAGAGGGAAATGGAGGATAAGACGGCCTTTTTTTCCAACTTAAAGAGTAGAGAAGAAGCTGGACGAATTTGTGGTTGAGCCAGAGCCAAACTCTTGCCAGTTCATTAGGCTTTCCTCCCCTTTTTGGCTCTTCCTTTCTGCCCAATTCCTTTCCTTTCGTCTCGTCTCCTTTTCGGAATCAAATTTGTCGAATTTCTTTCAATTCGTTTGTCAATAATCGTATTTCAATCATTTGATTGGGGGTTTTTCGAGAAAAAGATAAGTAAATGTAAGATTTTCGAAACTTTTGAAATTTCCGATATCAGTAAGTTGATGATCTGGCTCTTGAGCTAATCAAAACCCTGGCCTGAACATGGTTTACAGCTGTTTCTTGGTTTAAAGCTAAAAATCCTTATAGATATCTTTAAGATCTAATACGGTTCCAATACGGTTCTTTTTTTGATCTAATACGGTTCCAATACGGTTCCTTTTTTTGATCTAATACGGTTCCAATACGGCTCGTAAAGATTCGTCATTGAATAATTGTTCTAAGTGTCGGTGACTGAATTTTCAGCTCAACTAGTACAGCAACAGGATGCTATAACTGTAGCTAAGTTAATTCAAAAGTTAATTCAAAAGCAATAGCTCATAGAAAATCAGTAAAGCTTTTCGTTGTTGAAAACAACTTTATTCCTGAATATCTTTTGAAGTGTGAAAAGGGATTGAGGGGAATTCCCAAGAGAGATCGGTTCTCTTTGCGTGATGACAGCTAAATTTATGCGAAAATTCACACTATCTTCAAAAAAAGGATGACCAACCATGAAAAGTCAAAGCATAGTTTAAAATATTTTCACCAAAATATAACATTTGTAAATGTTCTTGGTTTCTTGGTCAAAATGTCGAGAGTGGGCCACTCGATGCTCGTCCGGAAATTGAATTTCACTCAACACGATTCGATTCTCGTAGTGAAAAAAGCATTTAAACGACAATACCAATAAATGGAGGAACCTTTTCGAGTTTATTTTGTAATAGAAATAATAATATCGGTTTTGTCGAGATTACGTGAACGCGAGAGCTTTATGAATCATTGAATAATATGAATCATTTATTGACCATTATTAATAATCGCATCATTTGAAAAAGAAGAAGTGAAATGTGCAAGGCAAAAGATCTCGCGTTCGCGTAACCTCGACAAAACCGATCATATTCCTGCAAATGTTTAAATGGATTGAATTCCAAAAACAAGCTTTAGCATATCAACTGACTAAACGATAATATTAGCACCAAAATAAAGCAATCTACCTATCCAAGCTTCCATCCAGCTGCTTGAATAACAGCACAACCAGTTCCGTGACTACAGCACCTAAAAAATGCTTCCATTCAAAAGAAAATGGGTAAATGAACCTGTAGTGATCATTGCTTGGATCGGGAGTCGTTGGAATGTCGTTGTCATTGCCCCTAAAGAATATAATTAACGAAAATGAACACGTCTTACCCTTCACTGGGAATATTGCTAACATCAAATTGAAGCGAGCGAAGAGTTTCACTAAAAAACTTTCAATAAACTGAGCAAATATGATAAAACATGGCTATTGTGCAAGTTAATCTCGTTTTTCTTGTTCTCTATGGAAAGGTCGTATGTAAAAACAATCATATATCATTCAAAACCACTGAGCCACTGTTTAACTATTTAACTGTTTTATTGTATTCTCGCTAGTCTAGTTTCGTGCTAGTCTAGACCAAAAGATGAGACGAATCAACTCAAGTAATCGCTCTAAAGCGCGTTCCGTAACTGCATAAACTCATCAGTTTAAAGTAGCCGTTGAAGTGATTAAAACTCGTTTTTCTGTTGTGCACCTATTGCCTATCAGATCGACAAATGAACAGGTCTACAGCAAACATTTCCCCAATTATATGCATTAACACTTACATCGAGGAAGAACGTGAGTGGTTGGTGGGCGGATTTCCATGAGAGTAGTCCGAGGGGAAAGTCGCGGTGGTCGGGACTGATGGCTCAGCCTTGGCATCACTCCGATTCAATGCATCACGGCTGCTCACACTCATCGGCGGTAAACGATCGCGACACTTCAGACTCATTCTAAAAATAAATCATCATACATTAGGTTGGTGAATCAGTCTTTTCGTTCCTTTTCGTACTTTCGTTTAAAACCAACAAATGCACCAATTAAACTACGGTTTATTTCATTAGAAAGGTCAATTATTTGTGATGGGAAATTAAACAATAAATACTTTTAAACAATAAACAATAAACAATAAACAATAAACAATAAACACAATTAAACAATAAACGCAAACCATAGGTTAATTGGTGAATTTGTTATTTTTTAACAAAAAACTTATTCACTAACCTAATAAAAAGCTTTGAAAAGACTATTTTATCCCACAATCCTCACCGAGTCTTCATGTTCTTAAGGAAAGCCTCGGCAGCTTGGAGATCATTTTCAATGTTGTCGCTCAAGTAGGAGCCGCTCGACTGCGAAATGCTGGGGATTGTCTGAGAACCTAAAGCAATTGATGAGTGTCTAAAACAAAAGAAAACCAGTCGTTTGTGAAGAAATGCAACTCTCATCTCGGCTCTTATGTATCGATGTGGCTGGAAGGAGCTTCATGCTAGTCGGCGAGCGAATGATGGCATTAGGAAAGAGGTGGCTGTCCTAGATTTGATGCAGATTAATACAGTCATGGATAAAAGTATTCAATTTTGGTCTTCTTAGCTTTTCTCTTGAAATTTTCACGCAAAAATATCGCCAATTATTAGGGATCTTTACTAGATCTTATCTAATAGAAAGAATTTCAGATTAGAATAGAAAGTTTAGAATATCTAATAGAAAGAGTTTCAGATTAGACCATGGGTTTTTCCAGGAACCCTACATCAGATTGATGAGTCTATCCATACAGAGTCCTTAAAGATAAAGCAAATACATACTCGAATAAAATCGGGGATATCTTCTGGGCATTTCCCAGGAGTGGGTGGTGAAACGAGGCGGCACTTTGACGTGGACACTTCGACTTTCCCTTTCTCTTTTACTTCCCTAGAAAAAGTCTTAAAATTGTAATTTAACGGCTAGCAAGCAAAAACGCAAGCAAAAAAGCAAGCAAAAACAAACCTTGGTCGAAATGTGAGTCGAATTGTGAATGACGTGAGCGTGTGGGTGACCTTCTCATCCTCGAGTTCTAACTAAATGAAGAAAATTTTCAATATTCTAACTTCAACTTCTGATTCTAAACCCAGAAAACTTATAACAATAAGCATCAAAAATTTAAAAAATAGAAAGCCATACCTTTTTCTTGACCATCTTTGAAAATAATGAGAAGATAATGCAATTTTTGAATGAAGAAAAGCGTTTTATTTGACGGATAAATTGAAATTTTGACTTATTGCAAATTTTTAAAAGCTCAATTCAAATATTAAATGTAAATTGGTTTCTACGACGCATTTTCTATCGTTTTTGTTTTTCAATTTTTCATTTCTTCTCATTCCTTTCCCTCTTTTGGTGTGTTGATGTTGCTCGAGCAGATTTCTGTCGTCATTCAGGTCATTTTTTTAAGTTTGAGTTTTTCTGATAAAAATTCATAAATATACATGTTTTTAGGCTTTCTACCTCACGTTGCTCCTCTCCACGACGGTGGCCAGCTGTAAAAAAGGTGAGCGGCTTATTTTTGGTTTACTTTTAATTTATTTTCCTTGCAGTTCTTAATTTCTGTTTTTAGGGCCGAAGAGCAACAAGCCCAAAAGGCCAAGTGACCTCAATTCCGCCAGACTAGACCTCTCACTGCCTGAGAAAAGTGGAAGCATGATCCCCGTTGATCCGGTAAAGCTTTATTTAGATATTCAAAGTAAATCTAACATTTTCGGTAAGACCATCGTCGAAATCAGGGATATCCCAAGCGGTAAAAGCAAAAAAAGACAAGGTGTGTAAGGTTTTTGTAACATTTTTTAATAGATATTGCTACCTAGCTTTATCTTTTTTTAGAATGGGGGGAAGACGACCGTTCTCGCTCCTCAAAAGCCGAAGATCAAGCGGATTCAAAAGGTAGTTTTATATCACAATCAGTTTTGTAGCTTGCTTTTAGAAATTACCAAAAACTGATACAATGACCAATTCGTCGAAAGAAAAAGTAGCTTCGAAAGACAACAAAACATCGTCGAAGGATGAGGAGAAGCAAAAGGAGAAAGAAAAAATCAAAGCGATTTCAATGTCCCGATCGGATCGAGATGAGGTAATATTTTTGCTTATCTACATGGCTAAAGACTATTTTAGTCACCACCACATAAAGCCGAGAAATCCGGCAGCTCTTTGATGCAACGTCCCGATTGGTGGTTGGGTTTATTGTTTTAAGGATTGAAACAGGGATAACGAATTGTTAGATCTAACGCTAATGTCTATATTTAGTGCAAAGAGCGCGAGTCGAAAGAAAGTCTTCAGCAAATAAACTCTCAACTTCCTTTATTTAAAGTGATTTTGGTCCGCACGATGATGATTAATGTAAGATTTACTTAAAGTTAGTTTCTTTACCAATCTTTTAGACATTCGGTTTCTGTACATAATTCGTTTACGAAGAAATTGATTGGCAACACTTGAGAGAACGATTGATTGATTGAAAACATTCTCTCGTATTCTAATCGTTTTTAACACATTCATGACGATACGACCCACCGGTGGGCCGTACGTGGATTTAGCCGATTTTTGAGGCTAATTGGGCTGAAAATTTGCAATCAGGGGTTTTTGGAGTCGGGGAATTCGAATTCGTTATTAGTTTGTAAAGTAATCTGCTCTATTTTTAGATATTTCATTCGGTTTAATTACCCAAGTGCAACCGCACATCCAGGACCGTGTGCGAAAAGATGCGCAATTCAAAAACGTGAAAATTTTATGTTTGCGTAATCGCGCGGCCTCGGGCACACGGCTTCTAGAGATGAAGGACAGAAGCCGAATTTGGTTCCGCCTTTTTCTTTCCAATTTGGTTAGCTGTTAATTCTCAGTTAGATGCCAATGGGGCCAAAGAATTCAGCTTTTTACAGCAAGAGTCCAGGAAAAACACCTTGTGATTTCTTTTCTGTAGCCATGTCTTGACCAAATAAAGTCTGGCATCACGTTCGCCACTTAAGACAATTGCAAACACATCCTTAAGAGAAAACAAAAAAAAAACGATGACAGATGACAGATCACTTCTCGATTCTTTTACCAAAGTTCATTTCTCTTCATTTAAACATCCCACGCGCCGTTTATTGTTTATCTCTTTTTTTGGGGGGCGTTTTGTCTGGAAATGCGCTTGTTTGATCGCAAAAAGGAACTCTCGAAGCATTTCCACTTTTCGAATGCTCCTCTTTCTGCTCATTTTCTGCTTTTCATTTGCTCATTCACAGAAACAATATTCAGAGTAAGTCAACAGGGCATTGATGTAACACATTAGACGACCGCGTGACACGATGCTGCGTCACGACTGTTTCTCGTGAATAGCTGAGCTCAAAATTTGCAAGAGCATGTAATTTTGGGTTCTCTTTCCGAATCCGACGTTAGTTTTATAAGGAAGTTGTGTGATTTTTCGTAAAAAGCGAAAAAACCGGGTGTTACCTCGAATTCCATAGCTGAGTGGTCTAAGGCGCGCGAGGCCAACCTGAGGCTTTAATAGGGGGGTTGTTGGTTTGAGTCCCCCGGAGCAAGAATGTTTTGCAAAAATATTTTCTAATAGTTTCAGATACTTTAATGGAGTAGCTACAAAAATCAAGTGTTGGAAGTCAAAGAAGCTTTAAAGAATGAGTGTTTTTGAATTTCCCGCGGTCGAGGCTTGGATAATTAAGCCGGCTTCAAAAATTCGCGTTTCTCTAAGGTAACCAATAATTTCTGAAGGCTCAAAACACTTCTAAAGGAAATTCTGACCCGGAAACATATAACATATATTTATCGAGAAGTATTAACTACTAGAAATTAGCGTATAAAATAAAATAATTAAAACTGTGAAAAATAAACTATATGAAGTTTGTTAGCCTAAATTTAATTCGGATTCTACAGGGTGCGCCATAATTGTCGCAACGAGATAACGTTCTGATTTTAAGGCAAAAAAGACATAATAGCAGTGATTGCACATTAACAATTAGAAATCAACTATCAAATTCGAATCACCGTTAGCACTTGAGCAGACTTGCAGGCGTTTCGGGAAGGCGTCAACGGTGGCGACCAAATAGGCTGAATCGAGCTCTTCCCACGCTTTCAACAGTAATTTCTTCAAGCTTTCGATGTTTTTGTGGGGATTTGAACAAGCTTTGGCTCCTGGAACCGATCACGCTGAAAATCCATTGGGTTGAGGTCTGGAGAGTTAGGTGAAGAAAGAAATGACGAAGAAAGAAGAACTCAGAAAAAAAATGAAGTCCGGGAAGTTGTTTTGGCAGAGCTCTTGGACTTTCTTGGGTTTGTGAGCCGGTGCGCCATCTTGCTGATAAGTCTAATTCCGATTTCCAAAATGTTTACGGGCTCAGGGCAAGAGTTCAACCTTGAGAAGAGCCAGGTAGTTCGATCGGGATTGACTTTACGACACAATTATGGCGCACCCTGTAGAGTTTTTTTAAGCCCTTATGTGCAAATTTCTGGGTTTTCTTTATTCATTTTGATCCCTGATCCAAATCGGTCGTTTCGCAAAAAATGCTTGGTCATCAATGTGTTAAAAGAAATTTTGCTTTTCAGTCATACGTATCTCATTTTCAAGTCAACTCAGGAGAATCTCAACTTCAGAAGCAATTTATACAAAGATGAAACGGTTGGGCTTTTTGTTGACTAGTAAAAAGTTGATTTCAATCATTTTTAATCAGCTTACCAGCTAACCTTTTATCTTTACTTTGGCCATGTTCAATCATTTTTTGTTTTAGTTGGATTTTCTGCAAAGATCTCCACAAATCGATGCGGACAATGTGATCTTCCTGAAGCCTGATCAAATTGAACAAACTAGGCAACGATTCCAAAGAGAAAAAATTGCTTTTGAATTAGAAGGTCGTTTACGAAACTTTCAATTATTCATTCCTCACAAAATTCTAGACGTGCCTCATTTCGATTACCCAACTCCTCGAGAAGACAATAAACGAATTTCCCGTCGATCTCTTACTGATTTCAAGTTGACAGCTTTTAATGACGTTGATGAGGTGGTAAAATTTTATAAACACATGCTATTTATTTATTTTATTTAACCACTCAATCACATTTAGCAAGTCGCCTTCATGAAATCCCTCGCCAAAAAACACTCCGACTTTGTCGAATTGGAAGTCTTCGGAAAAAGTGCCCAAGGAAAACCGTTGTATCTTTTGAAAGTAAAAAAATTTAATGATTTAGAATTTAATGAAAAGATATCCAGATCGGCTATCCATTGAATGGTACAAAGAAATCCGGTGTTTTCATCGATGCCAATATTCATGCACGAGAATGGATCACGTCGAGTACTGCTTTTTGGATCATCAATGAGGTCAGCGATAGTAGCACAGTGTCGATTTTGATTTATGATTGTGACGGAAAAGTCTTCGGACTTCAAACTCGAAGTCAATCCTCACAATTATACAGTTAGAACTAGGGAAGAACAAAAAAATCGGGCACTGCCGGGAGTCGAACCGGGCAACTGTGCTAACCATCACACCACAAAGCACTCATCGTCCCTTACTCCAGAGGGAGTTAACTATACAAGTTTTCAGCTTGTCACAAATTCAACTCATAAAGACTTATTAACAAAAGTCGATGTCTATGTAGTCCCAATGCTGAACCCAGATGGATACATGTGGAGTCGAAAACGCGATAGAATGTGGCGACGAAATCGGTGAGAGAACTGAGATTGAGAAAAAGACAAATTCATTTAGAAATCACTTCTCTTCCAACTCTGAGAGCGACTGTGTTGGGGTGGATTTGAATCGAAACTTCCCTTTCCATTGGAGCCCGCGGGACATCGATTTTGTGCCCGATCAATGCCAGTAAGTGGTACTTAATTTGTGTAATTTCTTTATTACTTTAGTCAAAACTATCCAGGCCCAGAACCTGGATCAGAAGAAGAAACGAAATCATTGATGAAAGTCTTGAAGAGGCTCTCAACGCTGAGAGCTTACATAGCATTGCATTCTCGTGGTGATTTAATTCTTTATCCCTGGGGCTTCGCCAAGAATCATTTGCCCCCGGATGTTCATGTTCTGGTTGGTTTATCTCGTGAAGTTACTTCTTCGTTATATAAATGTCAATTGGACACTGTTAAACATGTTGATAAAGCTGTGTCAGTTTTTATTCCCCTCATGCAGATAGAGATGGCTCACAAGATTCGAGCGGGAATCTTCTCATCTCGTGGCAACAACTTCACCGTGCTCAACTCAGCTGATATGTGTTTGTTTCAAGTGTTTTACGTGTTCATTCTTGTTTCGTTTAGATCTAGCTGCTGGTATTGCTCATGACTACGCGAAATCGTCGGGCATCAAATACTCGTATACGTTAGAGCTTACAAAGTGAGTTTCATAAAAATTACACTCATATAAAGAATTCCGAATAGGCATTGAGCTTTCAGAATTCGCGAATATCGCCCAACCGAGGCTGAGATTGAGCCGGTTGGCCGGGAGGTTTTCGCAGGGATTCTCGTGCTTTTACAGGACATTTTCCTAGAAATCCTTTTATAATTCAAACTTTAACTAACAGATTTGTCGATAAACCCTTCTCTATTCGTATTCTTCTTATTCTGCACCAGATTGATGAGTCTATCCATACAGAGTCCTTAAAGATAAAGCAAATACATACTCGAATAAAATCGGGGATATCTTCTGGGCATTTCGCAGGAGTGGGTGGTGAAACGACGCGGCACTTCGACGTGGACACTGAACTAAACGCTGTCCCGATTGGTGGTTGGGTTTATTGTTTTAAGGATTTAAACAGGGATAACGAATTGTTAGATCTAACGCTAATGTGTCTATTTAGTGCAAAGAGCGCGATTCGAAAGAAAGCCTTCAGCAAATAAACGCTCAACTTCCTTTATTTAAAGTGATTTTGGTCCGCACGATGATGATTAATGTAAGATTTACTTAAAGTTAATTCCTTTACCAATCTTTTAGACATTCGATTTCTGTACATAATTCGTTTAAGAAGAAATTGATTGGCAACACTTGAGAGAACGGTTGCTACTTGATTGATTGAACTTGATTGATTGAAAACATTCTCTCGTATTCTAATCGTTTTTAACACATTAAAGAAAACAGCTGTTTTTGGGTATTTCATTCGGTTTAATTACCCAAGCACAACCCCACATCCAGAGCTGTGTGCAAGAAGGCGTGCGATTAAAAAACGTGAAAATTTTCATGTCTACGTAATCGCACGGCTTTTGGCACATGACTTCTAGGAATATAGGACAGAATTAAGATTCAGTATCAACTTGATTGAATTACCCAATATCCCCTTTATCATGAATGGAAATGCTCGTATGGACAATTGGCATCATCAATGTATTGTATGATCGTCAACTGTTTTTTCTGTCCAATTTGATTGAATTACCCAAGTTTTAGAGGTTTTGTGATGACTGTATTAGCTCGGAAATTGTTTAAAAGTTGTTTAAAAAGCTAACGGATTCAGATTCTCCATCCAAGAGTGTCTGCAATTACTAATTTTCTGATCTATAGATCTATTTTCTGATCTATAGAGCTAACGACAACGAAATCAAAAATGATTTTGTCGTGAATTTGTTAAAAAACGCTCTTTAATAAACATTCTGATTAATTGTACTTTTTAAAAATGTCGCTTGAGTTTTGTTTTCAATGAATATTTGGGATGGAATTGTGGCAATGAGGGTCTGTTGTGGGGTGACCCAGTGAGAGCATATGAGAGCATATTTATGACTGCATTGCGTAAGAGAAGCGCCTCTCCCGGCCTCGCCAAGCATAAAATTGGCTGTGTTTTTGGCTGTGTTGCGCGTTTAGAGTCAAAACTGAATGTTTTTCATATCGATTATCTAAGCTACTCTTTTGGTATTGTACAGAGTGATGGGTTATGTTACAGAATGATGGGTTATGATAGTTTTTACTTTTACAAACAGTTGCGCCACCATAGCCTTCTTTTTTGGACTTAAACAATTCAACTAATCAAAAAGAAGGTAGATAGTTTCGGAGTTGAGAGAAGCTAAGAACGAGACACGGGTTTAAATACGATAGCTTTTCCACTCAACGATAGCTACGGTAGCTTTCCACAAATCACGTAACTTTAGCAAGAGATTAACCTCATTTCCACATGATTTTTCCGGGATTCTCTATCGTACTTATATGACCATTTCACCATTTTACAGCCATTTCCTTTCCTCAGTTTTAAGAGCATCGTGAGCACTCCACTCACTCCAAAATGAGGGGGGTGTTCACTGAAATAAATCCTGTTCAAGGTTACGCCTCTATCTTTCTTTGGTGGGCTTTTTTTTTGTGAATCCGTAAATCCATCTCAAGGAGTTCCAACAAGTTAATCTTGGATAGCTTTTCGTAATTTGTAATTGTAATTTCGCGGTTTTCTTGTAGACTTTTTCTATTATAGCACTATATAGACTTGTTTTATCTTACCGGTTTTTTGGCTTTTTGTTGGCTTTTTTTTTTACAGCATTTTCTTATAGGATAACCCTAACTTCTCAACATCAACCAATCTAACAAATGCCAAGATGGATGTTGGCACTTGTTAGATCGGCTTCTTCTTCGGCCCTAAAAAGCCGGACTGAACATCTTGGCATTTGTTAGATTGGGTTTTCTTTTCACTTCACTTATCATCTACAATTGGGATTGTTCTATTGTAGAGATTACGGTAAATTGGTTAAAACTGTTACCGTAATTTGGTCAAGCTTCTGTAATGTAGCTTCTAATTTGTTACCGCATGGCATTACGGTAGCTTGGTTGAATCCTTTAGAATCCTTTGAATCAAGAATAGAATAGAATGCCTTTATCGCCAAGCAAATCTAGTTCACTATGCTAATCTTCATGCGCTAAAAGAAATATAAAATTCAAGTGATATTTGTAGGGCAAAAAAAAAAGTGGGTGAAAAGAGATGCTTGACATTGTGTGGTGACATTTGTTCTTTCTTTTCCCTTTTTTCATCTCTTTAAGATTGCTAACATCTCTTTAAGATTTCTTGAGTCTCTCTGTTGATGCTTGTTTCGTCTTTTTGGGGAAATTGACATCAACCATTCCCATTTCAATTTCATTGTCACCTATCCAATTAAAAGTTTTCATTTGTAGTTTTGATTAGAACGGAAGAATTTCATTGATTTTTTTAAAGTCTAACTTGTAAACTTTAGAATATTCAGCACAAATACAAAACACAGATTGTTTTCTATTATTTTTTTCGTATCCTTGAATATTCTAAAGTCTACAAGTTAGACTTTAAAAAATCAATGAAATTCTTCGTAAATCAATGAAAATCGATTACGGTAGACCGTAATCGATTTTCTATTCTGTATCGACAAGTAAAATATCTTTAAAGAAATAGCACAAAAATCGGCTTACAATCAGTGCTGAGAGGGTTAAAATGGAATTTTTCTTTCTAAGCATATTAAGTACGCTTTCCGAAGCTCTCTGAAGCTTTCAGAAGCTTTCTGAAGCTTTCTGAAGCTTTCCTGAAGCTTTCTGAAGCTTTCTGAAGCTTTCTGAAGCTCTCTGAAGCTTTCAGAGCTTCTGAGAGCTTTCTGAGGCTTCCTGGAGCTTTCTGAGCTTTCTGGGCTTTCTGAAGCTCTCTGAAGCTTTCAGAAGCTTTCCTGAAGCTTTCTGAAGCTTTCTGAAGCTTTCTGAAGCTCTCTGAAGCTTTCAGAAGCTTTCTGAAGCTTTCTGAAGCTTTCCTGAAGCTTTCTGAAGCTTTCCTGAAGCTTTCTGAAGCTTTCTGAAGCTAATTGCTTTCCGATTTTCGTTTAATATTCGATGAAATCTGAAATCGAAATTTTCACTGATCATTTCCTCTATAAATGACCCATTTATCCACTTGTTTCTTTTCTTTCTTTTTATCTCTTTTCCCTATTTATCCTTATCGATTTCCATTCACAAAAGCAGGTGATTAGCAGGATATTATCAAGAGATTATCAAAAGATTATCAAGATATTTACAGAAAATTCACCTACACTCCATGCCAAATCTACGAATATTCGACTCATTGATATTTAGCCTCTTTTTACTTGATGTTCAAGGAAGAGTCGTGCCAAGAGAGGTGAGAAATTGTTAGAGTATTTGTTAGAGTATTGTACATCTTAAAAGTAAACAAAATTTGATTTCAGTCTGAGCCAGAACTCCATTCGGATCACATTTTCAAGCCAGAAGAGATCATCGATTTGCCGGTTGGCCGATTTCCCGATCCCGATTGTCGGTACACTGTTCACTTAAATAAGAAAAATGGACCAATAGCACAAGGGTGAGGATTTGTTTGAACTCTGAATGCCTATCAATCTTTCAAATAATTTAATCTTTTAGAGAAGTGCGTATCGGTGATCCCCTTTATCATGAATGGACATGCTCGTATGGACAATTGGCATCATCAATGTATTGTATGATCGTCAACAATTGCACAGTGGCTGAGAATCGAAAAGCTGCATATAGGGTGAGGGAAAGCTTTTGAGATAACTTTTAGTCGATTTATCACAAAGTTCTATTTATTTATGGATCTATTGATCAATCTATTGATCAATCTATTGATCAATCTATTGATCAATCTATTGATCAAGCTATTGATCAAGCTATTGATCAATCTATTGATCAATCTATTGATCAAGCTATTGATCAATCTATTGATCAATCTATTGATCAAGCTATTGATCAATCTATTGATCAATCTATTTATCAATCTATTTACCAATCTATTGATCAATCTATTGATCAATCTATTGATCAATCTATTGATCAATCTATTGATCAATCTATTGATCAATCTATTGATCAATCTATTGATCAATCTATTGATCAATCTATTGATCAATCTATTGATCAAGCTATTGATCAAGCTATTTACCAATCTATTTACCAATCTATTTATCAATCTATTTATCAATCTATATATCAATCTATTTACCAATCTATTTATCAATTTATCTAGCTCTTCAGGTTCCAATATTGGATGAATTTGGTTGTTCGCTTTTCCCATCAATCCTCCCACATGTTCATTATGGAGACGATCTTGAGGCGTATTTGCCCGTTCATGCTTTCAGTTTGGATATTGATAAGGTAAATGATCAAATATCTAAATATCTTTGTATTTCCGTATTTATGACTTTAAAAGTATTGGGTTAGTGCTGAAGTCTTTACAAGTTTTTTTTTTTTTTACTTTCCATGGAAAAGGCTATCAAATTCAAATTACAAATTCCTAAATCACCAAATTACACAAAATTTCTTTAACAAATCTATTGCGTTTTAAACTATTCAAAAAAGTCGATCATTTCTTTAAAAAATGACTTTTGAGAAAAAGCTAAAACCTTGCCTCAACTCGAGAAAAACCAATTTTTGTGTAAAAATCTTCAATTAAAGTTTTAAAGAAAATCGCTGAACAGATCGTTTTCAAATTTTAAAGAATTATTTAATCAAATAAGCTCTATCTTTTTTTTTACTTTAGCATCAAAATGGGTTTAAAAAAAAGTGTTCAAATTGACTTCGACATCGGAGCTGGTGCTCCTCGCCATTTGCGCCTTTGAAAATCGATAAAAACAATTACTTTTAAGAATTTTCCAAAACTCATTTTTCAGAGAGAAAATTAATCTTTAATAGTTTAAAGAGAAATCTTGTTGATGGCGGTATTATTTTTAAAAAAAAAACGTTTGGAAAAGCTGACGTTAGTTTTCCGAAAAGTTGACACGTTTTAGAAAACTCTTTCGTGTAGGAAAACAGCTGGAATCTGAAAATACGATGTTAAAAGATTGTCAAAAGATTGAAAACCATTTTTTGCATTTAAATTTCATTTTCTAGGCGGCCGTCTTCTTCGAGTGTAACATCAAATTGTTGCTGAAATTGAACGGCATTTGCCGACGACCAACATGTGTGCCGATTGAGCAATTTCAGAATGAAAATCGTTGATATGATAGCTTAAAGTTATAGCTTTTTGACTGTATGAATTCAAAAGCTTACGGTTCTCTTCTTACAAATTTATATTGAACTTCTTTTTTTTTTTGACCCCACCAATCACCACTCGACACTTACGGGTTTTTCAATTTTCTTTTATACTTTTGATTTTGTAAATAAAAAATAAAGGATATTTTGATTCTATTATACATTATTGTATACAATTTTACTATTATAATATTATAATAGTATAATTCTATTCTATTATACACAATTATACTATTATACTATTATACTATTATACTATTATACTATTATACTATTATATTATTATACTATTATATTATTATACTATTATATTATTATACTATTATATTATTATAATACAGTCATGGACTGGCGTCCTGGGTGGCAACTTTCAAACGCAAATTTAGGAACCTTCCCGAGAGGCTATAAAAAAGTTGTCACAAGTATTTTGAGCACTCTACTTTTAGCTATGACCAAGCATTGAACTCGAAAGTTTATTTTAGGCAACAAAAATAAGCGTAAACGATATTATTATAATATTATAATATTATAATATTATACTATTATACTATTATAATATTATACTATTATAATATTATAATATTCACGTTTCCGTTGGCATAACTGTAGATCATAATTCTAAATAAGGATCTTCTATTGCTTTGGTACAGTTGCGTAGTACGGTCACGGGCAACGCGTTACCCAAACGTTTACTAAGCCTGTCTGAATGCCGATGGAGGAAAATTTGAATTTAATTGTTCATGTGTTACTGTTATATGTTGAATAAAGATATTTAAGTTAACTTTTCGAGATGAGTTGCATATTTGGTTAATTTCTTTCCTGAGCCAAGTTATGCCAATTCGTCTAAAGTTTGTCTAAAGCTCGTCAAACGGGATACTCAATCCGTTCTCCAATCCAAACCCTTCTTCCCCCAGCTTCATTCCCGATCTATCCGTCCATTCCCCCATTCCCCTTTCCCCAATTTCCCTCAGGCCATTCTGAAATTTGTCACCATTTCCCCAATTTTCCTGTATTTCTTTCCCGTTTTTCGTTCAATAGGGACATCCATACGAGTGTTTCCCCCCGAAATGTGTTTGTTGTATTGTCTCCACTTCTCTTCTCCTCTTCTCCTCTTCTCCTCCTCTTCTTCTCCTCTTCTCCTTCTCTTCTTCTCCTCTTCTTCTCCTCTTCTCCTCCTCTCCTCCTCTCCTCCTCTTCTCCTTCTCTTTTTATTTCAAGTTCCTCATCGACACCATTTTTTCGCCTTTTCAGTGGATATTTGAGGCTTTTCGTTAAACGATTTATTGAATTTTTGACTTTGGATCAATATCAAGCATCTATAACTACTTCTTAAAAATCCATATCCTGAAAACATAACAATCCTGAACATTCCTGCTAAACTTGCTTTGTTTTACCTTTGCTAAATCCTGTCCATTTTCATAGAAGCGGATCAGGTGTTCCGTTTCTAAAAACTCCATTAACTACCCTGTGATTTTTGCTTTTTTCTGCTTCACTTGTGCACATTCCAGTGGCTTTTCCACCTTTTTTTCCAGGTGATCAGAGACACGGCCATGAGAATTTGGGTCTTTTTTTGAAGGGGAAAAGAGACAGGTCTTTCTATTCTTTTTCGCTTCTTTTTACCCGATCACACGTCGAATTCCAAAGTGTGCATACACAAACAAACAATTCGTTTTTTCTTCATCCATGACCTAGAATTGAGTTTGCCAAGCTTGCCAAGCTTACAGAGTACTGTTTTGAAAGCTACCGTAGTCTTACGTTTATACTTTTTATTTCGCTCTAATAAGTACTACGAAAGATTGTCGGCTAGAAAGGGGAAAGGGGAAGCTCTCTTATGGGAAACCCCTGCGCCAGATGGTGAGCGATTACGAGGCTGCACAAAGAATATCTCGGCTCTCTTTCCAAAGGAATTTCTTTTGTTCTGTAAACATTGTTCAGATGAGAGCTGAAAGCCAAAAGTTTGTACCGAAAGGTTTTCAAGGTCAGGGAATCGATTGACGGGGTTTATTTTAACCCTTTGTTTTGAAAAAAGGCCCAAGAGAATCGAATTGGCTTTAAGAGAATCATCAGAAAGCTTTTCACAATGAAAAGCATAATCTACCGTGTGGGTTTTGAAGCGCATTTATTGTGGATAATGGTTTTGAAAGTTGGTACGTTTTAGGAAAATAGCTTGATTGCTTGATTGCTTGGTTGCTTGATTGCTTGATTGATATACTCTTGTTTCAATGCTCACTCCCAATCACTTTCATTGCACATCAACAATGACAAAAGCCTTTCTTGAGGGCCAGTTTTTTTCACGACTTATTCCTCTCACAATGCTCTGGCCAATCCTCTCTTGTATGACTGGAATGCTTTGTGAGAAAAGACGCCAAAGATGAAAGGTGAAAGAAAGCAGATTCAGTCTTTTTGTGTCATCCAGAGTTTGTATTTGTCACAATGTTTGAAGAGAAGAGTCAATGTATTCAATTTTGACACTTAGATTTCCTAGATCTAAATCAAAGTATTTCAGTACTATAGATGAGTAGTAAATGATGTTCTGTAGCTATAAATATACACTCCATTACAAGGAGTACTGTAGAAATGAATGAGCTACAGTCTATTCAAATAGTGCAATACTTACAGTACTCTTTGACGGTTACAGAGTACTGTAAGTAGCTTGTAGCAGGTTGTAGCAGGTTGTAACAGCTTGTAACAGGTTGTAACAGGTTGTAGCAGCTTGTAACATCTTGTAACAGCTTGTAACAGCTTGTAACAGCTTGTAGAAGCTTGTAACAGCTTGTAGAAGCTTGTAGTAGCTTGTAACAGCTGGTAACAACTTGTAGCAGCTTGTAGAAGCTTGTAACAGCTTGTAGCAGCTTGTAACAGCTTGTAGAGTACTCAAAGTTGACCCTGAATAGCTTAAAGTCTTCAAGTTTATTTCATAGTTTATTTCAAAGAGTTTATTACTTTTCCTCCCCAAAACCGTCATTGAAAAGTCCACCAAACGGGGAAGTGATCCAAGGATTATTGAAGAACAAGAAAACAGAGTGATTATTTCCATCTCTATCATCAGCATCATTTTCTTCCCGGTGTTCCAATCATTTACAATCCAAATCGGAGAGCTTCGGAGAGATTAGTGATTGCAGGTGGAGGATTAGCTCTTCTTCGACAACAGCAAACAATCACACGCTTGTTTCTTTTCGCAGAAACAAAAAAGTCTTCCTTGATAAGGAAAACTTTTGCCTATTTCAACTCAATCTTTATTTTCTTATCAGTTTTCTCGTAAACGTATACTATATTAGACAAGTCCATAAGCCACTGTCAATGGCTTGACAGTGGCTTATTTCTTATGTCTGACAGTAAATAGCTTAATGGCTTGACAAGTCAAAACTGATAGTGATCTCCATGCATAACTAGCTCCAAGTCAAGCTCGCTAAGGCCAGAGACAAACTTTTATCACAGAGCTCCTGGATAATCCTGAAAAAACCCTGATGTTAACCAAGCCAAGCCAAGCCAAGCTCTCCCATTCTCTCACTTGCAAAATACTGTTCTTGTTGAAGTCATTGTCTTGCTCATTTCAGCACCTTTCAGCTCTCATGTAAAAAGACGAATGTACATCAAGTCGTCGATCTCAACGCCTCAAGTACACCTGATTGTTGATGGGAAAATGGGTGCCCTTTGGCCTCTTCTCTTTCAGGGGAAGAGTCCCTGTCCGGTCCGGTCCATTCTGCCCTCCCCCCTTCAACACACATAAATATCGGTGGCAGTCACCCAAGACTGCCCCCAAACCCCATGCTTCTTCTGAATCATTTCCAAGTGATGACGCTGAGTTACGGGCTTGTCCTGCACTTGTCTTCTTCTTGTTCTTGTTCTTTTTCTTGTTCTTGTTCTTAGTCTTTTAGTTCACTGATCTTTGAGACGACCGTAACCTGTGCTATTCTACTGGAACATTAGATTACTGGATATGTTAAAGTATTTTGGTACTATCCGATTGTACATCTCCATACCTTAACTAACTAGTTGAAATCTATAACATTCTTTTATCTACTTTATGTGTATATCTAAAGTTTTTATTCTAAAATTATAATCAAAACATATCTGATACTCAAAAGAAACCAAAATTTTTTTTTAAATGCTTTGAATAGAATACATAAGCCGAATAGTACCGTACTTTGCTCTTTGCAATCAGTCTTTTCTCAGCTACAATATCCTGCAAGCTCTTCATCCAGTCCCCTTTCCGAGGTCATGCGTGATCCCCTCTTTTCCTCTTCCGTGCTTGTCAAATTTTTGACGGCCACCCCTGAAACCAATCTTTGATTACTTTAGCTTTATCTTTCTTTTCTTTCGATTCAATTACCCATCTTTTCCCTTTGCAGATGTTACGAAGATCATCCCATTTCCTTCTCTTCATTTCCTTTATCCCATTCATCTCATGTGGAGGTTTTTGTCCATCATGTGCCCTCCGAGCGCTCGGACTCACTGATAGCGCTTTCACGAATAATGGAAACAATGATGGCAATAGGTGAGAGTGCATTTTGAAATACTACTATTGTATTGTGTTACCAGTTTTTTTGATAAGTACAGTTTAAGAATGATAGTCTATGATTTAGTGAAGTAGATTCTATGATAGTCAATGATAGAATGATAGTCAAGTAGATTCAAAGCTACTGATGCCTGTAATGATTAATGAGCTAGAGAGGTAGAGAAGAAAAAAAAATGGCATATTTTAGGTTCTATTCCCGAAACGTGGATCCAAGCGAAATGTTTGGCGGTGATCCGCAATCGTTTGGGACAAATCTCGGGAAACAAATCGCCATGAGAATCATGCAGGTGAGAATCACCAATTCCCTTCATAGGATTCAATAAGCTTTCTAGAGATTTTATGATAAGTTTATCGAACTTTATCTAGGCTTATGATAGAACACCCAGTCGCTTTCCAGAAATCTCATTATAGCTTTATCAAACTTATCTAGGCTTATGATGGAACAAACGGTCAAATGGGCGGTCAACCGATTGTCGTCAATTCGATGTCGTCGTTCCCCGAAACGAGACAAGAAATCATGAATTTGGGCACGGCCAGGTTCGTCAAAATATAAGCAAAGAAAAGCTCACTTTATCCGTTTCCATTTCATTTTATATAAACCTACGCATGTCAAAGATGTCAAGCAAGCATGCTTGTTTTCTGTTTTTTTTTAAGTTTCCTTCTTTCTTATTTCTTTCGTTAATCTTTGTTTTTTCTTTTCGCAGCACGGGGAACACGAGTGAGCCGGCAAAACAAGTGAAAATTGAAGAAGAAAAAGAGACAAAAGAAAGAGAGATTAAAGAAGAGAAAACACCGCAGAACACAGGCAAATCAAGCAGGTAATGGAGAGCGATTGAATCGGATTTTGTGCTGTGACTCGACATCCTTAAACATCATCCTTTTCCCAACTAAAATTGGCTTCAAGTTACAATAATATTTACAACTACGGTAGAGACTATATGGGTTACTGTATCCAATAAATCAGTGCCAAAAAAACAAACAAACCAGAGCGTCTACCAGAATCAAGTGCTTAACTCATCCACTTTTCCCTAATGCTATATTTCTCTTCCTATATTTCTCTGTGCTATCACTTTGCATGCCAAGCTTTAATATCTAGAAATCTAGCTATCTAGAAATCTAGAAATCTAGATATCTAGATATCTAGAAATCTAGAAATCTAGATATCTAGAAATCTAGAAATCTACATATCTAGATATCTAGAAATCTAGATATCTAGAAATCTAGATATCTAGATATCTAGATATCTAGATATCTCAATCTTCCTTTACCCTGTCAATTTGACATCATAATTTCAGCTCTGGAACTTTTGATCCAAACGAGTTCGCGAAAAAGTTCCGCGAACAATTTCTGACTGTCGGAAACAATAACAATCAAGGAATCTATGGATCATTCCCAGGAAATAACAATGGATACAATGGTTTGCTCTTAATCTAAAGTATAATAAAGCTCTAGAACTAAAAGGAAAAGAACTCTAAAAGTTATAAAGAGCTAAGAAGGTCAAACATGCTTAATATATGTTCTTAAGCGTTTTCTGTAGTTTTCTGCATTTTTCAAAGGTCTGTTACTGTCTTTTTCTGAAAAGAACTGGTTTTCAAGAGGGGACTCAGGGCTATCGAATGACGATAATCGTTTAGTTTATCTTTGAATGTTCACCAAAATATCAGTAAAATAGTTGACGACTACGCGACTGTACGCCCAAAATATCGTGATCGCGAATGTGTTAACTAAATCGATATCGATATCTCGATAGCTTATCAATATCAAGATCTCAAGTTTTCCAAAAGCTTTAAAAATCGTAAAACTTAGGTTTAGGATATCGGCAATCGTATTCAGTGCATTCAATTACCCTGAAATTACTTTGAGATCTTCATATTGATAAGCTATCGAGATATCGATATCGATTCAGTTAACACATTCGCGATCACGCTATTTTGGGCGTACAGTCGCGTAGTGGTCAACTATTTTACTGAATTACTCAGTTAAAAGGATTTAACGGAGAAACAACTAAACTTTTACCTTTTATCGAGAAAGTTTATCGAGAAAGTTTATCGAGAAAGTTTATCAAGAAAGCTTACCGAGAAAGCTTATCAAGAAAGCTTATCAAGAAAGCTTATCGAGAAAGCTTACCGAGAAAGTTTATCGAGAAAGTTTATCGAGAAAGCTTACCGAGAAAGCTTATCAAGAAAGCTTATTGAGAAAGCTTATCCAGTCGATCGATATCGATAATTCTAGTAATAGTCAACCTCTCCTTTATGATAACCTTAATTTTAAAGCAATCTAAATAAAGATATTCATCTAATGGTCAGCTAATAAAGATATCGAAACACCAATCTTTCAGCTAACACAATGCCACCAGTATTCGGCTCGTTCGGCAACACAAACAACGGAAATGTTCAAGTCGTTCAAATGCCCGCTCAACCAAATAAAGGGAAATGCCCATACTGTTTTGGAAATAATGGAAATTATAAAAAGATGAAGAAGATGAAGAGGCAAGCATAGAATGAATAAAAAAAACGAAAATAATGTAAAATAGTTTTTTCTATCTTCTAAAGTATCCTTTCTTAGTACCTTTTTTTTTATTTGGCCAATTCCCTCAGAATCTGAGTGGGATTCAAGAAAATGTCTATTTTAATGCAAATTTATTTATTATTTTCTTTTGTTTACGCAATTTCGTGGTACCGGTGCTTTAAATGAAGGCTTTTATCAAGTTTTTAAATGGTTTTTTTTTTAAAAATATTTTAACAATTTTTTTAAAAAAGCTTTTTCTCTGGAATTTCTTGTGTCTTTCATGCTTAATTAATAATATAATAAATTATTGAATTTTTTTTATTTACTGCAAAAAACACGCCTAGCTTTGGAGGGAGCTTTTAAGTACACAAATGCCAGCCATCTGGTTCATTGAATTATGATTTTTTTTTTAAACTGGATTTATAAATATAAAAAAAATTTCCCAAAAAAAAATATAGCTACATACAGTAGTCGATAGATTGGAGTAGCAACTACGGTAGTCGATAGATTATGGTAGCAACTACGGTAGTTGATAACAACTAGTTGATAGCTTATGGTAGCAACTATGGTAAACTATGATGCAATTTTGCAATTTTGCAACTCTGAGCAACTGGATGGACTCGCGTTTTTACAGAAAATGCCCCTATAATCTCCTAGAAAAATTGAAATTTGAAATTTACAAGACGAAAAAGTAGAGAATGCACCAAATGAGGAAAAGAATCGGGAACAAAATCCTCGAGATCAAATCCAATCCATTATTCTGACGGAAAGACGCGCATTTACCGTCGTAAACCACTTCGAGCGTCTGAAAATTGAATTGAATAGTGAAATGATCGTGCAAATTTGATATAAGACAATAGAATGTATTGTCTTATATCTTATATTCTTCAAAAGCTAATGATATTTGTGTCTACTAAGCTGAATATCCATATTGCTTCTATTAGAGAAAACTAGACGGTACTCGTTTTATTTTTGCCCTCAATTATTCCAAATCTCACCTCATTTCCCGGATTCAGCAAGCGATCATCGGCCGTCGATCCACGTCCATTCACATAGCGAATGTTTCTGAAATTTTATGCAAAAAATACTTGTAAATTAAAATTTCTTATTCAAAAAGATTATAAAGTTGTTATTCTTGTATTCAAGAAATTCTTGTAGTCCAACGAACCTTCTGACTCCACAAAGAATCACGAGGAAATACTCGAGAAACGAGAGAAATGTGAGCAACAAACAAAACGCCAACCAACACCACAATGAGGGGACTTTTGAGGGGAGAGCCGATCCGCCGAACATCTCAAATTGTTAAAGGCTTTTGATTTGATAACTTCACAAATAGATACCGTATTTTCTCTAATAGTAGTGCACCCTAAGCCTCGCCTAAATTCCTCGAAATCTCGAGAAACGCTTATCAGAACCTATTGATGTGGGGTCGGAAAATGTAGCTGACGATGAGATCTAGTGGGGGATTTGAGTGTTGAGCTTCTGCAAAAGCTTGGAAACCGTAAAATAGTCACCAACTCGGCTCGCCGGGGTGCACTACTATTAGAGAAAATACGGTAAAAATTCTAAAAAAATGCTTCGAAAATCGCTAGAACCAGTGAACTGCCTACTTTTTTGTTGGAAAACTGGAAAGATTCTGAAAATTCTCTAAACTATTGTATAAGCCACGACGGACAGACACTGCTCTTTTATATATATGTAAATCGACTCAAAACCAACGAATAGAGCAGCAAAGATGAGAAATGGACCGGCGGCGGAGATCGTTCTTGGAACAGACCATGAGCCATGAACCCAGAAATGCAACCACGAGGCGACCACCTGAATGTGTTGAGAAGATAGCCTTTTATATTTCCCACAAAATCGTCGTTTTCTAAAGTGCACCTTTCACGTCTGTCTAGGTTGTCACTAGGAACGTCCCGTAGTCTGTGCCATTTTATTTTCGCTCCCCACCATTTCGTTCTACATTTTTTGTCTACATTATTCTGAATAAACGCTAACTGTTATCCCGTAAGCGAGTAAATTGTAAGCGAGTCAATCGTGTCAAACAGACGCGAAAATCTACTACTACTTCTGTTAATGCATTATTGGAATTAATATCACTTCTTAATCGAAAACTCTTTGCATTAAACTAAAGCCTAAAATCAATTAATTTTTAATATTCCCGATCCACTCACCAAGAGAATACTCGGCAGAAAGATGCGCGCAAAACCGCCGAAAGTCGATGAGGAAAAGGTGACATCCACGTCGACACACGGGTAAACACCTACAAATATTTGAATTCAAGGACAAAAATAGTCAGAGACCCGTAGCTGCAGTAATGTTTTTAAGTTAATTTTAGAATATTCCAGGATCGTTTGCCTACCAAATGTGTAATTCCCGAGGCAATCCCCGGCGGCGACTTCCTCGAATTTGATCGCACCCTCCATCAAATCCTCGGAAACCTGAGAAATTTGAATTATTTTTATAAGATATTGATAAAAATTTGGATAATCGGTAAAATTTCAGCTTTCGAAACCACCTCAAGTGGGAGCACATTTGGCCCGGAGTTCGCCCAAACATACACGACATCCTCGATTGGGTAATTGTCTAAAAGAATCAGAATTTTATGAAAAATGGATACATTTAGATAATATTTATCTAGACAAGTAGTTTTTATGTTTTTTTTAAACCATTTTCTTACAGCTTGAGAGTCGAAGTTTAAACGTGCGCTGATTGAGGAAAGGAAACGCCGTACCATAGGTGATCGGAACGTAGATGGTGCGACTGAAAAGGATAATTTCATGATAATCTAGGTAATAGATAATGTTATCTTATATCGATCTATTTGTATTCAAAAATCACCCCGTTTGCGCTTTGACATAGCCGGTCGGATCGATAAGCATCTTGCTTCGCTCAACCGAGTCGTGAGCCTAGATTATTCATTTTTTTTTCTCCAAATTGTTCATTTTCCAACCATCATCATTCATCATTTGCAATTTTTTCGAAACGCTGACTTATTCAAAAACTTGCCCTGACTGTTCAGTAGCCGTAAAGACTGCACTAGCATCAATTAGATATTAGATTGATGAATAAGTCTTTTCGTTCCGTTGGGAAATTGAACAATGAACAATTTTTATTTAGAGTAAACAATAGGTTAATTGGTGAATTTGTTATTCTTCAACGGAAGTATGAAAAGAAACGAAAAGACTTATTCACCAACCCAATATAAATATAGACATATGCTATGAGATAAGGCTGACTTGCGACACGGTAGTCGGGGTATGTTTTAGAGCAGCAAACGTTCGCAAATTCAATTTTTTTTACCAACCAACCTTCTCCTTTGCATTGCTGATGTAGGTGCCCGGGGTCCAGATTTGCTTGCCCGCCGGGAGGGAGACCTAAAATTTTTGAACTAATTATAAGAATATAAAAAAAAACTTTATTTTAGCTATTTGCAATTTTCTTGCACCGTACACTCATCCAGTTGACATTTCTTAACAAATATGCCTGCTACTCGAGCATTTAATTCTTTTCATCATTTTCGTCAAAGTGTTCATCATTTACGCGAAGGTGTTAACAGAGATCGATTATTTATTTTCTCTTTTAAAAGAATCCATGCTTTTTTGGCAATGAAGATCTCTCAAAAAGAAATGAGGATCTAAGATCTAAGAAAAGAGGGGCAAAAAGGGAGATCCGCTTTACAACAAAATATTGGCCGGGAAAAGAAAAAGGAAAAAGTGGAAAAAAGAATGAGATTGAGTGAGAAAAGTGTCCCTTTCTCAGCCTCAATCAACAAATTGAAAAAGAAAAAGGCGAAAAGGTTTAATGAAGCGAAATGAAGTGGGAATAGTATTTGATCGATCAAGAAATGACAGTTGAAGGGATCAATCAAAAATAGTTGAATGGGTACAAATCTAGTGTCTATTTGCAAACTATATGCAATACTATTGTTTCAAAATCTGAATTCTTCGAAAAATCTCCGCTCACCTCAGCCACTCCCTCTCTTGAATCGATCTCGTAGGCGAGTCGGGAGTCCTCCCATTCTTGACGAAGACGTAAATCGATTTCCTGAAAATAAGTTTAAGTAAGTTATTAGTTAGAAGTTTGCTCGTTATCCGACTTTTTCGATTTAACAATCACAATTTGCACTAGTGAATTTAAATTATCAACCATCCATCACTATAAAACTAATTCTGATTCATTTTTTTTCCAAATGCAAAAAAACTACCGCATATTCATCATGCCAGACTATCCGATTGATGAAAATCGAGACGATCACCGCGACGGCCGTGTGACTTGCACCCTCTGAAATGTTCCAAAATGAGAAAAGATGTGGGCAACAGTGTTACGAATTTTCACGAGAAATTCCAACACCACATATTGATTTGACACAAAAGGATAAGAACATAAAAAGTAGTATTGTAGTCAAGAAAAAACAAATTGCAAACTCATGCACAATTCAGAGAACTAAAAAATTCACCGAGAAAGCAGACGATGAATGATGAATGCGTTGGATAATGGCAACCTGGGGGTGATAGAGATTTTGCGATAGCTTTGTAAGTGATTTAACAAAATGAAAGCATGAGTTAGCTTTTGGGATCCTGTAGAGATGCAGCATTTTTCTCGCTACAGTATGCCGGGTAACATTAAAGTTGTAAAGCCATTTTTCTGTTTTCAATTTAAAATTTGAACGATCAAGTCTTGCCTACTGTAGTTGGATCCCGTAATGCGACAAGAGACTAGGGTTTTACAGTAACCCTTTAGACAAAACACACAAGTAATCGACCTTTAACGGGTGGCCTTTGTGATGCATCATAGCTCTGTGCGGCGATTCTCTCTTGCGCTTGTTTCGCCAAATTTTGACGCCGAATGTGGGCGGCCACGTGTTGTCCATAAACTCTTAAAAAATGACGAGTTGACTCTATTTCGCTACTTTCAAGTCATCTACTTAAAAGTTTTTAAAGCTGAAACCGCACAAGTTACATATCAAGCCGATTACCGTAACTCAGCCGCTAAATGCTATTTTTTTCCTAGTATGTTTTTTGAATGGGTTTAAAACGTACATGGCAAATACAGCAGAAAATATCAATAAAAATTTCATGAGGACAGGATTGAGGGGGGAAGAAATGCGAGTGTGACTGGACGGATCTTCTCTTTTGAGGAAAAAGATCCGAGCAACTGTGTTCTTGCAGCAGCCCCATCCCTTTTCAACCTCCTGGCTAAAAAGAAAGAGAAATTAAGACCCCGCGAAAAAAAAGTAAAACAAAAGCCCATAAACACAAACTTCACAGTGTTATTTCTTCAAACGAGGCGAACCATTTATTGAATAAAATTAAACAACATTGAGCAGACAAAATCGGAGATCCTTTGAGCACTGGAATGTGGGGACCGGGTTGTAAAAACAAACATAAAATATAGTAAATACATGAATATCAAAATTTACAGCATTAAAAAGGGAAACTTTTTCACTCATCATCGTCAATTTCTAGAGTGTATCCTTTTTCTTGTAAAAACTTCTCGATCAAATCGCGCTCGACGGCCGAACTCAACTTCTCCGTTCCGTCTTCCGATCTGTAACCAGTTATTGTTGCATTATTAAAAAATTAAACGTGGACGATATACAGTAATCCACTTATTCACATAGTCTTTTTTTCAGAAACAACTGATACTCACCGCCTAACTCTCACAATTCGATGATCTTCAAATTCGACAATTTGTTGTCGCAAAGCAACATCGGTCGACACATAAAATCGATCACTAAATCGAGAAAGTTTTCTAAAAAAGCCTGTAACTACCGGGCGTCTTCGAACAAATCCCAGAATGAAATAGCCTTGTTTGAGAGAAAATAGAGTGCAAAGAACAATCTGAATAGATAACTCATTAACAAAATGCTTTTGAAAACGTACCGAAAGATTTTTCGAGAGTTCTCCGGGAATGACGACCAAAGAACATCCAACGACGACAAAGTGTGTTGTATCTTTGACGATTTTGAGTTAAATCCTTTAAAGTTGTTCATCTTTATGATAAACTAGAACCAAACCAAGTATCGAACTTTCAGAAGCTAAAATTTCTTTAGTTGGTAGGCGGAATGTTGGGAAATGGCAAAACACAAAGCGCAAATCGGTCAACGTACGCTAAAAAATAAAGTTTAAAAATTGCCAGTGAACTATGAAAGTGATTATGTTAACCAAAACTTTGACACCTTAAAAAATTACCATGTTGAAAATTGCTTGTGCATTGATGTGATCGACCGAGGCAATTATGTGAATACATTTTGGCGAGTTCGAAGCCAAGCTTGCCAAAGCCTCGATCTCGGTTGGATGCCTAAACATTAAATGTTTGCATTGAATTTTAGGAATGTGGGGACGTATGGAAAAGTATCAATTTTCCCAGCAACTAACCTCAAATTTAATCCATCGATATTATGGATGATCAAAGTAAAATGATTCCCACGCTTTTCGATCGCTTTTCCGATTTGAGCCGCCCACTCATTGAGCTCTTTGGCGCCACGCTTCGGCTAAATTAAAGACATAGTAGAACTGTCAAAATACTCTACTAACTGGGCATTCTAGTTTCAGATCTTCATCGAGTGCACTGAGAACCCCTTTTATTGATACATCTTGTAGAAAACCATCCACCTAAAGAAAACATGTAAATTATTTTAATCTGTATATAACTGACCGTATAACTGGCAAATTCGGCAAAAAATTGCTTCTGGAAATCGTTCAGAACACGAATCTTTGAACCCAAGCCATATACCTAAATAGTGAAATAAGACTACTCGCCATAGGATCAAATGAATAAATAAATACTCACAAGCAAATTGAATCCCAAAGGGAGAAGATTTCGCCATTTTGGAAAATGCTCCTTTGCAAGTTTTTCATTTTCTTTTGCAATCGCTTTCGGCAGAGTATCGTCAGAAAGGTCACATTTCTGAAATGTTAACTAACTATAAGAACTTTTGAGGAAAAAACCTGCATAAAATTTCGAAGCTCGGTCATCTCGAGAAGCTCGTTTCTAGCCAGCTCTTTTTTATCTTCTTGTTGATCATCATCGGTACTAAACATTTAGATTTAGATAATTTTTTGCAAACATAAATACTCTTCAATTTTTGTTCCCATTTTTCGAGTTCGACGTGCACGATTCATTCCAGGAGTTCGATTACGATTGAAATATCGTTCGTAATTAACATTCATTATGGCATTCGTTTCGTCCTTGAACTGATCTCGAGAACTAAAATCTTAGTTAGTGAAAGACAAAGGCATTTTTCTAACCATTCTTCCATTTCCACATCCTCATCATCTGGTTGGGTGGATGCTTTCAAAACCAAATTCTCGTTCGGATGTGGTCGCTTGTTTTCTTTAGCAGCTCCAGGCGATTCTTGATTATAATCTAAGTCGAGTTGTCGGCAAGGTTTTTGCCTGACCTCCACCAATACACCTTGCTTCTGTGGCGTCTAAAAATATTGAATACAAATATTAATCTAGGCCGCATGCCCGAAATACACTAAAACAATATCAAAAGAACCTTTTTTGAACTTTTGGATCGAGTTTTAATGAGTTCTCTCGTTGCATCGTTAGATCGACTCGGCACCAAGTCAAAAAGTGTTTCAGCTACTTTGATTGGGTGGCTTCTTGGGGGTGCTTGTTGTATAACCTAGAGGTTTTTTTTTACTATTAGAGGGTGAATGAATACCAATGCTGGATTGGTAGAGCGACTTGGAAGCAAATCGAAAAGTGTTTCTGGTGCTAATATTGGTTTCTTTTTTGAGGGCGAATTCAAAGTTGTCTAAAAAGGTTTTCTAGTATCAAAGCAAGAAAAAGTTTAAATGTAGAGAAAAACCAGATTCTAAAATCTAAAATTATGGTTCGCGTGGTAAACTTGTTAAAGACAAAAAGTTCATTTAAAATATTTTTTAAAAACACGAACTTTACTGGGAGTTTTTGGCTCGCTTTTCTTGGCATTTTTTGGAGGTGTTGTCTCACTTTCCTTGTTTGAGCTTTCGCCTAATCTTTTCGATCGTCTGGGAGTATTCATCTAAAGCCAGACTGGTTTTATAGTGCGTCTTTTAAATGAATATGTAGTATCTATCGAGTAAAGAACGCCCTTAGCAAAAAATTTAGTTTATAGATATTTTATTTGAGATAATGCATCGGGGAAAGTCCAGAAGAATAGTTTTCATAAATCGAATACACTCACGGTCAAATTTTTGTTGAAAAACACGTGAACAGAAGTTTAAACTACCACTTAAATTATCACAGTAGTTGAAAATGGAAATAAAAATGAGAAATAAATACAAACAAAAAATTCATAATGCTGAGGCGTTGAATTCAAAAAAAAACTCCACAAAACAGAGAAGACAGCAAGCAAAATTTATTTCAAAAGCGACCATTTCAGTTGATCTTTCATCGCACCAACAATATTTGAGCCAATCTAAAACCAGGATATTCGATTTTTCAAAAACTTTCCAACCTGGCCAAGAGATTGATCAGAAACAAAAGACACATCTTCTCCTCTAAGTGCGCAACGTGACACAATCGTTTGTGGATCCGTTTCCATAATTATGCTGAATTTCAAAAATATTTTGCAACTCGACAATAAAATACCCGTCATCACAAAGCTCATCGATTATCAAAATCGTTGTGTCCATTGCATCGATAAGAGTCTAAAAATTTTTTGAGATACTTGCCGGAAGCTTTAATCCAACCTTCTTTTCCACGTTTTTGCGAAGAACAGTCGAAACCGAATCATAAAGGCCATTCAAAACGCTCTCGAGGACCTAAAAAATTAAACTATTTGTACGACAACGCAAAAAAATACCAATTCGTTTTCTCTAGCAGCTCCCAGAACATAAAAGTAAAGGTCAACATTGAAACGATAGAGACATGTGATCCCATCAAGCAGAATAATTTCACCTAGGATTTGAGGAAACTTTTCCACACTCATAAGAACTTACATCCAGAATTGCGTTGAGATTTTTTAAATAAGCTCGTCTCGAAAGCGCGCTGTTCCTTTTGGGTTGGGAAGGTCTGCTTGTCATAATACTAAAGATATTTTATTTTTCCGATAAACTTCAAGTTCAACCTTATTCACAACACGATTTCCATCTTGATCCAAGATAACGATTCCCTTCACACTGTAGAGTGATGTTGGATCCTTTAAAATCAAAAGTAAGGGGAGTGAAAAGAAAACAGTACCGAATCAAAATCCATAGACGAAATTTATTTGTTGCCTGGGTGGGTGAGGCGTCTACAATAGCTCTGAACAATGTAATGCGTACAATGTACAATGTAAGTGCGCTAAATAAAATCACCAAATCAAAATACAAAGTTAGAAAATGACATTCAACAGGTTTTAAAAGAACCAAGAACACTTTGGAGAGGAACCGTGGCACCTCCAAATGACAACCCGAGACTTGATTACGGTAAATTCCCCAACAATTAAAAGTGACTAAGGATGAGTTTGCGAAACGACTTAATGGTAATTAAATTGACAAACAGATCGAATGGCAAACTAGCCTCCAAACATTAAAAAAGCTTTTTTAGCAAAATTTATACTTCCTGTACAAAGAAAAAATCTGAGCTGTGACGCAACAGCTAGTTTTGTATCACCGATAAATCACCAATCGTAAAAGAAATTAAAAATTAACAGCTTTGCAGAAGCCATCGCAGTAAAAAGTAAATAGAAATTTAATATCAGAAAAATGAGCACTTAATAACGCTTTCACGCAATGTAAAAAATCGCAGTAAAAAGTAAATAGAAATCTAATATCAGAAAAAAGAGCACTTAATAACGCTTTCACGCAATGTAAAAAACAGCACCCGTATACATACGCAAAACCCTAAAACAACAAGAAAAACAAATTAAAATCCTGTGTAAATGCACTCAAAATTTGGGAAAAATGAAGTCTGGCATTTGAAAACCAGATAAAGCTTTCTTTTGTGGTAGCAGCACTTCTCTGTTCAACAACGCCATCAAAATACCTAAAAAATAAGAACACTATAAACATGACAGCAACTCTAAAGCTATGCAATGTATGATAATACGGTATCAAATGTCCACCAAAAAGCAAATGTCGTTCATTGTGCCTGTCTGTTGATTGAAATTTGCGAGCCAACTTTTCGATCTCTTTGCACTGATCCTAAATTTAGTAGAAGTTATTCAGCAATTTGCAATTAAAGTTAAAAACAACCTTTGTTATATCGACAACTTTGTCAATGGCTCCAGAAATGCAACGGAAAAGCATCAAGAACTAGAATTAGAAATATTAAAAAAAACGATATTTTCTTTATTACCGTAACATTAAAGGCCAGTTTGTGGATCTCGAACAAAACCAATGGAATATAAGTTCCTGGCAAACGTGAACCAAGGTTGTCTTCAACGACATTGGCAAGCTCGCATATGTGACTGCTCTAAAATAATCTATTATCTCCATCCTCAACAGTGTTTTACTAAAGCATCTTCGACACTTGATACATCATTTTGCAGCAAAGTGAACATTTGATTCAACCAGCAGAGACGGGCTTGTGGAATTTTCTTGAGCTAAATTGAAAAGATGCAAAAACTATTTATACCACGCACCTTTTTCTGTTGATTGAACTGGAGATTTCGGTGCAACTGAACGAGACACTCCAAAAGCCTAAATTATGAAGTTGTCTAATAAACTATTTAAAAGAACCTGAGCGAATTATGCCACTCCAAGTAATTCTCAGCGCCACCATAGTCAATATCCTGTACAAGTGATTTGACCCGTAAACACTGCTCAAATTTATTTGCAAGCCGTAAAAGAGCCGTGAATCTATCGTGAATCTGAACAATTCGATAGCTTCATTTAGCAAAACTAGTAACCGTAATTGTCGTATTTTTCTTGCCAGGTTGTGAGCTTTTCAAATCTTGTGCAATTTTGGCGATGCGTATCAGCAAAGACCTTGTTGCGTCTTGCGGTTGCGTTTGATCAGTAACACTGAGTAGGACAGATGCTTGGCCAAGACGAACAGCTTTTTCCTAAATTTTTATTATATATATTATGCACAAACAATTTTAAAAAATTGAACCTTTTCTCGTGCAATAATAGCTCGCTTGCAAGCTCCACTATAACGCTGAGAAAGCTGAATAGGAAGGCGGCAGTTTTTGAGCGGACACGTAACGATGGTTTTCTTTTCACGGCAGCCTTTGACGTGGGTATCAAGAAACTAAACAAAGATACTTCCTAAAACAAAACTATTCAAACCGATGCAGGAAAGATGTGTGAACAACTCAGCTTAACAAATTGGCTCAAAGCAGTTTCGGTGGCGAGATCCGACGAAACAAAGGTCTTGATCAAATAATCATATTGTTGGCGGCCGCAAGAAAAACATAGATCTAAAAATCAGCATTTTAGACAAATTTAGAAGCAAACCTGGACAAGCCTCTCCACAGAAACCAAGACATGGATGACCGCATTTGAGTGCTTTCGTGCAGTGTTCATTACAGGCAGAGACATCGCATATCTCGAAGCATCTAAAATCACGATATTCAGTGATTTCAGTCTATTTTCGTTACTTTTTACTACAAGCCCGATGCACGCAGCTGTTCGAACAGGCTTTAATGCATAAAGCACACAGCCCTGGACAAGTTCGATCAAAACCCTGAATTTTTATTTATAGTACAATTAGAAAATTAAGTACAATTCGATGATCCTCGGGTCCTTTGGGTCTTCCGCAAATCTGGTGTTCACATTGAGTGTAGCAAGGTTGTTCACATGGTGGGCATGCAACTCCACATCTAAATAGCAATTTAACAAAAGATTTTTTAATTGCTACAACCTGGCCAAGCAAAGGTGTCCGCAAGTAAATGTTTTTTCGCATGTCGATGTGCACATATGCCCGCCTAAAAAAAGTTGCAATTACGGCGGGCTACAGAAACGCAATTGAGGTTGTACTCAAAAGATCGTCCAAACAAACCAACCTTCATAACATTCTCCGCATTTTCTTGTGCAAGTATGTTTGCTGTTGCCTAGCCCGCATTCCAAAGTTTTCAAACAAACCTCAAAAATGCATTTCCTTTGAAAAGCAGAACATAAATGTTTTACCTTGGTGCAATATTTTTGACTTTTACCAGCAAAGCAAGGAACCATACTCTCATGACCACATCCGTTCAACTTACGCAAAACAAGTTCCTGGAAGCTGATTGAATCGCATCGTGATCGTAAACAAACCTGGCATTTGACGATATCTGGATCCTCATAGCACATCATTTCCACGTCATGTCCACATTTTTTCTTTCGTTTCAGTTTCTAGGAGTATTGTGGTAAGGCATTTGCAGAAATTGATCAGAAACTAGTTCTATATAATTCATAATTCATTACCATTTGACACTCAAAAGTACAGTCGTCACCACATTTGTTTGAGCATTTATGACCACACACGAGGATCTCCGTACAAGGCTGATCGCAAGGAACCATCCTCTAAAATGACCACATTCTTTCTTTCGTTTCAGTTTCTAGAAGTTACTAGACCTAGAAATATCAAAAACCTCTAGGAAACGCGCGACTTCTTGGCATGGAATCTTCGTTGTATGTCCATATGGACACTCAGAGAAAGGCATTGGAACCAACTAAAAGACACAATTAAATGTTCTCTGGGGCTAAGATCTCACTTGATTGCAAATCACGTCACATGGCTCGCTGCAGCGTTTAGCACATTGATGTTCGCATGGTAAGGATTGTTCGCATCTTTAATGTTTCGTTTGTGCACTAAAGCCAAAAATTTTACCTGTGACTGCAGCGGGCTTCCGAATCATTCATAAAACATGCGATTTGTGTAATGTGATTGCAAGGCAAACTGATGTCCACCATTCGACTGCAAGGTCCATATTGCTAAAACGTCCATACGATGAATCGATTTTTCTTGTATCAAAGTGGGCAAAAATTCAAATGTATCTTAATGTTTTTACCTCGCAACAAAGTTTTTCAGCTTGATGGACTTTTCGCGCACATGTCTTCAACACAAGCGTTTCGCACTTCCATATCTCGTGATCATCAATTGGGTGACACTTTCGAGGGCATTTATGAGAACAGGGCAATGATGACAGACAATCCATATCACAGCCACCCTCCGGAGATTTTTTAGTAAACTCGTCAGGGCATCCAATTTTCTAAAAAATAACACTAAATATTTAATACAAAGGACCGACTTGAAGACGTCCATGTGTGCTACAACGAATTGGAAGATAATAGTCGACCATTCCCTCCGTTGTCAGAGAAGTAGCTAACTCTTGCCATAAACATGATCTGAAATTAAAAACTAATGATAATAGACAAAGAAACCCACTTGGTGGCCAAAAACTCCATATTACCGAGCACATAGAGCCCTGAAAAGATTTATTTACCATATTGCCGCTAATAGAAGCCGCACTAAACCGCACTAAACTCTTGTCTCTCAGGTGAGTGGGGGGAGGCTTCATCAGTTTAGTGCGGCTTCTATTAGAGGCAATACAGTAATTGGTGGTGGGACTAAAAAGGAATTAATAATCAAAAACCACTTACCATGTTGAGCTCGTGTCCAAGAAACACAAATTCGGTTTTTTACTCCCAAAAAGCCAACAGTATTTGATTCACTGATCGATCGGACAAGCGACAGAATGATGACCCGATTTTCCTAAGAGTTCTCTTGTTTGAATAAGCTTAAATTAGCCAACTTTTCCTTGAAATCCATCAACCGTTTCAACGGGCACTTCAGTACGACCATCAATAGTTGTTCCCAATTGGCTAATAGCCTCTCTCATGGCGGTGGTTTGCGCTGCGTAAGTGCAAAGTACGGTGATCTAAATTTGAACGGTTTGGATGGTCGTCTTATTTAAAAAAAAGAGTAAAAGGAGTTTGGAGCAGAGTATGAATCAAAATACCTCGTTTTTCTCGTAAGCACCCTGTTTCAGCAAATATCGCGTCAGTTCAACGGCTTGCACAATTTCATAATCGTTGCGATGCGAGACTGAATCAGTGCCCAAATTGACTTCCTCGAATTTGTGCGTCCAAAAGAAAAGCTAAAGCAGAAAACTTTGACATTAAATATGAAAATACATTTTTATCTAATCCTTTGACAGCAGGGTATTGTTTGATATCATCATGATCAAGGAGGCTAAATAGGTCAATAAAAACAAACATTCAATAATTCAAACTTTTTATAGAAGTGAGGTCTGACGATTATCTTTGTGATTTCCTCTCTCATACGATGTTGTACCTGTGTTTTTTGTAGGATCAAAATTTTCTTCAACCCTACCTCAAGGGTTGTTAAGGGAAACTTGTTCTTGCAGAGTCTTTCAAAAAGGGAGCAGTCAAGACCATAATCGCGAGCAAGCATGTAAACGGCTAAAAACCGAATTAAGCTAGACAATAATCGGGCTCAAATATTATTTCCTTTAGGTATCAGAAAAAAGAACATACATGGATTCGGTCGCAGTTGTTCATGATCACCAATAAGTACCACATGCTCAACAGAAGGAAGAAAAGTACTCAATACATGGGCTTCCAAAACCTAGAGCTTTCACACTATAATCACTTTGGACACACAGGGCAACCTCGGCGGCTTCCTCCACAATTACGCTTCGGCACTTTAACATTTCCAGAAGCTTTCGATTTTTGGCTGCCCCAGTTGTCGTTGCACCGATCACCTATGATTGTACGTTTGATGCATAAAAATATGCCGTTTACCAAAGACTTTCGCAAGATGTTCGCATCTTCCAATAAGCGATAATCCTTGATTGCGTCACAACACTTCTTGTAAGTAGTCATGATATCGGGTAAGAGGGCTCTAGAAAAGATTATTAATGTGGACATGCCTACGGTTAACATACCTGGTTCGCCTAATCAGATTTTGACGCCAGTATCTGAAAAACAAAAATTGAAAGTTGAAATTGAGGAAACAAACGCATAAAGTTGCCATCGTCTTTGCTTTGGAAGGGTGAAGATATTCTAAAAGATGAAAAATTAAGAAGTTCCAAAAACATGTGCTCTCGACAAAAGTTTATCATAAAGTTTTTACCTGAATTTCCTCCGCTTCACTTTCAGTAAGTGGTTCAGCCTTGAGTATGTTATGTTCATGTTCATTCATCGCCTTGATGATCACTGGGTCCTGTTATAATAAAATAATTAGTACCTACATAAAATAAAAAAGTTCACTTGTGTAATCTTCGCATTGTTGAAGCGAATGTCCCCTTGTTTGATCAGTTTTCCAAATAGCAACACCTAAATGATATTTTGTCTATTTTAGTCGAGTTAAATAGCAAATAATCCAACTAAAGACAAATTTACTTCGCGCTCCATCCGTTGTGTTTCAGCATCTTGATCTCTTCCAAATCTCCAACTCTCGAGAACCTCAAAGATTTCCTCTTTTGTGTTCACGACGCCATTGTCTCGGATCTCCTCAAGAAAAATGTTACAGTTACTAAACTCATTTTTTTACCGCAAGTTTCATCGTGAGTTGTCTGAAAACATCTTCCAAGTTTGAAGTCTTTTGAGGAATAATGTATCCTTGAGCTTCCGAAGCGACATCTTTCTTTCCACTAAAAACGCATAATCCCGTCTATTTTGTATTGGCAACCTTGTTTCTGTATCAGAATCTTCAGAGTTAAAATCATTTTTGGGGTTGGTTTTTCGTGGGAGGTCTAAATTTTCAATTTAAGTTTGACATTTTTTATCAAACTTTGAGCATCGCGAGAGAATTGTCTTTCAAGAAGCCACGAAACGAGTTTCTCGTCAGGCGACAATGCATGTCCCTTTGTGTCTGTCGCTCCCACGTAGTGAGCGAGAAATTGCTGTTGATGAAGCTCAGACATAGCCTAAACATGTTTGATTCGTGTAAGCACTAAGGTCACAAACCAGCATAGTGTTTTTGCCGTCGATCATCCTAGTAGTCGCAAGTCTCAGAATTGTTGCAGCCGAACCGAGTTGCAGTTCGAAAATAGGTGTTATAAAGCATCCTTTTCATATTACCATCGATCTAGTTTTTATTAATTTAAAAAGTTTTCTAACCAGTTTCATCTCGTCTGCTGTAGAGTACTCGAGGAGGTTCCAAACCACGCTGCTGTAGAGGAGGCAGTTGTTCTCGCCATTCTTCAATAACATCCCTTTTGGTCAATTTATGAATTCTAAATCAGACATTGATTCCAATTGCTTTTGTTAAAACTTATTCTTTAATGTAGGCGCTTTCTGATCGAGTTCCCAAGCGAGCCACAATAGGTCCTTCATGATCGATTCGTCCTCTCACCATATCTTCCTGAAGTGCTTGGTTTAAGGCACTTTTATACGATCGTCACCTGAATACGTCGATGAATCCTTTCCAAAAATTGATCCAAGGCTTGATTTGTATAGCAAACGACAAGAACCGGCTCGGTAATGCACCAACGAAGTCTGTTTGCCAGTAAAGCTGCGATGATCTCAACACCAATGAACGTTTTACCTGCATAGAGGGAAATTGTATGAATAGAAAAAATAAAGCTAACCAGTGCCAGGCGGTCCTTGAATGATCACAAATTCTTGTGTTAGCGCTTGAAAAAGAGCATTTCTTTGCGATTTATCCATCAAAACGTTGTTTGCTAAACGATACACTAAACGATACACTAAAGTGCTACTTACGATCAAACTGAGCATGCAAAGTCGAAATATCATAATCATCGTCACGAATCGCAATTTCTTTCAACACTGAAGAAAGGACCTACTTGTTTTTTCTAGAAAGTTAACCCACTTCTTTGATTGGGCGCATATGGACGCGGCACGAAATCTTCTGCCTCTTCAATTTGCTCGCGTATTTCTTCGGCTTCTCGGTCGACGTCGCTCATTTTTTGTGGTTTGCTCATTGGTACAAGATCCGTTTCCGACAAATCAATAACAGCAAGCTGAAAAAATATATTAACACTTTTAGTGGCATGAAGCAAACTTTTTCGTTTCGCTTTCTCCGGGATTTTTGATATTCCGTTTTGACCGTGTTGTTCTTCTCAATTGCCAGCCTGCTTTCTCTTTCACGTTCCCGCTCTATGTTTCTTTCGATGATTTTTGCTTTAGCTTCCAATCGCTTTCCGGTGTAATAAGTCTAAAACAGTTATGAAAACAGCATCGACTTTTCAAGAATACCTCGAGTCTCGCCCGCTCTTCGATCACATTCTCCGGTGTTTCCAAGCGCATGTAAGCCGGGCGCAAAACATCAGTGAATCCATGGACAATATAGCGTTCGAAGGGGATTGGAAGGAAACGGTTCATTTTCTGAAGGGGATAAACAAATGTTGATAAGATTTAAATTACCTTAATCGACGTTAAAACATGCGTGTACATCTCAATAAACGCTTGACTTTCAATTAAGCAATACGCTGTATCCAATTTTGCATGTCCACCCTTGTCAAGCCCATCCATTTCATCAATAAAGCTGATTCCGATATAGTTTCGTGTTTTCTTAAAAATCATAAATTTTAATTCAGGATGGGACTAACCAAAAGCTCATCATCACGTTCGACCACGAGTGCAAGGTGGATATTTTCCTTGAATCCATCAGATGAAAGACCAATCATTTGTCCGTAGGGAAGTTTCCTTTGCTCAAGTATTTTTGTGAGATGCTGACGCTAAACACTGTTTTTCAAAAAAACTGCACATAATAACGCTTTACTGGAATTTCGATCATTCTCATCGTTTCACCGGTGCCGCTTTTAGCTCGAATACCACGAATACGAACGTCTTCCATAATAAAAAGATCGGGTGCAAGTCCATCAGGATCACGACGAGGGTTGTATCCTAAAATATTTTGAATCGAATCGTCTTTGTTACACATATAGTTACCATGTTGTTTCCAGATGAATAGACCATCTCGAAGAGGCGAGACCATATCTTCGCGAAAAAGGCGGTAGACAGTGTCCAGATATTCTTCAGCATTAGTAAACGATCCTTCTGTTTTCATCCGCCGTAGATATGGCTTATCTGACGAGTTAAAGTTTAGATCATATAAAAGAAGACAAACCAGGATTGACTAAGTCTGAACGAATGATTTTGGTACTGAGCTTTCGAAAGTCACCAGGTGGCGCTGTTTTCTCCGATTCGGCCCAAAGACATGGCATCTAAATTTGCAAATCAACAATTGATTTAAAGAATTTTACGTTTAGGTGCAATGAGGTTGGCATCTGACCACATGTTGGAATCGTAAATTCCTTTTTCAAAAAATTGTTTGTAGAAACTAAAAGAAATTTCAATTTTTAAAATCCATATTAGTTTTACCGTTCTCACTGCCCCAACCATCTTCATCAGAACCAATGTATGGTGTGTCGTTGGTGTTGATCTCTTTTGAAGAAGTTCGCTGTTCAATCTTCGCTTCTGGACCTTCCTAAAAGTAAAACACGTTAAACCTTTTAAAGATTTGAAAACCATAATAATTTGAAGTGTTCTTTTTGTGTTCGATGGCATGAGTTTTCTGACAGCAGTAGGCAATTCTTCGTAGATCGCAAAAGCCTTATTCCAAAGCTTCATCTAAAAATCATACAATACTTTTACGTTACAGTTGCGCGAGAAGTTACCGTTTGTGGATTGATAAGCTGCTTAAGTGAAAGCGTTTTGAAGAATCCAAAGACCGTCGAGACACAATAAGCCAAGTGTTCAGGCTAAAGCTAAATAAATGGGCTTCTATCAAAACTACCACCTCCAAATCAATTTGAATCCTTCCTTCGATGAGCGGAAACAAGAAATCATCAAGAATGTGCATAACAAACCTTTAAAAAGCGTTTGAATAATCGTTCAAGACCGTATCTTACCCAGACGTAACCGTAACTTCAAGCATATCATGAACGATATTCTCCATATCTTGGCGCTAATAAATAGCTTGCAAGTGAAAATATACAAATAGATCAAACCTCCGTCAAGCAAGCCAGTGTAATAACTTCCAGCAACTTTATGTTTAAGCACAAGTCATCAAATGGGTGGTTCAAACGCTCTTGTAGGCTAGGGGAAAAAAACATTGTGATCTAAATTTACAGTCGTTTTGTTTTCCAAGCATTTCCCAAACCAAAGTGGAAGTATGCAGATTGGGTTCATTGGAGATCACATCGAGTGCTTCGATAACCTCATCAGAAGTTACTGTTAAGCGAAGTGGCGGGGATACATCAGTTGATAACTCAGGAGTGTCAATAATTCGGAAAACTTCACAAGGCGCGGCATCTAAAAAACAAGTTGATTAACTCTGCACTTTAATCAAAACCTTTAAGAATCTGGGCGCATTCTTCATCCTCACTTTCAACGAGTACTGGGACGTAGTCCATTCTAGTAATAAACCATTTTTATTTTGAAAAAAAATCTCCTACGGAGAAGCTCCATAGGAGTTTTCACTGTCGTTATGGTGAGCTTGACTGACATGAACTGGACGAGGAAGCGTTGCAGCTCTCCTAGGCTTGTATAAAAGTTATCTAGAACTATCTATTTACTGTGTGTCACGTCTCCGATTTTCGTCTTCCTCCCTTCTTCTCCTAAAACAACAACTAATAAATATACTTTAAAATAAAAATCACATAATCGTCGGATAGTCTTGGGCCCTTGTGATGTCATTCTTGGCAACAATCTCCGCAAATTGTTCGCACCATTCCCTAAACACGAGTTTGTGCTTGATGTCTAGAACTTTAGAACCTGGCTTGACTAAAGTCGTTTGATCGAATCATTTGATCGGCTTCTTCTCCAGTCACCAGAAACATAAACATGTGATTGTGGTAGCGCGTTTGTAGCTTTGCAAATGTATCGGAGCCGTCTGGAAATGAATAATTATCAAAAACATAATTTACCTCAATTAACAAACCAATATCTTCGATAAACAAAAGCATCGGCAGTCTCAACGGCGGGTTCTCCAGTACATCCTTTGTAACATTATCCAGTGTCTCAGAAATTATTTGCTCATCTTTTGCGTTCGACAAGAATGAGCTTGGGCGAATGTCGAGTCGTAAATCCTGCTCGTTGAGTAGCTTGCAAATTTCATCACAGAATGCTCTGGAAACCAAAGACTTTAACCAGTTTTTGAGGTAATAAACGAACATCAGCATAGTGTTGTCTCGAATCGATGGAGTTTTGAGGCCGAATTTGATAACCAACCATTTCCGAGCATTTTCTGGAGCCACCTAAATAGCATCGAACTTGTAAAATCACTGACCGCTCAATTTTACTAGGTAGTTAGTTTTAAAATGCCATAGGATCTTACACTCTCAAAACCTACTTCTTGCAAGTTCTGCTACAAATCATGAACCCGAGCTTCGTCTTACCTGAGCTTCAGGAATCCCTCGAAGGCGGATAAAATTCGTTGGTGGCTCGCCAGTTTCTGGCATCAGGCTAAACTTTTTATAATTACGCGTATGAATTTTAACAAATGTTTTTGCTTAGAAGATTTGCCCACAAAAAAACCAATACAAAATTTTCCTAGCGTAATACACGCTGCAGCGCATTTTAACAAATCCTCCAGAAAAGGATCCAAAATAAAGGCAGGGTAAAAGGATAGACAAACTCATTTTTCACAAAGAAAATAAAAATAAAGTTTATTGTCACAAAAATATGTACCTTTATACTCAAAATGCCAATAAAAATCAATAAAAATAAATAGAAATAAATACAAAATTCTCGATAATTGTAATTAATTGTCAACGCCGCGGGATCATGATCAATTGTGCGTCAACGTGGGCTCGGAGCTGTTCATGTGTTAATTGGCTTTCACCTCCACGTGCTCGCCGACGAATCAATTCGAGACTGCTTGCCGAAGTGAAACTTGCCAAACGGCCTTCAGTTTTCTAAATCATATAATCCATGAAATTTTAAATCTTGCTGACATCTCCCATCCAGCGACGACGTCCCACCACCAACGCACAAAAGACATTCTCCCGTAATGGATTTCGATAAAAAACACCCTGCAAATTAAGATCTTAACAAGAACTTAAATTTAACTCACCTGGAACTGCTGCTTTTTTTGTCCTTCGAGTTGTTTGGGATCAGTAATAACAGCTTTGCAACTGTAACAGTAAAATGAAAAATGATAAAAACTTAAGCTTACTAATCCTCAATCTCGGGCTCGCATCGGTCTTCAAGTGCTTGAAACGTTACGTTGGGGAAGATTGGTGATTCAAAAATGTATGTACGCTAAAACGTTGGTTTGTCTAAGAAATTAAAAAACTTTTTACCGTCCCGTCACTTTGAACCATCAAAGTATTCAGCGTCAGATCATCAAATCTTGTTAAACCATCAAGCACGAAGCACTGTTCAAAAAACTAAATTCTTCTTGCATCAAAACGTCAAGCATTGAAGAAAACCTCTAAAAATGTGGCTTCGATAATCTTGAAAGCCAACGCATCATTTTTTAGAGATCGTGTGTCAACAGCAAGAGTTATAACGCATGGTTTCAATGTTCCAACATCCTAAAGCAAAAACCTTTTGTTTTTAAGTCGACACAAAACTTACACTTCTCGCACTTGTTGTAATTCTTGAAAATGGCACCTTAAAAAAGCCGTATTCTGATGTCCTAAACAACAAAGTAACATCCAGTCTAAATCTCCTCACCATATCGGCCAGCTTAACGGTGAGTTTCTAACATTTACGCGGCGATAACGTTGCCAAAATTCTTTGCTCACGTACCTAAAAAAGCTATGACCAGTTTAAATCACGAGGCTTACGATGACAAGCCAATGTAGCTAACACGCATAAATCCATTAACTCTAAGCCTGTGGTCAGCCTGAAGAACTGCCATCGAAGTTGCATCCTCCATCTAAACTAGTTCAAAATATTCCAATCAAACCACATAATGCCTGTGATAAAAAGTTTAAATACCTGAAATCCGCCGATGAGACCATCTCTCCATCGAATACGTTGCCCAACGGCGTTCGGCAAATTTTCATATCCGGCTCGACCTATCTTTCCTTGAGTCACAGCTTTTGAATCAAAATTTAGAATTTCAAACTAAAAGCATCCACTATTGCATTAAACAAAGGGCAAAGTTACTTCCAGGTCATTTGTGCCAACAACTTCAAAGCAGTTCAGCAGAATTCCATACTTCCATGACTTATGCACATGAGTTGGACCCTGGATGTTGAATTTTATGTAGAATCAAAGATCGATCAGACTTTGAGCAAATCTTCTGATGATTTATGGACGAGTGTTGGTTGTGCCTTGGAAAACATGCATACAAATAGTTCTGCATTGTCGGCGTCGTCATCCGAATCCTAAATGAGCACAAAATGATGAATTCTTGAAAAAGCTGACCAAGTAAACTTCCTCAACCTTGACTTGATTTTGTTTTCTTGTGTTTCCAACACTGGGCATTGATTGTGCTACCTAAATAAAAAAACTTCAGAAAAGTCAATAGTTCAAACCTCTTCACATGATGGCATCTCCACTGATAATTCCTCATTTTGCCATTCGTCGGTGGGATACCTCAGAAAATATTGTGCCATCTGTAAAGTTTATTATCACAATACTCCTTCTGTGCGGACTAGAGTTCTTAATAGTGAATCACACTTACATCAAAAGAGCGACAGTCTCCTCCAGCATTGACCAGTGAAGAGAGGCTATTAATAGAGTTAAGGGATTGTCGAGATGAATCCATTAGAGCTTTCTAAAATGTCAAAGTTAAGTTCAAGTAAAATAGAAAACTCCATCAGCCAATTTTTGGGAGTTCAGCTCTTGATACTCATTTACACTTGGAAGCTTCGGCGTGTTAGCGATACTTTTCTAAAATTAGCCATTCCTCATTTAGCAATCAACTAAAGAAACCTTTTGTTGCTCATATGCATTATGCAACTCCTCACGTTTTTTTTGACGAACATCGTTCCAGCCATCGTCTTCGGAGACGTCTTCCAAATAAGCTGGAGTTGTCTGAACAAGAAATATGTAAAAGTGTGCAGAATAATCAAACCGCTTCCTTGCGAAGTGTCTCTTGACATTTCTGTTGACGAATATCGTTCCAACCATCATCTTCAGAGAGATCATCAAAACATGATAGAGTTATCTAATCCAAAGAGTATGAAACAATGTAAGCAAAACAAACCGAGTGACTCTCTGTTGGGCCGCCTCGTGAATTCTCAATTTTCTCGCACGTCTCCGTGACAGTGGTGTTCGGAAATGCGGTTCGAATTTGGAAACTTTCCAATTGATCGTTGGTGATTCGAATCGAACGTTCAGACTAAAAAAAGAGATTAAATCTTTCATCTTAAAATTACACCATGCGATAAGCTCTCCTCAAAATTTGTTCCAATTGGGCATGTAGCTGTCCTGAGCGAATCCGCTTCAGTTGATGCTTGTTGAACAACATATTGATGAGCAACTCTCTAAACTCAAAAAATAACAAGAGTGCTATGTATAAATAAGGACAAATTATCTTTCCTAGAGCCACACAAAGAATAAATCCTTTTGAAAGTCATACCTTTGAGTAGGATGATTTGATTTGCGTAAAGTGATGTTGAAATGCAAGTTCGAAGCGGTTCGACGTCCTTGCGCAGTTAGTTGTCCACTCTTCACCAGAAGTAGCCAGCATACGAGAGAAACCTTCTAAACAAGCATAGTTATAAACAAAGTCAAAACTCTCACCAAACGTTGGAAAGCCATAACCATTAGGTCCTCGTCGTCCCCGTCGTCTATGTCTCATTTCCCAAAACTAAAAAATTTCTGTTTAAAAGACTAAAGTAAAGTGCACAATACAACGTCAAGAAGCAAAGAAACAACAAACACTCAGCTGTTCATGTATAAAGCACGTTATTATTTTGTCTTACTAGCTTCTATGATTTGACAAATAGCAGAGGATGTTGTAAAGCGCTAGTATTCTAGTTGTTAACATTTAAAGTTTCATACACTAACCTAATGTGCGTTTTTTGTGCCTAAATAAAAATTGTAAACGTTTCATTTGATTCAAATTTAGTAGATGTTCATTCAAAAGAACAAGTTTGCACAATTATATTGATCACAGGACTTTAGATGAACTATGGCTCTGTGGTGGCCATAGTTCCGTCGTAGTTAGTAAAAGAACCACGCAACTCAACCATCAAAGAAAAAGCACCAACTCGCAAAACCGAATGAAAATTGGGAGCTTAAGCCGGAAAAAAAAGTTTTATACTCTTGGCAATCAACCACAACTTTTAGATATTCGGGGGTGGGACAAATGCGACCTTTTTTTTGCGCATCTGGACATTTGCGCACCTTTTTTTTGCTGGAAAAGGCCTTAGGAAAGGTCGTAGAGCTTCAAAAATGTTTTCATAGAAGGGAATCGTACGCAACTTAACGCTTTTCCGCAGTTTTTGCCTTTTAGCCCAAATTTGACGTGTCAGCGAGGTCTGATTTGTCGAAATTCGGAATCTACGCATACGATTCCCTTATATGGAAATATTTTCGAAGCTCTACGGCCTTGCCTAAAGCTTTTTCCAGCAAAAAAAAAGGTCGCATTTGTCCCACCCCCAGATATTCAGCCAAATCAGCTGAACATCTATTTTATAGGTTCTTTTGATTCTATTCACTAATCTTTTTTTTCCACAGTTTACCTAATTCAAACATCTATCGAATGCGCCGTTTGCTTTTGATTTCTTTAAAGCAAAGAAACCCTTATTGCTTTTAAAGTGGTCGATTCTCTTGTGTATGGGCACAAATCCCTTGAGAGGCAATGGACTGCTCAGTCACACAAAAAAGGATGGAGGAAACTAAGACTTATTTCCGACACAACAAGCACCCTTTTCTCCGTTTTTTTTGCTCCCAAAAAGGCCTCCATCAAGAAACCATTATCGTTGGGAGTGGCAAGTTTTTTGTCTTTTTTTGAGCCAAAACTCCCAATAAACTATTTTTTAAAGCTTCATTAAAGGACTTCACTTACAGTTGAACTTCTTCGTTACTGATTAGACAGTTTCTCTTGACGTTTTCTGAAAGCTTAAACAGCTTTGATAAGCTGAAACTGAGGCAAGCCTTGACTGCTTGAGCGATTAAAGCTATTGGGAGGGTTAAACTTTTAAAAAGGCAACTTTGAGAAAGCTACCGTACTGAAGAAAGTACGATGGCTTTTCTCAAAGCGCACAGTTTAGGAAACACTCAACCCAAACGTTTTGGCAAATATCACACTCAAAACTCCTTGATTTTGAACCCGATAGTACCGCCTTTATAAGTGATACTGTAGTTTTAGTAGTGCTAAAATAAAATCATTCTTTGCCTAGGTTCAAATCCATCTTAGCCCTTGTCACCGATCTTGAAATTGATCACATTTTTGTGAATCGATCTCACTTTTTTTCCCCGTCCACCACCACTTTGTTGTTTATCTTTTAGAGCGATAGGGCAAAAATGCGATGATATTTGCTCACTTGAAAGTCAAGCATCGACTCTTTTCTCTTTGGGCTGACCCCTTCACAACATCTCTATCTCATAAAGATATCAAATTCACAATCCATTCACGTTTTATTGTGTGAGCTAGACGGGCTTCGTAGTTGAATTGCTTTTGGTATTTGTTTACTATTTAGCATTTGGGATGAAAACACATCCAATACTGCCTCCAATTCTCATTTTCTAATTACTAAACCTCAGCTCTAGTAATCACTAATCCCAAAACTCATTCCAGATTCACTCGAAATGCACTGAAATGCACTGATTTTTCAAGAGAATTGGGAAACGGTGGCTTTAGAAGAGAAATGGGATGGCTTTCTAAGGGGAAAGAGCCTCGAAAGCGACTCTTCTTTCAAAGAAATGAAATAGATGAGAATTCCTCTTGGGTCTTTCGTTTGTCTTCTTGTGATGTATTAGCAAAAAGATAAAGGTTTCTATAACTGGTTAGTACCTCAAAGCTATACATTACGATAGTTTTCTAAAGTTGGCATACTTTAGAAATTTTGGAAACGCATTTGGAATCGTATTCTAGAGGATCGTATTCTAGTGCTGAACTAAGATACAAAGTTCTGTCCTACAAACCTTTTGAGGGGTTGAATTTGACCTTCGTAGGTTGTCACTTTGCCCTTTTTCACTCACACACCGTCTACTCTCCTTGCCATTGCCCAATTTCAGTCGTAAAGTGAAAGAATACGGGAGGGCTTGACCCTCACAACCCCTCCATCCCTCCGCTTTTAGTCAATTCGGGCCCCCGCTTTCTCTTTTTTCAGTTTTTTTAGTTTTTTCGACTCTCGTCTCCATTTCGTAGAGACAATTTCTTTTACACGAGACAGGAGAGTTTCTCCTTTCTCAGCTTTCAATGAGCTTTTGCAAATCTCATGAAAGTATTGTGCGATTTTTTTTTTGGGATTTTACGAGACTTTGTTTCATCAAGTGCTTAGCTTTGGTTTGTGATTTGCTTGTTGAATGCTTTGTTTAAATATCAATTTAAGTAACAGTAGTATCATTCACTTGACAATGGACAGATTTAGCTCATCTTTGGTTCGTTTTTATTCATTAGTCTTTCAAAAGTGTAAGAAGTAGTAGGTTTTCAAAAAAGATAGTAAGTGTCAATGAATCCAATTGAAATCCAAATCCAATCAAAAAGCCAATGAATCCAATTGAAACCAAAGTTAGTTCTAAGTAAGTTAACAGAAAGTAATCCTTTAGATCACACCGTTAAGCCAGTAAAAATATGGATAATCTTGAAAGCAAAGATTCAATAGTCCAATTAAGAAATTTGGAACAATTCCGATAAGCTTTTGACCAATCCACCTAACAAAAAGCCAGCTAAAACAATAAAGAAAACTGATGCCGCTAAAGGCTAAAGACTAAAGCCAGCTAAAGGTTTCACTGATTCATACAAGCAAATTGATTGTCCATTGGTTGAATGGTTATTGAATGAGAGAATGGTTATTGAGTGTGTCAGTCACTCAAATATTCACAAGAGAAGAGACCCATCACTCAAACCCGCAAAAAGAGTGTGCAATGGGATGAGAACGAGCAAATGTGAATGTGCGTGTGGTTCTTTCTCATTCCCATCTATTCCCGCTTTGATCGAAGAGTGGGAAAAGGATGAGAAAAGGAAAGACAGACCACAGATCGATGCGCATGTGAAAGAAAGAAGCGGTACCTCCGTTGATTTTGCTGAATTCCTAGAAATCATTATTGCTAGCTAAAAACTTTGTCATCTTAGTGAGATTCACAATCTGAGCCTTTTTGTCCATTTCTTTTCTAAATCTTAGAAAATTTGGATTCTTTTTTATCTCATGCTCCTTCCTATTTGCTTAGAATGATTTTGATCCCATGTTTTTTTCCTAAAACTTTTCCTAAAACGTTCTAAACGTTTCTAAACGTTTCTAAAACTTTCAATTCCTTCTATCTTTCAATCTTTCAAGATTATGCTAGTTTTCGAAAGTTGACACGTTTTAGAACGATTTATTTAAAAGGATCAAGCTTTAGGGATAAGGGAGTAAAACAGACCACAGATGGATGCGCTTTTGAGGGCGGATTTCTCATTGATGATATCCCTTCTAGCTTCCTTCCAATCTCTTCACCCCTTCCTCCTTTCCATTCCTTTCCTTTCCCCCTTTTTTTTCTCATTTCCCCCTTCTCTACACCATTTTCCTCCGCTTGCATTTCCTATGATCTCCTCTTTTTTTCTATCTCGTCTCTCCTCTTCGATCCACCGTTTTTCCATAAACATTTGCGTTTTCAGACTTGTTTTTCTTTTCTCTTCTTTTCATTTTTTAAAAATTTAGATTTCAATTGTATTCTTCAAAGATCAATTGTACAGAGTGAACAGAAATAAAGGAGTGCTTTTTGTGCTTTGTGGCGCGAACAAAATGCTAAATTTTTGACTCTTTGAATCAAAAACGGAAGATAAAATTGAAATTTTCTTGATTTAAACATAAAGTCATGGACAAAAGTCTTTTAAAGTTGGTTTTTAGAAGTTAGAAGTATTCTTTGTATATCTTGGTTCAAATCCGACCAATTTGCAAGCGGTTAAAAGATTTAAAGTAGTTGTATATCTTGGTCCAAATCCGACCAATTAAAAGATTTTTGACTCTTTGAATCAAAAACCGAAAGGAGTATTAGAAGCTAGAGAAGTTTTCGATATTTTCAATCAAAATAGTTTAGCCATTAATAGCCATATTCTCACAGAGTACTTGCTAGATAGACTGTCAAAAATAAAATTTTTATTTTATTTTTAGCCGTTCACTACGTTTCTAAAAAGAAAATAGATTTTTTCAAAAAAATACTTTACAGGGTTTTCGAAAAAGATTGAAACTGTGTTTTTAGATTGATAATGATATTTTTATACTTAAAAATATCATTATTATTCAATTTTTTTTAAAATAACAACTTTACAATACTCCTGCTATCAAAAAGTTGTCAAAAAGGAAGATTCAAAAAAAAAATATTCTGTTATTTCTAGTCAAAAGCTTCAACAAGTGACTAAAGCTAAGAACGATTTATGTTTGAGATCTATTTTTAGCCTTAATCACTTGTTAAAGCTTTTGAACTTCCCATTTTCAAGTGTATGGGGCCCAGAAAGGGAAGGGTCTGTGGTCGACCCCGTCCGATCTGCCAAGTTGAGCAACGTCGGCGCGGGTTAGTCGTGGGTTCGACTCCCATGGGTTCCCCTCCGAGCGCCCCAGCCCGGCCATCGGAGTATCATCGGCTACGACAACTACACTTCTGCCTCAGTAAATGTGGAAGCGGGTTGTGATCTGCGCTAAGTGCGGAGACAGATCAAATCATATCATTTTCAAGTGTATAAAACTTTTCAAATGTTTTTGTTGATGAAATTCGACCAATTTCTGCATTTCCTTGTGTTTTTGCTCAATTTTGTCAAATTTCGAATTCCAATGAATATCGATAAATTTTCTTTTCAGGAATGCTCTCCACAAATCGATTTCTTCTATTTTTCTCCTTCTTCAACACCTTTCATTTCATTCAAAGCCAAGCCGGGAAATTGGCGAGATTTTGCGATTTGCAATTCAACTCGAAACAATCGATGGGATACGAACTAGGGACACAGGTCGATTTTCAAACCGATCAGATCACATTTCGAGAATTCTTTTTCTTTTCGTTTCCGAAACAGATAGCCCGAAACAGATAGCCCGAAACAGATCGTTTCCGAAACAGATAGCTTTTTCCAAAACAGATAACCCGATTTTCGTATCGTATCTAGGGAAACTCTGAAATCTCATGCAAAGTAAATAATTCAGTTGCAAGTGTGCTGTGGGGTGACCTCTTTTTCGATATGGAATTTCAAAAACGCTCGGGAATTCACGATTGGAGACGAGATTTTGCATCAGAGATTTCACTCGAATGATAGCGAAATGTGGAGTGAACTAAACGTGAGTCACATTTAGATTCTAATTGAGAAAAGATTGAGAAAAGATTAGATAAAAGAAAGAAACGTCTTGACTATTTGAAAGTCATGAGTTTGAAAGTCAAGTTTGAAAAAAAATGACAATTATCGTAAGAATTTCTTTTGCGGATAGATTGGGTTCAAATTACCGACTACGGCAAGATCTTGCTTATTCTAAGACACAGTGACAACCTAAGACAAGTTTGCGTGTGTGTATGTCCGCTCACTTCATAACTCTAGTCGCAGTGGGAATCTCGGTCTGATTTTTTTTATATAATCGACTACGGCACTTTTGCCTGTCAAATCGAATCCCAGTGGGTATTTCAGCAATTTAGTCATTCTTCAGTCTTCAGTCATTCAGCAGTTATACAGCAGCTTTCGAAAGCTACCACGTTTCCATTTCCAGCTCTCCAAGTGCACCGATCGAAACGAGGCGACAATCGGTTTTGTGGAACCGCTTCCCGGGGTGAATTGCTCCTATATGAAGGGACAAACAGTGAATCTACAACAAAGTGAGTAGTTCAAGAGGGAAATAGATTACAGTACAGTACACTATAAGAATAGCAACTTTAACCGCTTTTCAGAATCAGTCGAGATGCCGTCTTGGTACACGATCTGTTATCACAAAAATGATTGCTCGAGTTGTCGGTAAAAGAATGAACTTAAAATCATCTCTCAAATCTCAATCATTCAGAGTGGATGTCCTTTGTGCGAATGATCTCTCGGCGGCTTGTTCAGATATTTCATTGATCGGATCAGCGACAACGTCGACGAACTCCACGATTAAGTATTGGTATACGGTAAGACGAGATTTTCAGATTGGTTTTGCTGTAACAAGCAGACGAACTTTGCAATTACTTACCGTAATCTGCCGTAATACCAGTAGCTTGTTAACAAATAAAATCCACAAAAAGTACAACTTTAGGTTGGCAAAAAGTATCCATTTGTGGATGAATCCGTTGTCGCTGTCACCGTGATTCGACAACGAACAATGGAAGAAGTGAAGAGTGAAACAAAAGCAGTAAAAGTACGAAGAACTAAAACCAAAAACCCCAAAAGTTTTTCAGGTTGGCGTAAAAGAGCACATTTTGTTCAAGGACCTCCTTTCATCTGAATGGTACATTGTGCGAAGGTGCTTGACAATAAAACTCCCTTCCTCAATAAGAACTAAATCGAATCTCGCTTTTGAGAATGGAATCAATAAGATTTGTGTCGAAGAATCTTACAGAACGGCAAATTCCTCTCCATGTTCACATTTAATTCTGATATTCTTGCTCCCCCTACAGTTTCTCATGAACCATTTTATCGAGGTGCCTTTCTGATAGCTGTGATTTTCCCTCTCACTCAAACGGTTATACGCTGAAACGGGTCCAGATTGCATATTAATATAAATTATAAAAATTTACTTAACATAACAACAAGTACCAGTAATACCAACATCATAATGTCTTAGGAAACAACTGCGTGAATCCTGAAAGAATAACTTAGAACATGAGAATACAAAGAATACAAAGAATACAAAGAATACAAATATCTAAAATGGAGTCCTGAAAATAGTTAACAGAGTCAAAAACTGGCGAAGATAGGTAAAAGCAAACGTTTACAACTAACTTTATTAGCAAAACTTCCAGCGATTACCACATTCGAGACAAAAAACAAAAGTTGTCATTGGCTCGTCGGCGGAGCGAGTTTGAAGCTGATTGTAGGTACAGTTGTTCTTCTTGCACTTTCCACATTTGAACATATCGGATGGAGTACCTAAGAAAGTAAACGTTAGAATGGGGCGTTCTGTTGAGTTTAATGTCTTACCTTGTTGAACGGAAACCTGAGCGTCACGGATAGCTTCTTGGGTAAACTTCTCCCTCTCTTTTCGGATTTCTTCTGATGCCATTTCTTCGCTACTCATAGTCTAAAAGAAATAAAGCGAATTTAAACTTTTTTCAGAACTCACGGCAAACTTTTCTGGCGTAACAACCGCAGTGAGAACCTGAAATCCAGCAAGTAGTAAACGAAGTTTTATAAAAAACGAACATTTTCCCTGAGAGCAGTATTTTTCTTCAAGTTGAAAACGCGAGATCGGAGTGAGCCACGATACTTATCACCAGAGCTCTTGTGAACCTAAATTATAGTTAATTTCCAAAAATGCGGCATATAAAAAATCGTTTAAAAACTTACGGCAAACAGTTTGTCCTCAATCTTGATGGCCATTTCTTCAGGGTCAAGTGTACCGTCTGGAAGCTCACCTGACTTGAGAGCTTGAAGCAACATTTCACAAGCTTTAATTCGGAACTAAATTTTACTTTTTAAAAAGAATCGAAATCAAATCTACCTCGTCCGTTTCCAAATGTTTAGGTGGGAAGCTTCCAGAAAAAGATGCAGCAGCAGATGTAGGCAACTAAAAATAAAAGTTGAAAACATTGTAATGTTATGCTGAAAGAAAAACCTTGAGAGGCGCTGTGGTGGTGGGAGCAGGAGTGGTAACTTTTTGAGCCAAACTCGAAGACGATGAATCGTTACGGCGCAAAGCATTTGTGTTGCTCTAAAATTCAGCATTCAGCTTTTAGTGAATAAAACTTCAAAAACCTTTTCGTCTTTTCCATTCTTTGCATCTTTCGTGCCACCATTGTCAACCAAATTCTTCCAATCCTAAAGTAACATTAATTTTTTGAACAATCATTAAACAACCAACCTTAATGAGTGTTTTCGCTTTCTTTGCAAGTTTCTCGTCGTTAGTTTTTTTGCGAAGTTCATTCAAAGTCATTCCAATTCGTGTTTTCTAAATAACATGTATTATAAAAAATCATTTGCATAAAAACACACGGAAAGAATATCGACAGTGATCGGCATTTTTGAAAGCGCTCCGAGGACATCGAGTGCTTCATCGTTCCTTTGAGACTCAATGAGCTAAAAAAGTTTTAAGGAAAATGCTAAATCGCTACCTTGTTGAGTTTCTTTCCAATCTTGAGCACTTCTTCTTCGCAGGACATGCTTGATCGATAACTAAATTTTTATTTATTAAACAATAGAAATTGAACGTGGGCACAAATCAAAAAGGAACACTTCGTGAAAAGGAACGAAATATGAATAATTCACATTACGGTATCCAATCCAGATCCAAAGAATGAATGAATTTTTGAAGGACAAGCTCTCCAACAAGGGTAAGTGCCATCGAAAAACACTAGTACAAGAAAAGAGAACAAAAATAAACACGAAAAAGTATGTTTTCAGTAACAGCAGCAATCAAAATAACATGACTAGGCTTCGGCATTTTCCGGATTCTGTTGACCAGTTTGCTGATCAGTGACGTTGACTTGGCTCTGAGCTGCCTTTTGCTTGAGCATCGTCCAATCGAAAGTGTAATCGTATTGGTGGTTCAATGTTCTGAACAAAATGCGGAATAACTGTCGCAAGTACATGTAATCTGGAGCCTCATCAAAGCGCAAGCCCCTGCAGTAGTTCAAGAACATGGTGAATTCAGCAGGGAATCCCTTGCAGAGCACCTCTACCGAAGTTGACATCTTTTTCTCCGAGATCTTTTCGTACTTCTGCTTCTTGGTGGCAGCTTTGAGTCCTTGCCATGGAAGAGTGCCACGATTGAAGTACATCAGCACATACCCCAAACTCTCCATGTCATCTCGCCTGGACTGCTCGATTCCAAGATGAGCGTTGATCGAAGCGTAGCGAGCCGTACCCGTCAAATTCTTGTCTTCTCGATACGCGATATGGGTTCGAGTGCGCGAATCACGATATTTCTTTGCCAAACCGAAGTCGATAAGGAAGAGCTTGTTGCAATGACGGCCAATTCCCATCAAAAAGTTGTCAGGTTTGATGTCGCGGTGGATGAAATTCTTCACATGTACATATTCAACGCGGCCAATCATCTGATCTGCCAACATCAACACAGTCTTCATCGTGAAACGGCGGCTGCAAAAATTGAACAAGTCCTCCAGAGACGGACCGAGAAGATCCATCACCAAAACGTTGTAGTCTCGTTCGATACCATACCATCGAATGTGTGGAATTCCGACACCTCCTTGTAAGATTTTGTACACTTTCGACTCGTAGAGCAGTTGTGGATGCCGTGAACGTGAGCTCTCGACTTTCACAGCAACCTCCTCTCCATTGGTGACATTGAGGCTCAAGTAGATATCGCCAAATGATCCTGATCCAATTTTGCGTATCAGTTTGTACTTGCTGGCGATGATGAAGTCCCCAGAAAGAGATGGATTTGCAGCCATCTTTCTGAAATAAAAATAAATTTAGACTTTAAAAACGAACATCAGATACTAAATACATAGCTCCATCGCTGAAGATAATCAGAAAAGGTAAAAACTTTTCGATCAAAGAAACACGCAAGCAAAACAACTTTATTAAAAAAATTTAAAATAACTCTTGGCAATATTAACGAAGTGAAAATATAAGGGTCTCCGAAAAATAGATTTTAAATTCATTAAAATGCATAAAATTAAAGATCAAGTGTGAGATCGTCAAAAAATATTTGCCTAACAAGAACCGGGTAATTTCAGATCAAGACAATAACAACGATAATCTCATGTACAAAACGTAACATAAAGAATTTCGTAAATAACAAAAAAACATTAATTGTTATGAATAAGACAATTAGAAGTCTATGTGTCCAAAATTCTTTTTTCATGCCGTTTCTTCACCATTTTCTAAGCCAGCCGTCTCAACGTTGATGTCGCTAACCGATTCAGCAAAAGTGATCAACTTTTGAAGCGCGTTGTCCATCGTGATATCAGCAAACTCTGGCTAAAATACACATTCCTTTAGCTTGTATTGTATTGATAAACTTGGGCAGCATTATCTTTAGGATCGAATAATCACTTACGTCCTCCTGAGCACCCCAATTAACGACAGTCAAAGCAGCTGCTCGAATCTTTCTAGTGACCGGATTCTTGCCATTCATCAACTGTTGCTCAGAGTCCTAAACTTGTGTATATGATAAATAAGTGATTAACCGTACCAGAGCCTGTTTCTGTAGTTCAACGCGATGAGTTTCTTCTTTTGATTCAATTGCCTAAATGCAAGATTTGTTTTTGTACATAAAATTATTGCCCAACCTTATCGACATTTTCCACGATGACTCGCTGTATTATTTCAGTGGCATTAACAGCAAGTAATTTATTTTCCGGAGCATCTTGCATCTTGTTGGTTGTAGAATCGTTCGAATTCTTTTCAAGGGCACCAAAGATTGAGCGAATAAAGGCAATAGCACGATCGCCCCTCTCTTTCTGAAAACAAACTGCGTAATTTTATATGCTAAAGCTTAGAATGCTTGTGTATTTATGCTGACCATTTGTTTAATCTCCGTAGCTTGTTTTCCGTCTGTCGCTGATGGGCTTGATGCAGAGGTTGAAGAGTTGACAGAACGCGCTTCTTGTGCCCGAACGGAAGCAACAGTTCGTGCAACCTAAACTGCCTAATGATCGTCAAGAAAGTCTACTACCTTATTGACAGGCCTATAATCTTCTTCCTCCTCTTCATCTTCCTCGGACTCATCTTCATCTTCACTCTTTGCACGAGATGCTCGTCTAAAAAATTCTAAAATTAAAAAAGAATTACTGCTCACCCTCGAGTACGTGTAGGTGGAACATGATTGCGTTTTGGAGGAGATCGAAGAGAGGCCCGAGGCGGAGATTTAGCTGCTGCTCGACGAGGAGATACGGTAGATATCTGAAAGTTTACATTAAAAAAGCAAACAGTTGCAGAATTACCGGTTGCTTTGAGTTTCGAGCAGGCAGATTTCTGCGCAATGGCTTGTCATCCTCACTCTCTTCATCACTGCTTGCTTCTTCACTTTCACTCACATAAGGTCGTCTAAAAAGATAAAAGAACTTATAAAACGGTAAACACCATACTTTGTTGATAACGAGCCTCTAGTAGAAGAACCACGACTCTAAAAAATAAATAAGAAAATCTAATAAATGGATGCCGACTGTAGCAATTGAATCACGACCCAGTGGGGTAACTTTTGCAGCTGGTTTGGCCGGAGTTGGAGCAGGAGTAACTTTTTCCTCCTTCTTCTCTTCTTTCTTTTCCTTCTAAAAATTTTTGTTAAGTTTATGACGCACATCATCTACCTCTTTTGGTGTTTCTTTTGTTAAACGACCTTCACGAATCTTTGGTAGTTCCTCCAACTTCGAGCAACTCTAAAGAGCAACCGATCCTTATTAAATTCATCGCAAATTAGTAAACCTGGTATGTGGAATTTGGATTATTTTGACAAATCCAATCAGATGGAATTCCCTTGGTCGATATAACGTTTTTGCACATCAAGATGACGCCACTTCAGACATTTATCTAAAACAGGGACACGATTGCCGAATGCCTTGCTAATTGTTAATTTAGTTTTGACGTACCACATTGAACAGTGTATCCCGTGGCTTTATGACGAGCAAGAAGAAAAGCTTGATCATTAGAGCAAACCGATTCCCAAGCAGTTGACTTGTATCCATATTGCGACCTAGGCGAGCATACAAGTGGAATTGGTAAAAATTACTAACCAGAATCCAGCTGGACCTCCTTGATTTGAAATTAGTTGCACATCAAACCAATATTGTTCCATGTGCTCATTGGCAACACGCAAAAGCGACAGGTACTCAGTTCTAAAATTTGCATGTAAGATTAGGAATGTTTCTTTGTAAGGTGAAAAGTAGCCATTTTTACTGTTTTCAAGTTGCAGGGAGGTTTAAAGAATGGCATAAGTCGTAATCCAGGTTAGTTTTAGTCAAATAGCTATTTAGTCATCTAGTCATCTAGGCAAACGAACTAAGCTATGTAAAGCTCACAGCTGTTAAGTCAGTATTAAAAGAAGTTAGGTTTTTAAAAGTTAATTTATGAACTTTTTTATTCAGTTTTATGAATCAACGACGAACAAAGATTCGTTTTATCTATGTGCGCAAAAGATTCAACGAGAATTGATCCAAAGACTTGCTGAAAAGGTGGGGTAGGCTAATTTCCTTTTAGTTGCGCAACTCGCCATAACTTTCTTCTAAGTGGATCAATCTTCATGACTTTGGTATCATTTTGTTGCACTTATCTACCCAGTGACGCAAGTAAAATGGCGGAAATTAGCCTACCCCAAAAAGTAGAGTAATTAATTTACTGTAAATTTTACTTTTCAAAAAGATAGAAATAAATCATGGGTGGTGTGTGTCGGAGACAAGTTTGGTCTTTGTGCTACCTATGAAAGATTTTTTTTGAGCAATTTATGTATCTAACTAAAAGTTTAGGCAAGGATTTGTTTATGCAACGATCGAGGATATCTCCGGCATCTTTTTTCGTGCACCACACAAAAGTTCGCAAACTTATTGAGTTTTTCTTTTGCATGCTTCAATAAAATCTGTAATTTACCTATTCTCGAAGCCTTGTTTATTATGTGTCGGTGCCAAAACAGTACATGGGACGTCGACAATTCCGATGACTCCAAGACATTTCCTAAAAGCAATTATAAGCTGCTTTATCTTGAAAACTTTTTACATATGTTGATCGTGACGTTCGCGCTGAATGCTGAGCTTCATGTACATATCAATAAGCCGTCCATTATTGTACACCATCAGACCGTATCTGAACGTACACAGTTATTCCTTAGCTATAGTTTAGCGAACCTTGATGCAAGCTCCAACTTTGGATTAAACATTCATGCTTATTATACAGACGTACCTATTTCGGTGATGAACGTTCAATCCAAAAAAGAATGTAAGCGGCTTCGGGTTGTTCTTTGCCTTGGCAGCTTCTTGCTCGCGATCTTTGCACCGTTTTAATTCTTCAGTAAGCTCGTCGACTCGTGAGCGAATCATGTTCAAGCGAATGCGTGTTTCTTTATCGTTCAAGTTTCTAAATTCTATTTATTTTTAGTCAAATTATCTTTTGCTTACCCCCATTTTTCCTTTGAATAAACACTCAGGTCCGACTTCGCAAGGTTGACTCGTTCTTCGACTAAATTACTGCCCAGAATAAAAAACGTTCTTTTAAATTTTACGTTGTTTAGTTGCGATCACGCATTGTTCATAGGCTTTCTTAGCACAAGTTTTCAAATTTGTTGCCATGTACTTGTACATTCGAGCCTGGCTGAGTGTGTATAGCAGATTTGTTGTGGCAACCTTCTTATCACGAAGATAAACCTAAATAAAATTTTTGGTACTTCGCTTCTTATTCGAATAGCCATATAAAAACTATAAATACCTTCATTCTTGGTTTAGCATATAGAACTGACAAGTAGGCCCTCAAAGAATTTCGTTCTTCTTCTCTAAAAGACTGACCAATCTTCGAAGAGAGTTAACAGCACCAACCGTTGTTCAGCGTTCTTGGAAAGCCGAATATCATAGATGTCCGATGTGAAATCAAGCTCGGGAATACAAAGATCCAACTGGCGTAGATTGTAACAAAGAATCAGTGTGCCGTTAGAACCCTAAAAGAATGATTCTAAAAAATAAAATTAGTTAATTTACCTTAATCCTGTCGAATTGAGCAAAGAAAGTTCCCGCATCCTTAAACGGGGAATACTCGAAGATGATCTAAAATAAACTATCAACTGGGTTCAACTTTCATTTAACAACAGCTTCTCATTACTCTTCCAAAACTCACATCCATTTCTGTGCTATGTCGTTCTCGATCAGCTACTTGATCTTCTAAGTAAGCAGAATCTCCTTCAACAAATGACGGCGTCGGGACAAAGACTTCTTTCAAGTTATTGCCTTCATGAAACGTGCGTGAAAGGAATAGGCATGTGCGCAACTCCTTCTTCTTTGTAAAGAGAATGAAATCTTTTCCGATTCGCATTGAACCACTAAAACAAATTTTTGATAACATAATCTAACTTTACTAGTATCGGGGGTAAGTCATTATCGGGTGCGGGGGTACTTTTAGATGGTTTTTTCATTTTTTTTCATGGTTTTTTCACGCGTTTTTTGTTATATTTTTTAGTTTTTCGCAGTTATTATGTGTTATAATCTAGTAGCGCATTGTCAGGCGGGGTGCACTTAGGCAGGTCCGGGAGGGGGGCAGTGCTGCAAGCTCTCTGGGAAGTAATTGAGGCTGAACCTAATCCATTCCCAGAGAGCTCGCATGCAGCACTGACCCCCTCCCGGATCTGCCTAAGTGCACCCCGACTGACAATGCGCTACTAGATTATATTACGTTAATATTACGAAAAACTAAGAAAAAAACCCGAAACCCATGAAAAAAAAACCTACAAGTATCCCCCCTGGATAAGTACCTACCGTATTTACTCTAATAAAAGCCTCCCCCCCTCATAGGAGCGTCGCGTAGTCTAAGTTTACCCTTAAACAAACGGTTAGAGCTCAGCAGCAGTACGTTTGTTTCTGCGCGCTTGGGGATCAAATTAAAGTAGAGAATGGGCGATTTTTTGAGATATAACACTTATTTTTAGCATTAACAGCTTAGAAAAAATGATGAATACTGTCAATGCTAAAAATATATGTTATATCTCAAAAAATCACACATTCTATCAACTTTAATTTGATACCCAAGCGCGCAGAAACAAACGTACTGCTGCTGAGATCTAAGCGTTTGCTTAAGAGTAAACTTAGACTACGCGACGCTCCTATGGGGAGGGGTTTTTATTAGAGTAAATACGGCAACATTAATTTTCCCAAAGCATAAATGTCAAAATATTAAGAATAAAATACCTTTTAAGACCATTTCCATATTGTCCGACAGTATTTGGGTCCGCCTTTTTCACTGAGTGACCAAACGAAACGACTGAAATTACTTCGTCTCGCGTCATGCCACATCCATCGTCCAGGAAAGACAGCGCCTGAATCTGCGGATCTAAAAATCAACACTTTATTCAAAGTCTATAACTTGTATCCGTAACCGTAATTGTCATTTACTTTTATTTTCATCAGCTAGTATAATTGCCCAACTGGGAAAGGCAAAAACTCACCATAATCAATAGACAATGAGCTTGAGCCCGCATCAAAAGAGTTATCCACTAATTCAGCAATAGCACCAAAGACGAACTCGTGAGTTGTACTAAAACATAAACATTGTACATGCTAAAGTTTAAAAAGCTAATTTAAATGCGTGTCATCAAAGCTAGACATGAATGAACAAATCTAATTCGTTTAGCTTATACTTGTGCCTGTGTCACTTTCTTTCCACTTTTACCTATCGCAAAAACATGTTGTATTGAAAAAACTCAATATCTGTCAAGTTTATTTTATAGAAATTGTATCAGAACTAATTATGACGTGTAAAATAGAAGAAACCTGTTTGTGTGAAGATAGTCATAAGCTATCGAAGCTTTATTCAGAAGACTCGTCTTGTAGCTCTTCTGATCACCCATCTAAAATTAAACACAAGCACTAAGGCCAAAAATCAGAAAACAAGCAAAAACGGAAGTAAAAAAAAGCTGAAAGAAGCGGGTTCTTAGCAATTCGAAGTGCTAATCTAGCTGTCTACCGAGGGGGGGACGCGAGCCCGAGACGGAACGGAGAGAAAAGAGTACTGTCGCTGAGGCAGGGTAAAAGGGGGACAATGTGTTGGTGGTTAAAGATCGCAAATGATAAACGGGAGGCCTTAAATGATTTGCTCTAGGCAATGCGGAGAAATATAATTTCGAAAATTCAATTTGAACATTGTATAACAGCCCCATTAATCGTTTTTGCCACAAAAATGTTTGAAAAGGACTTTTACGCAATAAAATTCCCGAAATGACTTCAAATCGATGTAAAGTTGCGATTTTTTTTGCATTTTTGCACAAAAGGAAGTTAATAATGCTGGGTAAGTCGATGGTGTCTGCAGGAAAAAGGTACTTATGGATCTGACAGGCGCATTTCCGAACAATTCGAACGGTCAAACAGTGCCAGATCGAACACTTTCAAAAGTTTGTGTCGAACGGTCGAACATTTGCAAAATAATTTGTCGAACGGTCGAACCCTTTCCAAAAATGTCATTGAAGCAATACAATACAAAATAGCAATATACTTTGTTTATATTGTTATATTGTTTATTGTATTGTATTGTTTCAATGATATTTTTTTGCTTGACATAAATGCATATTACATAATAACAAAAAAAAATTCAAATAACAGTGCTTAATGCGTTGCTGTTCGGAAATGCGCCCGCCAGATGCATAAGTACCAAAAAAAGTAACACACTTCTACGTTCAATAACACACAACTACCACCTCTACAACTTGTAAATTGACGTCAATATTAAAAACAGTTGTGCAGATATATAATCGCAAACACTCAAAACCACTTTATTCTCAAAGTAAAGTACAAGTGTCGAGAGCTGTGCAACAGTTAGACACTTGCAAATCGTAATACCATCATTTTTGTTCTCATGGTGTTTTCTTTGTACGAGCACTCCCGACACTTGCAACCTTTTTCCGAGAAAATCCTGGGTTGGCACTTTAAAGCCTGCCTTTAAACTGCCGTGCCCCTCCTAATTTGCAGGTATAAAACAAAGCGCGCACTTTCATTCTTGTTCTTCATTTCATTTCATTTCATTCTTTTTGCGTATTTCTGATGTGGGTTTTTTTGTATTCTTTATGAGTGATGATACAACTTTATGGAAGAGGTTTGCAAAAAGAATCGGTACATTCAAAATGGAGAAACTTCTTTTCAAATGATACATTATCCACACATGGTGGCGCAATTTTAATCGGCTTACAAAAGTAGTTCCACAAACTAACATCTATATCTTTATTTTTTCTTTGCCCAAAATGCTTCGAAATTTAGTTAACTCAATACTACAAGATGGTTTTATGAAACAAAAAAAATGAAACTTGATGAATTTCTCGTAGAAAATGGAGAAACATCTTTCCTTACATGCCTAGTGGTTGCTGATTTATTTCAATTAAAAAATCATGGTAGTTTCAGAATAATTATTGGAATACAGAATCAGAATGGGCAGTGTGAGGAAGGTTAAGTGCAGAAATATGCAAAAAAAATGAAATTACGGCGCTTTCTTTTATACCTGCAAATTAGGAGGTGTAGTTTTAGCATGCTTTAAAGCGCCAACCCGGAATTTTCTCGGAAAAAGGTCGTAAGTCTCCCAACATCAGCGCTAGTTGGTTTCCTAGAACAAAGTTGCTTTATTGAATCTGCCAAATCAGCCACTTAAGGCCTTTTCCCGATTCGTCCTTCTTTTCATCTCCTGGCGTACATCCGGCTTTCCTATACAAACGGTAAACTTAATAAATCTAATAAACCGACCATTGAAGTGCATTTTCTTTCTCTTTGACGACAGCCGGTACTGCATTCACCTCGTTCTCAGCCTGAACAAGAAATTACATCATAAAAACTTCAAAAACCCAACCTTAACTTGTGGAGCAGCAGATGATGCTACTGCTGGTGGTGTTGCTTGAGGAGGAGTTGAAGCAGCAGCTGGTGGTGGAGTCGCTTCATTGGGCAAATCGGCGTTTGAAGGCTTTGCGAGAGCGGGTGGCGGTGGCGGGTCTGTCTAAAAAGTCTACAGTAGGCTATTAGCTATTAGCTATTAGCCTACTGTAAATACTGTAATAGTACCCCACCCCCTTAATGACGGTGCGGAGTATTGCGTAGTCTAGCTTTGAACGAGTTTTTCTCGACACTGGTTTATGCTACAATGCGCGCTTAGGTATCAAAAAATAGCCCTGAATTTCAGCTATTTTTTGATACCAAAGACGCGTTTGTTGAAAGTATGGGCGCTTTGAAAAAAATGAAATACTAACAAAACTTTTGCGACTACGCGACTGTACGAGAGTGGTGGGGGACTATTACAGTATTTACGGTAAGTTCTATCAAAGTTATACTATTTTCTTTAACTTTTTGTTTGACTTGGGTGCAATTTTGTTTACTCTCATCCAAATAGACACCCATTTACAAAGGCCGAATAGAGCTAGTACAAAAAAAAAGCCGTTTTCAATACCTTTGATTTGCTTGGAATGACTTTTTGGTTCTTTGTTGACCATTACAGTCTCCAAACAATGTCACAAATGCCAACCAAGGTTCTAGCCTGGCTTTTAGTTGAGGAGTCAGACTAGGTAAACTGTAAAGTCAGGCCTGGTCAGACTTGTAGGGTCGAACGTGTGTAACTTCTGTGTTAATTGCTGGCTGACCGATTATTTATCTTTACATTGTTGAACTCTTTCTCCTCAAACCATCAGCTCCCCATCCCTTCCCTCCGCTTTCTATCCATTCATTTCCTCCTTTCAATTGTTTCACCCATTGATGTAACCCTAAAGCTCCGCCCCTTCTACCTCAAGGTATTTCCCCACATTTTTGTCCATTTTTTGTCCATTTTTTGTCTATTTATATCTCTGTCCACATCGAACTTTGGGATCGTTCAAAGTTGAGCTCAAAACATTTAAATAATCTCTGCGCTTTTTTTGCGGAAATTTTTCATTTCATTGATCACTTTCCCAACTTCAGCAACTTCCCGTTAACCGTTTTTTTCTTGTTCTGTCTTTCACGTTCGTTTACTCTTAGAAATTATTTATCTTACTATATATTATCTAGATTTTGTTCAACTTTAATAATTTAAAATTTCCAGTCAAAATGGGCGAAATCCAAGTGTCCCCATTCGGCACTCGTGCCCGTTTCGCGATGCTGATGCTCGTGCTGTTGTGCTTGACAAGTGTTTGGTGAGTTTAGAAAATGAAAAAGTGATTTAGAATTGATTTGTAAACTAACCATTGATCAAATGACAAAGTTAACCATTCTCATCCCAGGTCCAACATCTTGACCTTTAACTTCGCCATCATTTGCATGGGAAATCATCAGCAAAACGGCACAAACGAGACCACCCAGGATCCGGTGTTCACAAAAAGTCTTTAAATAGTTTAAGATAAGAATTAGATTGGTGATTTTAGCGGAGCAAAAATACGCGATCTCGATCGTTGCCGTGGCGGCGATACTCGCGAATTTTCCAGTGTTATCCTTGGTGAACCACTATCAAATCCGGACGATTTTCGGAGTGGCTGGCCTCCTCTCAGCCATCGTTACACTTGCCATTCCACCGGCTATTCGAGTGAGTTGGGTAAAAGTGCATTTAAAAGGTTTGCTCGGGCAATCTGTTTGGTCAATTGGCTAGCATCCTTGGCTAACGTTGAAGTGTAACAAGGGCTCGAACTTAACAAGGATAAAATGAGCTTCACAGTATCTTTAAGTTAACCTTTTTTCACTTTTCCTGGGGTAATTTTTTAATGCTGATCACGAATTTCACGTTTTTAACCTAGATTTAACTATGAAATATCGACTTTTTGGCACCTATTTTGTTGATTTGGTTTGAATAAGAGAAAAAAACTCATGTTTAGGGGCTGCTTATAAGGGTTTCAAGGTTTATGAGCAGGTTAAACTTGGTCTTGAAGTTGATAGGGGGATTTAATCAATTTGCTCAACTCAACGGTCATCTTTAGGGTCACAAAATACCAAAAAAGTGTGCAATATTTGCATTTAAATGCAAAAAAACGCTTAGGATAGTACCAATCTGTTGATAGTGGACTATCGACGTATCTAACATATAAAATTCTATCAAATTATCCTTTAAAGAAAGAAAATATCTACAAATCTACAAATCTACAAATCTACAAACCTATTGTTAAATATGAAAGAAATGCTAAACTCTCGCTCGTAAAATATGCGTTTGATATGGTAGATGGTTACCATTCTCTACAAAATGACTAAAGAAAACAACGCGCCCGCCAGGCCTTTCCCAAACTACACTGTGTCTAGAAACCGGGTCTTCCTGCAAATTTGGCAACTAGTATTGGTGCTCATCTTTTATATAACCCAAGGGTTTATGTGGAACGTTCAAATGTGGTCGGCTCTTTGCCATTTTCCGCTGCGTTTGGTTCATAAACTCCCGAAACTTTGGGTCTCTCAAAGGTTTTGGGAGTGGCCTTTGGGAACCAAACGTTTTTAAGGGCTTTTTGTGCAAAAGTCCCTTTAAAGTCCCGACTCATTCTCCCCAACCCAATACATAATTATCCTCATTTCCAGGCCGGTTTCTATTACTTCTTGGCTCTTCGCTTTGTCCACGGTGTCGCGTTCGCTGTGAATCTCCCAGTGATCGGTGCCTTCTGCTCTAAATGGGCATATTACAAGCAGGTGAATAGAAAAATCCCCAATTTTCCCCTAGGTGAACAGAAAAATCCCCAATTTTCCCCCTTTTTATCAAAAATTTCTCATCTCTCAATATTTGCTCTCATTGGCGTATCAAAAGAGAACTAACTGATCGTTTTTTTTGATGAGAATGAGCGTGTTTTCATGACACTTGAGGAGAGATTCGCTGAATAGAGTTTGCTTGGAGTTTTGCTTGGAAAAGAAAACTTTTTGAACTCGTTTAGTATTGTTTTGAGCTTTCAGCTTTCACTGATTGAGGTCACAAAAAGTAGGCGAGTTTTGGTTATAAACGGTTTAAAGCTATAAACTATAAACTGTTAAAGCTATAAACTATAAACTATTATAAACTAAACACAAAAGTTCAAAAAGTAGGCGAGTTTTAGCAATAAACTGTTTAAAGCTATAAACTATAAACTATAAACTGTTATAAAATATAACCACAAAAGTTCAAAAAGTACTTCAGAGTTTGGAAGAGCTTAAAGTTTATGAAAAGTATAAAATAGACCCAAAATTTCGTTAAATTCTTTATTTTTTTTTCACAAATTCCCCCAATTGTCACCAGATCCCCTGGTTCGAAAATGATTGGAAAATCGTTAAAATTTCGTCGATCTCTCCCACCGGAAATGCCGAAGATTTATGGGTTTTGTCGGGGAAGATTCTGTTTTCATTTTTTTTTTCACACTCCCTTTCCCATTTCCCCTTTCTCCTTTTCTCATTTGGCTCCAAATCTCATCCAAAAATAGACGGGTTGAAAGGTAAATGATGAATTAATGAAACTAATGAATGTCCTTCATCTCTCAATAATAAAAAAAACGAGTTTAGTGTCTAAAAATAGATCAAGAATGATGGTAAGAGTTGGGGCAAAGTTTAGAAAATAGTGAACTAGGGGAATTAGTAAAGAAAAAAGGACAAAGTCTTATATCAAATTCTTTTATTTCAACAATTTTTTACTTTATCCCTTATCAATTTATCAACTATTGTAGGAAAAGGATACTTTTTGGAGAGATCTATCAGCGGGGGATTCTCGGTGCGCTGGGTGCTGCTGCACTCATGATAGCTTTGTAAAATGAGAAAAGTTCTAACAAAGATATAAGATCTTGACTGTAAGATATAAAAAAAGGTATACTGTAACACATTCATTCTTTAGAATGGTCTCTTCGTGGCGGGACTCGTCGCTTACCTCCAAGTTGCCCCAGCTTTCACCAATCCGGTCTCCGGCGGGATTTGCCATGTTTTCGGGTGAGGGGAAACTTTCAGTACAGTATTTACATATGGTATCTACAATACCCTTAACTTTTACAAGAAGCACTTCTAAATAAAATCCTTCCAGTTGGTCAGCCATTTTCTACTTCCATGGCGCAGTCGGCCTAGTGCTCTTCCTTGTCTACGGTAACTTTTCCAATGTTTAAAAACCTTAAATCTTTAGGTTTCTTTTATCGAAACAGTCCCGGAAAGCATCCATTCGTGAGCGATGTTGAGAAGAATAAAATCCAGATCGGGAAATCGACAACTGAGTGAGCTGAATGAAAGGAAACTAGGAAACTGAAAGGGCTCTAGAAAGATTTCAAGATCAAGAAAGAACAAGTATTCCAAGTTATTCAGTCAACTAGCCGCCAAGACTGAATAGCCTTAGTTGAAAAGCTGACAAAGTCCCCCTTCAGCCTTGTTTTATTGAACATTTTTGCAAGAATCTGCTTCCCCGTCCATTTTCCCAATCTCACAATCGATCATCCCACAGTTCAGCCGTAAAATCCCCAATATTGCAAAAACTACGGTCACCTTTTTGATTGATACAGAGACGTGATAAGACCAGTGATCTCTCACGTCATTCATTTTTTTCAATCAAATTATGAAAAGGATGAAATAAAAAGCGGTCAAATGAGAAGAGATCCACTGAAATTGGGCTTGAGCAAAAAAGAAAACTTTGAAGGACTTTAAGTCTGAAATGCTGAAATCTGAAATGCTTGTTTACATAATACTGTAAAATTCGCTGTCAACGGTAGTTATTTCCAGCAAGAAAGCGTTGAAGCAAGTCCCGTATGGAAAGATCGTGCGAACACCGGCCATTTGGGCTGTTTGGATTGCTTCTTTTGGCAATTTCACTGTCATCAACATGATCTTTCTCTACTCGCCGATCTATCTAAGCACTGGTGAGTTACGATCAACTCTAGCACTTTCACAAAGTGTTCAATTTACATAGAATATCTTCTAGGCCTCCAGAATCAATCAAAATTCTTTGAAAAGTTACCGTAAACTTATAAAAAGCTTATAAGTAGCTTACAGTACTACTGTAAGTCAAACAAGTCAAAACCCAAGCAAAGCGAAATTTCAGTGCTCGGCTACTCAGTGACAAATACGGGTTTCACAGCCGCGCTCGCTCCTCTCGCTCAAGCAATCATGAAGGTTGTGGTCGGTAAGTGAATAGCAATTCTTGCTCTACATATTAGTCATGGTATTAGACTTTGAATCGTGATCGTGATGATCGTCGATCCGACAAGTGAATCAGATCAAGCTACAGATCCAATCCCTGTTAGATATCTAAAAATTATTCAAATACTTGAGTCAGGCCTCTTAGGATTTTCAATAAAGAGTAGCATAGAAAACCCCTTGAGGAAAGGGCCCGGAAAGTATTCGAGGCAATGTGTCCTCATGGTGGATTGCCAGAGCGTCTGTCTCTCGATTAGGGTTGAGATGGAGGATGCGGGGTTCGATCCCGCTTGCAATCATTCTTTTGGAGAATACATCGCGTAGTTCTCAACTCGAAAAATGAAGAAATTGACGTACTTCCCAACGCGTAGTTTAAAACATTTACAATCCCGCTATTCCAGGTCAACTCAGCGACAAGATCAAATTCCTTTCTGAGGTGAACAAATTGCGGATGTTCAACACGATCGCTTTCTTCGGTTGTTTCTTCTTCCTCTGCTTGTTGGCGTTCACCGATCCACTTACACAAGTCGTGCACTTTGTGAGTGAACAAAACAATTCTTTTTTCAACGTATCATTCTAGAAGTTATCGCTGATTTTCTTCGGCTGTGCTGGTGGAATTGTTGGGGCGAATACAGGCGGTTTCTTCCGCGCCGCACCTATCCTCAGTCGGCAGTACAGGTATGTACAAATTACTGTACTTAAAGTGAATGAATCATTTTAGTCATTTTGTGACTGGAAACATCTCATTGGGCATTTCGATCACAATGTTTTTGGTGCCTTTCTTTGTCACCCCGATGACGCCGAATAACACGGCCGAAGAATGGAGAGTCGTTTTCTTGTGTCTCGGTGGAGTGATGGTCAGTTGTTAAGCTATTTTTTTTTCTAAAATGTGTCAACTTTCAAAAGATATTATAATCTTATCTTTTATCCAATTTTCAGGCAATCTGCAACGTGATCTTTTGCATTTTCGTGCGCGGAGAGCCATGCGAATGGACAAAGGTAAGTAAATGACGGAAATTTACATAAAAAAAAGCAGATTTTAAAAGCAAAATTGAAAGCAATTGAACTAAACTTGACCTGGATTGGATAAATTTGATGAAACTTTTTGATTTTTTAGTACGTACTGATTACTTGTACGGATTTACAAAGTATTGGGTTGGGGAGAATGAGTCGGCGCCAAACTTTAAAGGGACTTTTTGCACACATAAAGCCTTCTTTAAACATACGTTTGGTTTCATCAAAAGGATCCACTATTTCTCTACAAAATGACTTTTGAGAGATTCCACAAAGCTTTTCTTTCGTGGAGTTTATGAACTTCCAAACGCAGCTGGTTAAAATGGCAAAGAGTCCGACTCATCATTTGAACAGTTTCTTTCACATAAACCTTCTTTGGCGTTTACATAAATAGATAGAGCACATTCAATTACTTAAGTTGCCAAATTTGCAGGAGATCCCACCATGGTTTTTTCTCGATCACAGTTTGTAGTTTTTTGTGAATAAAGTGGCTTTTCTTGAGCGGAGGCGCTGTTTGATTTTCTTTTAAATGTCATTTTGTAGAGAATTAGTTAACCATTCTACCATATCAAACGCATATTATTGCGAAGTCGATTGAGTTTTGCATTTTTTTCATTTTCGGCGCCGACTCATTCTCCCCAACCCAATACAAGATCGTAAAGTACTCGTAAACTAGGCTGAAATGAAAGCCTCAATTCAAAGTATAGAACTTCATCTAAATCTTTTCATTTAAACTTAAAAATCAATAACTTAAAAGCAATAAAATCAATAAAATCAATAAAATAAGCTTATATATTTAAAGGTTTATCTAGATCTAGATATTTAATGAATTTTAAAGAATATCTAGAATTTCTAAGCTTTCAGGAGGATTTCGTCATCACCAGGACCTCCGTCGTGCAACCGACCCAAATTAACGAGCCACGAAAGTTCTAAACTTTTAAAAACCATAGATTTTAAAGATTTTAAAGCTTTTTAAGATCCTTTTAACTATCTATAAACTCAAAATATATCTAAGCTTTTTGTTTTCTTTATCATTTTCCATTTTTTTTGTCTTGCTTTTTTAATGCTCAATCATCTCCAATCTCGGGTACACAATTTTTTCCATGCTTTTTTTTCGCTTTTCCCTTTTGAATGCATATACAGTTCTGGACAATTTTGAAATATGATATTTGAAAAAATGAACCTACACTACTGGACAATGAAATATCATATTTGAAAAACGATCGTCACTTTCGCGCGTCTGTAACTCTCTTGTCTTTGAGTTGGCTTTGTCTTTTGTCTTTGAGTTTAAACTATTAGTGTTATACATTTTCTGAAAGCTCTTTTCAAGGGCTACACAATGGTAATATTAATATTTGAAATACGGTAAAGACAAGGGGGTACAGACGTGGAATGACGCTTTTTCGCTTTTCCCTTTTAAATGCATATAGTTTTATCTCAATTTTAAGAAGTTGCATATATTTTTGAAAGAATTCTAGTAATAAATAGTTTCGTTGATCGTTGAAAAATTTGAAAAATTGAACACTTCTTAGCTAATAAGATCAAAATTTCCGAAGAAAACTCAAAAATTCTCCTTTCTTTTTCCCATTTTCCTTTGAAAAAGTGATCAAATTTCTCTTAGAAATCAAAAAAATAGAGGTTAGATAAATATTTTCCTTTTCCCCTTCACTTTTAATCTCATTTTGATCATTTCCAAATGATTTCCTTTTCCCGAAAGACTTTCGAGTTTACCACAAAAAAATCTCCGTTTCTTCATGGGAAAAACACGGGGAATTTTCAACACAGACACACGATTTTGATTTCAAAATGGGAAAGCTTTAAAATCATATTGAACTGGAAGCGAAATATACCAGCTGGACTAGTTCAGCTCTGGTGCTGTCATGGCTGAGTTAGGGGTCTTGTCTTGTATCCTACTCGGGCGGTCACGGGTTCGATCCCAGCTAGAAAATTTGGCTTTCACATGGACTTTTCTCTGCAATAGATTCAGGGATTTTGGGTTGAGTTGTGTATTTGTTTGTGTCATGTTCAATAAATGTATTCTTTTTATATGGAGCAGCTGACTATCAGGTATTGAAGTCTCTTAATGCTTGTCTTGAATGTCTTGTATGGGATGCTTTGGAGTCAATTTCTGCTAGCATGCTAGCCTGGATCTGATTCTGGCTTTGATTTGACTTAGTAAGGCAAAATTGGAAATGGTTTTGATCTGTGCTAGTCTAGGTTTTGGTTTGGATCTGGGTTTGGATCTGGGTTGGGATCTGGGTTTGGATCTGGGATTGGGATCTGGGTTTGGATCTGGGTTGGGATCTGGGTTTGGATCTGGGTTGGGATCTGGGTTTGGATCTGGGTCGGGATCTGGGTTTGGATCTGGTTATGGGTCTGGGTTTGGATCTGGGTTTGGATCTGGTTTTTGGTTTGGCTTGCAGCCAGGATTGGTGAAGATATGGCGAAGATCTGACGAAGGTATTGACTGACTAGCTTCAAGGCTTCAAGGCTTCAAGGCTTCAAGGCTTCAAGGCTGACCCAGGTCAAGCAAAATAGAAGTAAAGAAAACTGGAAAGATAAACCCAATATGATTAAAATGATCCCTATATCATGTATGGTGTTTACCATGAAAACAAAAATTTCCATCACAGAATTTTCAAGAAAAATTTTAGATTGTTATTATGATCAAACCGGTTTTCTTTATTCAAACGAGACTTTAATTGCGTATTGTTTTTCTCAATGAAATTGTTTTTTCACAAAAATTCACACATATTTTTACACCGGGAATGCACTATTGAGTATTGTAAGTAGAAAGTGCAAAAATGATCTGATTCTGTGAAGTTTTCAAAAGTTTTTCGATATAAAAAGAGGTCAAGATTAGTTTTTGGGCATATTTTAGAACTCTAGTTTTAGAACCCCCCACCCCCCCCTCCCACATTTCTCTTTTGTTAACAAACCCGATAGATTTCACAACAATTCACAAAAGTCTATAGTTTGTAGCCTCTGGTGTTATGAAAGGAAGTCTCTGAGCTCTGATATGAAAATAAATCTCTGATCTCTCAAATCTCAAATTTTTGTCTGACCTTCTCGAATTTTCCCGAAAATTTCTCAATTTCTCTTCAAAACCCCCAACAAAAAACTATTCAACTTTTCAAAAAAAAAAACATTGTAGAATTGAATGGTTTTGGCAACCAAAACATTTCCCCATGAGTAAACGCGCGAATCAAATAGGCTATTATCCTTGGCTTACATTTGTTGTGTTATACGGATGAGAGAGGCACCCAAAATGCACCCGAAACTTCTCAAATACCCATGTTGAGTTTAGAAAAATGGGAATTTTGGGTATGAAAATTGGAAATTTTAGATAAAAGTTGAATTCTAAGACTCAAATTAGGAAGTTTTAGGGTTAAAATTCCCAGGATAGTTTCCTAGATTTCTGAGATTTCTGAGAAATCAGATTTCTTTCTTTCAAGTTTTCTGAGGATCCTTTCAAAACACAGCAAGGCTAAACAATTCTGTAACCAGTGTTTCAGCTTTGTTGCAGCTTGAGACTGTGCAATGCTGTACTCTATAAGAAATGCCTATAAAAGTGCCCATTTTCTGTACTCTTGTATCCGAAAACGCAGATGAACCCGGATGCTGAAACCCCACAAAATTCCCCTTTTTTATGATGTTCGCTTGTTCTGCGATCAAATTGCAAAATTTTGACCACTTACACGTCTCAAACTCAAACAAAAGGTGATAATTTTTGGCGCCACCAGCTTACAAAACAACTTTTTCAAGTGGAGATCACGATGCCGTTTTTTGTTTTTATCTTTTGTCCAAATTCAGAATTAATCGAGAAACAAGTGTTCAAAGTTGGCACTACTTCGGGTTTGGGAAACTACTCGAAAAGTCGGGCTGATGAATCCAATGCTGACTCAGGCTTAAGCAATCATTATGAATCTTGAACTTCTATTTATTATAGATTTTTTAATTAAACACAAAAAAGTAAAAAAGGAAAGGAAAGAGAGCGAAGTGGAGGCCTCTTCTTATCCTCTCCTCTAGAGGGGGTATATGTCTCAAACAGATTGTTAGTGAAGCGATCAGATTGTTAGTTGAAGATTGTTAGTGAGGCGATCTCTTCTTAGCCTAGATCTTATCTCTTCTTATCCTACATCTTATCTCTTCTTATCCAAGTACAAGAGAGGGTATATGTCTCAAATAAAAAGACATCATACAATATAGTCTAGGATCTTTTTGCTGTTCCTTTAGTATTAACCATTTTACACTTTATGGTATGAAATTGATGTCTAATACTGCTGACTAAACTTTTGATCTGATATATAACAGCTTCTTAACTTAAACAAGTATTAGAATAAGGTTTTAGAAGGTTCCAGGTACTAGAACAGAACCAGGCAATATTCCAGATTATCTAAGCATGCAGTCTTCAAAAACTTTCAAGCTCTTCACTGATTTTTTTTCAAATTTTTAAAAACATTCCCTATCACTTCATCGGATATTTTTCTGAACTCTGTTCCTGAAGAAATTAAATGAAATTTCATTGATTTCATTGGTTAAATCTCGAAATGAGTCGTTCCATTCTCAAATCTGTCATCTTTTTTGATGAATCTGCTCGGTGAACAAAATATTGGAAACCCGCTTTTCCTCTCTGTTTCCTTTTATCATATGCAAATTTCGTCCCTTTAAATAGCACTCATTCATTCAGTCTCTATCACAATATATTTTTTGACTAGACAAACCTTTCCTGAAGCAAATTCTATTCCGAAACAATGCCTAACTTGAGGTGAGTCCTAGAAGCTTTTCGGATAGGTAGATAGACATTCGGCGAATTTGCCTTGCCACTCCATTTCTATTAGTTCGGAGAATTTGGAGAAAATAGTAACCTTAAACGAATCTTAGCCTTATCGCCTTGCCAGCTGAATACTCTATTATGGACTGTGGTGGATAAGAGACCAAGATAATATACAGTGCGTTGCAAAACCATACGCCACCCCCTAAATTTCAATTTTCTCCAGCTCCCGTGCCAGTGACAAAAAAAACTGAAAACGTAGTTAGATTCAGGACCAAAAATAACCCTTAGAGTTAGTTACAGTAGCTTGCTCGCTCTTGCTCAGCAATTTCCTTCGATTTCTGCAATCCCAAGGAAAAGTTAGAAAATTCATTACAATCTACAAGTTATCTCTGTCTCTACGAGATCTAAACTCTTCATTGAGCACAAAACACTCATCTTTTATGCTAAGCCTCCTAACAAGTCCACTATTTCCCGCCTCTCTTTCATCTATTTCTGTCGGACATTATTTCTGTCTGGTGTCTCGGACAATGGAAGAACACTCGGAAATCCGATTCTCTACACGAAAAACTTCTCACTTTTCGATTTCTCCCGATAAAAAACGGCTGAACCATCAAAAAACGAAGTCACACGTCTCGTTCTTTGTTCGCCAAAATAAAAAAAACCTAATTCCAAAAGCAGGTCAACTCTTTTGTAAAATGATTGACAATGGTAACTGGTCATTGATAAATCTAATGCAAAATCAAAATTCAAAAGTCTATAGCCAAAGCGTAGCCTAAAAGGTGGAAAGTTAATCGGACATAATCGGTCGACTAATAAGTCTATTTCTCGAGTCAAAGGCTACCGTACTGGCACTAAGAAAGCTAAAATGAAACTACTTGCTTAGAGGCTTAAATCAGACTTACTGAATTGATTTCAAAAACGGTTGGGTTAGGGTAACTTTTTTTAAAGGCTCACATCTTAAAAAGCAATCAAACGTAGAGGCTAAGTTTAACCCGATATTTATGTGGATAAAATTTCTAAACTTATTGTTAAAAGCGAATCAAAAGTTCACAAAAAACTAAACTTTTCAACAAATTAAATCAAATTTTCATTTTTTTTGTTTCAGCCATTTGAACTCAATTTCAATCCAATTTCAATCCAATTTCAATCCAATTTCAATCCGATTTCAATCCGATTTCAATCCAACTTCAATCCAATTTCAATCCAACTTCAATCCAACTTCAATCCAACTTCAATCCAATTTCAATCCAACTTGGATCCAATTTCAATCCAACTTCAATCCAATTTCATCCAATTTCATCCGTTTCATCCAATTTCATCCACTTCATCCAACTCATCCATTTCATCCCTTCTCCATCCAATTTCAACTCAATTTCCTATTTTTCCAATCACTGAAAAGATCACTGAAATGACTGAAACGATAAGCCCATCAATAAACTTGTCCACTCAAAACTTTTAATCGTATTTTTTCCAACCAAAGAAAAGTTAAGTCGATTTTTCAATAATCATGTTTACATAGGGTTATCGAGGAGGATAATGATTGAGAAAATGATTGAGAAAATGATCGAGAAAATGATTGAGAAAATGTCTGTTTTGAAAGAAAATTCTCTCGAGAAATCGGGTGATTGGGATTGGGAGATTCGCCCGCCCATTTCCCTTTAATCACTCAATAAATGATCATCACTTTTATTGAAAACTCTCAGAGAACTTTCATAACTCAAGTCTGTTTCATTCAGCCATTCATTTCCCAAAGATTCATTCATTCATTCATTCATTCATTTATACTTTTCAATTGATTTTTGTACCATTCAATTGGTTTTGAATCGTAGATTCAGAATATCTTAGCATAAATGAATTCAAAGATGTTCTAGAACAAGTTTCTTTTTAGCTCTAGTCTGTTCTAGGCCTTAAAATTTACTTTCAGATTCATTAGATTCATTAGATTGATTAGATTAGAATCAGAATAGCTAAAAGTTACCTAAACCAGCCAGCAATCAGATCTGGACCTGGTCTAGCAACAGTTAGATTGAACAAAATCTGCTTTCCAAATTATCCATCTTTTAGCAAACACATTACTCACTCTAGTCAGGACAAGTAGCCTGGCTTATTAGTTGAAATTTTGAAAACAAAACTGGAAAAACGTCTTCTGTACCGAAAATTCGATCAAAAATTGCTCTTTGCCTTCGGCATGTCAAGATTTCAGAGGATTTCTTACTTTTTTTTTCCGCCGAACATCCCGTTTATTTCTTTTTTCTTTCATCTTTCATTTTCCAAATCCCTTATCATAACTAACCCTTTTTGTCTAGGTCTACGTTTCATTTTCTTCTAGGCTTTCTTCTAGACTTCTAAAATCTAAAATTCTCAATCTTACTTGTAATCTTACTTGTATGCTCGCAAGAACCGCTCTAGACGACGCTCTATTACCTTTTTTCCAACTAAACTCCTGAATCTGAGTGCACCAGAGTGCGCATTTGTGAGAGAAATGCCGATTTCATCTTATTGCCCTAGAGTAAATAAAAGCTTAGGTCTTTATTTAAGCCAACCGCCGCTTGAAAAAAAACCCCCCGGGGGACCCCGATTTTTTTATAAAAAAAAAAACCCCCCCACAAAGCAGGGAAAAACCCCCAGAAGAAAAAATATGGGGCAGAAACCGCCGGGGGAAAAAACCGCCAAAGTGTTAAGTTTTCAATTTTTGATAAACATCAAGAACTAATCCTAAAACTAATTCCGTTGTGTTGATATTTTGAAAACAACTTAAGAATTTGTAAATAAGATTAGATTAAAGCCTAGCATAGTTTTACTTTACCTTGTTACCTAAAATTGTAAATTTTTGTTTTACCAAAGAAGATCTTAATCATTTTTGAGCGTAAAGTGAATCATTTTTCCGAGAAGGAATCGCATTTTTTCTATTCAAGGAAGTGTTCATCGAGAGTTGCTTTTTATGGGCAAAGAAAAGAAGTTTTTTTTCTCTGTCCATATTTGTGATGTTTTCAAGGGGGGAAATGTGACGCAAAAGATGAAAAGAAAGCTTCTTGCTCATGTTTGAAAAATATCACGACAAAACAACACGATCCCCGTTGGCACACTCTCCTATCAATTCCCCGTCTCACAACTCTGCTGTGCTAACGAATCCCGATAGATTTGTTTCGAAAAGAGTTTCAATTCAACTCAAAATTCACTCCTTGACCTATTAATTCTTCTAAACTTTCAAAATATGACTGAAATATTAGTGGAACGATCATCGCTTCTCGATGAAACACTGATGAAACACTCGATGAAGAGCTCGAGGTTGAGAAAAGTTGAAAATTTACTGGTTCAGCTAAATTTGATCATTCTTTTACAACAAAACATTGATTCTTTGCATGAACTGCTTCATTCGATTCGGATCTAAAGTTAATTGCAAGCTGGGTTCAGCTCCCGGATCAAATGTTCAAGTTCATATAGTTAAAGAATGCCGTCACAAAGTTTTGAAAGCATTTCCTAGACGATTTCAAGGCTATTTGTTACTAACGTTGATCCTATAGATAAAAATATTGTATATTTTAGTTTAAAAAGAGACTTTATTCAAAGAATGACATATAACTGATCTTATTTTCTTCTTTTAGAATCCTATTTACGTGTGGTTTAAAATGACTGGTGCGAAAGAGCCGCGGCGCGCTTTCTAAAGCGTGGATACGCACCGTACCCCGCACAAAAATTCCCTTTTGTCATTCTTTTCATTTTTCTGGATTCCGTGATGGAGTCGTGAATGTTGTTCGGCTTTTATGCTGAGTTTTCCTTCCCCCTTCGTAAAATCTATTATGTTCTTGTAGCGCGCTTTTGGAACAGACAATGGAGTAGAAGCTGTTCTTGTACTCCCTCGCTGTTCTTGTACTCCCTCTCCCCTCATTCGTTCTTTCCCTTTTTATATTGTTCCGCCCATGTTTCCTGTTTAAATTTCTAAAATGGTTTTGTTTCGTTTCTTTCGGCTCCCTTCTACTCCATTGTCTTCGAATCTTTTTGTACGTGCCGTATAAAATTAACTTAACCAATCCCTGGTGTTATTGTAGTTGGGGGAGCAGTGTACATTCATCTCTATTGAGTCAGAGCACACTAATTTTTGCTTCTAGGGTTTTTAATGGCGTAGATTCTTAATTTGGTATTTGTTTAAGCTTTAGTGACTTTTTTCTAGCTATTTCAGACAGTTACTTAACATTTTGCCATAAAAAATCGGAAAATTTTCAGAAGTATGGAACAAGCGGCCGATCGGATGTACTCCACACAGGCAGAACAACAGATGAGGTGGGTGATATTTTCGAAGACAACTTGCAAATTTTCTGGCTTGGACAAGCACTTTAGAGTGTGACCCAGCTACCGTGACCCTTAGTCCATTTACGGTTACAGTAACCATTGCCGTTTCGTTACCGTAACCTCTTATCAGAAATATCTGGTTGCCCGGAAAGTCTTGTCTTACTTTTTTTAAAGGTTACTTTTTGAAATGAATAGTGAAACCTCAATCCCTCATAAAACCCCCCAAAAAAAATAGCCAACCCCCCCTCTTTTTTTTTTAAAAGGGGGAAGCCGAAAAACCAAAACAAAAAGTTCCGGTTTGGGACAGAAACCTATTTTGTGTGAAAAGATAAAAGAAAAGAGTGAAAAGAGACAGGTAGCAAATTTGCTGGGGGTGGGGGGACTTTTTTCTTTAAAAGTGTTCTAAGGCGGTTTTTTGCGTAGGGAATGATTTTCGTAGTGACAGCTTGGGAAAATGCGTTTTAGACCGGCTTTTAGAGGCTTGAAGTCGCCGTCCCTATAGTGTACTTCACTGTAATGTTTCTATAAGAAGGGCTCAAAAGCATTTTAATGAGCATTTGCCTGTCCAAAAAGACTTTTTTTAGATAATTTAGAGTCCTGCGTGTAATTCTGACCAAATTCCAGTAGAAAATTTGAAAATAAAAATTTCGGAATTTTGGCGAAATTTTCATTTTTGCTTTTTAAAATCTAATTTTGCTATTTTCATGTTCTGGACACTCAATTAGCCCCAATAAAGTGTTTTTGCATGTTGAAAAATCCTCCGAGGCCTTAGATGGACTCTCCTGATACAAGCCCACAGTGAAGTACACTGTAGAGGCGGCGACTTCGGGTCCCCGAAAGTCGCTCCAAAATCGTTTTCCCAAGTTGTTACTATGAAATTCGTAATCTACGCAAAAAAACTGCCCTAGAGAAGGAACTTTTGAAGAAAAAAGTTCCCCGCCCCCCAAGTACCACAAATTTTCATAACATTTCACCAAGCCGCTTTCATTCTATGTCCATTGTAAGGATTTTAGGAAAAACAAGAATTCCCGTTCAGATTTGCCTAAAAATGAGCGAAATGAAATCGTTAATCTTTTTATTTATTCGGCTAATTATTGATTTATAAACGAAAATTTCAAAAAGTCGGAAAAGACTTTCTGGCCAAACCCAATATATTTATAAAGAGATACCTCGAATTTATCAAAAGAACGATTGTGTGGAGATTTAGGCCGTGTTACGGTAGCTGGGGACAAACTTTAGAACTGTTCAATAATGTGAAGAGAAGTGTTTTCCAAATCAAAAGTGTAATGAAACAAGAGCCTCGTATGTAAACTATCCGATCAAAAATACGGGGCAATTAGTGGACAAGGGAAGAGTGGCCGTTGAGTGCAACCCCACTCAAAATATTCGGCTTTCCATGCAGATTTCAATCAATTATTCCAGATATATAGCCATTTTCGGCACCCGAACTCGCTTCATTTTGCTGGTTTTGGTGCTGCTATGTCTCACATCGATCTGGTTTGTTTTGAAGGAGTTTTTCCGTTTTTCTTTAGTTCTGAGCATTCTGTTTCATCGTAGAAATATCCATATTATGATATAAAAACAACTTTTCTCAGGTCCAACATTTTGACGTTCAACTTCGCGGTGATTTGCATGGGGCCGGACACGAGCATCAACTCGACCGCCTCAAATGAGGACACGTACACGTTCACTTCAGGTTTTTAAAGGATTTCAGAATAATATCGTCCCTAAAATTTGGATAATTTAGATATAACTAATAGCAGTCCATTTTTAGGCCAAAAATCGTGGGTCATCTCGGCGGTGGCCATCGCGGCGTTGATCTCCAACTTCCCAGTGGTGGCCATGGTTAATAAAGTGGGTGGCATTAATAAAACCTATAAATAAGCAAATTCTATATCTAGCTTTATATCTAGGTATTTAATATCTTTATACATTTTTATCTAGCTGGGGATTCGCACGGTGTTCACCGGATTGGGCTGTCTTTCGGCGATCGCCACCCTCATCATCCCGTTCGCGATTCGGGTTTGTTTTTAGGCTTCTTTCTTTCTTCTTCCCCCTTGTCTTTCCTTCTTTCTCTTGGCGAGTTAAGGTGCCGGGTAGCTCAGTGGTTAGAGCAATTGCCTGGAAAGCAAAAGGCCGAGGGTTCAATCCCCTCTCCGGAAATCTACTTTTTCTTGCCAATTCCTTCACTTCTTTCTTTCTAATTTGTTGTATAAATCCTGATTCTATTTTTAAATCCATTTAATCCTTTCAAATCCAATTTCCAGCTGGGTTACCCATATTTTTTGGCGGTTCGCGTGCTCCAGGGAATCGCTTTCGCCGCGAATTTTCCCGTGATCGGCGCCTTTTGCGCCAAATGGACCTACTATAAACAAGTGAGCAATAAAAGAAAGGCGTACTGTACCATATCCATCCTTTAGAATGGTCTATTCGTGTCGGCTCTTGTCGCCTATGTTCAACTATCCCCAGCTTTCACCAATCCCGCCTCGGGAGCACTCTGTAACGCTTTTCGGTAAGATTTACAAAAATTATAAACGTAAAGCTACTGTAGATATTGCTAATTCTTATAAAATGCGATGCCTTAAACTGCATTATCTCTAATCTTTCCGCTTTTCAGCTGGCCAAGTATTTTCTATGCGCACGGCACCGTCTCGTTGATCCTTTTCATCACATATGGTTTGAAAAATAGCAGATTTTCGGAAAATAACAATTTTTTAGGACTTTTCTATCGAAACAACCCAAATAAACATCCATTTGTCGGCGATGTTGAAAAGAATAAGATCAATATTGGAAAAGCACAAGTCGAGTGGGGGTTTACTGAACTGTATCACTGATTACTGTATCTTGAACGTAACTTGAAAACCGTTATTTGAGCTTTTCAGCAAGAAATCCATGAAGAAGATCCCGTACGCTGAGATCCTCCGCACACCGGCCATCTGGGCCACATGGCTTGCCTCGCTCGGGAATTTCACGTGTGTCAACATGATGTTCCTCTTCTCACCGACATATCTTTCTACGGGTTAGAAGAATTTAATGCTTGCAATTAGAATACATACCGTAAATACTGTAATAGTGCCCCACCCCCATAATGACGGTGCGCAGTGTTGCGTAGTCTAGCTTTAAACGCGTTTTTCTCGACACTGGTTTATGCTACAATGCGCGCTGAAATATAAAAAAAGAACTGAAATTCAGGGCTATTGATACCAAAAACGCATTTTTTGAAACGTATGGGCGCTTTGAAAAAAATGAAATACTAAAAATGCGACTACGCGACTGTATGAGAGTGGTGGGGGACTATTACAGTATTTACGGTATCCATAGAGCTTCAGCCTCTTCGAACAGCCTAAAGATTGTGCAAAATGTGCAAAATATGCAGCTATAATGACGGCAATTTATTCCGGTTTACCGATGAGATACTAAAACTTTATAGAGTGAAGGCATTTTCTAAAAAGTGTCAACTTTTGCGAAAACTATCGTGATCTTTTTCCAACCTATGTATCAATTTCTTGTAACTCTCAGTATCGTTTGGACCTTCAAATCAAAGCAAAAATAGGATAAAAGCTAAAAATACGATTACGGTAGCCGAGAAAGATGAAACGCTTTTAGCAAAGCATCAATAAAAGCTTAACTCTAGTGTTTATCCAAAAGATTGCAGTGTTGAACTACTCTGTGCACAGCACGGGCATCACTGCCGCCCTTCCGCCAGCCTCGCAATTTCTCATGAAACTTTTTATCGGTTTGTTATTTGAAACAAAAAAATATGTTTCAATATAATTGAACACATTTCAGGTGCAATTTCTGGACCGAATTCATTTCGTTTCCGAGCAAACAAAATTCCGTTTCTTCAACACACTCGCCTTTTGTGGATCATGCTCGTTTTTGGTGGCGTTAGCTTTTTGGGATACGCGTCAAACGGTAAAAAAAACTACAATTATCAACATAAGATCAAATTTTTGCATATTATTTCGGAAAGTTCATTTTCACTTATAATTTTAGAACTTTTGCACATTTTTGCTGGGCGGAGCGGCAGGGATTCTCGGCGCGACAACTGGCGGGTTTTTCAAAGCGGCACCAGTTCTTTCAAAGCAATACAGGTACTAATTTTAAAGCTTTAGAAAAAATTTCTTCATAAATTAATCAGTAAACTAAAGTTCTTTTCGAGCTCCGTTTTTTCCTTTTTCTCCGTCAAATTCCTTTTCAGCCATTTCGTCACCGGGAACATCTCCTTGGGAATCACGATCACGATGTTGATTGTTCCATTTTATGTGAATAATCTAACGGTAAATAACACGCCCGAAGAATGGAGATGGGTATTCATCATCACCGGATCTGTCATGGTGGGTTTATTGTTTTTAAAACTCCCTTAACTGTCAACTTTCTTTTTCTACCGTAATCTGTCTCCAGTTTTATCCATTCTATCCACTTTTGGTCTGGTTTTGTAAAGTTCACAAAGGATACCGGAAGATACAAAAAGTAGATAGATTGAATGAAATTAGAGACAAGATTACGGTATTCTTCAAAAGTTGACAAGTTTAGAAAACTTTATTTCAAAATTATCCGTATCCTTTTCCCAGGTTGTCACCAATCTCATCTTTGTCATTTTCATCAAAGGAGAGCCATGTGAATGGACAGAGGTTGGTTTGAGAAAAATTTTAAAACAAAATTCCAAAGCACATTCAGAGTTCAACAAGCTCAAAATCGCGCGTTTAGTATGATGTGGAGAATTTCTCCTTAAACTAAAAAAGATTTCCCCAGCAGATAGGCTGCATGCAACAATTGCTGATGTACTAGAGTAAAAAAATTCAATTTTCAGGACGATTTTACCAAGCGCAACAGCGTGAAATCGATCTCGGAGATTCGCGCGCAGGGGACGAGTACCACTTCAAATGACCACCTGCAAACACAATTAAAATATTAAAAGGTATTCTTAAAATTTAAAAGTTTCTGGATACGGTATCGTGACTGTAACCAGATCGCTTCTACAATTTGTTTGAAATTCTCCTTCTTCTAAAGTTCTTTGTTATCAGAGCAGTCTCGAAAATCTTTTTGCTCATACAATAGGACAAAAATTAGCATTTAACGGATACCTTATTCCGTGACGCTTTTGCAACTTCAGACTCCTTTGATAACAAAGCCACGATACTTATACTTTTGTTCACTTAACTTTTCTCCTTCATTATCCTATGCCTGTGGTCTCATCTCTAGTGTTCATCCCGAATCGGGTATCCGTGCTTTGTACATGGTAATTTGCATTCGTTTTTCGCTCTACTTTTATGCTTTTTTTTCAAGCAAACCAACAAAGTTTATTTCTATGTAAATGGGGAACAATAACATCTTGATTACAAACGAGAAATTGCAGAATATTTCAAAGCAACAATTTCATATAAAAACACAGTGGGATCCTTGGAAATACACGTTCAAAGATCTTCATACAAAAAACAAAACAAGACGCCTGTTTAGAGACTAAAAAGTGCGCTCAAATTTAGGCAAACAGAGCAATTCCTGAGATAAGCAGAAAAAAAATGCGACAGCTTTTCTAAAACTTTTTAAAGTGTGGACATCGATTAGTGGGAAGGCAGAAAAAGAAAACAATGACTAGGGCGAGTAATTTATAAAAATGAACACCTACACTTAAAATTCCACAAGAGCAGCACCTATGTGATAAAAAGTGAGATCAAGAACAATTTTACACATCGTTCACACAAAAAACATACAGGGCTTCACATAAATGTACACGAAGAGGGAATCCAGCCCGAAGAAAGAAATTGGAGATCATATTCATGGATGAGATGCAGTCTCGGATGGAGCGTCACTCTCATCCACGTCTGATTCGTCATCTCGACCGCCAGCATCACCCTAAAAATTAATTTGCACGCAATTTATCACGTTAGAGAATTTACCTTGACAAAACTAGAAAAGCCCAGATTTTTTTATGAATTCTGTTTAAACACTTACATCCTGTTCAGCTTGCTGTTCTTCTTGAGGCACATCATCATCATCATCTTCGCCCCGATCCAACGAGAGCAACATTTTATGGAACTAAATCAAAGATAAAATAGTCTCTTACATTAAATAAAATAGTTTCTTACGTTGCAAATTTGATGAGACAGATTGAAATGTCCCTTCATCGTGTCTCGATCAGCCACCCGTGATGGATCCAATTCGGCAATGGCTGACTGTGGGCAGAACATGTGCACATTCTTACGACCGATTGCCTTCTCGTAGAGTTTGGCTCCGTCTGTTGGAGAATATTCTTGCACTTTTCTAAAATAACATTGCCATAAGTAAAAATGATAAAACTTACGCTTCTGTGAAACCATACAGCTTCATGAGGAAGGTTTTAAGGTAGAGCAAGATGAAACAAGCTTGCGAATTGTTCATCAATTCAAAGAGATGGGTTTTATCGTTTGGCAAACGGCCTATACATAAGTCTTGATTATTCAAACCACTGAACTTACGATAAATGGCTTCCGGTTCGAATTCAACGTCGTCTTTGCCTGGTTGTCCAGGTGGGCCCGATTTTGGCAAAAGAGAAGCCTAGATAACTCTTAAACTTGGATATTCATAAAAACTAACTTTGAAATGTCCAATGATGCTTTCTCCAGAGAATGGAACAATTTTATCCATTTCGTGTATCACATACAAAGGCTCATCCATAACCTACAAAAAATAGTAGATTATGACAATTAAAAATAAAAACCTGATACGGGAACATCGCAATATTATCACCAACAAAAATCAATTCAGGCAACGTAAGTTTCTAAACGACTTATCATTGTTTGTGATTTAAGCGAAACCATTACCTCTTTGCTGTCTTCGGAGAATAGGCGTAAAATTGATTGCAAAAAGCTTCTCCTCTGTTGACGATTACCACGTAAGGCCTAGAAATTATTAAAAAGGATTCTTGCAATGACACTCACTTGATATAACCCAGAGAGGAGTGCTTGCCCATCATTCGTGTAACGTGGAACACCCCATTCATCCGTTGAAGTCTTTTTGTGAGCTAAAGCAGACCATTTAACTATTCGAAGTCACAATTCAAACCAGTATTAGCCGTTGCCGAGCCCTCAACCAATCTAATTCCTCGTAACAATCGTCGATCACCACCATTCACCTTTGAATGTAATTGGAAAGCAATACGAATCCCAGAAACGGCCTTTGTCTATAAATATAAACTTATTCAGAGCTTTATGATAATTTTCTACCTGAACCATTCCTTGATACTTTGTGTCTATTTCTTTCAAAAGATTTTCCACTTTATGTCGAATTGTTTGCAACGGATCGGTCATCATCGCAATCAGAGTCGGAATCGAGGATCCGGGAGTGACCAATCCTTGTGACAAAGTGCGCCAAGTCACCTAAACTTGAATATTTACGTACAATCTCTTAATTTACCTGAACGGCCGCGTTTCGTACTTCTTTCTCACGATTGAAATAGCAGTTCAGCACATGGTTCCAATAAAGCTAAACAAAATGTAACAGTTTCAGTCAAATTAGAGACTCACCTGAATTACGGCTGATCCCAGACCACTGCCAGCTTGATCCATTTCTTTCAAATCCTCAGTTTCTTTTCGTTTTTGCCCTAAAGGAAAAAACTTTATACATCTTTTACTTCTACTTAAACTTACATTCTTCGCTGTGCTTTTGCATACGATTTTCTTCGTTGATCAAGAAGCGTTCAAGATTTTGGAGTGTCTAAAGCAGAATTTCCGAGGGTCAAATGTCTTTTAACATACCAAAACTTTTACAGCCAAAAATTCTGGTTCCGGTCTACCCAAAAATCGATTGTACATTGATCGCACCTCTGGTCTCATCAGATATTCAGCATATTGGGCAGATAGATGACCTATTTCGAAACATGAATCAAATAAAAAAAAAACGAATTACCCAAGCTTATAAGCGCATTCCTCTGAATTGTTGCCTGTGGAACTCCCAAAAAGAAGCACAAAAGAACGAAGACGTTATCGCGAACCACGCGCGGCTTTTCATCATCCTCAGCAATGTGATCTAAATTGCATTTACATTATTAACTCATTAAGTTGAAGTTAACTCACTTTCCATCAGAGGATTTGGCGGCAATTCATGTTTAATAGCATATTTTTGAATGGTATCTGGCTCTTCTTCAAGAACGAAATCCAAGTCAAAGTACCGAGCCAACAGTCCAAGACAAAAGATACCCCTAAAATAATCGATTCACCCAGTGAATTAGTAAATACAGTACCGCGAAATGAATGCAACTCTTTCCTCTGGCACTGGAGATTTCAGGTCTCGTTCCAACATTTTCTTCATGTTGTTCAGATTAGCTAAAACAAATTTATTCGTGATTTAAAAGCTTAAAACTAACCCAAGAATTTCAAAAAGATATCCGTCATCTTGGGGCGCCGTCTAGGGAATTTCTCGTGTAAAGCTCCACCACATTCAACAGCAGATTCAATGATGGTTACTTTACCGCTGAAATTAAGGATCTATAAAAACATTCTTCGCAAACAAACGCGAGCAATAGTTGCGAAAATGAGTCTTCGAGACCATCAATAAACGAATCGGATGGATGTGACATCAACGGAATCACTCGACGCAACATGTCAATAACCTAAATAAAAGTGTGATTCCAACTATTACCAACCAATATAAGCATACCTGTTTGAGAACTTGGGTTTCAGCTGCTGTATTGACAGTCATACTCAGATATGGCTGTAGAGTTTCGGCATGTTTGACCAACAATTCAGCACGAACCTAGATAGAGATTACTAAAATATGTAACTCAAAACACACCTTGCTGAACAAACTCAAAGCGGTGAGACAAGCCAACATTCGATCTTGATTTGATTTTGCCCGGCGCGCGTTTGCAAGTGTCCCATCCTCGCCGTCCATTTTATTTATTTCCGACAAACTATTATCTAAAGATCAATTCCCTATTAAATAATCGAAAAGTTATCGTACCAGCTGCCATCTTTGTTTCAAGCGCGAGGACATTGTCAACAAGACAATCGACGATTTGACGACAGGCGAAAATCGTTGCTTTGTCGCTTGTCTTAATTTTAATTGAATGCAGAATCGCTTAAAAATATACCTTAAAGATATTTGTGAGCAGCAGTTCAAGTTGCTCAACAGTTCCTTCAGCCACACAAATTTCCGTCGCTTCGGTAATGATCATTACCCTCTTGATAAGTGCTTCTTGATCATGTTCTCGTAATGGTTGGAACCACAAGGTGTTGAAAGTTTCGATCACAAGTTTTTTCACTCCCTCCTTAATTGTTTTTTTTTAAAAAGAAGCTTTTTTAATATACCTCATCACCAATTCGACGAACAATTCTCGACAACATTTCAGGTGTCTTGTCAAAGCTTGGATTCTTTTCAATTAGTTCCCGCATGATTCGAATGACACGTTTTCTTACAGCAGTTCCAGAATCCTAATTTGATGATTAGTCAAAATAAAAGATCAATTCCATACCTTAATCCTTTCAAGCAAAATTGGATAATATTTCGGAATGAAATCAGGACGAGAGACCAGATATTTACCAAGCAGTTCGATTGTCGCTTCACGGACCTAAAAGAAATCAATTAAATTATTACGAGAAAACAGAAAACCTGCGCATTCGGATCAACCATTCGAGCTTGAACGGCATTCTGTACTTCAGGCTAAAGCAAGAGATAATAAATAAAAAACAAAAATCACATACCACTCCCAACACAGAGTGGTCGGCTTCGATGATTTGAGTCAAGCATTTCATAGCTTTTGTGCGTAGCGAAACCGTTGGTTCAGAGATGACTCCATAAAGGATCTAAAATGTGATATTGCTAAGTGCAAAATAAAAGTGCAGCAACCTGCTTGAGATAATTTTCAAATCCAGTTTGCGTCAATTCCCGTCTGCTAGCCAAATACTTCACTGCCCAAGCCACATCCGATTCCATCATCACATTTTGGTTGTTTCTCTTGATGTGCTCGATTCTTTTGCGCATTTGCCTTTTGTCGACGATCTTGATCAAGTAGTCTTTCATCGCTCGCCCCTTCTCGTTCAGTTTCTCCATTTTCTTTTCCATCTTGCGAAGCTCCTGGAAAATTTTTTACATACCAGAATTGTTTAATTAGAAACAAACCTTTTCATTTGATTCATCGGCCTTCTTCTTTTGAGCTTTATAGCTGAGTCGAAGCTTATCCAAGTCTTCGGCAGTTTCTTTGTACCAATAGCATGCGTAGAAAGAAACCGCATATTCAGTGCTAGCATCGTTTCGGCTCAGTAACAAGTAGTCGATCAATGATTGTTCCAATTTCTTCAACTTATCGGTCAACTTCAACTAAATTAAAAAATTTAAAAAAATGTTGCGACACATTCAACGTACATCTTCAATATCCACATCAGCGATATTTTCTGGAGGATCATCAAGTTCTTCGTATACCAGAGTTTTTACAACAATCTAAAAAACTTTGCAAGTGGAATCAGGATGAATCCACCTCTAGACGCCGGTCGGCATCTTCTTCAGCTGAACGAACATCTTTCTTCAATTTAGCTGTGATCAATCCAAGATATTCAAGCGAAGCCGTCCGAAGCGCGATCTCTGTTCCTTTTGTAGCCCTAAAAAGCAATTGCAAACAAAATCTTCACAGCTATACTACCTGTAATGTTTAACAAGAAGATTTCCGAGAATAGACAAAAGAAATTCAGCTGCAGGCCATTCAGGTTTGTGCAAAGCGTTGAGCAAATCTTGAAGGAAAGCCTCAAAAACTGGTCGATTATCCTCTTCACCTTTCGAACAGCATCTAAATATGTTACTGTAAATTAGCGCAAAAATCAAACAAACTTTTGCAAGAATCCTTGAAGAAAAGAAAAGGCAATCCGAAAAGCGCTTTCAAAAGAAGATTTCACCAAGTGATCGGCTTCCTCAAGTTCTTCTTTTTCACTTGTTCCATTTTCGTCCGAATCTTTCTTCTTTCGCTTAGGCATCTAAATTCAAATCATTTACGGAACTATAATAAGAAATACCTGCACAGTTGCTTGAACAAGTTGCATGATCAGCACTGTCATGTTATTCAACCACGTTTCATTTGAAATGCGCAAACTGTTTGAGGACGTTTTCGCACTCTGAAAAAGATCTGTTTAATTAACTTAACGAATAGAATACCGGAAGACGATGGAGAGAATTAACAATATCTTGCAAAATGTTGTGACGCATGTGATCATTATACCGATTGAAGATGTTGGAAAGAAGACGCATCGCCTATAAAATTTTGAGAACAGAATACGTTGCACACATACCTGCCATTGCATTTCACCAATGTTGTTAACAAAAAACGTTGATGCGGCAATTGTGCAAAGTTGATGAACGGCCATATCCGAGAGACTTTGAACGCGAATCTAAAAATGAACAGGTTTAAAAGAGTCGAGGAAAAAGAACCAATTCAGCGAAGCATCCGATGAGATCATTCATACGAAGATAGATGCGTTGTGCAGTCGGTGTTCGATTATTTCCACCGGGCTTTCGTCGTCCACGAGTTTTTTCTTCAGTCTAAAAACAAGATGTAAACATTAATGCTAGTTTACTGATACCTTTTTCTGTTTGTTTGGAGAGCGATAGATTATGTCAGAGGATGGAAAAACGATGTGGTTCAAATATTGCTTGCAAAGTTGAATTGAGCGATCAATCGCATCTTCGATAAATACCTAGAAAGAGTCCGATTTATACTTTCGATTACGGTGCTACTTGTTTAGGCATTTTTGCTCCAGTCATCACAAGCAATGCAGTACACGCAGCTGATGCAGCACGCAAAAGCCGATCGTCCACCAATTCTCGAGTTGTTGGATCATCTTCATCCATGATTTCCTAAAAGGTTGATTTAAAAAAAAAATCAGTATTATCCGGGTATCGATATACCAAAGTGTCAATAGCTACCTCTTCAAGAAAAGTGACGAGTGGTGCCTCTCCTTCTCGCGGAATCACATCTCGGATGTTTCGCTCCAAAACGGTGATTAACTTGACAAGACGATCAATGTTGACCTAAAAAAAATTTAGAATGTAACTCAAATTTTGTTTACTTTGTTCAGTTTTCGCCATTCCTTCAATTTCTGAGCTTCAACGCGGATCATCTCCATCTTGTAAGTATCGACCAAAAACTGTCCATCGCCTTCACCACCATCTTCGTCTTCTAAAAAATTTTCTACATAGCAGCTTAGAAAGCTCAGCTACCGTCATTTCCCATACTTTGCTTCAAAAGATCAATGTCGACATCCATTACAATTTCATCAATCGTCGATTCGAAACATTCTTGTGATGCTTGTTCGGCCATCACCTGTAATGATTGCCTTAGATGTTTCACATGATGGTAAATATTACATCGTGACTCCAATTCTCATCGCCGCTGTCTTCACCACGATGTCTTTTGCGCTGTTTGTCCTGGCGTTGCTTTTGTCGTTCCTTCCACTCAATTTCGCGTTGCTCGATAACTAAAAATCATTGCTAAATTATAAAAACCCCAAAATTTTACCTTCGGTCGGAGTGGGCGGCCTTTCAATTTCTTCGTGCTTTCGTTTTTTGCTTTTCTTCTTGTCAAAGAATTTCCCGTCAAATTCGTCTACCAACAGGCTAGGCCCAGCGGCTTCCTCGACGTCTTCTTCCGGTTGACCACCTTCAGACTCCAATTGGTGGACAAGTTCGATATCTCGCTAAAAATTACATGATTAATCAAGCTATGCAAAAACAAACCTTTTCTTGGAGTTCTTCTTCAAAAGTCTTTGCCCTTCGTCGCGTTCGTCGGCCTTGTGTGGGATCAAAATAATCAGTGAGCGAATCGTAGAGCTCTTCCACCATGTCCTAAAATAATAACAGTAAAATTTTTCCAAAAAGATTAAAATTACATAGAAAGTAACTAAATTTTACCTTTTTCTTCCGTTGAATAGTGGCTTTTGGTTGTTTCCCGACCGATACCATCTGTCGTCGGAGTGTCGACTGATCCCTGAAAAGAAAATCATTACAAAAAGTTTTTCAAAACATCTAAATTTTAAACAAAAGCTTACCGATCTGGATGAAGCACCGGCTCAGATGGCTTATAGCTTGTGGGCTTGTAGGCGGTTTTGTGCGGTGTGGATTCACTCTGATCGACCATCGATTTCGATGTTGACGGCTGAAATGTGGAAACTATGGTTGTTAGGTTGATAAAGAAGTCGAAATTACAAGAAAAATATTATAGTAAAACCTCTAGGCAATAGGTGGGGGAAGAGAACGCGCACTTCCGTAAATACTTTTTAATGCATTTATACGCCTTATCTCGTATATTTATACGCCTTAGTAGCTAAATTTGAAGGTTTTGATGTACGGGATTTGATCGAATTTTACGTCAAAACGAGGAAAGTATAAAATAAAGAAAAAAATTTTTAAAAAATAGATCGATTGAGGAGCTGGTCAAATCAGCGCCGGCCAAAATAATGCGCTTGCAGTCAAGTTTATTTGTGTTTCTTATTTTCATTAGATAAAGAAAAAAAATTAGCTACCTGCTGAATTTTTTGGAGCCGTTTAGAACAAATCTAGGATGAGAAAATGCCAAAAAACGAAAAAGGGCGTAAAAAGAGGTTAACTGAGCTTTTTTCGACGCCAATTCTGTTTTAAGTGATTCCAAAGTATGCAAAAGCTTTGCCGTGGCGCTGTTTCGACCAGCTTCCATCGGTTGTAAAAAGACAAAAGGACATTAAGCATCGCAAATCAGCTAGTTAACTGGATATCTCATTTTTGAGTGCATTTTCAGAATGATCCTCCAAAAGAAGGAGCTAATATTATCAAAATCAATATCTAATCTTTTAAACTTTCCAAATTTAACATCTAGACTTTGTTTTTGTGAACAAAATCAACTATTTTGCTAAACTGTGATCACCTCAGAAGCACCGACAACCCCGGTGATATCGGTGTTCATTGCATCGTCGAGCATTTGATCTTCGACGACAAATGCGTGCGATTCGACGTCCAGCGCGTTCTCGCGGTGCATCAAAACAGCTTTGATCAGCGGTGGCAATTGATTCACATTCAAATCGTTTGTCTCGTAGTCTTGGCGAAGCTTGCTGGAAATGTTATTGTTCAGTATACTGTAGGAAGCCATATCTAGTCTTTTAGCTTTGTAACTTTTAGCCTTTTAAAAAAACATTGCACTCAAAAGAACAGATAAAAGAAAACTCACATCTCGTTAACATCACATGCAGCCAACGCCTCGCAGATCTGGCTCACCAACATTGGATCCGTGCTTTTCAGGACCTGAAATTACTATTTTCAATATTTTTACCTCCATTTACCTCCATTTCATGCGGTCTGCAAATCCGAGCAATCGATGATGTAGCTAGATTCTCCGATGGGAATGGGATCAATGTGAGCACTGAAATGGATGGTTTCCTTTTCTAAATCTCTCTTACAATTTGTCATCGTGGCTCCAAGAAGCGTCAACGGCCCGGGTATCTGCTTTGCTTTTTCTTCGATTTCATGTTGAAGCCTCTCTGCTTCTCTCAGCCGTGCTTGCTGTTCCTCTTGCAAACGCATCAACTTTTCTCGCTCTCTTTGCTCGGCTTCAGCTTTTCGGGCAGCTTCTTCCTGAAAACATTTCAATTCTTTCACTTGTCCTTTATTTTACCGCTAATCTCTTTTGTTCTCTCATTTCTGCTTCTAAACGAGCTCTTTGTTCAGCCTCTTCTTTTTGTCGTTGCTCTTCGAGGGTCCGCCGGCGTGCAGCCTCTTCAGCCTCCTGAAATGAACATGGTTTAATTCAGTCTTGATGGCCTGACCAGGCAGAACAGTACTTACAGGCCCTCTTCTCTACGGTAGTTACAGTACTTCTTCATTACAGCACTTACAAGTCCTCTTTAGTGCTTACTCACCCGTTTCTGCTGTTCTTTCAAACGAGCCTCAGCCTCAGCTTTTTCTTGAGCCAATCTTTGTTGCCGAACCACCTCCATTTGTTGCTTTTGTTGCTCCAAAAGGCGTTGTTGATGAGTGAGTGGCTAAACTTTTGTTTATTCAATAGATTTTCTAAACTTTCTAAACCTGTTGTTGGTTCTGAAAGTGTTGTTGCTGTTGTTGTTGATTGACAATTCCGGGTTGTTGAAGGGGTTGCTAAACACTTAGCTTGTAGGCTTTGATTTAAATATTCTTACTGTAGTCGGTTGTTGGAAAGAAGCCATTTGTTGTTGTTGTTGGATGAGTTGATGTTGTTGAAGCATCTGAGAATGAGAAGCAATTGTTGACTCTTTTCTTTCTTGATTTTCCTACCGGATTCTGATGTAGCCCAAGTTGTTGTTGTTGCAAGAGTTGTTGTTGAGGGATTTGCTGCATTTGCTAGAATTGATTGATTGTTAGATTTGGGCAAAGCGTAGATTTCGTTTCTGAATCTTTTTAAATCATCGAAAGAATGCTAACAAAAAGATATTCAAGATAACAAACCGTAACCAGCACCCAACTCGACTAGATTACTGTTGCTCTAATGCAAATTAGAAAAAATTTACGGTAATAAGAAAACAATTTACTGTCACTTTATCCATATTTAGTCAAAGTTTACATTTCAGTTTGCACTATAAATCTCGATATTCTTAATAATAATCAACGTTAGCCAACAAATGAAACAGCTCGACTTACATGTAAAAGTTGCTGTGGTTGCATATAATGCTGCATATCGAGCATCTAAATTATCTTTTCAAGAAAATTTCCCAAAAAACATTTACCTGTTGTCCTCCATAAAACCCGGGAATATTCTGTGCAAAGAGTTGATTTTGCGCGAACAATTGATTGTACTGTTGTTGTTGATGGAGGAAAGTATTTTGCTGATTCGGGTTCATCCCGTTAGCGTTGAGATGATTCTGCAAATGATTTTAAATGAGTTGAGATGATTTAAATATGATTACGCTTAAGATTTCGATAATCTTTAATCGGATTCATTGAAGCATACTGCAGCCAAACCTGTAGATGACTTGGATCCATCTCGTTTTCGAACTCGTCAAATCAAAACAATCTTTGTCCTCAATTCTTTCCGTTCATAAGTGGGTCTGGATTTCTGAAAGTTTGAATGTATAAATGAAAAGATTGTGGACAAGATTGGACAAGTTATTTGTGAAAGAATCGTTAGCATTTAAAAGAATCTCCGTTGGCTACACAACGCGACAAGAGACAGCAAATGTTGTGGGTATTGTGGTGGAGGGGGGAGGGGGATAAATGAGGAGAAAGACTATGAAATTGAGGTTTTTATATTGTTTTTATATTGTTTTTGTATTGTTCCTTGTATTTCATACAAATTATTTAAACTTTTCAAATGATCTTCCGAAGATTCCACTCCCTTCCCCACGTTTTCTCCAATTCTCCAATCCCAAACTCACTTTCAACTTTACACTTTCATAATTCACAAAAATGGCCAAAATATATGCGAGAACTTATTGAAAAACACGTGAAAATAACGAGAGATTTTATCTCGGAAAAAGAGGAAACAGAGCTGTTGAAAGAAATCGAACCACATATGAAACGATTGAGATATGAGAAATCCCATTGGGATGATGCCATTCATTTATATCGTGAAAGAGAGCAAAGAAAATGGAGTGCAGTGAATGAGGAAGTGATCAAGAGGATACGAGAACATTCGTTCCCATTCGACACACAACATCTCACCTATGTACATATTCTCGATTTGCATAAAGATGGTGTCATCAAGCCGCATATCGATAGTATCAGGTGGAGAAAGTTACGATAGAAGTCTTTGTACGATAGAAGTCTTTGTACGATAGAAGTCTTTGTACGATAGAAGTCTTTGTACGATAGAAGTCTTTGTACGATAGAAATCTTTGTACAATAGAAGTCTTTGTACGATAGAAATCTTTGTACGATAGAAGTCTTTGTACGATAGAAGTCTATAAGACAATTTAACTATAGCCAAGGTAATCTTTGTGATGTATGCATAGATCAATAATTCCAGATAGATAGACAGATAGACAGATAGACAAATAGTTACAGTAAGGTTTAGTTACGGGATTACGATAGGCTAATCAAAATCTTTTAGATACTGTGGTGACATAATCACGGGTCTTTCCCTTCTTTCCGATTGTGTAATGAGACTTCGGCACAAAGATGACAAAGAGGGAAAAGTGGTTGATCTGTTATTGGAAAGAAGAAGTCTCTATCATCTTGCACATCTCGGAAGATATGATTTCAGTCATGAAATTCTTAATGAATCCGAATCGATCTTTAATGGAATGAGAGTGCAAAGAGATCGACGAATCTCACTGATTTGTCGAGATTTGCCAAAACCGGGAAATGAGCAACGAGAAGGGGAAGTGACAATGAAACCGATACCAGTAGAATGAGTGAGTTAACTACCAATTAACATGTCTAAAACATGTCGACTTTTGGAAACTACTAATCTTGCTTTAGTTATCTAATCTATCTACTTTTTGCACGCTTTGCATCAACTCTTACAGAATCAGATAAGTAAATTAATTGGATAAGCCAAGATTACGATAGTTTTTGAAAGTATACACGTCTTTAGAAGAGCTCTTTTTAAGTAAAAATCTAATTTAGAACAGCTTTCCGGGGTAGGCTAGTTTCCGCAACTTTTTTTGCGCAACTGGGTCGTTTGCGCAACTCCGCATAACTTTCTTCTAAGTGGGCTAATCTTTATGATTTTGATTTCATTTTGTAGATCTCAATAAGTGCAACAAAATGAAATCAAAATCATAAAGATTGGCCGACTTAGAAGAAAGTTATGCCGAGTTGCGCAAACGACCCAGTTGCGCAAATGACCGTGTTGCGCAAAAAAAGTTGCGGAAACTAGCCTACCCCCAGCTTTCCTTGTTCTTTTCATCGTTTACGGGTACTGTAAATAAAACTTTATAAAATTTATAAACTTTATACATTTTATACAAGTTTTTCACAGATCGACAAGAATCACATTTTGTTTTGAAAGACAAGAAAACATTGCACTACATCTCAAAGTTTTACGATGAGAAGAGATTCGGATAGTGAGCTAAGGAGTTAACTTACAGAAAAACTTAGTAAAGTTTACAGAAAAACTTAATAAAGTAAAATTTATCGTCTTTTCATGATATCGGCACATTGGATCATACAAGAAGCATCCTGAAATGATTTTTTTTAATCTTTGTGGATTTTTGTGACTTTCACTGTACTGTATATAGTATATTTTGTTCTATTGTGTCATACTGTACTTGTTCTACTGATCCAATGATCAGTAGAACAAGTACAGTATGACACAATAGTATGACCATGTTCAAACCTTTGCAATCTCGCTCAACAGGAAACTCTTCGACAAATTCTCGCAGCTATTTACTTTGTGAGGGTTGCAGTTCACCTGGAATTTGTCTTGTTTTTTGATTTTTTATGGATAAGGATTAGCTATGAGTAAGTATGATTAATATGAAGACAATTGTTCACATGAGTCTCCAGGTATTGCCTTCTCTTTCTTCCTTTCTCTCCCTCCTTGTATTTCCTCTTTCTTCTCTAGCAAGAAGATACCAAATAGCTCAATGGTTAGAGTAACTCCTTGGAAAGGAAAAAGGTTGAGGGTACAATCCCCTTTCCGAAAATCTTTCTTTACCATTCCTTACTCCTTCCCCCTTCCTTCCTCCTTCTTCTTTCCTTCCTCCTTCCTTCCTCCTTCCTTCCTCCTTCCTTCCTCCTTCCTCCCTCCTTCCTTCCTCCTTCCTTCCTCCTTCCTTCCTCCTTCCTTCCTCCTTCCTTCCTTCCTCCTTCCTTCCTCCTTCCTTCCTCCTTCCTTACCCCTTCCAATGTGCATGTACAGGTGACACACGGGGTGATATGAAGCGATTCACCCAAAGCGATTGTCCTTCCATTCATATCGCAATGTCCTGCAATTTTAATTAGATAACAACTATACAGAGATTATGTAGCAGAGATTACGGTAGCTCTTTAAATTGCTGTTTTATTGGCTTGTAAACTATGACTCAGCCACCATTTTCAGAGTTTTATTTAGAAATGATCAGTTAATCGATTTACACACGGTTTGCTCTATTTAAAATGTTTTTTTAAAAATTTATTTTTAGTAGCTTTAAACGAATTTGAACCTATTTTTTTAAAAATCATCTGCACAAAAATGGCTATTTTCTCTAAAAATTACGTGAAGTGCCATACAAAGAAAACGGCTAAGCAGATGTTTCTCAAAATTTCGCTATTAGCATCACTTTTTATGCTCTATCTTTTCTATTAACACCAAAATAGATTTCTGTGGAAGAAATGATCCAAATCACATATCGGGTTTTCATAATTTTAGACTAACCTAATTCCACCTTCGTTTTCTTGACCAATTCCTCTGAAACGGTCGAGAAAACGAGGGTGGAATTAGGCTCGAGTTGGAATTTTCTCATCTCTACTCATCTCTAGAGTGTGCTCCTTGTTGACAGACAATTTGTCAGACAAATTTTCATTGACAACTTTTTTGTCAGACAATTGATCCGACAAACTTCCGACAACGCGTTTTCTAAAAGGTGCGCCTTTTAAGCAAAGCTATAAAGGTCGCGCGAAAAAAATTTGCAAACTTTTCTGAAAATATAGTAATGGATAGTTTTATTTAAGGATTTAGGTTTTTTGGGGCGTGAAATTTTTTTTGGAATGGTTCTAGTGCAAATGTAGACAATAGGCCTGGTAATTTCGGAAATAATATAATTTTTTAATAGTGTTTCTTAACTTTTCCCGTTTTAAATGTTTTCTTTAATTTTAAATAGCATTTAAAAAATTTTAAGTTTTAGCGAAAGAGTAATAGAGTTAAGGAAAGAGTAATAGAAAAAAGAGCGCAAGATTTTAATGTACATTTGCATTTTGAAAAATTTGCTGATGCAGGGTTACGGTAGCTTATCCTTGGCGCGCGCTTTTTAGAAAACGCGTTGTCTGCAAGGAACACACTCTACTCATCTCTACTCATGTCTACTCATCTCTACTCATGTCTACTCATCTCTACTCATCTCTACTCATCTCTACCATCCTACTCATCCTCTCATCTCTACTCATCCTACTCATCTCTACCACTCTACTCATCTCTACTCATCTCTACCATCCTCTCATCCTACTCATCTCTACCATCTCTCTCATCTCTACCATCTCTCTCTCCTACTCTCCTCTCATCTCTCTCATCTCTACTCATCTCTACTCATCTCTACTCATCTCTACTCATCTCTACTCATCTCTACTCTCCCTACTCATCTCTACTCATCTCTACTCATCCCTACTCATCTCTACTCATCTCTACTCATCTCTACTCATCTCTACTCCAAACTCACGCCGATCTTTCCAATGCTCCAGATCAATCGCCGGAATGTCCGAGCACGGAATTGGCGCATTCCTGAAATCTTTCACATTTCCAATCTCCATTCAAAAACTAACATCAAATCATCGGCCATATCAAAAACATTTGGCTGAAGGGTTTTGATGTATTTACTGTTTTTGCATAAGATTGATGCCAATCGCACTTTTCGCAAGGAGTTTAATTGGCCTAAAATTTGTTAGTTTCACTGTTCCAGCTTTTTTTTTTTAACCTCAGCATCACTTACTTGGGGTGAATTTCGCCGCCGAGTTATCATTTTCATAATAGAAACGATCACATTTCTTCAGTCGATGGAATTGTTCAGCCAAAAGACAAGACATTGTTGAACCGAGCTAAAGTTTTGAAGTATTGAGATCGGGTAATCGGGAAAAGTCAACATCGACTGTGATTCAAGTTAGAGATAATATAAATCTAATAGAAATCCTGAACAAACCAATGCTCCAGGCAGGGGACGTTCAGCGACGAGTCCCGGGAACAAATCGATATCATCAACACTTTCATAAACTTCTTGAAGAGCATTCACCGCATCAACGTCCATCAAATCTCGGAGATCTCCAAAGGTTTTTGCTCTAAGCTCAATTCATAACACTTTTCCGAGCTTAGCCTCACCTCTTGTACCCGCAAAACTCTCTGAAATCATTGTATGGCTGAACACCGTGATCCCTTGCCTAAACAAAAGCATTTTTGATCTCAAAAGATTCAACAAACTCTCAACATATTGATCGCGATCAAATCCATTCCAGATGTTGGCTCACCTCGCCTCATGAACAAATGATTTCTGGAAATTGTACGTTCAAATTTTGGCATATTGTGGCTGCAATGGCACCTCAATGCTGAAGTGATGTGCCGATCGAAAGCCATTGACGGAGTGCCCAAAAGACCCATCAACATTGAGTCAAGTCCTGGAAAAGTTCGAGAATTTTATATTTCTAGATTTTAGATAAATCTTTTAGCTTCAAACCTCCCGAAGATCCATTATAGATTGGCTCGACGTGGCCGAAGTGCATGGCCAAGTCAACTGGTTCGGTCATGTTTCTGAAAATTTTGTACAGTGCGGTGCAAAACCATACGCCACCCCCTAAATTTCAATTTTCTGCGGCTCCCGTGCCAGTGACACCTTCCTGAATCTAACTACGTTTTCAGTTTTTTTTGTCACTGGCACGAGAGCCGCAGAAAATTGAAATTTAGAGGGTGGCGTATGGTTTTGCACCGCACTGTATATTGAATCCGAAATATTGCAATTCTCCATTTTCGATTTTCGATTTCATTTTCGATTTCGATCCATTTTCGATAAACGAAAGTAATCTTGTCGTTAAGTTTATATTCAATCTATTAAGTTTTTTATATCTAATCTATTAAGTTAAGTTTATATCCAATTTAGCCTGATTCTGTGAAGGTTCACGAAGAATACAAAAGATTAAAAAAATTGATTGATTGAACAAAGCTAAAGACAAGATTATCGTACTCACTTATAATCAAAATCCATTCTCGGGAACATTCTCCGCACAAGCGTGTGCCCGAAACGGAAAGCCGCTGTGGCGAATGGCTGAGAGATTGAAGCGTCACAAGTTCCATCGTAACCCGTATAATACCCGGATTTTTGAGGCATCAGTCCTGAAATAGTAAAAAAAGACTTTTAAACGTTTAAAATGGTTTAAAATGATTTAAAATGTTTTAAAATGGTTTAAAATGGTTTAAAATGGTTTAAAATGGTTTAAAATGGTTTAAAATGGTTTAAAATGGTTTAAAATGGTTTAAAATGGTTTAAAATGGTTTAAAATGGTTTAAAATGGTTTAAAATGGTTTCAAATCTTTTCAAATCTTTTCAAATCTTTTCAAATTTCATAAATGATCAAACAAACGGATACCATTCTTGCCAACCAAATCGTTTCCGATGATTTTCGGGAGAAACTCGTTGAAGACAATATTCTGCATTTGCGCGTTCACGATTCGGCGAGTTTCCTAGAAAATTGAGTCTTATGTTTTCTGTTTTCTTGAGATTTAAGCGCAATCACCTGATACAAAATCTCATCAGTCCAATGTGGATTGAGCTTTTGCAAAGTCTCGGCAATTCGATTGTGTTCTCTCATCCACAATGTATGCATCATGGTGAGGCCTGGTTGATGAGAGTTTCGCTCGTCACCTAGACAAAAGTAATTGATGGATTCTACAGTAACTGGTGAATGCTACAGTAACCCAAGTCTACGTTACTGGAGCCTGAGTCACGCTTTAAGCGCAAGTGGACGTTCTACTCAAGTGGACGTTAAGAAAAGCTTTCAAGTTAACTCACCAGCCACAAAGCACGGATGCCGGGGAGCGGAGCGGCAATCGTGCTCTTGTTGACCCTGAAAATTGTTTCATTTTTGTATTATAGATGTTTTCTAAATATTTAACCCACTTGCGGCAGTAGTACTCCATGTTGAAGAGAATCGGTGAAATTAAGCAATCCACCATGGAATGTCCTGAGCGCTTTCGCCTCACAATCCGTCGATCCGTAGATCACCGACGCGTCAATGTAAGCTGTTAGCTAAAGAAAATATACGATACTAAGAGTTTAGTTAGATAGGTTTTTAATAAAAGATTGATTGATTATTGATTTGAAAGATCCACTTGATTATTTTACCTGATTCATTTGCCCACGATACCCAAGGTTGAGCTGGCCGAGCAGTGACCGGGCAAAGGGGAGACATCTCAAAACATATATTATGTCGTAGCCGATTATGAATGAAATTTTTTGGCAAATCTTTCTAGTAGAGCAACCCTTTAATGTATGAGGACAATATTATATCATTTTGTAGCGGATTAAATTCTGCGTCGATTGGTACCAAATTTGTGAGTTTAGGTTAAAAATTGCCGGCGCTACAACGTTTCATTCAGAATCGGCGGGACCCCCGTAGCCGATTATGAATGAGTGGGTCTAGGAGCGTCCAACCATCAAGTATTTGGTATCATTCAACGCAGAATCATTAATAATTATGTTAAATTTTTTAAATTAGAAAGATTGGATAAAAAGAAAAAAAATTATGGGGCTTCAAAGTTTTCTCTTGAACAAACAGTTTTTTTGCTCTAATTTTTTTCTTTTTATCAAATCTTTCTAATTTAAAAAATTTAACATAATTATTAATGATTCTGCGTTGAATGATACCAAATACTTGATGGTTGGACGCTCCTAGACCCACTCATTCATAATCGGCTACGGGGGTCCCGCCGATTCTGAATGAAACGTTGTAGCGCCGGCAATTTTTAACCTAAACTCACAAATTTGGTACCAATCGACGCAGAATTTAATCCGCTACAAAATGATATAATATTGTCCTCATACATTAAAGGGTTGCTCTACTAGAAAGATTTGCCAAAAAATTTCATTCATAATCGGCTACGACATATAAAATCAACAAGATTATCAATATTACAATACTAGTAATGAAATATATTTTACAATAAGTACCTTGGTTCTCCATTTGGATAATGGCTGGGGAAGAATGGATCGCCTTCTTCCACCCGAATGGGCATACAATGAACGGAGATGCTCTCATGTGAATCACATCTAGGAAACCAGTTATAGTACGTTTTCTAAAAGAAATCTATTTTAGGAAAAGAAAACTACCGTAGTAGAGTGCTCTCACCACAGTATACCAGTAGTTAATTGGTAGTTAATTTACAGGGTCACCTCGAATTATAGCGACAACTTCTTGGAAAAGTAGCTGGGAAATGTCTAATTTATTTCAAAAGTGGCAAGTCTTATATAGAGAATTATATAGATGTTCTATAGAGACGGAGACTAGAACTTTAAATTTTTGCCAGTCTTTGTTTAAGCCTAGACAATTCTAGTCTTACCTGGTGCAGTTCAAAATCTCATCATTCGGCCCACGAGCGGCTGGGGAATGAGTCAACTCGTGGTCCAAGAATTGTCCAAATTGCATCACCTATATCAAATCGTTTTCAAAATCGTTTTCAGATATTAGAGTTCATTACCATATGCGTGAATTTCGTGTGTTTAAAATCTTTATCCTCATTGACAACATTGGAGACTTTTCGGGGATTCGGTAAAGGTCGACCCGACTTGGCTCTCCAGCGTGGGATATCGAAGCCTAAACTTTGGATAGTAACTACAGTACTTTGAATACTAACTACAGTACTTTGAATTTGGCTAAATACTGTAGTTAAAGTGGGTAATCCTGTGGATGATTGTTTTAAATTTGTAAAACTGTATCTTTGGCTGTTTATTTGAACAAACCATCATCATAAACGGGTGGCAGAAGGTGCTTTAATGGGCCGAATGCGTTCGCGAAATGTGGATATTTGAGATTATTACACCAGCCGGAGAATGAACGATATCGAGTGGTGTGATCACAGGGCAACATCTTTGGGATACAATCTTCTACCGTTTTCTAGAGTTTTTCGAGTTTTTCGAGTTTTTAGATGTACTCTAAGTATCAGATTTGGACACTAAGCATTCTAGCCTCTTGTAGAGATGTTGACAGTACTTAAAGCTCTTCTCATCTAATGCCTTTTCTATGAAGCACTTATTTTGGAAAACTACAGTGATCTTACTACATTTTACTGGTTACATGTTACTGTAGTTACTATAGTTACTGTCATAATGTAGCGAGAAATCTGGGACTCTACAGCAAGTTTTAACCTTTAAAAGGTTATCAATTAGGTAAACTCTCCTATCAACTCTCCTCAAAACTATCGAGTTACTAACAGTTACATTAATAATTGAATTGCCCAATCACTTCTCATACAAACTTGTCCATCGGCACTCAAAAAAGCCGTATAATTGTTGATAAACGTGGTCACATCCACATCAGGAAGAATCATTTGAAGAGTCTCCGTATCCAATTCCGGTAATTTCTCGTCCTCTCTCAACATTTCACTAAAAAAAACTCCTTTTTCCAAGCTTCCAAGCTTTAATTCTTTCCTATACCCTTTCAGCAACAATTTCGTTGTCTCGAGTAAAAGCTCGGAGATCTGGGCGACTTTTTTCGCTTCAGGCTTCGCTCTCATCATAGAAGAATACTGGAAAAGGGGATCACCGCGAGTGAAACGACGTTGATCTGAGAAATTGAGAGCTTTTTTCTTTTAAGATCAATTACTGTTTTTGATATTTCCCGATTCTCTTTTCTTTTGATCTTCAAGATTTGTTTTTGCCAGTGCCATCACTTTTTCGATTGTCTCTCGGCTTACGGGGAGCTCTTGTCTCACCTAAACTTAAAGGATTATGAAAAAAAAAATAACTTCAATAAGAATATGATTTTGTGCACGTTGTAAAAAAGGTTACAATTTTGCAAGAAATTTGGGTGTTTTGTGGTTCGTAAGGTGGTAATTTGGATTACGGTAGGTTTCGTCGGGAAACCGTCGAGGTTTTGTCGAGAAACCTACTGTAGCTGCTAGTATTTAATGGAGAAATTTGGCGAAATTTCTCATTCTGTTTATTTCGTTTAGGAGGGCTGTTAAGCTGTTAAGTGTACCATCCGATAAACCAATTCCTTTTTACAATGTGTACAATGTGTACAATGTTGTTATAATGCTGTACAATGTTAAATATTACAATTATAATGCTACAATGTGTACAATGTTACAATTATAATGCTACAATGTTACAATTATAATGCTAGAATGTTATTTTGTGCATTCGAACGGAGAAAAGCGTAATGTAATGAAGGTTTTCGAGGCACAAAAATAATAAGCCATTGAAATATATTTTGGTTTAACTAATTTGTAGAGCGCTCACTTTTTTAAGCCAAAGATCCCAGGTTCGAATCCCGGCGTTGACCTTGTTTTTCCTGTTCCCAGCCCCAATCTGGGAACTCTTAAACTTAAAATTTTCAACCACTCACCTCCCCATCTCTCCATTCTTTCACGTCAAACTCGTCGAACATCGAAGATTTACAATCGATTCCCATATTCCTAGTTACTTTTGTCGAAGAAACAGAAAAATGACTTACTCATAAAGATCTTCAATCATGAAAACGTGTGGCTGAACACGGGTTAAGTCAAGGTTTTTGCATAGAATCTAGAACTTCTTTATTTTTATCATAATATTTGAAAAACCTGTGCCAATTGAGTCTTTCTGATCTCATCGAGTTGATTCTCGCTGAAAGCACTGCCCGCAAAATAGTTCTCATACCAGAAACGATCACCGCGTCTTGTCTGAATGAAATGAAAAAAAACTGCTTCTTTTTGTCTTTAGATTTCAGAGTTGAATCTCTATTGGATTCAAATTCGATTTGATTCACCTAATTGTAACCATAGCAAGTTCTTTCTTGAAATTCAGGGTTCAGGATCTATAGCTGACATACAGCTGACAATAGTCGATAATATTGTATCAGTATTTCAGAGTGAGATTTCACGTTCAATTAAAGGGTTTCCATAAAGCTTAACTTTGAACATACCCTTTGGAATTGCTTCCCCAGAATGCATCCCATTGTCGCTCCAAATAGCGATCCCTTGTTCGCCTTTTCGGCCATTACACCAACCTGATTTCATCACATTCAAAAACTGAAATCTTTCAACTTTTACCAAAAGATCAATATCCGCAACATCGTCATAGAGATTCGTGATCGTTTCAAGTTTGATTTCCTCTTGGAAATAGTCCTCCAATTCGTGGAAAGCGCGAATCTAAAGAGATTTGGAATAGCTGGGTTTTAAACAATTGCTGTAGCTGTTTCTTTCTGTATCTTTAATTTTTTAGACTTTAAAACTTACCTTTCCAAGTCCGCAACTTGCTCTGACGGCGGTGTACCCAGGAATCCCGTGGTCTCTGCCTTGTTTCAAAGCGATTGACACCAAATCCAAACCGATCTCCAAGTTGTCCTAATAGATTTAGATATTTTTTTATTACGTTAACATATAATCTATCCAGCAATTACCCAATTCACTCACTTTCATAAAAGCGTTCTTCATCTCGCCGCCCATTCGCAACGCTGGCTTTGCAATTGTGGCTGCTAGTAGGGTTCTGCAAGAAAAATTCGCTTAATTCTTACAAATCTATTACAAAATTCTTACAAATCTATTCAAATTTTGCTTCAATTTTTACCTAATAACATCTTCCATTCCGCGACTTTGAAAAATTCGACCAGGATTATTGAATTCGGTGTAGAGAGGAGCTGAAAGAAAAAGATTTTTTTTTCGGTATGATTCTTTGTATGCAAAATTTACAAACTTGATGGAAAGAGTGACCAAACGAGATAGGGGAAAGTGATTGAAAACTCGTTCATTGTCGCTCCTTCAATTGACATATCGTAATCGGCATCGAAACCCGATGAATGCACCTCGAGACCGAATTTTCTGAAAATTACAGCTCTTTTCTATGACTTTTGTGTCCAAAACTAAAGCTAAAGCTTCAATAAAATCAAGCTCTTTTACTTCTAAAATCTTCACTCACTTGATCGCATCGACGCCTAGGAGTAACGGCAAAAACTCGGTGTAAGTGATGTGTTGAACTTGAGCGGAGACGATTTTCCGTGACTCATCGAATAGCCGATCGTCCGACCAATGCTTGTTCAATTCCTGATTTGAAATGAATTCATTATTGTCATTCATGATAATGAAAACCTTTAATCGGTCGGCCACTCGATTGTGCTGACGAACCCAGAGAGTGTGCAGAGCAGCCGAACCGGGCAACATATTCACCTCGTCGGAGCCGGAGAGAAGACATCGGGAATCTGGCTCCTGAAAGTGATGCTCTTCTTGCAAGAAGAACCCTTAGTTGATATTTTGACTAACTTACAGTACTCTGTAAATACCGTATTACCTGACATCTCAATGACGCATCAACGTCAGGAAAAAAGCCGGCATTGCTCGCCGTTCTCAAATGGCCTCCTCTGGAAAGCTTGTTGAAAAGATTATTTTCATTTTTCACCTAAAATGTCGAAGTCTTCTTGCTCTTTCGGGATCATTTCCATAGATATTCGACGCATCAAGAAAAGCCGATGCCATATTTGCCTGCTCTCTTGGCCCCAATCCACAATTAGATCTAGCGGAAGGCATTGAACGAGCGTGAGGGAGACAGTTCAAACGATTTCTGAAATGTAAACCTTTAACCTAACTATTGCAATGTCGGAAAGGTTTAAACCGAAGTAAATTTTTTAGCTCATAATTGTCACTTTCAAAGTGAATGTTTAACCTATAGGCTGGGTCTCCAGTTGGCACGTGAATCGCGTCGCACTCAGCATGCGAGAAACCCTTTCGACAACATGGCAATGCGTGGACTTGGCCTGAAATTGTAGTATTAGAAAAGCAACATGTGCTAAATATTTCGCCGCCGTGATTTACATTAAAGATTACAAATTTACATCTAAAAGTAGTCCCAAAGTAAGAAAACGTGAAATGACTACGGAAAAATACTAATTTCATTCACTTTTGACTCACCTGAATATCTTTTTCTGCCCCAATCTTTTTATATCTTGTTTCTTTATTCATTTGTTCATTTGTTTGTTTGTTTTGGGCGTGGGGCAAATGCGACCTTTTTTGCGCACCTGGACATTTGCGCACCTTTTTTTGCTGGAAAAGGCCTTAGGAAAGGCCGTAGAGCTTCAAAAATATTTTCTTATAAGGGAATCGTATGCGTAGATTCCGAATCTCGACAAATCAGACCTCGCTGAGACTTCAAATTTGGGCTAAAAGGCAAAAAATGCGGAAAAGCGTTAAGTTGCGTAGTTTTTGCCTTTTAGCCCAAATTTAAAGTGCCAGTGAGGGCTGATTTGTCGAAATTCGGAATCTACACATACGATTCCCCTACACGGAAATATTTTTGAAGCTCTACGCCCTTTCCTAAGGCCTTTTCCAGCGAAAAAAAGGTGCGCAAATGTCCAGGTGCACAAAAAAACGTGGCATTTGCCCCACCGCCTTTGTTTGTTTATTCATCTCCCGACTGTTAAGTCAGTGTTAAATACAAGTTAAGTCAGTTAGATTGTTGCTTTCATCCTGTTTAGGACACAGCTTTTCTCCATTTTGCTCGAATCAGTACGCATTTTAGCCCCGTTATTGAATTCGTGCAAGTAATCCGTTGGGTTGAAGTAAATGTACAAATAATGGGTAAGTTGTGGTTTAGCCGAAGTTTGTACGATAAGGTGCAAAAAAACGGAAAGTCTTGATCAAAACACATAAACTAGTGTCAAGACAAGAACTTTTTGGTACACAACGATTGTTTTGCTAATAGTTCAACTTCTTCTCACCATCAATAACACTTTGACCAGGCACGATGTTCACCATATCCGAGGCCACGAATTGCCACCAATGCGCGAATAAAGTTGTGACTGAATATCTCTTTTAACAAGTTTTTTATATTTTTGGTTGCCTGTTTTATGTGGGACGAAATGCTTGGGGAATAGATTGATTGAAATGCTCCGGACTGGTGGAAGTGCTTCGCCAGTTTTCGACTCGCGAATCAAAGTTATGCCTGAAATTTAAAGCTACTTTAATTCTGTAGTGTGGGGATTAACTGTTGGGGTTTGCAGTATCACATCTTTATTACCGTAATCTATCGTATTTTGAATTAAACCCCACCATCTGCATAGTCGGGTTTGAGCATTCGGCTGAACGGAGTATGCGAGGCGCCCCACTCCGGATTCGCCACATTGTTGCACACACCAGAAAAAGATCTGAAGTTTGATTTAAGAACAGTATCAAACTGATTGCTGGATGAGTTTCTACCTGTAACGCGTGCCCGAGCACTTCTCAAGACTTGGCAATGGACACTCGGCGCCGAGCACCGTTTCGACCACTTTCGAGGGGACCCCGAAGCGGAAATCCCTCTCTCGCAGACCGAGGCTAAAAACCTCAAGGTTTTGTCTCAAATTTTTCAAATCTCTAGTTTGGAAATGGCAGTTTTATTACACTTATCTATAATTTTGAGGTTCAAAGTACTCACAGGGCTAGTCGTTTACTCATCGCCACACTGACATGCGCAGCACGGGCTCTCTCGGAGGCTTTTCGATCCACTCGATGCATCAGCACAAATTGGTCAGCTGATGGAGAAAGACGATGGCCTAACAATCGGAGTTTTGATAAAAATCCATCTTTAAAAGGGGAGTTTGTGTCAGATTTCTAAGTGTTTAACTTGTCCCATCTAACCTGAGTAAATCAGTTCGGCATCGGTGTGATTGAAGAGCGAAAGTGTCTCTGTGCGAGCCTCTCCAGCAGCCACCCAAAATAACGCGTCCGGGATCCTGTAGTCCAAGATATAAACTGTTCAGGGTACTTGAGTAAAACAAACTATTTAAAGGGATACTCTGAGTAAAAAATTTTTCTAACATTTACCCCTTCGCTGTGATGATATTCTTTTCGGAATCTTGCTCTTTGCCGAACATCGCCACCGCAATTTCACTTGCCTGAAATGGGAATTGCTATTTGATTTGTCACTATGCAAGTCAAACCTTTAACTGAGAGCTCGTATCGCATGGAAAAGCTTTCCCACATGGGATATTTGATGCATCACTCAAAATGACAGCTATAGAAAAGAGGAGTAATTGTCCAAATAGACCCATTCTGAAAATCTGATATGTAAAGATGTAAAAAAGATGAAAAAAGATCCAAACAATCCCTCAAAACCTGCAATCAAGTTCTTTTTTCCATTCAAAGTAAGACATTGACAGATGGAGGATTTCAAGCGAGTTTTGAGAGCCTTGAGAAAACGAGTAACCAAGAAAGGTATGATTTGCATTTGGAGAGTGTCCGTAAAAGTTCAGACAACGATCATTCAAAGATTTTTTAACAAGAACTTAGTTTTGATCATTGGAGGAACCCAAATTTAGTGAGTTAGAAAATAAGACTGATCTGTTTTTGATTCAGAGAGAAACCACAACACAAAGGTTGTTTCAAGAAAAGCCGCACCAACCACAAAAATAATATCGTCAAGGTTGATCTTTTTAGAGAGGCTTATAGGCGAATGGCAGATCAATAAGTGAAAAGAAAGGAGGAAAGTAGAAAGGAGAGGAGAAATCCCCTTGACATCAAAAGGATTGAAAAGGGGAAGAGCTCATCCAGTCTTCATAAAGAAAAGAGACTGAATATCCACAGAAAGGCGAGAAAAAGATCTCTGAGAGTTCCCCTCTTTCCCTCATACAGATCCCTCAAAAATTTGGCAAAGGGAGAAAGTTTTGAAGAAAGCCATGTATAGCATTAGTCAAGGAGAACGAGAGCTTGATGAGGGGATTTCACAGCACAGCAAGAAGCACAGCTTTTAGGGGAAATCTGTCTGGAATCTGTATCCGAGTCATAAAACTTCTCACAAATTACAAGGCTCAGATGCTGCTAACTATTAGATGAAGAGAAAACTAGCAACAACTGCAGGGTGCTTAAAACTGCGTCGTACTCTAGATGAAGTCAGCTAGATATTTTTCTGTCTTTGGCTAACTGAACCTGAAAATCATTTGACTCACTATAAGCTCACTAGTATTCGGTGTGAGAAAACGGAAAAGTTCGAATGATCAAGGGCAACCGGAGACACAACAACAGCAACAACAAACGGTAAAACAAAAATATCTTGCTCTTCTAGACTAGTTTTTCAACTACAATCACAAAATAATTTATTCAAGCAACTAATGAAGTATTTTTATTCTGTCTGATTTTCGCTACCGTAGTGTCTCATTTGTTTCGCGTGCTTTTCATTTTCATTCTCATTCACACGTCATTTGCCGTCAAGAATTTTAGAGGTTAGCGCACTCTTTAATTGATCCGTCTATCGTTGACCTTTACCCGTAGCTTTGCACGGAATTTGCTTTCGCGTAGTGTCCGACTTAGCTTAACTTTACCACAAGCTTTTTTAATGGTTAACTAGGCAGCCGGGCAGTTGTAATGCGTTTTGTATTCAAGCTTTACTTCAACTCTTAGTTCCGTATTGCGGCTTTACGTTTGTATGTTGCTTTTTTATATTTGTATTAATATTATCTTTTCTTGATAAGTGACGGCTTCCGCTATCTTGTTTCTCAACGAGAACAATGCAAAACATTGAAGAGTCTGAAAGTAAGCTTTTTTGAAGAGTCGTATGGCCTTAAGAGATCATAACTACCAAATATAATCTTAATAGATCTAGTACAATACGTCTACGTTTAGATCATGTTGAGAACAACCGGGCCGCAAAAGGATCCTACTTCTTCCCAGATGTTAAGCCACCCGCAACGCCCGTTTCAAATGTTTCGAGTGGTCTCATCGCAAAGGAATCTGCTGCTGGAATAACCTACGACGATAAGTTCGCTCAATTGATTGGAGAAGAAATCGATGTTGGAGGACAATTCTACCAACTTCTTGTCGCAAATCAACCGATTGATCATGCTGTGAAGGACTATGGTGCGTTTGTCTTGGAATGTCTTAGTTACGAAACCCCTTTCAAGAGCTATTCTTGTTGTGGCATGCATCAAAATGCTTAATTCTGTCCACGTTTAGTTGATGCTCTTGAAGCTAAGCTAAAGGTCTCGAAGAAACCAGAAGATGTCATTCGTCTTATCGACTACTTTTTGATTGCCGGCAATATCGAAGAAGCGTTGCGTATCTGCAAAGATTTTGGTGTCCAACACGATATAATTGGCGAAGATGCACATGGTTTGTGCATGCTAAGTTCTTTTATTTATGCACTTTTAGGCATCTTGAGTTCAATGGAGTTCAGGGAGGGGTTCGTTCAATATTTGAGTCGCTGGGCCGCTTTGGCTCTTTCACCAATCTCGAGATCGATTGCGCGATCCTGCATCTATCATCTCGTTTTGGAAGACGCTTTTCAAATTCAACTGAAAGAACACGCTGATCTGATTGATGCAAAGTAATTTAAGGGTTAATGGCAAGCACCTTGCTTATTTTAGAGATGCACTGATTTTGGCTTCTTCCATCCTTGGCAACAAGCACCCAGTGACTAGTAAATTTCTAATATTGATAATGAGTCAATAAGAGATTGTTTAGATCTCCTGCATAAGAAATTGATGGCTGAAATTGCTTCAACCCCAACCCAAGCATCGGTTCAATCAACTGTTGGCCAAATCGACCTCGAAGCAACTGCAGCTTCACGCACGGATCTGGTTCAATTAGATAATTTTTATTTTAAATCTTACTTTTAGGTTGATTCTTACCGCGCAGTGGTTTGTCTCCTTGCCAAGCCCGTGGATTTGCGCTTTAACGCCGTTGAATCGCTCGTCTTGCGCCAAAAGTATTTTTGAACTATCATCATTTTTGATTTTTCCAACCGCCATCATCTTTTGAATCTTGGGTTTTTAGATATCTTGAAGCAATCGTCGCAGGAAAATGGAAGATTGTTGACGGTATCGGTGCTGACATTGCTAAGGAGCGTTGTGGTTCCACGGACTACCTCAATGTAAGAAAAAGCATATGTATTGTTTTGTAAGTAGACCATTAGGACACGCTGATCTTGCTTTCAACTGTCGGGGAACTTGTTGCTGCTGTTCTTGACGTGGCAGAGTCGTCTGATCAAAAAAGCCCAATCAGGAAACTCGTCGAAAGAGGCGCCAGCCTCAAAGATGTTTTCAAAAACGGCGATCTTGCAACGACGATCTTTGCCAAGAACCATGCTGAATATAATGAGGAGGTATTTTATTTTAAAACTTCAAAATTAAATTTTCTCGTAGGCTGATCAAATTGCCGGATCTGTTGACGTTATTTTGCGAGCGCTTCGCTCGACCAGCCGGAAACTGCAGTTATCCGAGGAGGAAAGCAAACGCTTGAACATGTCACTGAATTTGTGCAGCAGTCTATTCAAAGTAGCTAGCGAAGCTTCTTTTTCATTAACAGTTATCTCTTTTAGATTCTGATTGATTTAGAGGATCGCGTTGAAGCTGTGAAACCCTCGTTTCCAGCTGTCCCGCCTATTCTCGACTTCTTCAAAAAAGATCTGGGACAACAATTCCGCAACTTTGAACAAAATGCCCGAATGACTGATTTGCTTGCATTATTCAATGAGGAAAACGGCATGCCAGAAAAGAAGAATGTCGCTAATGAGGTAATTTATACAGGCTCTAACTATACCACGAATTTTAGGTTCAAAATTCTATCAAACAAGACGTTATTCCATCGGTCCCAGCTAAAAAAGTTGAAGTCTTGCCTGCAGCGCCGCCAGTCATTGAGGCTCCACAAAGCATCACAAAAGCGGTTGTGTCTGACGTGCCTTCCGTTAAGGGTTATATTACTTGGCAATGTGCAACATATCATAGTTTAGTTGGAACGGTCAAGAAAGACACCACCGAAATGGTAGCTAATGTGGCTGACGGTGATAAGAAAGTCGATGAGAAAAAGAACGAGCCTTCACTTGTAACAGAAGAAATTCTTACTTCCAAGCATGTTACCGAAGCCCCACGACAAGCAAGATAGTTCCGACTTTTAATATCTTGTTGACGTTTTAGAAGATTACGGCGCCACCAGTTGATGTAAACCCATTTGGTCCTGCCCCGGGTTACGATTTTGCAACTGCGACTCCAATCCAGACAGGTTTTGGTGAAACGACAATCAACCAAGTTCCAGTTCAGGTATTTTTATTTTTGCATCAAACGATGTTGTTATATTCAGAACCGTGAGCCACCTGCCGCAATCAAAAAGAAGCCAAGCCCCGTTCCACTTGAACTTTCTGCTCCACCTCCACTTCAGCCAACAAATGTGGTGCCAGCTGCCATACAAACTCCAGCAACGCCTCTAACCCAAATGGCGCCTCCTACTCCAAAGATTCGTGCGTAGTTTGATGATTTCTCAAAGCTATTAAAATTTTTAAAAGGCTGATTTTAAATTTTAGTTGAAACCAACGATTTCGAAGACATGGACGCGGTGATTATATATGATTTTATTGGAGACAAATTTTTGCTTTAGAGCTTCAAGGGAAACTTTGGCTCGAAGCAAGCCTCCTATGGCAACATGAATGACGGTGGTGATGGACGGTTCGGCAACCGAGGAGGAATGGGTCGAGGTCGAGGAGGATATCGAGGCTCTATTGGTGGCGGTTTCTCGGTAAGGTGTTTAAAGAACTTTAAAATATCAAGTGCTTTTTTTTATTAATGAATGTTATTTTAGGGCAGTCGCGGCTTCCAATGATGCAACTTTTTACAAAGCAACTTGTTTTATGCCTGTTTTTCATTTTAATATTATTAGGAGTTTTCGCTTAAATTGTTACCGAATTTTCACTTTAATTCCGAATGACAATGGAAAAAAACGTATTCAGAAATGATAATTTGCTTGGTATAAAAAGTATAACAGGGAATTTTGGAAAACTGTTGAATAGAGTTGAATAGAAGAAAAATTCATGTGAACGTTTAAAAAGTAGAGGCAAATAGAGGTAGAGGATCTTCAAAGTAGAGAAGCCTCATGGAAAAAGCCTAAGTGCGTGGGTAAAACAAGATGGTCATGTCATTCTGTTGATTCGAATTTCTCTTTTCCTCGTTCGTGCAATGGATTTTGAGGGGATTTCAGTCCAGCGTATTAGCTCGATGCTGACAACCGGCCATTAGCCATCACTCTTATCTAATCGGCATTCTGCAAGATGTTATTAACTGGACATTTTTCCTCACATAGATCATTTTTACCATATTTTGAGCGATTTTACAAAACCAAGCCAACACTTTATTCCATCAAATATAGCGATTAACGGGAAGATAATGTACGAAATTCTCACTAAATTTCCATAATATACGGTTTCATAGATGGAATTTTTAACGCTGTTAGACCAGGAAAATATTCTCGTCGATTTTGAGTTGTCGAGGCTCGTGGCTCTGTTTCGTCATTTCACTAAAATGACAAAGAAGTAAGCCTATCTTATCTGATCTGATAAAACGTCTACAAGGCAGACACAACAACCAACCCCTTCCTCAATTTCGTCGCTGCTTTGATAGCAACTCGTTGTGGGGAGTCTTTTTCACTGATCGTGCTGTACACTTCCACCTCGCTCTTTTGTCGCTTGGATTTATTCCAAAAAGTCCACTTATGAAGCCAGCGCACAAATTCTTACCTGAACGCGCAGTTTTGCTTCATTTTCAATCTCTTTCGCATAGGTCTCTTGGTCACTGTCACCATTATACTCAAGATCAGCAGCCTAAACACGCGAATTTGTAATGATTAGACACTAAATTCTTACCGAAATTTCTTTTGGTGCCGGACGGACACAATAATTTGTGAAGCCGCCACTGCAAAAATCGGGAACCACCGCTCGAATGTCAATTCCGTTACGCTAAAAGATTTTTGAAGAAAAACTTTTCATGATACCAACCATGGCACATTTGTCAATAATCTCGTAGATTGTTGTATAATCGGGGCGATCCGTTCGGTCACAAGTGCGCAAATAACGGAAGATCAGCTGAAACTCTGGTGGAAGCAACCGTTGAAAACCGTCATCTCAAAAAATGAAACATAATTGTAATCAAAACATCGCTTACATCTCCCGGTTCGAATTTGCATTTTCTGATTGATCATCTCTTCTTCACTTGCTTTTTTCCACGGAACAGCTCCCATCTTGAAAATGTCGATGAATGCATAAACCCTGAGCAAATCAGTGTTTGATATATATATGTAAAAATGTAAAACATTACAAGGATTCCAGATCATCACGAAAATAGACAGGCTCTTGTCGATGAGCAGCAAGACTGTGAAACGTTTTGTCGCCGCGTATCTTCGACTTGAAACCCGGAGGATATATTCTACAAAAGACAAACAAGTTTATCACCAAAGAGCAAAAATATTACTTGTGCGGCTTTTTGGGCCATTTAACATATTGAAGGTGTGAGTAGCCAACGAGGTAAACGACGGTTTGACGAAACGAATTTCCCAGACAAAACATCTTTGGAGATAAACGTCTAAAGTATGCAATATTACAAGAAACACCTTTCATTTGCTTTAATAACTATTTCAGCATACCTATGAGTGTAGCCGAGTCGTTGCAGTTCGCCTATAGCTCTGGTCATGCTTCCACAAAGAAAGTAAGCGGTTGCACGGCTAAATCAAGCATACAAAAAAGTGAACCCAAGCAAAATTCAAGCACTAATACAACTTTAGCATTATATTTCAAAGCAAACTTACTCAAAGCTGGTCTGTAGATGATAGCGGCGCACATCATCCAAATTCGGTCCAAGAAGCTCGTAAGTGTAATAGCGTAGATCGTTCAACTCGCCAACATCACCCGTTCGTTTTGCACTAAAAGTGATCAATTTTAAAGCCGACTGCGCATGAGTCCCTACCATTCAACTGCATGGCGACTCAATCGGCGCTCAGTCAGCGAATAACGTTGTGTGAGTCGTATACCTTTCTGAAGTAACAATAAACAAAGAGTTGCAAGTACCAAAACCTACATCAAGACTTTGGAAAGCTAGTGGGCAATCTTTTGTCTCGGTTCGCAAGCAGAAACGGGCTTTTTCCCCAGGTTCTTCCACCTAAAAACCGTTTTAAAACCTAAAGAGTTTTAAAAACCAACCTCATATATATCACCAAATTCCCCGTAGTGTATCACTTGCATGATTTTGAGTGGATCGCCAAGACTCGTCTGCACAATCATTCCCGGGACAAGTAACGTGTGTGAATACTAAACAAAAACAAACTAGATCCCTATTTTTTTAAAAGAACCTTCATCTTTGACTGTGCCTTCTCCTTCGCTACTTGACCCGATTTTGATTTATCTGATAATAACTAAAATAGAAAACTTTAAAAAGAAAACGTTGATACACTTACATCTAACCCGGCCGATAAACGAGGAATTGCATTGTTGTGAGAAACCTGTAAAAAACAAATAAAAATTAGGTAAGTACAACAAAAAAGCTATAACAAAAGTAAAAACACTTACCATTAAGCTGTAAGAAACATAAAATGATAGAATTTCGTCATTTCCCTTTGTCCGTGAGAACAAATGGTAATCATGACATGCAAGTTTTTGATTCTATTTGCAAATCGCTTCAATAAAACACCTCTTTACCTAACTTCATTATCTCGGCTTTTTCTAATAGTAATCAACAGCTTTAGCATTTAAAAATCAATACAACTGTTTATCATGCGGTTAAAAAAAGGCTAAATAATAGAAATTCTGTCAGACAAGCTTCTTTTCATTTGCGAATCGACTTCACATTTGATAGTAGGCTAAAAATACAAATTGAAGAAATCCAATAGTTTTAATATGTTTAGTAACATGCTTCAATGCAAAAACGCAAGAATATCGAGCTAGGTGTTTGAAGTAGCAACTAAATAAAAGCTTACTCGTTCCAGCGATGACAAACACAGCAAAAGTGCCCAGCATGGCAAGGTACATCGAATAGGCTTTCCAGTAACGATCGCGCTTCACCTAAACGACAGAAGTTACAAACATTGCCCCACTAACGACAAAATCGAAGTAGGTAGGTAAGAAAAGCATTTACCTGGACTGCAGTTTTGTAGAAATCATTAGTGCCTGCTTCAAGGGCTTCTAAAAAGGAATTAAAAATAGTTTAAAGATGTAAACTCACCGGCTCGTTCAGCCAAATTGTCAAGCCGCTCGCCGCGTTTAGCGAGTTTGCCAATGTTTTCACGCATCAGATCCATCACCTAAATTTAAACCATAAACCAAATGTAAGCTTTAACATAAAACAGAACATGCAATATTTATAAGAATACACAATTTCGCAAGTAAATGCACCAATTACTTGCTACTAGATGCTAAAAGCACAAACCTCGTTAACTTGTGCGCGTGCTTGCATGATTTTCTCGTCGGTTGGATGAAGATTTGATGCTTGAGCGGAAAGAGTTGAGGATGTTTGAGTGATTCCGATCCTAAAGAGGAGAAAAATAGATTGTCTAAATATAAGTCAAAGACTAGTTTGAGAAAAGAAATAAAAGTGTATTTGGTAATGTTAAACGAATCAAGTTTTTGCTAAAATCAAAGGGATAGGCTACTTTGCGCCAAATTTTTTACGCAACTGGATCATTTGCGCAACTCGCCATAACTTTCTTCTAAGTCGACCAATCTTTATGATTTTGGTGTCATTTTGTTACACTTATTGAGATATACAAAATGACACCAAAATCATAAAGATTGGTCGACTTAGAAGAAAGTTATGGCGAGTTGCGCAAAAAAATTTGGCGCAAAGTAGTCTACTCCAAAATCAAACAAAAACATCAAAAGAAATCATGTTTCACCTTGTATTCGGTATGTCGAAGAGCCGATGCATACAGCGTCTCGAGAAGCGCTTTGAAAAATGATACGAAATGTGTTTGTCAATTTTATTTAAAGTTTTTTAAATGGAAATTTAGATTCTGTTAAATGTTAATTTGAATTGAAAGTTATATATAATAGTGTAGTTTCTTGTGTATCATGAAATGTGAGCCACCAAAGGAAGTTTTTTTCATTTTTATGGCAATAAGAAAATTCTCTTCTTGACAAAAAAAGTATTAAATCACAATTTGAATTAATTTTTGATAAGTGAAATGACCCGAGAAAACTCAAGGAGAATGTAAATACAGAAAATAAAGAAAAATCTGATTTGAAAGACTCTTGGCAAGAAAAGATTTCACTGGGATCACTTAAAAAGATTTGGAAACGAAATTCTAACTAATACAGAGTTGAAATTGAGTGTTGAATGCTTTAAATAGCTTTAAGATCAAAAATTTTATTGTTCAGAGCTACCGCTGCTGCTTGTTTCGGCTCGCTGTGTCATCTCGACATCGCCTAGAATTTGATTGTGGAAACTAGCGTAAACCCTAGAAACTACGGTAATTTTGATTCTAGTTTTATCCAAGGTTTTGGTTGATTCACTGTTTTTATATTCCAGTGAACTTATGATGGATGGAACATTGGGAACAGTTTAGAGTTTCCACAAACGGACACCGTTATTGCCTGGTGCCAAATTTGCACAGGTTTCCAATCGAAAGATAGTTTAAGAACCAGATTACGAGTATAGATTACGGTATAGATTACAGTATTTTTGGTTTTTAAAACCCATTCTTCTAACCTTTTCTATTTCTCAACCCCGATTCGAGAGCTTTCTTTTCGGTGAGATTCTGCTGTGCGAGGGGTGGAGGAGCGGGTAATCGTTTTGAGCCATCCGTTGGTATTAGCTGAATGAAGATTAAATAGTATTAGTTAGAATCTAACTTTGAATATTGTACTATTGGCTCTATAATCTATTTTTGAACCAACCTCAGGCTCCGGCCCAAACCAGGAGAGCAACACCGGCAACACGCAAAGGCCATTCCAGAGACCCAAAGCTACTAGCACCTGAAATTGATTTGAATCGATTGATCAGAATATTTAAATGCTATTCTAAATTCATGGAATATCTAATTCTATTTAATTCTATTTAATTCTATTTAATTCTATTTAATTATTTGATTCTAATTCCAGAATATTTAATTCTAGCTTGTAAGTTTTTTAGATCAAATGATAGCCCCGATAATTTACTCACCGTCATCGTAACGAAGAAATATTTGATGACGAAGTCGAATTGCGAGAAAATCAACATCACAATTCCTAAACAATTCCCATTTTTTTCGTATTTTTCCACAAACTCACCCAAAAATGTCGAAATGGCGCCATGAAAAACGGGAACAAACATATGTTGGAGACAGGATTCAATTCTTAAATCTCGATGTTTTTTTACCTTTCTTCATTCGCTTACCGATCATCCACTGTACCCAAAGAGGTCAAAAAGCAAAGGACGACATGCGCTGTGAACTCGACTCCTGAATAAAAGATTAGGCAAATTTGAAAGCTCTTTGTGGCTTCTGCAAGGCTTGATTTTGCCATGATCTAGTCAGTCAGCCATTTGCCATGATCTCTATTACAAAACCCCCACCAATTCCCACAGCGCAAATCTGTGTAACTGCCGAGATTCCGTTCATTTTCACGCCAAACAATCCCATAAAACCGCCGAGTTGAATTGTGAGAATCACGACAATCACCATCACCTAAAAGTTGGGCAAAATTTTGACACTTTTAATCTTTTCACCCACCATAACAGCGGCTCTCGGATTAAACATCAGCACCGAAATAACAACAAAAACAGCGAAAGCAATATAGCAAATAGCAATAAAGAGATTCCATCGCAATTCGAGATATTGATCCCAAAAAGTGAAGGCGATTCCCGAGGGGAAATTGCTCAATCCATGAGATGTGTAGTTCTCACAGACTTCTCGCACTTCCTAAAGCACTTCTAGTAGCTTCTAAATATTGGGGAATATACTGTAGGCTAAATATTCAAAAGTACACGGCGTAGGGTATACAGTATTGTTTATCAAAGAACTACTTCAATCATGTTGACAATGACGGGAGTGTCGGTGAGTCCCGTTTGATAGAATGGGATTTGTGAGTGCAGAAGTTTCCTTGCCGGTGGTACAGGCTCGTTTCTCTAAAAATATGGCTATTTAGCTAAAAATGGCTATTTAGAATTTGTTCACTAAATCATCCACTACTTTTTTTCAAAAACAAACCGCATTCATCCTCCAAACGGGCGGATTCGGCGCAAAAGATGCCTGTGACACATAGTACATCATATTGTCGACATTGAACCAAGCGGTCAGATAATTGTAGAAAGCTTCTGGGCGAATGATTCCGTTGTTGACGAGTTTAATGTTACCCAACTGAAAAAAACCCGATTACTTCAACTTGAAACAGGGCAGAGTTGAACCAAAGTTGAACCAAAGTTGAATCAATTTTCTCAACCCAAGCTAGGCTAGACCAACCCTGGATCTAGCTGGGCTAGACTGGATTACAGCTTACAGTCCTAGGCTCCGATAGAACATCCTTTCTTTTTATTATTAACTGACGTAGGCTTTTAAAACCAACCCTTCCCGTGCAATTGAACACATGTCCCACAGAGCACACGAGTTTCTGAGCAATTTGTCCTTCAGGTGTCGGCTTTTTTCCTTTATTGATTTTTCCGGTAGTCAGATCTAAAGTACAAGTTAAACTCTAAATCCTGGCCTAACTTGGTACTTTGTTCTCCGAAAATGCGCGCTTTCTGGCACACCTTTCTTTACAGCAGAACCTGCCTTGAAGAATGTAATCTTTGTGCACCAGACGACTGACATTTGTCAGCACAAAGTACATGCCATATTCTTGTATCTCTTACTAAAGACATCATTGGAGATCTCTTTTTCAAGCGCCACATCGAGCGACTCGAGCCAAACCCTCAGCAAACTCATCCAGTATGGCTGTGCGTTCTTTCCGTCTTTCAAAATCATGAACTTTGTCTCGCCTGTAGTAAATTAATTATTAAAATAGTGATTGATCAAATTTACATACCAAGTCTCCTTCTATACTCTTCAATTTGTTCTTGTTGATTCGGGATATCGATTTCTGTGCCCCGCAAAACGGCGAACATTGGGTAAAACGAGAAATACTTTTCTCGAGCCTAAAATGAAGTTATTTAGTTGAATATCTGAACTTTAGAAGAATAGATATGCTTTAGAGTTTTAAGCAATCAATAATGTCTAGTTTTTGAAGTCAAAGTCAAACTTTGCCAAATACAAAAAGCTTCTTTTTCTACAGCTTCTTCTTTCTTTTTTTTCTGTTGTTAATGACTGAATCTTTTTTCATTCTAGCATAATGTAGCTTCTATTTAACTCGTTAGCAGTCTAAATATTATTATTTTATGTAAAAAAAACGAACTCTGAGGAAAGCGGCGGGTGCAGTGTGCTCTGGCAAAACATCGGAGAGCTCCAACCCAAGCGTTCCCGTGTACATTCCATAAAGACCAAAGCCGGTCATCCCAACCGTCAAAAACATGACCAAGAACTGAATTTTATCGATAAAACGTATAAATTGCTAAATACTAATCAAATTTTCTCTTTAATTTACCTTAATTTTCGGTGTTTGCAGCGCCGGAATGTAGATATTCGTCAAGAAACCGCCCACCGTATACCACGGTTGATTGCGCTCCCACTGAAAAGGAAATTGAGATATAATACAGTAATCTTATTTAAATCTAAAGCATAAAATAGTCTTATTTAAATCTAAAACAATTTCTAATTGTAAAAACAGTATTTCAAACAATGAAAGTCTTTCAAAACGCACCTGTTTCTCGCCGCTCAAGTGACTCTCGCTGTCGAGTGATTTGAGATGAGCTTTTGAGTTCTCGGACTAAATATTCATTTTAAAGTACAGTATGCTTTTGATGTAATATCTATATCTAAATCTATATCCAAATCTCACCTCAGCTCTAGCTTCTTCCGTTTTATTGGCCTTAAGCGCGGCGGGGTCTTCAGTAGCCGGGAAACAATAGCCAAGGTCACGTTTACCCTAAAATATTTATATTTGTTTAAAATATTATATACAAAATACAATTTTATCTAAATATCTAAAATTTTATAAAATTTTATAAAATTTTGAACCCACTTTTCTCAATCTTCTCAAATCCAAGGCGATGAATGCGGGGAAAATGATGACAAGCGAGAGAAGGTTGAAGATTAAAAGAATAGCTGTCTGAAAATGGTAAAGCTTTAGGGTTAAAAACAACTCTTTTTTCATCGTATTTTGATTGTATTTTTAAGAGTTTCTACAATTCAATAGTTGTTTTATCGTACCTGTAAACAGAAGCTCCTCAAAGCGGGAACGGGGAGCACAGTGCCGGCAAAGAACGAAAGAACATTGTTCAACGAGGTGACCATTACCGAGAGACCGGTTTCTTTCAAAAGGACACCCATCTCGTCTCTGCAATTTCCATTTATTGATTAGACAGATAGACAAACAGACAGACAAACAGACAGACAAACAGACAGACATACAGACATATAGATAGACAGACAGATACTGCTCTTTTATATATAGTAGATGTTTTTCTGTCCTCACTTTCTCACAGTGTTGATAATCTCATCATAGTTATGCAATAGAAGAAACATGTCATCGATGCCAAGACCGAGTGATAGGAAAGGTACAATCTAAAGTTAAGTTCATATCACTGCTTTTTCAGGCATACTTTGTGCGAAAGTACGGAAAGCATCCCTTTTTGGCACACTAAACAAAAGAGTTTCTATTTTTGTCAGTAGTGTTGTAAAAGGAATAGTTGCGTACGCGAGAAGGGTGCACTTCCATAACTGAATACAAAGTAGCACAAAGTAAACCCAAAGAATCAATCCTAGTGTTGACATTGACAATTACTAGATTATGAAGATAAAGTATTTATGATTATAAATGTACAGCCAAACCTGTGTGGTGGCTGCATTGAAATTGATGCCCAACCACGTCGTCACTCCCAAACCACAAATGGATGAATAGGTGACCAACATGGTTCCTAAATAACACTTAATATCTTTATGTTCTTTATGATCTTTATAATCTTTATGTTCTTTATGTTCTTTATGTTCTTTATGATATGTTCATTTCACTAACCGATAAATGAAAGTAAAACATTTGACTGAACAGCTAACCACCATCCTTTGATTCGACATTGAGTCCATGCTGCGTAAAGAATCTAAAATAAAATCCAAATTTTTATCCAAACTACGATTTATGTAAATTACCATAAGAAAATATCCAATGATAATGATGATATAGTTGAATTGAGAGAATTCCTCTAACATATCGCCGATCGATGTCGAGGCCAATGGATGGAAGACTCGATTTGTTGGATTCTAGAGTTTAGTAGTGCAAAAGAAGTACTGACTAGAAATATTTAGAAATGATACGATTTGATTTGTAGGGAGGATCAACTGGCTGAGCCAGCCAAATGCCATATAACCTATACCATTCGACGCAGAATTTTATGCTGATTCCGAATATTTATTTCGTTTTTGTTAAATGACAATCTGCCAGGAGTTATAAGCGTTCAAATTTTGGTTAGAAAATGTGGTCATTTAGATCTTAGCGGCCTCCTTGCTGACTAGACTCGGTGCAGCTGTGGTACAGCGTTCGTTTCCAGGTTCGACCCGCGCTTCGAACTTTTCTAGCTTTTTTTCAAGAAGTTCTAACTAGTGTTCCTTGTGCGCGCGCACATATTTCTTTTTTTCACAAATTTTTTTTACACTCTTACAACAATAATTCTCAAATAAAGACAAGATATCTGGCTTTGGATCCACTTTTGAAAATGTGTTTGACTTGGTTTACAAATCTAGGCTCAGTTAAACAGTTATGTAGCCCACCTCTTTATTAGCTGGATGATCGTAGAGTTGTCGGGTGAAATGGCGTTGCCATGTGGCGATCACCGCTCCCGCCATCCCAGGTCCCCATCGAGATGTGTCCAGCTTTGGTTTCAATTCGGGCTTCGGCTCCTAAACAAAATCATTGAAAATGAAATCTAGATATTTAGAGCAAAGAATTTTAAATTTAAATGCAAAACTCTAAACAAATGAAGTATTTGAAAAGATTTAGAGGTTTTGAGAGTAAGAGTTACATCTGACGCACCTTATATCGAACGTAGACATCATAGGGACTCGCCACAAGGAACACACTTTGCAAAGCCTCTGCTGACTTTACTCTAAACATTTTTGGGTTAGAATTTCTTAAACAATTGTTAATTTTATTCGAAATAATTTCTATAACTTACTTTTCTCCATCTCTTTCAATTCCACCGATGATCAAATCCTCCGGCCATTCCATAATCTTTTTCCCGAAACCCTTACATCCACCAGTCATTATCTGAAAGCCAAGCTGGATCTTGAAAAGTTTATGAGATAATTTTAATACTAAATTCATTACTGTAAAGATTACTATTCTTAATTTAATACTTTTCCAATAGATATTGTCGTTTTTCACTGTTTTCACCATTTCACCAATGATTCAATCGAAATCTTCAATTGTTTCCGCTCTCGAACAAACCTCTCCATAATTTGGATCTTTTGGGAATTCGGCTTCAGGCAAGTAAAGACTCCATTTATCTTGATTCGCCGCCATCCACAAAACGAAAGCTTTCCCGTGTTCCAAACAATCTTTCTCTTCTGCACTCATTCCTTTCTTTTTCTTCTCAGAGGGAAGTGCTGGAAAATTTGTATATTGTTTGGCTCTTTTGCCTGTCCAATATCAAAGCAATGTCAATAAACTTACTAATGTTATCAGCAGAATAATCGGCATCATTCTCGTAATCGTAATAATCCTCGCTTTTCGTTTGTGCTTTCTTCGCGGGTGCTTTTGTTGTTTCGGCTTGTCGCTTTCTTCGCTTCTTGCCTATTGTTTTTTTGTGTGAATTGATTTCCAATGAACACTCACCGAAAATCCCAGCCAAAAGTTGATCAGCGTTTTCTGCATCTTCATCGTCTTCCTTAATTTTTCAAATTTAAATAAAAAAAACAAAGTTACTACTATTTTCTCAGTCTCCAAAATAACGGGTTGAGGTTGAGCTGCGTTCCAGGAGTTGAACTTTTTCAAAGCCGAACAACTAGAAAGAAAATTTGAGTACTTTATGGCCGAGGCTTAGGGGTAGACAAGTAAAAAATACCGATCAAAATAGTTTGGAGAAGTCTTTGGACATTCTGGATCGAGTGGATCAATGCAAGGACGATCCAAATAAGCTGAATCGATTCCAGCCTAAAAGATCGGTTAGAGCTAGATCTATATTCATGGCTGATTCATGGCTGATTCATAGCTGATTCATGGCTAATCCATTGCTGATTCATGGCTGATTCATAGCTGATTCAACCAGTTGTGATACAAAAGGATAAGACATTTTACAACTACACAAATCAATCTACCCGTTCAAAGAAATTGCTGACGGGTCCCAGATCGAAGAGTTGTGACACCTCGCCCATCACCGCACTTGGATTCAAATTCTTCCATGTCACATTCCCTTTCGGTAATGAGGTGATAAAGGAGGTGGCTGCTGGGCTAAAATCGTTCATTCAAAATCTTTATCTTTCTTTTTTTACCCCAAATTGATTGGTGGTCGAGGTCCCAATGGTTTCGCTCCCTCCCAAAAACAATCAATCGGCGTTATCCAAATACAGGGGATCATCGAGGACAAAACGCTTGATAAAATCTGTAAATATTAGAAGGAATTTGATTTGATTTAAAGATCAAAAGGTTGTTATTTTCTTTCTTTTTCAGCTTTTTCATTTAAAGAGACTCACCTTTGCGAGTGGACTTTTCGAGAAATCGGGTTGCGGTGGTTTAAAGCAAATGTCGGCAAGGGTCCAATTTCTGTAAATTATTATACAAATTATGCAAAATTTATGGATTTAATTCATTTAATTCATTTAAAAAACTCACTCTCCATAAAGTTCAACTTCATATTGAGCCACTTCTTCCATCAATCGCACGTGTTTTAGAAGACCGGCTTTAGTGATTGACGACTCGCCTGGATGCTCTGGCGTTTGGATTACGACCTGGAAAATGTTGTGTGTAACTAAAACATTTAGAATATTGCTTTATTTACTTCAAGTCTTACCATCCTTGAGTCTGTGATCGCAAAATGTTCACAGGCACTCAACCAAACAAAATTTGTGGGACAGACTCTATGGCAAGTCAAGTATAGGTCAAGTCAAGATAGTTTACTACTTATAGCTGATTGATTTAAAGATCTAGTAGATAAAAGCTATTTCTATGCACAGCAATTGCTTGAAGAAATCTTAAAGAAAAGAAAATATTGCATCTTTCACTACTAATCATTCTTCCATACTTGACTGAATTCTCGAACTAGCCGACAGATCGATGTCTATCTTGTCCTCCGTTTATCCCACCTGAAATCCTCCACCCAATCCGTTTTCTTTTGGCAATTCCGGTCCTCTCCATTCCCTTTGTTGCTGTGGTTTCTGTGCTTTCTTCGGATGTGTTCCATTCTTGTGATTCCCTCGATGCACAGTCGGAATGATCGGTGGCGGCATTTCGGCGGTGTCCCTTCTTACCTAAACACTTATAAATACTTGTACATTACAATATACTTGTACTTGTACATGACAAAACATTTTGATTACGTGTTGTCTTTTTTAAAAAACTCACCCGTGAGATCTCTTGATGTACCCGTGATAGATAATGCATCTCTTCATCCAATCGACCGCCCTCTAAAACTCTATTTTCATATTAAAAATGGAAAATGTAAATGAAAAAAAATCACTTACGTGGTACCCATAATTTAACAATATCCACTTCGATGGTCACTTCTTTCAACCCGGCACAGCAAATCGTGTACAAAATAAGAGAGATTATCGCCACTGTCCACGGCCATCTTTGAATGAAATCACCTAAATGTTTAAAGGTTTTAAAAGCTTATAAATTACCGTGATTATCGTAACAATTTATCAAAAAGTACGATAAGGTTTTAAAAGTTTCAACTCACCTAATCTATACAGATTTTTCTGGAAGAATGTCCTCGAGTAAAGCGCTATTCGATTGCCTCGAGCCATATTCTGAATATGGCTATGTACTTTGTGCTCACAAAATCGAAACACACCCTTTCTTGGGAACTCGCTTATTTTAGATCCTCAACTATTCACTTAAAAAACGATGATTTAAACAATAAGCCAAGATCAGACCAGCTCAGTAACAGGGATGGTTCAATCGAATCCAAGCTATGCCAGACCAGACCAGCTCAGGAACTTTTTTGAATATCAGGCCGGCTTTAAAACCAGATGAAACTAGCAAGACCTAGCTCTGGCCTTGCCTTCAGCTTGAATTCCCTTGCACTCACCCGATTGATCTGTTGCAGACTCATATCGGCATCGCACCATGTCGGCGCATGACTGAATTTCTCTTTCCACGCCGCCGTGTAGTTGCCCGAGTCCGATTTGCCCACGTAATTCTCTTGGAAAAACTGAATATCTTAGATTTTCGAATATTTTTCAATCTTTTTACATTATCTATTCGATAAAGCAGTGTCCGCAATGGTCCCTCATTTTTTCTTCTTCTCACTTTGTCTTCTGAGCCGTACACTCGACTCATCCGAGCGAGTGATCTCTAGAAATTGATTTAAATCTACATTTAATATATTTAATAACAATCCAGTTGTTGAATAAAATACCATAAAAGCTACCGTAAATACTGTATAGTACCCCAGCCCCATAATGACGGTGCGGAGTATTGCGTAGTCTAACTTTGAACGAGTCCTCGACACTGGTTTAAGCTACAGTGTTCGTTTGAATATCAAAAAATAGCTGAAATTCAGGGCTATTTTTTGATACCCAAGCGCGCATTGTAGCATAAACCAGTGTCGAGAAAAACTCGTTCAAAGCTAGACTACGCAACACTCCGCACCGTCATTATCTTTGGTACCAAAGACGCATTTTTTGAAAGTACGGGCGCTTTGAAAAAAATGAAATACTAAAAAACTTTTGCGACTACGCGAGTGTACGAGGGGAGGGTGGGGTACTATTACAGTATTTACGGTAGATAAATCCAAAATTTGATTCTTTATCATTCTAGCATTGAGAAAAATCGTTGACAAGCCTCATTAAGCCATAAAGATCAAAATTTGAGCCATAGATTTTGATGGAAAAGATTGAGAAAATCAATGAAGCTTAATGAATGGAAATGGAAAGTTCTTTGCTCAACAAGAGGGAAAAGAAATCACAGAAGAGAGAGGAAATCTTGATCAAAAAGGAAAGATCCCCTCCCCGTCCATCAATGGGATCTCTCTTTTGTGTGACAGTGTGACATTGTGACATCCAAAAATCTCATTTCACTCTACCCTAAGGGGTTCTCTTTCTGATGGCTTAATGATTTTAGAACTTAAACAAAAACAGTTCTTATTTGAAACAGTAACAGATCAGAGGCGATACTGGTTGTTCAGCTTGGCCAGGCTTGGCCAGGTCAGGCTAAGCCAGGAACTGATCCAACTTGAAGATTTGATCCTATGATCAATCCTACTATCCAGCTGTTTCAAGAAGCCAAAAGTTATGCTATGCCTGCTAAAGAATCAATAGCTAAAAATAAGAATTCAGCTTTTCTTGGCTTGGAAAATAGCTCTAGCTTTTCTCCAAATTGTATCAAGCATCAACATTTGCAAGTTCAACTATACTTTCAGTGTCCCTCTTGCCCACTTAGCTGAATATCTTCTAGTTTCGTGGGAATTTCAAACAAAAGGGGCAGCTACGAAAAATCTACGCTTCATAGCTTTCATAGCTGCCCATTTGTTTGAATTTTTCTATTCAACTAGAGCTTAGCTAGAACTTTGGAAGGATAAAGTTCAACTAGTAAAATCAACTAGTATCTCAGAGATTTGTTTTGAGCGGTTAAATAATCCCCTCACAAACTTGCCTGGTTCTCCAACTCTACCCCCAACTTGCCGACTTTCACTTGACCTTATTGCTAGAACTTTTTGATCCTTCTATGAAATCTGATCCAAACAAATCGGTTGTTCTTTAATCGTTCACGTCTGGAGTAACGATTCTTTTCAAGGATGTTCAATGAAAGATAATAGCTTAAACTTACACCTAAAGTAAATGAATGTGAAGGAAATGATTTCTTTTTTTTGAGAATCCCGGAGAATTTTACAACAAGAAATCAGCTCTTGTCCTCGATTTGCATTTGAATGAACGATCTCGGTTTTCGTCTCCAACTCTTTCACATTTGCATTTCGAGTTTTCAAGCGTTTGATCAAGAGCTTGATTTATTGATTTTTTGTCAAAAAGATCAAGAGCTTGAATCTAATTCTTGTTAAATTACAAAACAAATATGACTTAAAAGAGAAAGTTAGATCAAGCTTTAGCTTTCCCCTTTCCCCCACAATATTTTCCCAGAGTTTCGATTGACAAAATGGTTGATGTTTTTTGTTGTCAAAAAGATCAAGAGCTTGAATCTAATTCTTGTTAAATAACAAATAACAAATATGACTTAAAAGAGAAAGCTAGATCAAGATTTAGCGCAGATTTAGCGCCCACTTTCCCCCCACAATATTTTCCCAGAGTTTCGATTGACAAAGTGGTCGATGTTTTTTGAAAATTCTCCTCACAATAGATGTGACGGAGAAGCAAAATTCTCGACAATCGACCATAAAAAAAGCTTTCAGTGTTTGGGAAAAGAGAAAAAAAAACAGATTTTCTGGTTTCTGCTTGCGCAGAATTTTTTGGGGATTTATCGAGTGTCTATTTGGGAAATAGACATGACCTAATTGATAATGGGATTTTGAACATAAGAAAATGTTACGATATTCAATGAAAAGATTGTCTTTCTTTTTTTTGGAGAACAATTTGTTCTCGTTCTCGTTCAAAAAATGAATTCAAGATCACAGAGATGAATTGGAAAAGTAAAGTGAAAGCTCTATTGCAAATGAGTGGCTCTATTGCAAATGAGTGGCTCTATTGCAAATAAATTGCTGTTTTTAAGTTCAATTTGTTTGAAATTAACTGATTCAGAGTTTAAAAAGGTGAGAAATGGTGATTGTTGTTGATTGTTGATTGTTTTGTTGATTGTTGTTGGTGATTGTTTAGAAAAAGAAACAAGGACAAAGCTTTCAAAAAGAAATCTTTTGAAGCTGTCGGAGAAATTTATATATAGATACTTTATTCAGGATATATATATTCAGGACCTGAGATAAAGTGATTTAGATTTAAGATTAAAACACATGAAGTCATACACATAACACGAAAAGAGCCGATAAAAAGAAACACGATATAATATATGTAAAATGTGGGTAGCACAGATAACGTCAAGGATCCACTAGAGCTTCAAATTGTCGGAGAAACATTCCCAAACGGTCATTTCTCTTGGAATCATTTGCATGTTTGTCTCAATTGTTTGTGGAAGAAATAAGAAAAGCATTCTTTTTTCTTTATGGAAAGCAATCCGATAACATCTTCCCCTCTCAGCAATTCAATTTTTCGCACCTTAGTGAGTTCAAAATTTTTTTTGATTTTATGAAAAGAGGAAACTCGCTTGGGAATTTGATGGGGGGAATTTATAAAATAAGCTAGAAGCTTGTAAAATTTGTAATTATTAATGTTAATTTGATTTCTGTACAAGATGATGGGAAATTCTGGTTACTTGGCTCTGTATTGTACCAAATCCAAGCCGAGTCAAAACATTCCTCTTCCTCTTTCTCTTCCTCTTCCTCTTTCTCTTTCTCTTTCTCTTCCTCTTTCTCTTTCTCTTTCTCTTTCCCAATTCTTTCTCATTTTTTTTGAGGGGGGGGATTTATAAAATAAAATAGAAGCTTGTAAAATTTGTAATTATTAGTTTTAATTGATTTCTGTACAAGAATCTTTCTATCTTTTATTAAAAATGAAAAGATTCTTATACAAAAATCTATGATTTATAAAAGATCAAGTTTTGAAATTTTTTCTTGAATCTAAGGAGAAATTTACAAGTTTAAACAAGGTTTTAAACCTACCGTAAATACTGTAACAGTACCCCACCCTCCCCTCGTACAGTCGCGTAGTCGCAAAAGTTTTTTAGTATTTCATTGCTTTTCAAAGCACCCGTACTTTCAAAAAATGCATCTTTGGTATCAAAAAATAGCCCTGAATTTCAGCTATTTTTTGATACCTAAACGAACACTGTAGCATAAATCAGTGTCGAGAAAAACTCGTTCAAAGCTAGACTACACAACGTCATTATGGGGGTGGGGTACTATTACAGTATTTACGGTAGCTACTCTAGTAAGCTGAAAAGCGAGCAAGATTTCGTTCTTATGGATCTTATGAATTGAATGATTCTACTGTGGCTTAATGTATTCTATATTTTCACCTTAACCGTATTATTTTAATATCTACCGTAAATACTGTAATAGTCCCCCACCCTCCCCTCGTACAGTCGCGTAGTCGCAAAAGTTTTTTAGTATTTCATTGTTTTTCAAAGCACCCGTACTTTCAAAAAATGCATCTTTGGTATCAAAAAATAGCTCTGAATTTCAGCTATTTTTTGATATTCAAACGAACACTGTAGCATAAATCAGTGTCGAGAAAAACTCGTTCAAAGCTAGACTACGCAACACTCCGCACCGTCATTATGGGAGTGGGGTACTATTACAGTATTTACGGTATTTAAGTAGTTTTTTTTTGAAAAAAACCTACGATAAGCTGAATTCTAATGTAAATTTTAAGCAATTAAGAACAGAAAGTGAATCGGTATAATGATGGGAAATTGTGGTTAATTGGCTCTGTATTGTACCAAATCCAAGCCGAGTCAAAACATAGATTTGCTTGGAAATTAAGAAAATTTGATTCTTAGTGAATTGCTAATTGATTGTTAGTCAAATTTTCAATTTAGTTTTTCAATCCGAATTGTAAGTTGTACAAATGGAAAATGGCAACAAGTTCTACAGAAAAATAGACACAAAAGCAAGCAAAAATTGGCACGAGATCTCACCAGTTTTTGAGTGCTGAAATCTTAGAAAAAGCTGCCAAAAGCCTCTGCCACACAAATCTCCGGTCATTTTCTGAAGAAAAGATGACTGCCAGAGTCTGAATTTTCTCTGACTTTAAAAGGGATTCTCTTTCTCTTTCTCTTCCTCTTTCTCTTTCTCTTTCTCTTTCTCTTTCTCTTTCTCTTTCTCCTTCTCATTCTCTCTCTCTTTCTCCTTCTCATTCTCTTTCTCTTCCCCAATTCTTTCTCATTCTCCTATTTGGGGAACACGTTTGTCCTTCCTTTCCCCCTTTTCTTTGCCCCTTTTCTTTGCTTCTATGTGAAAGATCGGCAATTTTGTGATTTGCCTCTTGCTTTGATGGTCATTTTTGGATTCTCGGAGAGGAAAAATTCTATAAGTGACATCAACTATATAAAACTAATTTCTATGGTTACAAGTCTTACAAGTCTACAAGTTCTGGGAATGTTCAAGACTAACTGAGAAAATGTTTTCATCTCATAGGCATCTCCAATCGATTTTAAACGACAAAAAAAACTCGACTCATAGTCAAGGCAATCTTGTGATCAGCCAATGTCCTTGATGGTCAAAATTTCTGCTCCACAAATAAGACTCGCCAAATAAGGAAAAAATAAAATACGAAAAGTGAAAAACAAGTTTTTGACAGGTTTGACAGGTTTGCAAACGTATAATGACCGAACTCTGATAATAAATTGTAAAACAGCAACGATTGGGTTAGTGAAAGTGATTTCCCTGAATCGCAAATCCCAAAAATGATTGAATGCCTGATTTCAGCTAATTTCTACGAAAAACTGTTTTGAGGTCGAACTTTCCCCTTTTTTGAGTGGTGCTCAATGAGTCAAATCGAGGGGAAAAGGGTGAAATTGAGTGACGAATTAGAGAAAACTTTCTCCCGAAAACAACACAACAAAACTTTTTATTGGAAAAGAACAATCGACACTTGACACTTTTGAACGGGTAAAGGGAAAATGTGGAAATGAGTCACGGGAAAGGTTTTGCCCTCAAGGAATCCGGATTGAGAGATTGATCAGACTGGACAAAAAGCCAAGCCATGCCAAGCCATGCCAAACCAAGCCAAGCCAAGCCAAGCCAAGCCAAGTCAATCGTTTCAATTGGCTTTCAAGTTTTAAAGATCAATGTTAGAATTTCAAAAAGCAAATTACCAATTGTTAGATCAATATTGTCTTTGATCATTTGACTAGACAAAAAAAGTTTTTACAGATGACTCTACTAAATATTCAAAATTAAAGAGAGGCCACTTGTGATCGGAATACAAAAATAAACTTCACAGATTCATTGCTGATTCGCTAATTTATTCAGAAGAAAGAATATAAAACGAGAATGCTCAAATGAGCTCTTATTTTTCTTGAAACGGAGACAAGCAAAAAGCTGAAATGAAGTAGGAAATGAATGAAGGCTAACGCAAAATATCTGTATGACATCTTGTACAAAGCCCAACTGATCGTATATCGTTTAGATTTCGATGATAGCTAGATTTTAATAGAAGTTTAATACAGAGTTGTTCCAGAAACAGGCCAGGCTAAGCTCAGGTCAGGCTCTGGTGCCTGAATTGGGTCATAAAAGTACGTGAATTCACCAGAAGCCAAGCCTAGCGCTGGCTTTTAGCTTACCGGTCTAGATCCTGATTCGAATATTCTCTAGGCAGTCTAGATTGAGGCAGTTTAAGCTCAAGATCAAGCTATGAATGTATAAAGGATAAGGCAAATGTTTAATATTGAATGTTGTTGAACTTGAGAAAAGCAGTGAGGAAAAGCAATGAGAAAAAAGGAGTGAATCCATAATCGAATCCATATCGAGGTCAACACCCTTTCGGACTCATTCAGTCTTTTTTTGTCTGAAAAAGGAAACGATTCGTGGATCAACACAGAAGGGAATTTAGTGGAAAAGGGGTGACCAGTGAAAAAATGGAAATAAAGAGAGAAAAGGGACTAGTTTGACTTCTCATTTACCCTTTACCCCTTGCACCCACCCCAAAAAAAGTCCGGTAGTGAAATCGATTCAGCTATAAGCTTTTTTTTCTGAAAATTAAAGCCCAAGCTAAGCGATTAGGTAATAAAAATTGATAGATGATTGATAGATAATCAATTTTAGCATAATGTTTTTACCAATAAGCTCTTTTTGTCCAAATCCAATAAGCTCTTGTTGTTGACGGCTTTGTCAAAAAGGGAACAAGCAAAACGAACAAAATATTTTGATGCTTTTTGGTTAGAATAGAAGCAGGTAACTTTTGACAAAGCTAAAAGCAGTATTTGATCTAAGAGCAAGCCTTCAGCACGGCACTGATCCAGGGAAAAATTAAGCAAAGTAGATACTTATCTAACTCATTCAAGAGCCTATGCCTAGTTTACAAATAGCAGGACACACAGCGTATTCAATAGTACATTAGTTGAGTCAGAGCTGATGCTTTCTACAGCTCTCGAAAATCAAGAAATAGACCTATAAAAGACGCTTTGTGAATTGTAGCAACTATAGCTGAAGCTACAGTTTAGTAACTGAAGCTTTTGATTAGAAAATTTTCTATTTGTCTTAAACTTCCCGACCTATTCTTCAAAAACAATACAAATTTGTTTAAAACATAAAAAAGAGTCCAATTGGGTGAAGCTTAGAAATTTTATGAGTGTCATCGAAAAGAGAGAGAAGATCCAGTCTTTCTCGAGGATTCAGAGGAGAAGATCGAGCAGGAATTCAATGAAAATGGGGGAAAGGGGAAGAGAATCGAGAATCGAGAATCATTCAAGGTTACCTCTCGATCACACACAAAATATGCTCTCGTTTACAAAATGGCAAAGAATTGGGGTAAAGTGGTGAGAGTGAAGAACAATGGTACATTAAAATAATAATATAATTAACATAATCTGGTTGATTTCATTGATTGAGTAAGAGTTTAGGTATTGAAGGCACTAATTGATGATGATGATGATGATTGAAAAGTTTAACCATTGATCTTTACGATCTCGATCGAACGGCTCAATATTTACAAGCAATGATCTCTGTTAGGGGCCCAGAAAGGGAAGGGTCTGTGGTCGACCCCGTCCGATCTGCCAAGTTGAGCAACTTCGGCGCGGGTTAGTCGTGGGTTCGACTCCCATGGGTTCCCCTCCGAGCGCCCCAGCCCGGCCATCGGAGTATCATCGACTACGACAACTACACTTCTGCCTCAGTAAATGTGGAAGCAGGTTGTGATCTGCGCTAAGTGCGAAGACAGATCAAATTATTATTATTATTATCTCTGTTAGGTTGAGTTTTTCAAGAAGTATTATTGGTCAGGCTTGTTCCAAAAAGACAAAGGCAAAACAAGACCAAGCCAAGACAATGACGTTGAACGATTGAAAAGTTTTGAACTTGTGGAAAATTGATTTCAAAGCAAAGCTTTCAAAGCTTTGATAGCTTTCAAAGCTGTTTTTATAGTGCTTTCAAGTGGTATCTTGCTTTGGATTTGATACAATACAATATTTAAATAAAGATTTAGATTCAAATATCTAGAAAAAGCCATGCTATAATGTGGGTTTTATATATGAATGTGCCTATTCAAAGGATGTACTACTGTGAAGGTGAATGTACTAATTCTTTATCTATATCTATCTGTTTTTTTGATTGAATGAGGAGATCTTTGAAAAGGAATTAAAAAAGGAACTGAAAAAGTGTGAAAAACGGTTCAGGGATAAATGAGAGATTTTTGGGAAAGAAGGGAAGCATCTTATGCCAGAATCGGATGCCAGAGGGCAATCGACAATCCAAATTGATCAATGATTGATCAGATCAAAGATTGATCAGATCAAAGAGCTTTCAATGTAATGAATAAAGATGATAGACAAGAGACAAAAAAGGATTGATTTAGCAGATTGGTTTAGCAGATTGATGGAGGTGAAGAAATTTGAGGAGAGGAGCTAGCTCTACGGGGGAAAGTGACGCTCCTCATCCCCCTCTCCCTCCCTGTCGACACAACCAGATATTTAGGTGGAGGCTGACTCTTTTCCTGAGCTGAGCACGCTCTGACCGAAATTGTTGCGAGAAGCTCACAAAAGTCATCGCTCTTTCTCTTCTTTGATCTCTTTCCGCCTCTTCTCGGTTGACATTCAAATGAGTGGATTGATCAGCATTCAAGGATTGAAAAGCATTCAAGGATTGATCAGCATTCATGCTTTAGAGACTTTTATCAGACTACAGTATCTTGATCATTAGTGCACTTGCGACTTGCGACGTCTATTATGCTAAGCTTAGGCTCTCTAATAAATCCTCATTAATCCTCTAATAAATCAATCTTTCTTCAAGTCACCCAAATGTTGACTCAAGTTTATACTATTGAAAGAGAAGCCTTTTTTCTTGCGCTCTTCGTTCAAACCTGTCGGCATTCTTCAAATCGAAAGTCTCTGTGTGAAAGAGAAAACGACAGAGCTATGGGTAACCATTCTCTATATGGATATCGATGGATTGGTGGCTGAAAAAAAAAGTGAAGAGAGATGATTCGCTTCCAAAATTCGTTTCAGGCTGTGCTTTTTGCCTTGCCGTTTGATTGATTTGATTGTGTTTTGCGGATGCAGTAGTACATCCTTTGAATAGGCACATTCATATATAAAACCCACATTGTAGCATGGCTTTTTCTAGATATTTGAATCTAAATCTTTATTTAAATATTGTATTGTCGAATGTTGAAAGTCGTCATTCAATAGATGATGATTGAAAAGTTGAACCATTGAAAAATTGAATCATTGAAAAGTTGAACCATTGAAAAGTTTTGAGCTTCTGCAACATTGATTTCAAAGCAAATCTTCCTGTTTTAGGGCTAGTTTTTTAGGAAATTTTTGTAGCAAATAGAAATCATTTGTGATTTTTTGCTTTTTGCATATTTAAAATAGATTTTGACATAAAACGAAACAAATTGACATTGAAAAATTGACAATGTTGACAAAATTGACAAAATTTGACGAGTTCACCCCTAGAAATTCCTTCTTTCTACAACAAGCTCTAAAATTTATTCATTTATTCATAATTTCTTTTCAAGCACCATTTAAAATAAGCCAAATCACAAGAGATTTCAAAAAGTGAGATCAAAACGAAACGATTTCTTTGGATTGGTCCACTTTTCAGTCTTTTTTTAAGGAGATCAATACTCGCAATTGTAGACAAAAGTTGAGCAAATGTTTTCAAATTATTGGTGGAGAAACAAGCGGAGAAATAAGGCAGCAATGAGACAATCAAATTTTAAGGATTTCCCGATGAGTTATTGTTATTTTTGAGTTCTTTTGTTGATCCAGACAAAGAGTTGAGACGAGCGGAAAAGGAACGACGAAGACGCTCATATAATGGAGCACACATACGAAGGGCAACCTGAATGTGGTTCGATGAACTCAACTTCGCCTGTAGCCCAAAATACTCAAAGAAAACTAAAGATTAGAAGAAGCTATAAAGCTGGAAGAAGCTATAAAGCTAGAAGAAGCTATAAAGCTGGAAGAAGCTATAAAGCTAGAAGAAGCTCGTAATACCTAAAGAAGAACCTGAATGGGCATCTATCTGGCTTTTTGCTGCCTTGAATGGGCTTTATTTGGTGAGCTTTTACCTCATACGGCGGTGGAGGCTCATTCGGTAGTAATGGAGTTCGATCTCGGCTTGAATCTATCGGCCATGCGTATGAATCACTACCTATATCTGGATATATATAAAAAGCAAAGCTTTTACTTACCCCTTGGCGCTCCGGTGAGTGAAATCCCTCCAATGGAGACACTCCGAGCCACTCGTCGAGCAGATGGAAGACGAATCGGTGCAGCTCTTTGTGGGCCTCTTGTTGAGCTAAAGCTTTTACAATAGATTATATAGAGACTATCTGATCTCTTAGATTATATAGAGACTATCTGATTTAAGTCAGATCTCCATTGGAGGAATTTAAAAGCTACCCTCTAAAGAAGCTGAAGCTTCGACTTCTGGGCGGTGTCCTCAAGTCATCCACGAGATCGTCCTCTTCCAAAGCTCCGTAATTTCTAGAGCAAAGTTAGTCACCATTTGATCAGATTCAAGATTTTCAATAATTTTACCTGAACACAATATTTTCATTGTTGATTGATGGCCTTCCGTGACGATTAAAGAATGCGTTTGGCGTTCGAGAAGGAGCCATGAGAACCTAGAATATACAAATAAACCTTCGATACTATGTACTAGTACTTTTACTTACAGTACTTTTACTTACAGTACTTTTACTAACACTTACCACATTTGCATTCGCCGGATTCATAAGCATCGCTTGCGAGTACGATGGAACAACGAAATATTGCTCTCTCCTCAGTAAAGCCTCTAAATCGGCGGTGTCCATTGTGGAGGTTCTTGTAAGTGGACCCGTGTAGTTGATCGATGATGGACTGAAATGGGAACCTATTATCTCATTCAATCGGTTCAATTACATACAGAACAAAAGCCTCAATCTTTTCTGAAACTTCCAAACCTTAAATAATTTGTCCCAAAAAGTTTTGTCACATGAAACGAAAGAAAAGCCGTTCTCCATTCGGCAAAAATCCTCAACGGCCAGGATAAAAGAAATAATGATGTCACCCAGAAGATCTGAAATCATTTTTGAACTGTTAGTTACAGAATACTAGTTACACTTTAGTAAACTAGACTTTTTACCTACCGTAGGCCTCAAAAACCATGGCGGATTTTGTGTCTTGAAGCAAAGGAGTTCGTCATCAAATTCGAGATTCGCCATGTCCATTCCCTCGCGAACCTCAAAAGAAAAGTTTCTCTAATCAGTTTTTGGGTTTTAATTTGTAAAGCTACATTTCTCTTTAATAACTTGCCTCCATATAGTCATCTTTCAGCTCGTTTTCATTGAAAAAGCGTGTTCGCTGCTCTTCGAACTCGTTTGCCGCCTGGAAATCCAAAATGTTAACTTTTGTACTCAATAAATAGTGATTCTACGATTTGCAAGTTAGACTAGACAAAGCTGGGCAAGCCTAGACAAGCCTAGACAAACCTAGACAGTCTAGACAAGCCTAAACAAGCTAGACAGTCTAGACAAGCCTAGACAAACCTAGACAGCCTAGACAAGCCTAGACAAGCCTAGACCAGGTTAAAGTCAAGCCCTGCTTCACCTACTCTACCTTGATCTTGCCTAACTTGAACAGGCTTGTAAAAATTGCTTTTGGAATTCATGATCAAGTATTTAAGTCTATTTGAAGTCAAGCAGCAAGTCAATAACATTTCCAATTGCTTACCTGCATACAGGCAAAAACGAATCCCCTCGCAATTTTCACTCTTGTCACCGGGAAATCCTCGAGACAAAGGACCATCTTGCTTATATCCTGGAAAAGAGTTAGATAGATTTTTAGATCTTACTTCAACGTTTTGAAAAAGATAGGCCTGACAAGCTCCTGGAATAGTCAGGTCATGAGTATAGCCTTGGTCTGGTCTGGTTTAAAATATTAGTCAAATCCTGAAACTGAGTCAGAGGCAGTGTTTGATCTAGTCTGCTCAATTAGCTGGTCGATTTGGATCTTTGTCGAGATACCTACCGTAAATACTCTAATAGAATGCCATCCCCAATAATGACGGGCGTAAAGTCGCGTAGTTTAACTTAGAACGTCCCGTTCTCCGCGCTGCTTTATGCTACAGTGTGCGCTTGAGTGTCAAATGATAGCCCTTGAAATCTAGTATTTTTTGGTATCAAAAGATCTACTGTTTTAAAGGAAACGCTTTAGAAAGCGCATTAATCACGAGGAGAATAAACTCTAAACAGAAAAATACCCACCTTTAATCCACAAATATCATAGATGAAAACATTGCCGGCCGAGTGTGAGTTCACCCTCTCATAGTAGACCTGAGTGGCCGTGATCGCGTCTCCGTTACGATATCTAGAACAAATAATTGAGATTGTTATTTTGTGCAGGATTTAATAACATTTAACCCATTCGAAACCGCAGCGTTTTTCTTTTGTCTACGGACAGCCTTTTTGCATTTTTGGCTCCGAAGCAGTTTATTTATGGTTGGAAAGATGTAAGAGAGCCTCCTACACCATTTATTTTTGATGAAGAACGATTTGGATTTGACTTCAGTACTTTTCAAGATCCTATCGATTATTATTCTTATTTTATCGACAACAATATTTTAATAGGCGAACCTAATAAACATGGAAAAAGGAAAACAAACTGGCAGGATTTCGATGCAAAATCTTTCAAGCTCTTCCTGGCTTCAAATGGGAATCGTCAAATTATCGAGGATTCGTGACTACTGGAGTAGCAGGCCTGGATTAGGAGGATTTTCCCACATGTCCCACATTATGTCAAGAGCAAAATTTGAATCTAGCAACCTGCGTTTTTGTGATAATGAACTGAATTCTGCAGGAGATCGGCTTTATAAGATTAGAGCTATTATGGAACATTTCAATGCAAAACCAGAGCTGCATTGATTCCGGTAAATATGAAACATCTTTTTTGCCCCGTAATTTGTAGATCTGCTACAATTGGAATATACATGTAATGCTGAAAAACAGCAAAAAAAAAGCAATTAATTGAATGAAAATAGCTCAATTAACGCTGCAGCGAATAATCGCTGCAGCGGTCCGTTCCTGAGTTTTTGCTGCAGCGATTATTCGCTGCAGAAGTTTCGAATGGGTTAAACTAACACAAGACTTTACTATTTCACTTTTTCTTGATCTTCTTTACAACGAAGAGTCCAACTCTCTTCAGTAATCCCTGGATTAGGAATGCTTTTGAGAGTTTTTCTTTTTCAAACTACTGCATAAAACTAATCTTAAATACCGTATTTTTTCTAATAGTAGTGCACCTTGAGCGTCGCCTAAATTGCTCGAAATCTCGAAAACCGTTTATCAGAACCTATCGATGTGGGGTCGGAAAATGTAGCTGACGATGAGATCTAGCTGGCGATTAGAGTGTTGAGCTTCTGCAAGAGCTTGGAAACCGTAAAATAGTCACCAACTCGGCTACCAATCTACCGTAACAAATCCAACAAAGCTTAAAGAAGCTGGTAACTAAAGGAGAAGCTGATCTCAAAGAAGCTGATCTCAAAGAAGCTAGTTCCTAATACTAGTTCATAAGCTTGCCTAAATTACTCGAAATCTCGAGAACCGCTTATCAGAACCTATCGATGTGGGGTCGGAAAATGTAGCTGACGGTGAGATCTAGTTGAGGATTTGAGTGTTGAGCTTCTGTGAAAACTTTGAAAGCCGTAAAATAGTGACCAACTCGGCTCGCTAGGGTGCACTACTATTAGAGAAAATATTATCTAGATATAATGTTAAATCGAAATTTTTGAAAAATTCAAAACTGAGAGTGCTGAGAGGGCATGCACAGTGAACGATGGACTTTCTAGTCAAGCAAAACTATAGATGTATAAAATATATTCGATGAAAAATTAGATTTGGGTGCATGCCATTTTCAGTGCACTCACCGTGTGACCTGCCTCGTTCTCCGCAAATAGTGATAGCAAACGGCGCGCCACCAAACAATTGGCAACGAGTCGCGGAGTTGATTTAGATAGGCTTCAGCGGTGTCCAGGTTCACCTGAATTTGCAGAGTAGTGATTTAAAGTGCAAATTTGGAGACTTGTCTACAACTGAATGGTCTACAGATGCTCTGGACCAGGAAAATGACTCGCCTCAAATGATACCTAAGCCGGAAGCCAGCCCGGCTTCAGATTCTAGAATCTAGACTTAAAACACCTCGCAAAACCAGGCCTGGCAATTTCTTGACCGGTCAATTATGTAGTCAATAAGCACTTATCTTTTAGGTAACTTTCTTTGCCCAATTTCTACGAACCCTTTTGATCTTTGTATGTCTCGTTCGAGAATGCCAACACTCCATCAGATAAACCACATAAAGCATGACACCGAAGACGATTGGAATGAAATTGTACCCTTGAGCACATGCTCCGTGTTGATATCTAAAAATGTCATCTTTTGAAGTAAAAATCGATTGCATTAAGGTGTTGAATGAGCTTTTAAACCACGTACAATCTATTGAAAACGCTGTTCGCTGAGTAGGCGTTGTGATGGAAATGGCACCAAGTGGCATAGAAAATGCATAAACCTAAAGTGATTAATCAAAGCAGTATAGTCATTTTTAGAAGTCTAAAATAGGATTCTAAAATAGGATTCTAAAATAGGATTCTAAAATAGAACTCTAAAATAGAAGTCTAAAATAGAAGTCTAAAATAGAACTCTAAAATAGAACTCTAAAATAGAACTCTAAAATAGAAGTCCAAAATACAATTTTACCTATCAACAAGGTGCAAATAAAGCATTTCCAATACGGACTGCGCACGATGACGCGAAGAAGGGAACGACGACGGACTTTCTGAAACATTGGATGTCTATTGGAAAGTACTGTAGCCTGTATTACTAAATTTGCATTTAATTACATAAGTATAGGCCTTTACCTTGCCAAATACGCTTGACGGACAAATGGATACCCGTGTACAAGTCTGAACAAGCCATCCCGTCTACAGAGCGATTCAAAGTTCCCCCTACAACTTTTACAAAACCAGCTAGTAGTGTCTAACTTCTTTCAAAGTGTCAAATGTTATATAGAGAATTGTAGTCCTAATTCTTGGCTACATTTATCTTCTAAAAGTTTCCGAATTGGATGCATACAACTCATTTAACAGGCTCTGAATTTTTGACGATTTTCTTTATAAAAAATCTTTTAAAAGATCTTTTTTTGTTATTTATTTCATTAAAATCTAACAATTTTTTTAATTTAATAACAATAAAAATAAGATTTAACTGTTTTTTTCAAACTTTTCTAACCAAAATTCAATTTGATTTTAAGTTCATTTTAAAGCTCAAGGAAAAAAAGGGAAAATTTAGCTGTTTTTGATGTTTAATTTGCATTTTTTAATTTGATTTAGATGTATTTGCTGCTCTAGCTCTAGAAATTCATTGAATTTCATTTTTTTTTGAACAAGAATAATGCAAAATTGATGCCTTTCTGAGCGAAAATTGTACCACCTTTGATTTGAAAGAACCTTGGTCTTATTGCCTATTCCAATACCTATCATAATACCCAAAAATTGCATATTGTTGTATAAACCAGTAAAAAGATACGTATTTAAATACTCACTGTAATATTGTCGACATCAACGGTATGCACCATTTTCTTCTCAAATAAAGAAAAATCCCTCAAGGCACTTCTAGTACCATTTTGTGAGCTGAATTTGAAACTGATAAGAGATTGAAAGGAAGTGATCAAGAGCTACAAGATCAAGATTGAAATCAAGATTGAAATGAAGTGATCAAGAGCTATAAGATCAAGATTGAAATGAAGTGCTCAAGAGCTACAAGATCAAGATCAAAATCAAGATTGAAATGAAGTGATCAAGAGCTATAAGATCAAGATTGAAATGAAGTGCTCAAGAGCTACAAGATCAAGATCAAAGAAAATTCAATAGAAAAGCTTGATGATTTCCTGGTTGATTCTCCATTCACTCAGAATTTGATTGTCTATTCTTTGTGTTCGTTTTGATGAAAAAAGAAACGAATGTAAAAACGGGGTTTTCGAATATGAAAGGTCTATTCGGGAGAAGGCTCAGCTCAGCTCCTTTTCTTCTTTTCTCTCCTTTTCTAAAGCCCCCGCTTTGATGGATGAGGTGGACGATTTTTTCGAAAACCCCGTCTCTTTTTTTTTGGTTTACTTCTCTTAAGCGCTGAAATTCTTTGCGCTTTTATAGATGAATAAAAAGGGTATTTGAGAATTTGTAGAATTATCAATAGTCAATCAAGAATTTAGATCATTTCATCAAGAGATAATAGAATGAATTTGCTAGTAGCTCGATGAAACTGATTGTTAGACTAAGACAAGTCCAGCCAATCTTGAATCTGAGCCTGACTTGTTGAAATAAACAACAGCAACAACAACAAGAGCAACAGAAAGCCCATGCTCAAGTTTTAGAAAAGATATTAAAGCGATAGAGTTAAACGTAGCTCGTTCAATCAAAAGAATAATTTCCTTCACTTTAGCAACATTTCTAGATAGCATCTGATAGGGTTTAAGGAGAAGAAAAGGGTTTAGTTGAAAAACAACACCGATTCGGGAAGAAAAAAGGGAAAAGGAGGGGAGAATGGAAGGGAGAATGGAAGGAGAATGGAAGGGAGGATGGAGGGGAGGATGGAGGGGAGATCCAAGTGAGGATGGGGCTATTGGAAGGGGGAGAAGGGGACAAGAAGAGAAGGGGGAAACTGCTCAGGGACTAATGGACGGATTAGAAGAAAAGCACCCACCAACCAACACAAAACAAAAAGCTTAGGACCAACTCGAGAAATCGAATGGGAGAAGCACACGCCAGTCCATCAAGCTTTCTTGGACCAAGTAGTAAAGCTTTCTTTTTTGATACTCCATTCGAATTCTTGAGCTGTTTGACAGCTTCTTCTCGAGAAGCTGTAGCTACATAGCTTCTTCTTGAGAAGCTGTAGCTACATAGCTTCTTCTTGAGAAGCTGTAGCTACATAGCTTCTTATTGAGAAGCTATTTTTCTTATTGATCTTGTTAAAACTTATACATTAAAAAAAACTGGAGTTAGTTAGAAAGCAAAGATGCTAGTATTAAACAGAGAAATCGAATGAGAAAAGCACAACCATCAGCAGTCTATTAAGCTTTTGCGCAAGAATAGTAATTGTAAAGAGATTTAGCAACAATAAATCTGCTTCTTTTCACCGGAAACCCAGATTTTTTAGGTCACACAAGCAGCAAAATAACAATATTCTTAAAGATTCCTTTTTATTATCTGTCTTGCTCTTGAGTTAACTAGTAAAGCTTTTAAATATCTTTAAAAAACTGAAAATTTTAAAAAACTAACGAGAAAAACAGAGCTTTTCGTATTCAAAGTATTCAGTGAAAAGCCAAAGTCAGGGCAAATTAGCCTCCCGCCGATCGGAGAATAGAAAAAGAGTGGAATGAAATAAACGGGAGATTCAATAAAAGAAAGCGGAAAGGAAAAGAGAACACTGAAAAAGGCAAAAACTATCGAAACAAAAATGTTCGATAAGTTTTCATTTGAATTGCAAAGTATTCTTTTCTTAAAGGCTTAAAAAGGAATCTTAAAAAAGAATATTGTTATTTTGCTGCTTGAGTGACCTAAAAATCTGGGTTTCCGGTGAAAAGAAGCAGACTTTTTTTTTCTGGGTATATAGAAAGTTTGGAGTTTTTGTTTTTTTTGGGTAAAGGAAAGAGATCGACGAGAATTTGTCACTTGCGATGACCACGAAGAAGAGAAAAAGATTGGGAAGCTTTTGGGATCCAAGAAGTATTGGAAAGAGGGAAGGGATGGGTATTCCCCTGAGAGATCTCTCCTCTCTTCTCCTTCATCGACCACAGCATTTTGTGCAAACTGATAACTCAAACTAAAAATCACACGATTCACAAAGCCTTTAAAGTTAGAAATAAATAAACAATACGTTATAGATTAGAGGATAAATTGCTGTTAGCTGTTCGCATGCTGTTAATGCTGTTAGCAATAAAATGCTGTTTGCATAAAATGCCATTAGCTAGGGCCTACTCTGATTCACCTAGACAAAGCCAGAGTCATGCTTGACCGACTTTTTGTTCGTCAAGCTTGCTGTAAGACAAGCTCAACAAGACAGAAGCCGAATCAGAGGCTTGAGTCCAAAAAGAATGACTAAAAAACGGTGGTCCTCTTGTTTCTTATTAGTTTTCATATCTGTTCTTTTGGGATCACTCAGAAGGAAATCCGACAACTCTAGAAATGAAATCTTTATTCTTTTTGCTTTTCTCTATTTATGTGTTCAATATTTGGGATTGATAGTTATCAGTTTGAACAAAATGCACAATTGGATCAGGTGCCGTGTCGCCGTGTAGATACCATACGGCAATCGTTGTCGACTCGACGAATTATCAAGGCGATCCACAAATGGTTACTGGTGTGATTTAGATCAAAACATCTCTAAAATTAACCAATATCCTTCAGGTTTTTCTATAGGTATATCAAATAGTTCAGGCTTAAGCAATCAATCAGTTTCGTGAAGTCCAATACTGTTCAATTTCTTGAAACTTATTTATCCTATTTGAGTCTGAAATCTTTGGATTACTACATTTCGATGGAATCTAATGGTGAGATCTTACAGGAAATCGGCTTATTTAACTCTTTGCTGAGTGTACTTATCAAATGTTACCGGAAACCCGTTTATCTAGCTCGTTTATCTAGCTTTTTTCTGTACTTATCAAATAGTTCAGGCTTAAGCAATCAATCAGTTTCGTGGAGTCCAATACTGTTCAATTTTGCCCGAAATTTGTAATCAATACGATGGTTTAATGCAATACGAACAACAAAATCATTTAGGATGATGTGGATTGAAGAGTGGGCGAAATTTCGAACAAATGATACAGTAACCCCATCGAATTACAATAAATTAATGGCATGAGATCTTTTAGAAATCACAGCCAAGCCAACATTGTTTAGATCACAGCCGACAAGCGATTCTCGGCTTGTACAATGTGGTCGGGGAGTTTCAGAGAGAAATTACGATTCGATCCTTTTGATATTGGTCACACAGTTTGTGAAAAACAGAAACAAATGAACGAATTGCATTTAGTGACAAGTTGATGTGAACACGGCCGCGAAATATCTCTCCGCTTTCCCGAAGACTCAATTCACCGTCATCAGCATGGGATCTGTCGATTTCTCGTCTTGGCAAGAAGCTACCGTAAATACTTTAATAGTACCCCACCCTCCCCTCGTACAGTCGCGTAGTCGCAAAAGTTTTTTAGTATTTCATTGCTTTTCAAAGCACCCGTACTTTCAAAAAATGCATCTTTGGTATCAAAAAATAGCTCTGAATTTCAGCTATTTTTTGATATTCAAACGAACACTGTAGCATAAATCAGTGTCGAGAAAAACGCGTTCAAAGCTAGACTACGCAACACTCCGCACCGTCATTATGGGGATGGGGTACTATTACAGTATTACAGTAAATGCTTTACACTTCAAGCCAAATTTCAGTTAACATTGTCAACAACAGTCAACAGCAGTCAACACAGCCAACCGGGATCGTGGCTGAATGAGATAGCGTCGGCTGGATATTACATTGATGGAGTGACTTCAATTTGATCAGACGGCGTGTCTGATCAAATTGAAGTGTGAAGGTGAATGTTACCATTAAGAATAGACCAGAATATTTAAAAATTTGACCGGAAATGAAATAGCTTTCAGCAAACTGTCTTTGCCCGAATGGCTACGACTCAGCACAAGATACAGCCATTGGCGCACCGGTTAATGGATGCTTTAAGAGAAGTTACTTCTATTTGAAGCCAAACTTGTTTAGTTGATTAGCCTAGATGCGATCTCTTGATCTCACTTGCACAAAAGACAGCAATGAAAAGGTTTTCAATTCTGGAAGTTGAGAGAAATTGTTGAGTCGAAAAAGGGGTTTGCTTTAGGAGTGACAACCCCGAATCCACATGAGCTCTCGTTGAATGGAAATCAATGGAAATGGGCTGATGGAATGGATTATGTGAGTGGGGCAATGAAATCATGTTTATGCTAAGTTTATTTGCAAGGAGAGAAATTTAGAATGGTCTCATTACACCGGGGAATGGCTCTTGTGCTTTTTTGAGAAGAGTCACCGGTTTCAACAGGGGAATTCGTGCAATCCGATTGTTAATTGTTGAACAATAATCCCTTTCTCATGCCAAATGATCTCTGTTTTTTAATTATTTGATCGGGAAAAGGAAATAATCTGATTTTGAATAGATGCAATGCAAAATTAGAGATAGTTTTCAAAAATTGATAAAATTGACAATTTGACATTTTAACAAGCACTTTATTTGTGAAAAACCACAAGTGCTAAGCTCTTTTTTTTCTTGACTTAGCCATGAAACAAGTCTATCACATGCTCTCCTCCCTCGCTAACTTGATGTTTAAAAGAAGGCGTAGAATTCTGGAAGGATGGAAGGATAAAATGGGCAACAATGGAGAGTTCAATTTGTGAGTGAATTCTTGGTTCTTCGAGAGAAAACACAAAGAATGACACTTCCCGAAAAGGCGATCGAGTGAAAAGAAAAGAAACAGAAGAAAAAAGAAGTTTTTTTTTTTAAAGTGAAACATGTCATTTTTGAATCACAGAGATTTTTGAGCATTTTACTTGAGTTCTTTGAAGGCACAAGAGCACAAGAGATTCATTTTGCTAAACTATTTCTTGATCAAAGTCTCTGGTAAACTGTTGGTGATTCATCAGAATGATAAAAGTACTCATTTTGTCACCATATTTGCTCAATTTCTCGGAAATTTCACCGCATCAACAGCCTCAACTCATCAAAAAAAGAGAATTATGAGATTTATGTACAAGAAAAGTATTGAAGTTTGGCTAAAAATAATCTCTAACATAACATTAGATTGCTGTACATTGATTTCAGATTGGTTTCAGATTGATTTTAGATTGATTTCAGATTGATTTCAAAAAGATAACAGCTTACTGTAACTGCTTTAGCTTTAAAAATACTTCTTTTCTCAACCTTTCCATTTCTTTTCAAAATTAAAATGTTTTCCTCTCCTTGTTCACTTCATTCCATCGCTTCTTTTTCTCTTTTCCTCTATTGATTTCAAAAAGATAACAGCTTACTGTAACTGCTTTAGCTTTAAAATAACTCCTTTTCTTAACCTTTTCATTTCTTTTCAAAATTAAAATGTTTTCCTCTCCTTGTTCACTTCATTCCATTGCTTCCTTTCCTCTTTTCCCCAATTTTCTTTCACTCATACTTGTGAATTCCTCTATTAGTATGAGTTTTTTGGTCCAATAGATGAAAAGGAGGCGATTCCAAGGAATGAAGTCTCAAAAAAGAAATAAAAAGAAGAAAAAAAACCCCGGGAATAATCGTTGGAGTCAAGGAGAAGAGAATCGAATTACTCCCCCGGCAACTCTCCTCCGATCTCCTCTCGATTTTCCTCTTCTTTCAATTCCACCTATCCAAGACCAATCCACTGAATTGTTCTTTTGTGTTGAGGAGTTTTTTAAATACTTGACTTTCATGTCTAACGTAGTCAATCGTAGTTCATTCCGAATGGCTCTTTGCTTTTGAAAAGAGCAACTCGTAATCCTGAACCAGCCCAACGATCAACTCATAGATCCACTTAGCTCATAGATCCACTTTCAACTCTTCTACTGCCAAGCCAAGTTTCTTCTACAGACCAATCAACCCAACTTCTACCACTTTTAATTTCATCTAACGATATTCTGTATTTAGTACTCTTTGGAATTTAAGAAAGTCTAATAAAGTCTCATTTAGACTTCATTAAACTAGGCCAGTAGAGCTTAAACTTCTTTACTTTCTTACGCACAAAGCTCAACCCATCGCAATTGGGCAAATTCTTATTAACTATCTCATGTAGTTGTAGCTCAAAGATGTGCTATGAAAATATCAAACGAAACTGTCTCGTTAATGGCGCTACTCCTAGGCAATAGCACTGCTTCCGGTAATTCTTACTCCAACGTGCCTATTGATTACTTTCTATCACTTCTAATCTCATTTTCAGTTCACTCAAGTGGGTTTTGTGTTTTAATAACATTTAGTTTAGTCGATCGAGATCAACCAAACTCCTTTGAACACTCATTTGGCCATTTTTCGTGCTTCACTATGGGACTTCCATATTCCAAGTCATCCCTTTCCCCTCGAATTGGACTTTCAGCAATATTTCCCACCAAACTCATAAATTCATTTCCGTGGACTCAAAAAACCCAAGGATGGGATTGATAATCCCCGGTAGACATGCAGATAGGAAAAGTGAGGGGAAGAGTTTGAGAAAAGAAACTGATTGGCCTCCTTGGAGACGATTAATAAAAAAAACGCTTGTGATAATCTCTTTTCGCTTATTTTTCTTGGTATTAAATATCTTTCTTGTGGACATAGAAATCCAAGTGAATCGATTGGTTGAAGAGGAGAATCCGTCACGGGATTAGAGCGGTCGAGGAAGACCCCTAAGTCTATCTTTTGAAGAAAATTGAAAACATTTCTACGATTTACTTTGATCTGAATCTTTTTTGGCGATCTGGGGAATGCTTCCAAGAATTTGTGGGGAAAAACTGAGACAATAAGTTGGAGTAAGTAGCTTTTAGAAGAATAGTTCACAAACTAGACAATTGTAGCCACAGATCTGGACGCTTTTCTTCTATATTGAGCTTTCTTCTATATTCTAAACTATCAAATTGCTTAACCAGTTCTTTGTTCAATGCTAAATAAGCCTTTAACTCAAAGCCAAGCATTTACCTAATGATGACTGACTAATGACTGACTAACGGATGACTAACTCTCGTAAGCTAAAGCTAAAAATCAGCTAAAAATCTTTATAGCTTCTCACCTACAACTCATCTTTCTCAATCCAAATCGGATCTAATTCCAAATTCACATCCACCCTCTAAATGAGCCAATTTGTCCCTTGATATCTCTTCTTTTCAAGTAATGCATCCAACCGTTTACTCTCTTTTTCTTTTCTTGTAATAATCAATCTTTTCTCGCATCATTTAGTACAAATCGACTATTGATAGTAACAAGTTTTGTGCTTTAGAGTTTTAAGTGAGAAATGAACCGTAAAAAGCTTTTGAACTTTAAATGCTCACTATTCAATAGTTCAATAGTTGTTGTTGAAGTCATTCCATATTCAGTTGACATCCTTGCAACTATTTCGTGTTAAGAATGTACAAGTAATACTGTAGCTAAAGCTTACAATAGAGATCTTCCAACCGGCCACTAAGGTCTATAAGCCAAGGCTTGGCTATACTTGATTAAACTTCTACCTGGCAGACCTCATACTCATCACAGAACTCCAGTTTGGCTTTACCTACAGTAAAGCCAAACTGGAGTTAAGTCAGGCTAGAATCTGGGTCTGACAAAGCTTCTGGCTCGGAGCTGAGCGCTAGAGTCTAGGGCTGAACAAGGCCAGAACCAGATCCAGTCTTGGCTTCTGGCGTACTCAAGGACTTTTGTGGATCATGCCAGCAACTGGTCTGGTCTTGGTCTTGCCTCTATCTTAGACCTAGACGGAAAAATGGTTTCAGAACAATCCAGACTACACATTTTCCAGCAGCTCATATGGATATGTGAGAACTAATCAAAGTTTGCAAGATAATTAGCAGCATTATGAAGATCTTTGCAAAAGAAGAATCTTTTGCAAACAAAGCACAATGCTATCACCTCATAGACTCATAAGAAGCTTTGCCTTGATTTCTGAAATGATATCTTTTTGTTGATATTCCATAAAATACTTCCTCAAGATTCATTTCCTTCATTTCCTCCATTACTTTTCTTTAGATTCTTCTCTGAATACTACATGAATGTTGATATCTGAGAAAGATTCCCTTTGTCTTTTTTCTTTTATTTCTTTTATTTCATCGGATTGACTGAAGTCAAAGGGATTCCTTTCCCTTTTCTCTTCTCTTCTTGAAGATCTTCTCATTTCTGCATGAACTCATCCGTTCACTGAATATCATTTAACACAAAGATATTGATTTTCTGGCAATAGCTTAACAAGATAAAGCTCTATACTGCTTTTATACTTTCTATTGCTTTTATTTTCTAGAAGAAAATTTCAACTACTACCGATTGTTGTCTCAAAAGATTCTCATTTTCAACGGAAATTAGCGGAGATGAGGCATTTGTGTAAAAAAAATGAATATCCAGGGAAAAGACATTGATTTATAAGTGTTGAAATAATTCAAATTATCTATCCTTGTAAGAATCTTCCCAGTTTTCTTAATACTTTTCATTTAAGTAGAATAATTAGCATTAGAATCCATTCATCTAGGCTTTCCTTTCAAGAACAACCTATGCAAATTGATATTTATATGTTAATCAGTGCATTAGCTTTAAGAATTTACATATCCTTCTCCCCCCCCTTTTTTTTTCCCCCCCCCTCTTTTTCTTTATTTTTTTTTTTTTTTTTCCTTTTCTTTTCTTTTTTTTTTTTTTTTTTTTTTTCTTTTTTTTTTTTTTTTTTTTTTTTTTTTTTTTTTTTTTTTTTTTTTTTTTTTTTTTTTTTTTTTTTTTTTTTTTTTTTTTTTTTTTTTTTTTTTTTTTTTTTTTTTTTTTTTTTTTTTTTTATTACCTTTTTTTATAATTTAACTTTTTAATTTTTTTTTTTTTTTTTTTTTTTTTTTTTTTTTTTTTTTTTTTTTTTTATTTTTTTTTTTTTTTTTTTTTTTTTTTTTTTTTTTTTTTTTTTTTTTTTTTTTTTGTCTCCTTTTTTTGGGGCGGTTTGGGGGGGGGGGGGGGGGGGGGGGGGGGGGGGGGGGGGGGGGGGGGGGGGGGGGGGGCGGGGGGGGGGTGGGGGGCCTGGGGTTTTTGTTTTTTTATTTTTTTATTTTTTATTATATTTTATTTTTTTTTTTAATTTTTTTTTTTTTTTTTTTTTTTTTTTTTTTTTTTTTTTTTTTTTTTTTTTTTTTTTTTTTTATTTATTATATTTTTTTTTTTTTTTATTTTTTTTTTTAAAAAAATTTATAAAAAAAAATTTTTAAAAAAAATAAAAAAAAATTTTTTTTTTTTTTTTTTTTTAAATTTTTTTAAAAAAAAAAAAAAAAAAAAAAAAAAAAAAAAAAAAAACAAATATTTTAAAAAAAAAAAAATAAATTTTTTTTCCTTTTTTTTTTTTAAAATTTTTTTTTTTTTTTTTTTTTTTTTTTTTTTTTTTTTTTAAATTTTTTAAATAAAAAAAATAATTTTTTATTTTATTAATTTTTATTTTTTTTTTTTTTTTTTTTTTTTTAATTTTTTTTTTTTTTTAAAAACAATAAATCTTTTTTTTAAAAAAATTTTTTTTTTTTTTTTCCTTCTTCCCCCCCCCTTTTTTTTCCCCCCCCCCAATTTTTTATTATGCTTGTGATTTACAGATTTAGGCCAAATTTAAGATTAAGCTCTCTTTAGAAGCTTTAGAAGCTATAAACGATCAATTAAAGATATCTAATTGTAAAATTTGTAACCCAAAACTATTCAACTTCAACTTCAACTTCTACTTTCTACTTCAACTTTCTACTTCTACTTCTACTACTTCTACTTCTTCTGATTCAAAATTGAATTCTTACATCGCTAGAATAAAGTTCTTTAACGTTAGAATATTTTAGAGGAAGACGCAGGATAAGATTGAATGAATCTCTCTTCACCGCCTTTCCCTTCTTAACAAATTGCCTCAATCTTCTTCTAATTTCTTTCCCTTCTCAAGTAAACATATCCCAAAAATCTTTGAGACAAGTCACGGCAAAAAAAAAGAGAAATAAGTTCAATTAGATAAATCCGTTTTGTTTCAAAATACTTTCTCTCATAGATCAGGCTTATTTTTCTTTTCCCTAAATCTTTCTACCTCCACAAATCCGAGGATTAGCCAAGAGATGATCTCAGATGATTTTTTTGCCTATTTACTTGACTTGGAGTGGCTTAAATAATAATATTTTCTGGGGTATTGATTTTTACAGTTCATACTTTGAGATTTTGGCTTGTTGGATAAAATGGAAAGGTCAGAAGCTAGGTGAGACTTGGACCCGGCGAGACTTGGCTCTAGGCTTGTATCCGGCTTCTGAACGGACTCTGACCTGAATTAACTGGATAAATAAAGATTCGAACTTTCTACAGATTTCCTTTACTTGATCTTTTCTTTTCTTTTGCTTCTTCGTTTTAAGATAACGTTATTCATTTCATCTGATGCTTTTAAAGTTGATTAACTTTTAAAGTTAACTCAACTTTTAAAGTTTAAAATCAACTCCTCAACTTTTAAAGTTAACCAAATCAAACTTTGAGACGAAAATTTTTCTTTTTTGGGAATGGAATGTAAAAATAAGGAAGAGTTGTCATTTTGAATTCATTCAATAAAAGTAATTACATGGGTGGATACTGGAAAGACAGGAGAAAGGCCTAGACTTCAAGTGATGTGTCTCATCAATTTGTTTTCGCTGGATATTCTTGGAAACATTCTTGAAAAGTTTTCTAACGTTCTCATGTCAATTTTATTGATTTTCTTTCAACTTTTAACAAACACTGTCAAACTAGAAATGTCAAACTAACCCGAACCTACACTACTGGACAATGAAATATCATATTTGAAAAAAGATCGTCCCTTTCGCGCCTCTGTAACTCCCTTGTATTTACCCTATTTCTAAATATTAATATTACCATTGTGTAGCCCTTGAAACGAGCTTTCAGAAAATGTCTAGCGCTAATAGTTTAAACTCAAAGACAAAGGAGTTACAGACGCGCGAAAGTGACGATCTTTTTTCAAATATGATATTTCATTGTCCAGTGGGGGGTGGTTTGGTTTTGTTTTTGTTTTTTTTTTAAAAAAAAAAAAAATAATTTAAATTTAAAATATAAAAATTTTTCTTTATTTTTTTTTTCTAATTTCCCCCAAAAAAAAAATATAGGGGGAGCCCCCCTTTTTTTTTTTTTGTCCAGTACCGTAATTGCATCTTTGTTTTCTCTTAGCTGATTGCTATGAAATTTTGTCTACAAGCAGAGAAGAACAATTTCTTTTTTGTAAACAAAATTTTAGAGATAATCGGCGAAGAGACAAAGGTGAAATTTGCCATAGCATCGTGGGAGATTGCGAAAAAATTATTGATTGGTGGGCGTTGATTGATTGTTCTGATTGTGAGATTGTTTTTCCAATAATTCGTGAAGCTAAAATTGACAAGCTAGACTTTGATGTGAGGATTGGCATACCTTTTGGAGGATTGGCATACCTTTTGTTTGTGGTCCTTGTGCATAATGATTTCCTCTTCTAGTTCTTGAATCGGATTGAAATTTCCCATTTTCGGATTGAAATTTTCCATTTTCTCATGTCAAATTTGCAGAAATAGAAATGGGTGACGAGGATCCGACATGCTATTCAGTGAATCAAAGAAGTGATACAGCGGATCAAGATTATCTAGATCAAATCGACTTTAATGGATCGACATCGATTATGGTTTTTGATGAAAAAGATTGCAATTGCTCACGAATTCTGCACACCTATTTGCCGGTAAAGAAAATAAGTGAAGTGAAATGCGGAAAACAAAGAAGGCTCTTCTAGATTTGTGCTAACGTTTGTCCTCAACCATTTATGAGAGTCGATTGGATGGAAATCATGATCCCTGCGCTCATTTATCTCGTCGTTTTTCTGGTAAAGTTATTTATTAGTTAAGTTCTTTAATTTCCATTTCCAAAACGCAGAAGAACGGAATATTGATGAGAACTAGGGCCTTAACTAGGGCCTTAACTAGGGCATTTCAGGTGGGCACAATCGGAAATGCGTTGGTGATCTTTGTGGTGAATCGTTTCAAGCGAATGCGCAATGTCACCAATGTTTTCCTTGCCTCGCTCTCCACCGCCGATCTTTGCCTCATTTGGTTTTGTGTGCCGATCATGGTCAGTCACACAACTGTCTGCTAGTCATTTTAGCTTCGATTTCCAGTTTGTCAAGTACATGTCTCACGAGTGGTTTATGGGAAGATTCGCGTGCTATTCGGTGCACTACATTCAACAATTCACCTGTTTTTGTTCAGTGCTCACGATGACGATGATCTCGTTTGAGAGGTTCGATGTTCGGAAAAGAGAATTCAGAAAAGAGAACGGTCGCTTTTCACTAAGCAAGAAATTCTTAAAAAGTATTACTCACAAAGAATTTCTTTAGCAATACTAAAGAAATTCTCGTTTACTTCGAGAATGAGGATTGATTAGCTTTTGCCAGAGTACAATCGTTTCTACCAAGCTCACTTAGGAATTCTCGCAGTCATCGTCTTTCCTCTAGCACCTGTCTTTCCTCTAGAGCCGAGTTGATGACTATTTACCGCCTTCAAAGTTTTCCCAGAAACTCAATACTCTAATCCCCCCACTAGATCTCATCACCAGCTACATTTTCCGACCCCACATCGATAGGTTCTGATAAGCGGTTTTCAAGATTTGAGCAATTTAGGTGACTAGAGGAAATACCTACAACGAAATTCTTTAGATTCCTAGCAATCGCTTATCCAATGCGAAACATGTGGCTTTCGTCGATTGGACGCGCAAAAAAAGTGATTCTTCTGATTTGGCTTCTCTCCGCGATACTTGCCATTCCGACAGCGATTCGAATCGACTATCAAGTACTATTTTTTCTCTCAAAATTGTTAAGTTCTCAATTTTCTCATTCCAGCCAACCATAGCCACATTGGCGCATCCACAAAAATGGGTAGAAGTTTTAAATGAAACAATCAGTGTTCTGCTTTCAAAAAAATTGCCAACGAAAAGACAGCTTTGATCTTTTTTTTTTCTTTGCTTGCTCGCTTTATACTAATTTATTTTCTTATAAGCACAATTTTCAGAATCAAGGCGGGAAAGTGCATTGGTGCGCGCGGCGTTTTCCGGCGAATTTCACACTTTTCGGGCATGATAGACTGGAACTCAATAAATACTATGCAATCTATCAAGTGAGTCTTTGATCAAGAGCTAGATAAGCTAGATAAGCTAGCTAATTCGATCAAGAGCTAGATAAGCTTCAAAATAATATAATAGTAATTGCATTTATTGATTTGAAGTTCTCAATTCGAATGATTGAAAGCTTTTAAGAATAGATTAGATGAGTACAAATCAAAATATTCAGCAATAGAACATTGCTCTAAATATGCATTTAGCAATGGTCTAAATATGAAATGACATTTGTACTCTTTCCAGATGCTTTTGTTGATCGTCTTTCCCGTTGCCACAATGTCAATTTGTTACACCCGTGTCTCGCTCATTGTCTACTCATCTTCTAAAGATCGAGGAATACTCACACATGCTATGTGAGTTTTAAAATATGTAAAAAGTGGATTATTTTGAGTCGATTTTCTTCAGAAGAACATGTAAAAACCCTGATTATTAGCGATTTAATACCTGTTTTATGACACTCTAAGCTCATTGCTGACACTCTAAGCTTATTGCTGACACTCTAAGCTCATTGCTGACACTCTAAGCTTATTGCTGACACTCTAAGCTCATTGCTGACACTCTAAGCTCATTGCTGACACTCTAAGCTTATTGCTGACACTCTAAGCTCATTGCTGACACTCTAAGCTCATTGCTGACACTCTAAGCTTATTGCTGACACTCTAAGCTTATTGCTGACACTCTAAGCTCATTGCTGACACTCTAAGCTCATTGCTAATCGAATAGCAACTTCTCATAGTCAGATAAGTTCAAAGAATCGTACTTTTCTAGTTAGCTAGACATGGGAAATCTCAGCTAAGTCAAACTGGAAAAAGAAGCTTTACAAAAGCTTAGCTTTAACTCGATTTTCTTTGTAACTTCTTTAGAAAATGTTCTCATGGCCGCGGTTCAGGAGCATTCGTTGTTCGACTCATTTGCTTTGCTTTGTAAGAAAACGCTTTCGAAAGCGTTATGTAGATCGTTTTAGTGTTTTTAGCACTTATCACTATTTGTTTTTCTTGAAAATGCAAAAGCATGCGAAAAATAGTTGCCTTGCAGAGTGATTCATTTAAAAAAAACTGTTTATTCTCTTGAGATTATTAATAAAAGTATCCATCGTAGAAATGAATGTTGAAAACAATAGAGGATTTCTTTATGCACTAATTCTATTGTTATGAAATCGATTTACAGGGTGGCGTTCAGCAAAGCGGCCACAGATGCCGTCACTTTCACGAGCTATTCAAGCATTCCAATCGCGAACTCGAGAACGTTCAAGGTTTGCAAAAAGCCAAGCTAACAATGAGAAAAAGGGAAATGAAACTGAAAGTACTGAAAGTAGAATTCATAAACTCTTTTTATTTATATGAGTAAACTGTCTGATGTTCGCAATCAGTTCGTAGCTTACAATTTGTAGTTTGCAATGCTTACAATGCTTACAATTGCTTACAATGCTTACAATGCTTACAATTGCTTACAATGCTTACAATGCTTACAATTGCTTACAATGCTTACAATGCTTACAATGCTTACAATTGCTTACAATGCTTACAATTGCTTACAATGCTTACAATGCTTACAATGCTTACAATTGCTTACAATACAATTCCTTTGTCCTTTCTCACTCATCTCTTGCAGCCAAGTTTCTCAGAGCTCTAAAAGTCGAGAGTTTCAGTTTTCAAATATATTTAAACCACAAAAAAGCAGCTTCTTATAAAGAATTTTGTTAAATCTATCGTTTTGTCAGCAAAACGTTTTGTCAGCAATCTTTGAGCAAAGCAATTCAGATCTTTGAGGTTAAAGTTTTTTGACTGAAAGTTCTTGTGCATTTAAAAACTAGAATTCTTTAAAGCTAAACGTTTATTTAAAAAACCTATGTCAAATACAGAAAATTTAAGTTTTTTTTGACTTAGAAGTGAACTTCTCTTAGAAAGTTTAACGCAAGTTTGATCATAAAAGATAAATTTATATTTAAATCCATTCAACTAACAATGTTAGCTTGTTTTAAAGTTTAAAATTCATTCAAATAATTTAAGCTAAAACTTCTCCATTTACAATTTGATCTTTCGGGTTAGCTTGGCATTAATTTGTAGGAAATTTTATGTTTTGTTGGTTGCTGTTTTGTTGGTACACCGTTTGTTGGTTGCCGACTATCAGTAAGTCTTGAAGAAGCTCTTGAAGCAGGAGTCTTGAAGAAGAAGCTCTTGAAGAAGCTTTTTGAAGAAGAAGTCTTGAAGAAGAAGTCTTGAAGAAGAAGTCTTGAAGAAGAAGTCTTGAAGAAGAACTTTTGAAGAAGAAGTCTTGAAGAAGAAGTCTTGAAGAAGAAGTCTTGAAGAAGAGCTGGAGGTCTTGAAGAAGAAGTCTTGAAGAAGAAGTCTTGAAGAAGAAGTCTTGAAGAAGAAGTCTTGAAGAAGAAGTCTTGAAGAAGAAGTCTTGAAGAAGAAGTCTTGAAGAAGAAGTCTTGAAGAAGAAGTCTTGAAGAAGAAGCTCTTGAAGAAGCTTTTTGAAGAAGAAGTCTTGAAGAAGAAGTCTTGAAGAAGAAGTCTTGAAGAAGAAGCTCTTGAAGAAGAAGTCTTGAAGAAGAAGCTCTTGAAGAAGAAGTCTTGAAGAAGAGTCTTGAAGAAGAAGCCTTGAAGAAGAAGTCTTGAAGAAGAAGTCTTGAAGAAGAAGTCTTGAAGAAGAAGCTCTTGAAGAAGAAGTCTTGAAGAAGAAGTCTTGAAGAAGAAGTCTTGAAGAAGAAGTCTTGAAGAAGAAGCTCTTGAAGAAGAAGTCTTGAAGAAGCTTTTTGAAGACGTTTTATGTTTTTATGTGAAATTTTATCTTAGAATGGTAAACTTTGCGACTATTTAGAAATCATTTTTTCTAGTTTACCCTAAATTTTCTATTAGGGTGGTGCAAAAGAAACTGCCGATTTGACGGTAAATTAAAAAAAAAGATGGCGTTCGAGGGTGACATGATCACAATGGAATATTTTCACAAGATCTCGAGCAGATTGGCATGAATCGGCCTGAATAACGTCCCTCAGCTTGGCTTCGTTCACGACTTCTGGCCTCGAACCGCGCTCGTAATCTTCCAAAGTCTCGTCTCCCTCTCGGAATCGTTGAAACCAAGTCTGACACTGCCTGAGAGACAAACTGCCATCTCCGAAAGCACAGAGAGAACGATGCGATTCGGCAGCAGACTTTCCAATTTTGAAGCTTTTAAAGAGATAAGGAACCAAATTTAAAGAGATAAGGAACCAAAATTAGAGAGTTAGGGAACCAAATTTAGATAGTAATGCTGCTCGTAGCACAAACTTTTGCTCGACCATGATCTAAATAAAAAATATAAGCATTTTTAAATAAAATAAACAACAACCAAAAAATTCAAATGTCGAAATAAATAGCAAACAAATATGCGAACAAAACATAAAAAAAATAATGCCGTTAGCATCGCTCGTTTCTGATAAATTAGAGCTGATACCCATCGGCAGTTTCTTTTGCACCACCCTAATAGCTTCAAATTCAAGCCGACTAAGGGACCTTTTATAGCCTTTGGTTATAGTATGATAAAATGCGCACTCGTTAGAATGCCTTTATTAGCTTTTAAGCGCCTTTTAGAGAGCTTGAGTTTGTGGTATTGACTTGAGTCAATACATAACTCAAGATTTCATTTTGAGACTTCATCGGCTAGCCGAAGAAGGTTTCGCTAGTGAAAAAACTTGAGACTTCTTCGGCTGAAATCCTTCATCGACTACGACATATACATAATCATTTTATAGTTTTATAGTATTTCTAGTTTATCCTAAATTTTCTAGCTTCAAATCAACCAGCAATTTACAGCTATTTCTTTGAATTTTTTTCCTTAAAAACTGTAATTTTTAGGTTTTTTTTTGGGTAAACATCATAAATCTGCTTGTTTTTGCGCAAAAAATAACTCCTAGATAAACAAAATTGACGGAGATATATAGAGTTTCTTGGTATATTCAAATATTTTTGTATCTTTTTTTTTTGCAATCTTTATATTCAAAATGAATGAGAGCTTTCAAATACTTGAGTAAAGGAAAGTAAAGCTTCATAGCTTCATTACAAAACCAGTTTTTCTTTCTATCTTTTTTTTCAGTTTCCTTTTTCAGTTTGCTTCCACTGCCATCACTTCACTCAACAACAAGAAAAATAATCGAATGGCTGAAGCGAATAAGAAACAAGTATTTTTTTTCGAAACTTTATACAAAAAACTCGATTTCAGATTGTACAAATGTTGATTTCAATCGTCGTTATGTACACCGTTTGTTGGTTGCCGACTATCAGTAAGTCTTGAAGAAGCTTTTTGAAGAAGAAGCTTTTTGAAGAAGCTTTTTGAAGAAGCTTTTTGAAGAAGCTCTTGAAGCAGGAGTCTTGAAGAAGAAGCTTTTGAAGAAGAAGCTCTTGAAGAAGCTTTTTGAAGAAGAAGTCTTGAAGAAGAGGTCTTGAAGAAGAAGTCTTGAAGAAGGCTCTTGAAGAAGAAGCTCTTGAAGAAGCTTTTCAATCTAGTTTTTCAATTCAGTTGACGAACTTTTGACAAGTTTTGGCTACATCTGTCGAACGTCGAATACGACAACTTTGAAGCATATGAGGATGGGATTCAATGCGTTGGTGGGTGAAAATCAGCCTTTATTTTTAGCTATCAACTAGACTTGTAACGAAAAATATATGTCAGTCCAATTTAAGATTTCTTGTGTTTTTCTCAGCACCAATCCTTCTATTTTGACTATTTTAACTATCATTTGATGCAGAATAAAATTGCGCATTGAATGATACAAAAATGAACTCAAAATACAATATCCTTGTAAAGTTATAAGGCAAAAGGTTAAGTCCATAATGGTTTAGGTTTTTTAGCCAACAACTTTGCATGGATCTTGCATTTTGAGTTCATTTTTGTATCATTCAATGCGCAATTTTATTCTGTATCAAATGATAGTCAAAATAGTTAAAATAGAAGGATTGGTGCTGAGAAAAACACAAGAAATCTTAAACTGCCAGCAAAAAGGATCGACAAATGTTTTGGTAAGTTTACTATCAACAATCCTGTTCAAAAACAACAATAAATTCCAACGCTAAGAGCTCATGCACAGTCCATAGCTTTACTAGTAGACTACAAAAGCCTATACAACTGCCTTTAGACCTATTGCCAGTCTTGCATCAACCCGATCTGCTATGCGTTCATCTCGCAGAATTTTCGAGCAACTTTCAAGACAGCATACATTCGAATGAAATATCGACTCCAGGTGTGGATCACTCCTTATATAATGCTTCATTCACCACCTGGAATATGAGCTTGTGGTGTAATGGATAGGAGTCTTGTTTCCGAAACAATCTCCAGTTCCTATTCCAGCTTTCTCTTGGGTTCGATCCCTTTCTTTTCATATTCTTTTGTGGTTTAACCGATTGCTCTATTTTAAACTTTACAATAAGTAGGACATCTTTTAAGTGATAACAAAACAAGAAACATAACGATCTACTTTTCAGGGAAATGAAGAGCTCCGTTCGAGAATGGGATCCTATTCTTCGGCTTCAATGCTTTCCACGAGAAATCATCATCGCATCAATGGCAGTTACAATACATTGACAGTTCCTGGAAAGTGGGAAATCCGATAGAGAATTTGTACTTTGTGCATTGAAACACACCCTTTCTGGTGCACCAAAAGAGAGTGAGATTGGAAGCGCTGAGCACAAAGTACACCCGGCATTATTTCATGTGATATACCGAGTCTATTAGATACAGTACTAAATAAAAGTAGCATAGAATAGCAGACAGCAGACAATTGCATTTGAATAGCAGACAATGCTAGATGAATTCTAGATCAATTAATCAATTCTAGATGAATTCTAGATCAATTATCACCCCGAATATGAGTCGAGATGTCTCACAGATGAGCTTGTGCCGACCGAGAACCCCGGGAATCCAAAACGATGCACCAACTTGTGTTGGGTTACGGTAGATTTTAAATAATAGCCTAATAGCAAGCTTAATAGCAAAAGCAAAAGCAAAACAAATACTATAAAAATATTTCTTTAAATTGCTCTTCTTTTAATTCCTAAATCGTCCTTTAGCCGTTCCACTTTGGCCTCTGATCGGGCCGCTTTACTAGGTGATGGTGAGTGGAGAGGACTGCTTTCTGGCATGGGCTTTACCCTTTGTTTTCTATATGATAAAGCTTTTCAAAATCATTGTCTGATTTATGCTATATTTGTGCTTAATGTATTTGTTTTGATATGTTAAAAGGACCTGTAAATGCCGATTTCAGACCTCGAAGCCCCACCGATGTGTCCCGAGACTCGGGACGTCCCCGCTCGCCGACAGACGTATCGCAGTCGTCGAGGCCTAAGTCTGTTATGAGGTAAACAAAAAGATCTATACATTATTTAGTTATCTATACACTTTATTTAATTATAAAACAAATCTAGAAAAGTTAGCTCATTAGTTATAAAGTAAGTAACTAGAGTAACTAGAGAAAACGAAATAATAAATAGAAAAACTTCTCGATGCCACTTTGTCTTTGGGTGTCATGAGAACCACTTTTACCAACGATTTTCACAAAGTCTTCAACAATACAGTGCTCAAGATAATCTAATGTTATACAGCTGACTTTTTTCAGCCAAAGCTTTCGAGCGAGATCTCCGACAGAGACCTCGCAAAGCAGCTCGATCCACCCTCGATCTCCTACAGCCGCCTCGACGATCACTCAAGGCTCAAAGGGTTCTCGGGGATCTGTTGTTAGAATGCATACTGAGGTTGGATTTTGTGCTTTTTGCTGACAGTCCTACAGCCTAGGCTAAATCCAGAACTGGCTGTCTTTTGAGCTGATAAGATCTGCTGATAGCTGATAAGATTGATCAGATTTGAATGTTTTTTTTTATAGGAATCAAATTTTGATAAGTATATAAAAGTGATGACACTTTGTATTAGGTTTAGTATTAAATATATGTCGTAGCCGATGAAGGATTTCAGCCGAAGAAGACTCAGTCTCAGACTTCTTCGGCTGAAATCCTTCATCGGCTACGACATATATATTAAGTCATGCATCTTTCAAATGAATCTTTCATTATCTAAATTAACGAGTCTTAAACTACCAAATACCAAACAATTTCTTTCATTAGGGTGAAAGATTTAGTACTCAACGTAATACTTTGTAAACGAATGGATGCTTGAATGAATGAATCAAATTTTATAATCTTTTCTTTAGGTAACCGCTCTCCTTTCCGTTCAAGACGCTATCCGACCGCGAACACCAGAAAATATTGTTTAAAAGTCTTCTCATTTGATTTCTTTATATCCATATCATTTTCTTTCTCAAAATGAGTCAAAATCTACGGGTTTTCTATTCTTTTTACATTGCTTTTCATATTTATTTTCATTAATATAAAAGTTGAAGAGGAAAGATGAAATATAGGAAATCTTGAAGACGAAATCTTGAAGACGAAATCTTGAAGACGAAATCTTGAAGACGAAATCTTGAAGACGAAATCTTGAAGACAAAATCTTGAAGACGAAATCTTGAAGAGGAAATCTTGACGAGGAAATCTTGAAGAGGAAATCTTGAAGAGGAAATCTTGAAGACGAAATCTTGAAGACGAAATCTTGAAGGCGAAATCTTGAAGAGGAAATCTTGACGAGGAAATCTTGAAGGCGAAATCTTGAAGAGGAAAGCTTGAAGAGGAAATCTTGAAGAGGAAATCTTGAAAAGGAAATCTTCTCATTTTATGCCACATAATAAGGAAATAACTTCTAGACTTCGAGATTTCACATTGAAGTTACAGTTGCAGGTAGTAGAGACTCTAAAATTTGTATTTTAGCTTTTTAAAGTATCTCATAAATTACCGTTGTCGCTGGGTGACTTGTTGGTTGGTTGGTGATTGATTCGGCGATTTGTGGAGCCGATAAGGGTCGAACCTGGAAATCCATTTGAATATTCAATTTTATGATTAAACTTTATCTAAACAAGATATTTTATTAGTGCATTTCTTTACCTCATTCTCGTAAAAATGGTTCGGCATCGCGGTCGCTTTGGCAATGATTTTTGAGATCGTATCTGAGATGGGCTCTTGCTTGCTTTGTGTGGAAGAGAAATTGTTGTTAGTGCCCTGAAATTTGCATTTAACAATTTTCAGAGTATTATAGTGTAGTTCTAGACTTAATAATCCAGAACTACCATCATTTAAAGTTCTTTAGAGATAATCCTTCTGAATTAGCCAATTTTGCACTTTTTGCATCGACTTTTGATCTCACACAGCCAATTTTGCACACCTACTTTTGATCTCACACAATTTTCGATCTCATTTAACTGACTATGAGATCATAATTAAGTAAATTAAACAAGATTACGGTAGTTTTATAAATTCACCTTTTAAATGATTAAAGTTACTAGAAAATAACTCTACTATTAATAATAATCGACGATATCTATTGAGTTGGTGGGTATGACTTGGGTTTTCTTTAAATTAAATCCCAAAGATGTAAACAAACATGAGGAGCTTGACTCAAGACTCAAGACTCAAGACTCAAGACTCAAGACTCAAGACTCAAGACTCAAGCCTCAAGACTTAAGACTTAAGACTCAAGACTCAAGACTCAAGACTCAAGACTCAAGACTCAAGACTCAAGACTCAAGTCTCAAGTCTCAAGCTTTTCACTCTTGAAACTCTACACCAACGCCGCCTTATCATAAATTTGAAAATAAGTAAATGAGCATTCACTCTTGTGAAAACAATGGACTTTCACTTTTGACATTTTTGGTGTTTCGAATTTTACTCTAATTTTTTCTAACTATTGAAAATCTATCACCACGACATCTGCAACATGTTATGCTGTAGAAATTTCTACAAGCGCACAAGGATCTCTAGTGTTTAGAGATTGTTGATGTGGAAGGAAAACCAAGCTCTAACACGTTTTCAACAACAATCATTCTAATCGAACTCACCGCAATCCTCGCCAATTCTCGATTCTTCCTCGCATTTTGCATTTCAGTCGATGAAAGCTTTCGCACTATCCAATTCGTCGTGCTGAATATCTCGGTTTGCATGAATTTCTTCGAATATTTCGGAAAGCAGTTATTCGCCAAGAGAAACCATTCAAACTCCAAGCGTTCATCTCTAAAAATTCATTTGACATTGAAAAACTCCTTCCCTTTTCCCCTACTTGACATCAATTGTCCGGAATTCTTGTCCCGAATGAGCCAATTTTCCGTGTTCATCAATATCATTCACTGTATATCCAAAACGTAAACAATTAGAGCATTGGAAATTTGGACGAGATGAGTGAATCTAAAAATTCTTTGATTTTCAAAGTTTTCTTTTAAAGATACTTTCACGTGCATGATGAGCGAGCCGACGAAATCGCCCAACAAGTAGACTTCTTCATTGCATAACTGCAATTTTAATCGTTGGTATTGTTGCATGACTTTATAAAGAATTGATTTATTGATTCTTGAAAGTTCTTCTTGAAAGTTCTTCTTGAAAGTCCTACTTGACATCGCTCTGCTTTACAGTAACGACTCTTTTCCCAGTCTCGTCTCAATGGGGCATAGTTGCGATGCACGAATTGTGAAGCTTTCATCTGAAAATTGCATTGATTAACAATAGAATTCTAGATTTGAATACGATCAATGGATCAATGGATCAATGGTTGGTGAATCCGGCTTGTAAACCGGTTTTCTGGGCACAAGTCAAAGCTTTTGACTTGACATCAATTGTCCGGCTTTGTTTGACCCAAAGCAAGGTCAAACAAAAGCTATAGTTCCTGGCTGTCGGGATTTAATCATCAGTTTTAGGGTTACGGTATTTGTTAGAAAACTTACTAGACACGGCCTCAATTGCCAATCCAAACACTTCCGCATTTCCCATTCACTTTTCAAATTCTAAACGTTGACTACAAAATTCCAAAACAATCTTCTTTCCAAACCTCTCCTTGACTTTTCACTTGCCGATTTTCATACAATCTTTTCACAAAAGCTGCTTGTCTATCCTAAAATTCTTATTTAAACTTTAAACACTCAGAAAGCTGACTATTTCATTTGCCATCACATCTTTCGATCCAATCATCGCTTTGACGAGATTGAAGAGTTTTGGGTTTTCTCCGAGATTTCTCATCAACTCCATCAGCTTTTCTTCAGTGACTTTGCCAATTCTTTGATTTTCTACAATAGCAATCATCGTTTTACATTGGTTTAATATTTATTCAAATCTATTCACCAAAAGTATTGACTGGAGTCAATTCAGTGAGTTGCGGTGTTTCGAGATCGCTCTCCGGACTCTCCATGGCTGAGGGTAGAGGAAGAATAGAAAACTGAAAGAATAACGAAATAGCAGAGTTGATATTGTTGAATGGTTATAATGTGACTGATTGTGAATATTGTGAATTCATATTGTACAATACTCATTGTACAATATGTACATTGTACTAGCCTTAGTCAAGAACAAAAGTGACCTCATTGAAGGCGATCGGAAATGGTTGTTGCTGAGGAAAGTGAAGGTATGATGTGGTTGATGGATTTGCCTCAAAGGATTGATCATCTTTTGGTGTCAAGGGTCCTTGATCCTCAAGAATATCATTCTTTTCGAAATTCTCTTCACGAATCTCTTCTTCTCGTCTTTCCAATTCTTTATTCAATGTAGCCCAATCAAAAGCGCTTCTTGGGAAAACATCCTGAAAATTTAGTTCCTTTATAGTTCCTATTTAGTTCCTTTATAGTTCCTGAAATCGGTGAGTGGCTATGGAGCTCAAATTAGTTTTTTGAAGTTTTTTGTAGTTTTTTGTAGTTTCCGTTTGATGAATTACAATAAAAAAACTAGATTTGACTGCAAAAGATTCAAATAACCAACCATAAATGCCGGAAAGCAATGCGGGATAAGACCGACCCAGCTCGTGAACAGCATTGCGTCTCTAAAAACTATTGTTTAGCTAACAAGGAGAGTTGAAAGCGCCGGGCTTTGAAATCGGGTTGGAATCGGTTGGAATGGAACCGGGATTCGAACCCGCCCTCTCACTTACCAGAAGAACACTCTATCAATGAGCTACACTCTATCAATGAGCTATCTCTCCAATTTCCAGGGTAGAGCCTTACTGAATGTCAACCAGGTGTAGGTTTTTTGAATAAGTAGCCACACTTTAAAGGTCTACCTTACTTACTTAGAGATAATATCATCGTTAACTTTTTTAATAGTTTTAAAGAGAACAATTCAAGCTTTCGAATAATATAAAGCTTGATCGGATTGGATTATTCATTTTCATGAAAATCAAGAGACAAAGAGCCGATCAAGTTGGCGGTCAAGTTGGCTTTAATTTCTCAAGATTGGTTGCTTCGATAAACTTCTATTTTAAAATACAATAAAAATAACTTCACTTAGATTCTATTATGTTGAAATATTCTATGCTAAAAGATTCCCAGCAAAACCCTACAGCTGATCCTCGCATTGATGACCAATGTTCGTGATCCCGTGCGCGGTGGCTTTCTCAAAGGATTCGGTCCTGAATTTTTTATTCATTGTGATTTTTTAAACTTTTAAAAATCTAAGATTACTCACTGAAATGCACAGTGATCACTTGAACATCGATATCGGAGCGGTTTCTTGTGCAACTGTACGTGATTTTGGATGTGGCCGGCTGGGACGAAATGGGCGCACATCTAAACTCTTATTTGTTAAAATAGATTCAAGAAATTTCCATTTACTAACAATTATCGAACTCTTTACCATTGAAAATCTAACTTTGAGATCAAATTTCTTGGTGTTAAGCTGTCCAATTTCAATATTTTTAATATTATTCGATGCGCAAAGTCTTTCTCTGTCGATTGGTAGAAAAACTATTTATATTGGACAGCCCAATACCAAGATATTTGAGAGCAAAGTTAGATTGCTAATGGTAAAGGAGCGGGCGGTATTAAATGTCCCACAATTACTAACCAGACATTTATGCTTATCATTCCACCCATTCCAATTGATTCCTGTCTCAAGTCGATCTCTCAACCATTTCATCGGAGCACTCGGCAATGGAAGGACGAGAGGCTGGGATGGCTAAACAACTTCGAAAGTTGAAAACAATCGAAATAATACACTAATGAATCATCAATCTGCGAGCTTATCAAAAACATTTTGTAAATTCCTCTTTAGAATTTGATTTACCGGTTCGCCTCTTGTCTCTGTGAGTAGTGTGGATCGGAGAATCTCTGGAACAACTCTCACTACTTCTGTGGCTCGTTTCTTCAATGGTAAGCTAGAAACTTGCGTTTTAAGAATACTTTCCTTTTGGTTTTTTTTGTTTATTTTGTATCATAGTATCAACCCACTTTGCTTCAGGGATATCCTTTTTGCTTGGAATTTCTGAAGCGAACGGTTTTGAAAAAGGCTCCATATTATCTGGAAATTCGATTTTATCTGAAACGGAGCTGAAATCTGAAAGCTATATCTGAAATCTATATCTGAAATCTATATCTAAAAGCTATATCTAAAAAACTATATCTGAAATCTATATTTAAAAAGCTATATCTAAAAACTATATCTAAACAGCTATATCTAAGAAGCTATATCTAAAACCTATATCTAAAAATCAATCTCTTCCCTATTCTTACATTTCTTTTCAATGCTTTCAATGACTCCTTTGCAATTCTCAAAAGCGTCGGCGAATTGAGGGAAACAGGCGATGGAAAGGTGAACGGATTGAGCAAAGAGTTGATCACAGCTGCAGTTTGAATTTATTAAAAAACAAAATGAATATGCGAAAGATATTTAGAAGTAAAGCTGAGTATCTTTAGCTGAAGAAGCTTATTACTGTAAATCTCTTACGCAATCTCGACTCGTTCTCCTTTCCCGTTGTGCTTCTTGCGCAGATGAGTGCTGATTGCACCAGTTTGACTAAAAACTTTAGAAATGACAAATGACAAATGATCAATACTTACTTTGACTTGTAATCACATAATGAACATTGATATGGAGATCCATATTTGTCGCCGCAATGCCAATACACATGTCCTTCAATCGAGCGACTCAGTAGCTTATAGGTGCACAGCTGGAAATGAGGGAAATGAGGGAAATGAAAAGTTGCCGTAATTTAAGCGATTTTTAAAATCCACCTTGCACTTGATTGAATCCTTTACCGAGAAGTGAGCACTTTTTCGAAAAATTGAAAACAAATTTGGGTGTTTCGCGGCTAAATGTTTCGATCTATCTACTAATGAAATCTGAATAACCAACATTTCTCTTGTTCCGTTATCTCTTTTCCTTCGACTTCAACTTTGTTTTGTTTCTTTGATAAGCTCTGAAAAATGTTTTGTAGCTAATATAGCCTAACATTCGACTTTCGAACCGGTTTTACAACTTTTCCCCCATTGATTGATTGTCGATCCGATTTTATATTGGGTTTTGCGATTTCTCTGATTAAAGGTAAAGGATCCGACTGAAAATATAAGAAAATCTTGTCTTTCTTTAGATTCTTTAAGTCTTTAGATTCTTTAAGTCTTTAGATTCTTTAGGTCTTTAGATTCTTTAGGTCTTTAGATTCTTTAGAAGACAACCTTTCTTCCGTATTTCTCTCTCAACAATACTTTTGGTCGACTTGTGAGTGGAGTTTTTGTAATTGAAACTTTCGATACTTCGACAGTCTCAAACTGTAAGTGAATGTTAAAAGTGAAAATCTTATTTAGTACCTCTTTCGTCTGTGATTTCAACTTCTTTGACTCAAAACATTGCTGAAGAAGCTCGTCGAGTGAATCCTTTGAAGCCCTAAAATCCATAATCTTTTGTGTTAAATTTCGTCAATAAGTTAGCAATTTTAGCTGACTAGCTTTTAGCTGAATTTTAGCTGAAAGCAATTCAACTCACTCTTCTTTATAACATTGAATGTTCTCATTTCCATGTCGTTGCCATATATGAGCTCTCATTCCCTAAAAGAAAAGATGACAAATGATTACAAAACCAATTTCTCGTTGACTACAATAAAAGTTGGTTACGAATTTGATTACAAATTGATTACAAATTTGGTTACAAATTTGATTTGTCTAGCTATTTATAGATCAAAGTTTCATAAATCTTTTGAACAAACCTTTTTATGATAACTTGAATAGACACACATTGAGCATTGATAGCGAATGAAATGAGATTTCGAGTGAATCTCTTGGTCCCTCTCGGCTACGTTTTGCTGACACTTCTAAAAGATACACTTTAGTAGTTTAATGATCTTAAGAGATCTTAGTAGTTTAATGATCTTAAGAGCTACGGTAGCTTTTCAGAAAACAATTCTAGCTGGATTTTTTACTTGACAAATCGACAAATCTCCGTCAATCGTTTTCTCCATTTTCTTCCCGATTTCCTCTTCATCATCGTCGCTTAACGATTTCCCCTGGAAATTGAAATGGAATTGATTGAAATTAGAATTGAATCCTTTAAAGTCACTTATTGTTCTTGTTATTAAACAGATCTTTAGAATAACTTTATGGTAAGACTTTTCTGAGGCTAATGTAAGTGCGGATTGAACTCACAAAGAAAAAGCACCGAGTCAAGCTGGTCTTTTGAATCGAGGGGGACTCGAACTTGGGAGCAAAAACTTGGGAGCAAAAAACAGGTTCGGTAGCTTAGCAAAAGCTATCCACTAGACCACAGAAGCAGTTGCTAGTAGAGCGTGTAACGACCTCATAAGCTCGATTAGCTCAAAAAATGAACGAGATAGTGAGAAAGAGAACAAGAATTGAATGGGAAATTCGACAATTTTGGGTTATTGATTTTTGAAGATTTGAGGCACGGTGCTGGGGAAATCAACTATCAATAAATAACGAGCAAAAACTCTAACAGGTTTGGTAGTTTAGCAAACTATCCACTAGACCACAGAAGCAGTTGCTAGTGTAACGAATTTAAGCTGATTTTCTATGCCAAATATCTTGGGTTTGAGAAGCGTTCTGCAAAAACTAAAAACAGATTCGAGATCCTCATGGCCGAGTCGATAAGATGGATTTGGTCTTGAGTCAAACGGCCAGCTTGAACAAGACCAAGATTGGACTCGTCAGAACAAGGCTAAGATTGGACTCACTTGTTGTGCTTTCTTGATGACACTCACTGCTTTGATCGCTGATTTGCGGCGAACGCGACTCTGAAATTTGAAACTTGATTCTTAAATATTTGAAATAAAGCTGAATACCGATTCTTGTTGTTGATTTGTTGGAGAGTCGGTGATGGATCGATTCCCCCGTTGATCCAATCGCGAGAGTTTAATCGGCGGGATACGCATTGGGCTGATTGACGCCACTGATGCAAAAGCATTTGTGTCCATGTCTTAAAATTTTTAAAAATCATCTTCTAAATGTCGTATTCTGGTAGTTAAACAAACAAAAAACAAAGAAACAAACAAATAAAGGTGCACGAAACTACTGCAAAACGAATTGTGAGTCTTGAAATGAAGTTACAAGAGATAAAATGACTAATTCTAAAATTCTAATTTCAATCAATCAATAATTTCAATTAAAAATATCCAATTTGCTTCGAGTTAGCTGTGAAGTGAAAAGAAAAATAGCAGATGTTAATCAAAAATAACCTGCAGAGATGCCAATGGAAGATTAAAAGAGATTATAATTGTTTTGACAAAGCAGATATGTAAATAAAGAAATTATTTGAAGAAATAGAAATATATTTCGTTTTTAAATCCCCATCTGGAAAGCTGTCTTGCTTCTCCTTTTCTAAATGATTTGAATTTCTCCCGTTCTCTCCTACTCTTCTTGCCAAACAAGCTCATTGTCTTGATCTTTTGATGAACATACGAGAACATATTGATTGATGAATTGAGACATTGACATTGAGATGAATTGAAAGCTTTCCTTTGCCGCTAGATGACATAATTCCTTGGCTTACTTACTGTCCATAGTCAGTTAAATGAGATCCAAAATTGTGTGAGATCAAAAGTAGGTGTGTAAAATTGGCTAACGCAGAAGGATTGAGGATCTCTAAAGGACTTTAAATTATGGTAGTTCTGGATTATTTACCTTTTAAAAAGTCTAGAACTACGCTATAATACTCTGAAAATTGTTAAAGGCAAATTTCAGGGCACTAACAACAATTTTCCCCATCTGGAAAGCTGTCTTGGTTTTCCTTTTCTAAATGATTTTAATTCCTCCCGTTCTCTGTACTCTTCTTGCCAAACAAGCTCATTGTCTTGATCTTTTGATGAACATACAAGAAAATATTGATTGATGAATTGAGACATTGACATTGAGAATTGAAAGCTTTTCTTTGCCGCTAGATGACATAATTCCTTGGCTTACTTACTGTCCAACTTGAAGTTTAGTTTATGTCTCAGCTTGAAGTTTAAAATCGATTCGATTCTCATCTTATAGGATAAATCTTATAGAATCGGATGCTGATTCCGAAGCTGTAAAAATTAGCTACAGACTCGCACGCAAACACGAGGAATCTGGCATAGAAAATTCGCTCAAATTTCGGACTCTTTATGAGACTTTATGGACTCTTTATCGCCACCACAATGAATCGCCTCAGCGGCTTCTGTAGTCTAGCGTGCTTGTCTACGGAAAGACGGAGTTTTAGCTGGCTTGGGTTCGAATCCTACCCTAACCAATGTCTTTTATGTATTCTATAATCTAAATCTTATCGACTTACTTGAGCTGTTCGATGAAGCCGAGATGAATCTGTGTGACGTGTGGGCCGGACCGAGGCGGGAGCACTGTTTGCAAGTATTCTTGGGCCAGAATACTTGCAAACAAGGCCAAGTATTCTTGGGCCAGAATACTTGCAAACAAGGCCAAGTATTCTTGGGCCAGAATACTTGCAAACAAGGCCAAGTATTCTTGGGCCAGAATACTTGCAAACAAGGCCAAGTATTCTTGGGCCAGAATACTTGCAAACAAGGCCAAATATTCTTCCCCCCTAACCATTGTTCTTTTGGAAAATTCACATTTGCATTAAATATTTTAAAAACTTGATAAACATCAGAGTGCTTTCTACAGTAAATCTTTTCAATTTCTTCTCCATCAACATTTGTATTTCAGCTCTGAAAATTGATGCCCTTCAGCACTCCACTAAAGCTAAGCCAATATATGAATGAACCGAAACAAAATTTTTTTTCAGAATTTAAAAATTTTGGTTTTTTTTTTGTTTGGGTAAAGAGCTTTTACGATTTTTAATAAACCTTAGAACCTTTTTTGTTATCATTTTTCATTTCAAATCCTTTCTATTTATTCAATTAATTCATAAATTATATGGCAGACAGTAACAGGGAAAAATTTGAAAGAATACAACCAAAAAACAAAACAGCGATATGGCATCGAAGAAATGCAAATCCGAAAAATAAACTGAAAGAAGAAGAGAAAGAATTTTCGTTGAAGAAATAAGTACTCAATAATGTCGTAATGACCGGTTCGGTTCAAGAAAAGGATCCCGTTTCAAGAAAAGTCCACAAAAATGAAAATTTGAATCAATGGTGAGCTTTGAAATCTTGGATAGCTTGGCTGGCTGAGCTGATTGAGCTATTTGAGCTGGTTGAGCTGGTTGAGCTGATTGAGCTGGCTTCCAATCAATCCAACAGTCCAATCAATCCAATTAATCCAATCACTCCAATCAACCCAATCAATCCAACAATCCAATCAATCCAACAATCAAATCAATCCAACAATCAATCAACCAATCAATCAATCAATTCCATCAATCAATCAATCAATCAGAAATATACAAAGAGGTAATACAAAGAGATTTGCCCAAAAATTCAATCAAATTCATTGATGCTTTTCAGAAATGTGATTGAGAAGAGTGTTGGCATCGGATGATTCAAAATCACAAAGGGTACATCTGGAAATTTTTTCGTTTCATAGGAAATTGTAAACAAAAGTTTTAAAGCTTTTAAAAGACTTACCTTGTAAATGTCATTGATGCGTGGGAGATGGAAAGGTGTTGACTCAGAGATAGCACCGAGTTTGTCCTGTAATTTCTTTTTAGGAATGGATTTTGAATGATGATGGAATAAAGCCAAGCCAGGGTCAAGACAGGTTCTGGTCTGGCTTCTGGCTGGCCAGGGCCAAGACCAAGGAGTCGTGTACGGCCATAAAATCAGATCCTAGTTTCTTTGGCTGGCTTTAGACCTAGCTTGATTCAAAAATTAGGCTTAGAAAACTTGTAGCTATGTAAATGTTTAGATTTTGCTTGTTTCTAGAGCTCATTTGGCTTTAGATCAAAGTTTCAATCAAGATAATCAAGACTAACTAAAAAGATCTTCAATTGTTGTGCAATCTTTTGTCAAATATTCACCTGAAATCACATTGATTACAGGCGATTGTCGGCATCGCTGACAAATAGCTATTCGATGTGGTCGTTGTGGGAATCGATGGATTGACAGGGAATTGCAAGAATTGTACATTCGGGGTGAATCCGGGGAATTGCGGGAGAAGCGCCGGCACACTCAATGGCATTGAAGGCATCGATGAGAGAGTGGGAGTGCAAAGCTGAAAATCTTCTTTTTCATAATTATTTGACTTTATTTTTGCCTTAAGATAAAAAAATTGTAATTAAAGTTCTTTAAAAATGATATAAAAAATGTTGTTTGTTTTTGAAAGCATCCAAAACAGAAACACCGACAGAAAACAGGTGGAAAAGTGAATGGATTGTGAATGGAAAAGTTAATCGATTCAAGTAGTTTTATAGTTTAAAATTGCTCTAAATAAAAAGATATTAAAAGAAATATCTAGTAGATAGTTTTTAAAGGATAGATTGATATGTTAATTGATATTAATTGATATTAATTGATACTAATTGATATTTATTGATATTAATTAATATTTCTCAACTTACAGCACTCGGAGAGGGAATAGCTGGCGGAGAGGCGTGAGTGGAAGCTGGAGAGGAACGTGCCTAAAAGATATCGTTTTATCAATGCTTTATATAGAAAAAAGTATGCAAATCTTAAGCTATACTATGCATTATTCTATATTATCGTTTATTAACCAACCGTTCGATCCCCGGGAACGTGTCTGGCGATGTGTTTTTCCAACATTGCTGGACTCTTACTCACGTGACGACAGAAAGGACACTTTCGAGAGCCTAAAAATTCTTTTAAATATTAAATATTATCTAGAAGGATTGTCTTCTATATTTTTTAACTGATAAGACAAAAATATTGACAAGATAGAAAAGATAGAAAAGATAGAAAAGATAGAAAAGTTATTTATATCTTCTCCGCCATCTTCCCATCTAAACTTTTCCCTTAAAAACTCACCAAGATCAATATTATCTGGCAATGGAATATGATGTCGATAGTATTTATGAAAGTGAATATATCGAGCCTCTCGAGTCGTGAATGTGCATCCAGGTTGCTCGCATCGAATTGGCGGATTCCGGTGATAGATCGTCACGTGATAGGAAACAGAATTGTAACGACCTACAAGATTTTCGAGTTTCTATCTGATGTCTAGGGTAAACTACCGTTTTTTTCCTATAATAGTAGTGCATCCCGCCGAAATTGATGACTATTTTACGGTTCTCAAGTTTTCACAGAAGCGCAACACTCTAATCCCCCACGAGATCTCATCACCAGCTACATTTTCCGACCTCACATCGATAGGTTCTGATAAGCGGTTCTCGAGATTTCGAGCAATTTAGGCAAAACTTTGGATGCACTACTATTAGAGAAAATACGGTAAATCTTTTCTTTTCAATCTTTTCAATCTTTCCCACTCCGAATGGTTTTGGATGTAATAACTGGGAATGCAAGTCAGCGATTACAGTCTATTTTATTTGATTTCAGAACAACCATCATTCTGATGGAATTTCTTCCTTTCGATTGAATATTTTTTGTCATACAAATTCTCCTCCTTTACTTATTCTGATAGATTGGAACTCTTTGGTCTTGAAATGTTACACCAACGCCGCCTTATCATCGATTTAGTGGAATGCTTCAAAAATTGTTAAAGGCATTCATCCCGACCATTTTTCTGGTCGACCATTCATCCCGACCATTTTACTGGTCTCTTTGAATTCGGCTCTCTACGGGGCGCCTCCAGAAGGGGACCTTTTCTCATACGCCAACTTTCTGTTTCCTCTAAAAGCCCCCACAGTTTCTTTTTTAATCGAGTTATTAAATTCTGGAACATTTTACCCCCTCATGTTCGTGATATTTGGCTAGATTTAAAGCCGCAATTTCGGCAATTGATTTGACTGCTCTGTGATTCTTTCTTGAGGTATCTATTTATCTTTTGGGTGTGTTTTGAGTGGTGTCCCGGGTAATTATTGTGATTTTGTTTTGTCGCTATTCAACTGAATAAAGCATATATATAACTAATTTTTTTTTTAGTATTTTTAATCGCATTACCGTAGCATAATTTGCCATAAAACAACTATGATTCGTAAAAAAAACCGTGAGAAACCCCCAAACTTTTCTGTTTTGATCAAGAGCAAACTAAAAAGTATCAGAGATGAAAAGAATTATATAAAAGACATCAAACTAATCGTAAAAAGAATAAAAAAATGATTTCTGTTTTTGAGAGAAATTTATTTTGGCTTTTAAATTGAGGAAAATGAAGTGGGAGATTGATTGAAATGGATCAAAATTTAGCGGATTTTGGTGGATTGGGAAAGATTGAAAGTAGCTTTTAATATTAGCTTTTGATTTTGAAAAGATATTCAACTGATTTCAACACTTACCATAAACTTTCTTGCACACAGTGCACATGTAACCGGCGTCGACTTTCTCGATGTACTTCTTGTTTCGACACCAGCCTAAAGAAGAGTTGAAGAATTTATTGAGAAAAGCTTGTAGCTAAAGCTTGTAGCTATTTCGATTCAAAACCTATTATTCCTAATATTTTTCTCGCAAACCTCTGAACCGATTTTGTTCAGGTTTTTTAGAGAAATGCAGCAGCCAAATGCAGCCATTTTTTCAAAAAAAAACCCGAACAAAATCGGTCTAAAGGTTGATTTAAAAAAATAATGATTTAAAACAACGACGTAAAGTTAACTTTCGAACTTTTGCCTACCTTCTTTCTCAGTGCTTGGCACGATGACATCACTGTGTCCTGATCCGAGATCCATCGGTGTCGAGGCACTTCCACGACTTGACTCAGAACTCCGTCGATCCAATGGTGAACTGAAATTGCTTTTTCAGATCTCTAATTACTATGTTGAGCAGTTGGCTCTATTATTCCGCTTCTTAAAGTAGATTTGGTCGAAACAAGGCTCTATTATTCCGCTTCTTAAACTAGATTTGGTCGATTTGGTCGTATACTTGTGCACCAAGTGAAGGATAAGTAAGCAAGGCTTTTTTTTGACTGAGCTCAGTTTTGAGTTAGTGAATTAAATCAAGTTTAAATTAAGAAACGATACTCTATGTTTTTCGAAACTCACGGTGGCATTTGCTTTTCAATTGGTGGTGAGAAGACGGACGAGGCGGATGGAGGGGAAAGGAGTGGAGATGAGTGGAGAAGGGGATCCGTGGATGTCGATGAAATGAGTGATTGAGGAGAAGTCGTGGATGAGGTGAGAAAGGACATGGCGAGGTGACGATTTGACGCGTACAATTGCACGAGAGCGTCCACGTAAGGGGATGAAGTCCCTAGAATTTGAGGAATGAAAAAACGAGTTGATTTTGTTCTCAACTATCCATTACCGAAATCTAGAAATGACTAGAAATACCGTAATCTTTCCTAGCTATCATAATCTGAGATTTAACAAGGGTTACTGTAGAGTTACTGTAGAGTAAACGAATCGATTTACACGTAAAAGTGGAGTTTTTTCTAATCTCAATGATCTCAATGATCTACCGTAATACTTAAATGCGGATAAAAAAGCTCTACTCGAATTCTGCTCTTGTAGTTCTGCTTGGTTTATAAAAATTTCGTTTCACTAGATTGTACTAGACTACGAATTATGGAGAAATCACAAGATCGACTTGAAAAGATTATTACAAATCTCTAGTTGAATTTAAAACTTCAAAAGATTTAAGTAATAATGAGCAATGCTTTTGAGAGTTATCGTAATCAAAAGATACATGAAAAGCTGTTTGAAAAGCTGTTTTAGCTACAGTTTTACAGAAAAGGTAGAACTAGATGAGGTTAAAACCAGGCCTGGGAAGGCTTGGCTTATTTGGCTTGGCTTATTTGAACGAAATGAAAAAGCTGAGCTCATGCTAAACCTACATGGATTCATTGGATCAATCCACATCTTGCTTCCTTTAATACCAAAGAAATAAGAGTTACAGATGAATGAGATCAAGAATGAAAGGGTGAGGCAAGGAACTGTGAGGTCTTGTGGCTCATTTTATAGGGCGGGGCCAACTCCGAACACGAGGGCCCAATTCAGGCCCTTTCTCCCGCAGCTCCACCCCTTTTTCAACTCTCTCTCTCTCTCTCTCTCTAATAATCAAATTTAGCGCTCTTACTTTTACTCTTTCCGCATTCATTTCATTTACAACAACAATATGTTGTCATGAGTTGTGCAATGAACAGTTTTCTTTCAGCAATCTCTCGTCATTGAACGCCTACTCCCGTTTTGGGGGGTTAAACATTGGATCGACACAATTTGATTATGGATTTTGAGCACTTTTTAAATCATTGACAGCAGAGATTAGAAGAAATGCGTAACCGTAAACTCATTTCAAACAATGTAACTCAATTTTTAGCGTCTTTGAGATATTTTTGGGTTACTGTACTTTTAGTTTTCTTTTAGTTCATTAGTGATGCTTATCGGGCAGATTCAATACGTTTCAAGAGCTACTTTCTTTTGCTCGAAACACGCGTGATCTAATGCATGAAAAGTGAGATGAACTCAATGCTCTTACTCAAGAAAAGCAATACCGTATACACAAGTGTTAGCCTACCGTACCCTATACCCAGTACGGTGATCTAGGCTGGCTATGGATCACTTTTTAGGCCAGTTTCTCAAACTACCGTGACTTATTGCCTATCGTAGTCTATATCGTAGTCTATCGTAGTCTATCGTAGTCTATCGTGAACCAAGAACAAGTTACACGTCTCATGAATTCAACTTTTTGCTATTGAAAAAAGCAATACTGTATACTAAAGAATTAGCAGAAGAATGGCTCATTTTTCGGCTAGCTTCTCAAGCTACCGTAACCCAACTGTCTGTCTGTCTGTCTTGTTAGCTATTACGGTCGTCTTTTTTCTCCACTCAACAACACTAGACCCATTCTTCAACTTTTGACGTCTATCCTTTAATTGGAAAAAGCTCACTTAATAGCCGCCTTTCGAGTGCAACTAATTCGACATTTCATTTAAAAAACCTTCTGATGCTATTTCTCTTTTCCCGAAAAGATTAGCGGAAAAGAAGAACTTTTTTTTGACATAATTCGTGATTGGGAGAAGAGATTTGTTCACCCGCTCGTTCCCCTTTTTCGAATTCTTTTCTCTGAAAGCATCCACTATAAATCGTCGCCTTTACCCTTTTCAGTGATGAGACTCAAAAAGAAAAAGATAATCAAGCGTTTAGTACAAAAAGAAAAAATTGCAAAAAGTCTAAGCTTTTCTGGAAGTCATTCAATGTCTGACGGATGGATTAGATAAGTTTCCAGGGAATGCGATTGACTGCGACTGACTCGACTGCGAAAAGCTCTCATCACTATCATTTTTGAATTCAAAAGCTTTAGAAAGACAAAATTTTGTACAGGTAAATTGTACAGGTAAATTGTACAGGTAAATTGTACAGGTAAATTGTACAGGTAAATTGTACAGGTAGATTGTACAGGTAGATTGTACAGGTAGATTGTACAGGTAGATTGTACAGGATTGTACAGGCAGTTGTTATAAGTAATTGATTTCAGAGATAAGAGCTCTACAGTAGCTTGAATACCAAAAACTGGCTTCACTATCGATATTTCACTAGAGACTTCATTCATTGGATTCTTATCAGATCATTACTCTGATCAGTATCATTGTGCAGATATCTGTAGATCTTAAGCTGATATATGTCTTTGATGAACAAACTTGTCGTTGGGATGATTGGCGGAGCGGATGGGAGAAGCATTTGCATGAGATGATTCCTTTCCGTTTTCCCGTTCTTCACCTCCTTCTCCTCTTCTTTTTCTTTTCCCTCCGTTCTTTTTTCCACGTCTTTTTCCAGCTCTTTCAACGCAGTGAACGAGATCTGAAAATAGAACTGTTTAGGAGCTGTTTAGGAGCTGTTTAGGAGCTGTTAAGGAGCTGTTTAGGAGCCATGATCGGCTTGAAAAGTTGTTTATGGGTAGCTGTAAAGGAAAATCGTTGATCAAGAGGTGAAAGGCAATGTGGAAATGGCAAAGAACTTGTACAATGAATTGACTGTTTTCAAAGATTGGCCATTTGGATTGGATTGGGTCATTCGTTAGGCTTCAACAATCATTTCACTTGCATTTCATTTATTATTTTAGCGCTAAAGCTACAGCACTCTTTGTACAACAGTTGGAGAATACGCTATCAACCTTAAGCTCTAAACCTATCGTAATCTATCCCTCTTCATAAATACGTTGAGTCTGTTCTAGCTCTAAACTTACAGTAGCCTCTAAATCTACTGTACTAATTGTAGAGTAGATTTAGAGGTTACTGTAAGTTTAGAGCTACAATTAACTATCTTGAATAGTTGAAGAACTGACAAGTGATCTAATCCTTTTTCCAAAATCTCCAACCAATCTCCAACGAAAAGTTCAGCCTGCAGCACTTGCAAGAAATTCCCCAAAAACCGAAATTGTCGTCATTCAAGTTGTAGCACATGATTCTTATACTCAAACCGATAATCCGTAAATATAGATATCTGGAAATTGGGCAAAAAAGGGCAAAAAGGGCAAAAAGGGTCAAAAGAGCGTCAAAAGAGCGCATCTTTTCCCACTCAAACAAATCCCTCAATTTCCCCCACAAAAGTTCCCTTTTTTTTCTTATGGAAAGTGGAGGCGTCTTAATCTGCCGAAATAAAAGGAGTGAAAAACGAATTTCCCTGATGAGCTTCTTAATTTCCCCCACTTTTTTCCCCTATTTTTCCGTCAATCTCTTGATTGGACAATCGGTTTTTTATGTTTTTTGAGATCTCGAAGAGATTACTTTTCATCTTGACAATTTTAGCATTTTCATATTTTAATCGAAATATTTGAGCAAAGCAAAGCAAAAGAAAACAATAGATTTAAATGAAAATTGAAATAAAGATTTAAATGAAGATTTTCAATTGAAACATGACCTTAGGTTATAAGTGGTTATAAACGCTAATTTATAGAAGTAGTTTATAGGAAATTATCAATTAAAAAAACTCAAACACTTTATTAGGATTGGCAAGCCGTTTCGCTAAAGGGCTTAGGCTTAGGCTGCGTATTGTTTTGGAGGGAAATAATATACTGCGGTGAGGTGCGAGTACAATGGAAAGCTTCAAGATGTTTTCTTTCTTAGTATTGTTATTTAGATTGATATGATTCAGTCTAAGACCATTAACAGATTTACAGATCTTTGAGCATATACGGATATTCAGCTAAGCCACTAGGCTTGTTTTGGAGGGGAAATAATCACTCTTCAAAATGAATAGCGGTACTTTTTGTGCTTTTTCCTGATTTTTGATGGATAGATTAGAATAATCTGATTGCTTTCTGATCACATTCGAATCTCTGAATCACTCCGTATACCGTATTCAATTGCTTGAGCTCTTTATTTATGCAAATTTTGTTTCTTTGTACTCTGATACGGAGGAAATGAGATGGGGATTATATATAAAAAAAGTTGATTCATAAAAGAAAAAGATTAATTTATTTCTGGCCAAGTTAATGGATACAGCTTGCATTCAAGTACTAAAGCTACATTTGCGGTTCTTAAAGAATTTAAATATTTGAAAGATGTGAAGTTTGCTTGCTTTGCTTTAGTTTAGTGTAAAGGGTAAAAAAATGAAGTTGAACTACGTGAGAGATCGAATTTCTGTGCAAGAACTGCCATGCCAGGATTGTGATTTGAAAAGAATCAATAACAATCTGTTGTTTATAACAATCCGTTGTTTCAAAGTCATTTTTTCGAGCCAGTCTAGAGGTAAAACAAGGCAAAGACTAGCGAGATCCAAAAAATGATCTGATCTCCGAACTGATCTGATCGACAGTGGATCCAACCAGAGACAATGACGAACGAATGACGGACGACCACACTATCCACTAGGCTACCGAGTGAATCCACACTATCCACTAGGCTACCGAGGCTCGCCGAACGGCCCGCTCGAATGCCTTAAGTAGGCTAGCTTGCTGTTTAGCAAAATTGAGACTTTGGCTTATCTCTAAAATGGCTTCGATAAGTAGGATTTGAAAGCAGTTTTGGAATGCTCTTAACCAAGAGGTACATATGGAATCAAATCGATTTTGAAATCTATCTTCAAGGTTCCTTGGTCGGACAGAAGGCAAGATCTGACTCTAGTCTTGCCTCATCTGCCTTGGTTTAGCCTAAAGCCCGATTGAACTCTAGCTTTGTATTAGCTGAACCTCTCTATATAAAAAGTCAAGCGATTCATGGAACCAGGGTCCATGAATCGCTTGACGAAAAAGCTCTGATAAAACGAGTAAAGTACCAGGGTACTTTACTCGTTTCATCAGAGCTTTTTCGATCTTCCCCCAGAGCCCTATTTTGAGTTGATCTAAATTCTGAGCTAATTTTACAGATTTTCACATGAGAAACTCTCAAAAAAGGCACAAAATTTACATCGCAAAATCTCTTGAGTTCAACTACAAAATAGCGAGAGATTTTTAGCGAGAGATTTCTGAAGTTCGCCCCCTCTTTTTCGACGATCTCGAAAAAGAAATTAAAGTGGGAAAATCAGAAAATTAGTGCCAAATTGAATAATTTGACTTTTCGGCGTTTCAAAATATTATTTGAGAAAACTGAGAAAACTGAGAAAACTTTGCGGGATGTGGGAGTTTTCTCGATAATATTGTAGATAGATCTTTACAAAAAATGAGATTGACAGAGGAGAGTTGTTTAGAAGAGACACATTTCTAGCTTTGGCTTTGAAATATGGTAGAGCACAGCACTTTAGTAGCTTTTCAAAGAAAATCCTCTCCAATCTTTCGAGCATCGACTACAAAACTTAGATGAGATCGATGATTTTTAAAATAAGAAAAAAATGTTCCCGATTTTGGATTTTGTTGAGTTTTTTTTTTTGAAGAGCTCTTTCACGGATAAGTTCTTCTAGAAAACTTTGCCCTATCTTTTTTCAGA